TTTGCAGAAAAACAGCACTTGCAAGTTGCAAGGACGATGGGCAAGGAGATGGTAGGGTGAGAAAAAGATAAGAAGCTGCGTGACTCAGCGTGGAGTCAGGAATCAGGCCTAGCCGCAGTAGGATTCAAGATGATCAAATTTGTCGACATGTATTTGACCGCATTGAACGGTTTGAAACCTATGAGAAACACATTGTAGACTTGTACACTGTACAGTTATGTAGAAATAGAAAGACATATTCAACAGCGTGATCTAGCAACTAATGGTTTTTTCCGCAGTGCAGGTGGGTGCATGGGAGAGGCATTACGTTGGTGTAAACTTTGAAATTACATTAGCTTCAGATTGTGAATGGGAAAATGAGACAGAATACTCACACACGAGTAGATCTGCGAAGTGGTGTTGCATCCGGCAGACATGGGGCCGCCTCGGCCATCCAGCGTTCATTGGAGATTGGAGGGTGATGTGTGGTGTGATTATCAGGAATGCTGAAATCCAGCGAGCATGTAGATGGCGCAGCCAAGGCGTCTTGAAGACCACAAAGCAATGAACGAAGATGCTCATAGTCGGGGTCTTCCGAGAACGCAAGAGAGCGCGTGTAGATGAGAACACTTGCAAATTCGACGGGAATTCCACTGCATAAGACTTCAATGGTGGTGTTGACCTTGCGCTCGAGTATGGAAGAGCTGGAGAGTTTCTCGTGGTCACTGATTAACCATGGAAGGGAGCCGCGTAACAGATAGATCAACATGTATGTAAGCGATTCAAGGTCGTCACGACGACCCAGGTCAACTCCTAAGTGGTTGTTGATTGAAGCGAAGGCAGGAGTGCCGGTGAGACGTTGATTCTGACGAAAGGGAATATGGACTCTGGTTGCAGTGTCCCAGTATTCCTTCGCGATACCGAAATCGATTATAAATGCAGTGTGCTTCAAATGTCCAAGGCCCATCAAGACATTCTGCGGTTTGATATTGCAGTGAACATAATTGTTTGAGTGGATGTACTCAAGACGTGAGAGCTGGAAAACGGGTTAGCCTATCTGCAACAACCCAGCACGAACCGACTGACCAGTTGGATTCCTAGATTGACAACAGTATGAAGGCTAAATTTTCGATCATGTGCGAGGAAAAGATCTTGCAGTGATGGCCCAAGGAGGCCGAGAACCAAAGCATGATATGTTGATTCTCGACCGAACCAGAGAGCGCGGGGTATCCCAACTCCACCTTCAAGTCGTTTCAGAATGGCGTATTCGCGTTGTACAGAAGATGGCTGGGCTGTGATGGATTCGAGTTTTATGGCAACTGCATCATCTTTGATGATATTCCGAGCGTGGTACACAACAGCTAAGTAGGGTCCATAGTATGTTAATTTTTATAATTATAGTCAGCTTGTGAACAACACACCGTATGAACCAGATCCCAAAACATCTCCAAGTCTGAATCTACCGTCAACTCGTATCGGGACCTTATGGTTCATGGTGGGTATACTATGAGATAACTTGAGCCTTGAGGCCTCGAGGAGCAACAGTCGAACTAACTGGGTATGAGACTTCGACAAAGACGTGATTTCGTATTTATAAATCAGCTTGAGCTGGCCTCAAGCCAGCTCGAGCCGCTGTTGATTATTTTTGGCTCACAGTTGGTTCGTGGGACTCCAAACGGCTAATGAACCAGACCAAACTATATATAAGTAGCTTGGCTCACTAGAATAGCCAAAATACTTGCAAACCGATGAACGCCAAGCCGGAGCGGGCCGTAGCCGAGCTGCGGTTGTACTAGTAGCATACATGATCATCTTTGACAGGAGCAGAATTACATGTAAACCGTCGTATAATTCCCACAGCTACAATTTCAAGGACTCACATCGGTTCCGTGAGTCACTAGTCATGAGTTTACTGATTAGTAACATTCGGATTCCGGAAGCATGTTCATCTGTTTGCACGATGCTTATCACTGATTCTGATTTCGAGCTCGTCCTTCGAGTTATCGCCCTCTCTGCTAGGTCGATCCTGCAGCCCATCCCCACACCAGTTGTAGATGAGATTTCTTCATTGCATTGTGAAATCGACTTGTATGAGTGGGTTGCAGAGCTCGTGCGACCCACCTCTTTTTCCTGACTTCTTCGCATCTGTATGATGCTCACAGTGGCCCATCCCAGATCATTAATACGCCTTATGTCGACTCTATGTCCTATGATCTATGCTTCACTTCCTTCTTCAACGACTTGGATAACCTCAGCCTCATGATGACGTGTATACTTCACCTGTCGGGGAGAAGAAAAAAAAAGGATGTACCATCTTATAGGAGAGGTGGTACCTTTTGAGGAGCCGTTTCATTTCGATGAGATACTACGGCTACAGCCTCTTCAACCTCTGTTACCCGTCAGAGAACCTTCCCCTCTTCCAACGCGCCCGAAAGTCCGCCCCTCGAAATCGTCAACTCTGCAGTTCCATCCATACGCTGATCGGTGTCTCAGGCAAAGCTGAGGGGTTTTCCGCAGTCACCAAGGTGGGCTGATCGTTGTTTGTCGTTCAAACTGTCAATTACCAACCAATTCCTAGGATACTCTGGATACTCACACTGAGTATTCACAGTCCATATTGTAGGCCATTGGACCCTCAGTACTCACCACTCGCTCACCATCGGAACTCCAGCACGCTGACCCTATATTACCAATGGGCCCTCCCCATTCGACAATGATCTTCCCCAGCATACGAAAGGCGTCAAAACCTAAGGGCCCGAGTTTTTCTACAAATGTGTTCTAGTCAAAAGTCAGATACTAATTGAAGGTGTTGATTCAGCTCAACATCCCACAACATGACTTTCCCATCGGGACTACTATTCCCAACCCGCCAGTTGTTACCTATCTGTTCACCACTCTGCAGGTCCCATAGTCGAAGTGAGCCACCAAAAGAACATGTGAGAATGCGCTGACTCCCAGTTAGGTATCCAATGCCTCATACTCGGTCGGTATAACCTTGCATTATCGTGCGGGGCGTCTTTGTTGACGTCTTTTCCATCTTATCAGTGGTGGAAGACATGGTTGGCACTCGGAGGTCTTCAACTAGGGAATTTTGGGGCTATGACGAAGATAATAAAAATCATCGAGGAATATTCAATGATACGCAAGAAAGTTTCATTAAGGATTTGGTGAATATCACTCCCTTCCATTCGAGCAAGAAGAAGCAAGGTGCTCAGCAGGCGCTAATACAACGTATAGGTAATTTCCCCATACAGCTTGTGTTAAGCTAATGTACTCCAGTCTCTCCTTGCCTTGTGGGCATCTCACCCGCCAAACACTACACTTGCGGCGCGTTGACTGGAGCAAAGTGTTCTTCAAGACTTTCAAGGAGAAACATTATTCGGGACGTAGCCGATCTCGTCCAGTGTACGGGTAAGTGTTCGACGTATTCCTGACTTGCATCCACTCATACCCCTTCAGGTGAAACACTGGATCTCGGTGGTATGGCTTACGCAGCGGGCGCGGGGTTGGATACCAAGAAACAATGCCTGCCAGGGACGCGCACAGCCATTCTTTCCCAGATCACTGAATGGATCAACGACAGCGGAGATGCTGCCCAGCGTGTGTTGTGGCTATCTGGTCCTGCAGGCAAGGGCAAATCAGCCATCGCTCACACCATCGTTAAGTGGTTCAACGACATGGGAGGGCTCGATTCATGTTTCTGCTTCGACTGGCACCGTGAAGCCGATAGGCGTCATGAAAAGGTTTTCTCCACCATCGCTCGCGATCTGGCTGACCGTGATCCTGACATCTATGGTTTCATTATAGGAGAAAACATGGGGAAGGACAAATACACAAGATCCGAGTATGAGCGGGCGCTGGGGAAGTTTCGTTACGTTATGGGACAGATACTTGCCTCAGCTGAACCCCTGCCTTTGGATACCCTGAATGCCATGCGGAACCGTTTTCCGGACCCAGAGGAGCATTACAAAGTGGAGGTTGTGATAGCACACATGGGATCCCTGCTGAGCGGAACCACAAAATCATCTAGCCCCATCCGACTCCTTCACGCATCCTTCCAAGAATTCCTTACAGACAAATCATCCAGCGGAGAGTTTTTCGTCGAGGTGTCGAAGGTTTAACGGGACCTTGCATTTGCGTCACTTCGAGTGATGGAACACGACCTTCGCTTCGAGAGCCGGACGAACCCAACCACCTTGCAGGTCCCCGTTATCATTGGCATTTTTAATATCCATCGGACGAATGCTCTTCATCGGAACTCTGACCAAGCAGCTCGCGATCTGTCAAGTTGATGGTCAATTCATTCTGTTATACAAGCTGACACCTTCGTCGTAAGTTCGTAAATTCCTATATCCGACCATAAAGCGCTAACGCGCTCCTCTAAGTCCCAACAGATATTCGAGCTCCACCATTTCCGACTCAAAGATACGACGCTCTCTCGCAATCCATAACACCATCATCGCGTGCGTTTCTTCTCTCCAGAGAGGCGGACGCGGGACTGGCGCAATGGGCTGCTCTGGGTGGTAAATTTGCTGGCGCACATGCGTATGCGCCATCGCCCACGTCATGTAGAGAAATTCCTAGAAAATTAGTTTGTTTTTTTGAATGTATATCTGTTTACTCACTAGCTGCTCATCTGGGATAGTGAACGATACGAGGCGGGAGTTTGGTAAGCGGTTCAGACCCTGACGCTATGACTTGTTGGTGCGTACGCCACGACGGGGCTAATGTTATGGCCTACCTGCGGCTGAATATTGCGATCCTGCAATAGTCTGGGGTCAGCGTGGATTGATCAACCTCGATCGGTTGGTGACGCACCTGGACAACATCATTTACTTGTCCATTTCCGTTTCCATCTGCTCCGTTTCTGAGTGCGTCCGGTTGGTTTTCCATTTTTTTCAAGGTTTGACAGATTGAATATCGAGCACTCGAGTTTGTGTGACGTTCAAAGCTCTGAATCATGTCCCGATTTGGACAATCGTTAAGTACACGTCACAATTGTGACTTTGGTCACTCCCGCGTGATTCATGGGCACTTTTCTGCGCCATCATGAATGACATCTCCAAGTGGTACGAGTGGCGCGAACCGTCACCTACAGAAACGTCTCCCGCCCGTGGTCAAGTGAATTTTAAGCCATACGTATCGCCCATTATCCTGGCCTGCAACAACGTTCAACATAGTCTCCTAAAATCTGTTGATCCCATTCTTCACGGTGTGTTGCAGAGCTCGGGTATCAACTCGATCTATGGGCTGTGTGTAGTTTCATGTCTTCTCAGCCGTCTCAGGCTGATTTGATCAATCATATTGTCAGACGATGGCTTCGCCTGTTGTTCACGCAGTGAACTTTCGATGGACGACGCGATGATTATATGGGATGGGCTGTTCGCGAGCCCAATCCCAATTTCTGAGCTCGCTCAGTGGATATGCGTGGCTATGCTTATACGGATACGAACTAAACGTGAGTCTCAATACCCTCCTGAGTTGTACGCGGATATTAATTGTATGTAGTGATTTCATCGGACTATAGCATGCAACTCACATACCTATTGCGATACCCTCCGTCTCAGGCGGAAGATGGAGCCCCGCATCACACAATCCTACTACTCATCCAGTAATGCTGGACCCGCTCCCCGCGCGGAGAACCCCCTCCTGCCCATCCACGACCAGACTCGCCACCTAATCCTCTAGTGGATGTGCCATACCACTTACCGGCCGGTTTGCGACCTCGCAATCCGCTGGAGATCGGTCGTCGAAACCTTGATCCCTTCGGTGGTATCAATCCTTTCCGGCCTCCTTCACTATTCCCCGGTAATGGAGGAGATGGAATGTTTGTTGGCCCAGATCACCCAATATTTGGTATAAGAGGCGACAGAGGCGACAGGTCACATGGGATGCGAGGACCATGGGGTGGGGATGGCTATCTCAACCCAAGTTTCAATGGAAGACCCCGGCGTGGACCTCCAGGAAGCGGGAACACAAGAGATCCTGATAACGATGAGTTTATGCCCCCTGGAGCCGTGAGTGTGTGCTGCAGTGAAACCATCGTAGACGCTTACTTTGAAACAGGGAGATATGTTTATGTGAGAACGATGTGAAAAGCTATGGATCCTGTACGACTTGATGAGCCGTAACGATCTTTGAGAGCAATAATCAATCGCGGTTGCGAGATTAAGCTATATTTTGTACTCTGTTAGCGAGCCGCTAGTATAATTCAAGTCCCAAGCGTGCTGGCTCAGCGGTGCCAAAGGGCATTTCCCTTGGATAACATCACATACCGTCTTAATTCAGCACATGAAAATCAAAGGACGAGGACGTCAAAAGTTATTGAGTGGAATGCGCTGCTATCTATCGCTTGTTTTCATGGCGCTATATGACAAGCTCGTTACAAAGTGCCATACTCTTCTCCGATCTGCTCCCAGTGCCAAAGGTACTTGCCAAGAGAATGTATCAGATAGAGTTGTAATTCAATGCATAAACAGGGGGAAATGAGAGCCGTTAAATAGGTGGAGGGTTTTGCGCTGTCGTGCATCGTTGGTCTTCATGGCCGCAAATCAAGACTTTGTTATGAAATTCCACATTATTATACATTCGTTGACGAGTGCCAAAGGTACCTCCTACGAGATTGCCTTGGATGAGCTTGTGGTGCAAAGCGTAATTAAGGTAAAATGACAACGCACAAAATATTTGGCATATGTAAGCTACAATCCCTCGTCGGCTGCAAATGAGAAACATCATAACCTTGTCGTGAACCGCTCATGTTACTCTAGATTTGCAGGCGATGTATATACAAACCAAATTTCTTATAGTATAGATGGCAATATTTAGCAGGAGCAGAATTCTGCCCTTCTATAATTCGCACGGGTACAATATCAAGGTCTCATCGGTTTACTGATGGAATTGGCGGTATCAAATTATCGATGCAAACATCGAGCGGGGTTTAAACTTCGCTGGACGCTATTTTCTCGCCTTCCTTTGTCCTACATACCAGTGTTAATTCTCAGCATGTGCCGCAGGGACTATGCTTATTCTCGATTTTGTTTGCCACGGTGTCCCAGGGCATCCAGTGCACTGTTGTTGTAGCTCCAGAATTTTCCAATACTCGTTACTGACGTTGACTTGCTGAGGAAATCATCCATCGCCGCAACGCGTCTGGGGAAGTAGTTTTTCGTTCAACCACAGCCTGTATGTGAGACGGCGTGCGCAACACATACTAGTGGTGTGTGCAGTGATTATGGAATTAAACCATATCCAACTGCGAGACAGTCAATTCTCAAGGCACAGTCGGGTAGTATCTATTTCATTAATTTTACATTTCTAACGTGTTTGCTGATGCACTTGTCAGTATGCTGGGTTCTGATTCCCTGGAGTCAACAGAGAGTTAATTGAGAATGGAATCCCTTCAACTCACTGATGTCAGAATGACGGCTTGAGGCGTGCTTGATCACCAGGCTGTATGCAACGGCAGAACCATCGAAGCAGTACGCTCAAGGACCACCAAATCAGAATGTCCCGATAACACTCACAATCAATATTAATGACTTCACAGCATCTCGCCCATTCGACCTATGGTATATAGTTCACCTAGGATGGCAGCGCTTAGCAATAGCATAACGATGAAGAAGTTTGATAATTTGATTGCTCGAGAGGGCCGCATCGTACACAGAGGGACATATGCATCATGGGCATTGGGCACTGTCAAGCTGGACCGCAAGCATTGTGGGAAAAATGCACACCGATACTAGCCTCAAAATGAATGGTGTACGGCGGCGTATGCGATCACCCAGACACACCGTCAACTATAGGCGTGTAGTACTTGTCAGCAATGACATCGGCGGGCAGAGAAGTAGCGTGCAGATGGGGAATAAGGCCTAAGGATGCACACAGGGAGGCGGATGAGTTCCTCGTCACTTATGATGTGCAGCGAGAGTACGAGCACCAGTCAGTTGTGCAAGAAAAATGTTTCGGTATCGATGATGAAAGTTTCAAATGGGGCAGAAGAGAGAGATCTGTATTTGTTGTTGTTTGGTATGTTTCTACCGTCCCGATCTTAAAGTTACATCTCTCTATGCGTTCTGTTATCTTTTGCGGTCAGAGAAGAATATATCAGATTGATTTGTAATAAATACAATCTGGACTACGAATATGAATTGAATGATGCATGCAAGTATTTGGGCAAAGCCCGGCAGGGGCTTTCGGCCAGAAACACGACCCCGAACCTAATGAAATCAAGATGAGCCGTGATTCCCAAAATTCTAAGGAGCCCAGCGACGCGTCAAGGCGCAGCTTGGACTCCTTATTTATAAGGAGCGGGGTGGGACATACCATGGACTCAACGAATTATTGGCATGGTGTATCGAGTGAAGGGCTCAACAATTGGAGTATCTTGCAGGTACGGAGCCATTATTACGGCGTGATCGCGCAGGTAAATGGTGAAAGCCTCACTCGACCATCTCCCCATAGATTTAACCACGTCAAATGGAATGCCACGGAGTAAATACTCTAATGTGCCTCCTATGCGAATGCCATGACCTTTGAGGTCTGGGCATCCACCTGCTTTCGCGATGCTCGCGATCCTTTTCAAGAATGTGCCACGAGTCAAGGGGCGAGCACCTTTGGGATGCTTCCATGAGAAGAGGTGGTCGTTGGGGGAGGGTTCATTGATCATGAAGTGTTGGGCTAACGCTGCCTCTGGATCCGTGGTATCTGATTGTCGAGACCAGTATATATCTTCCCCGACGGCGGAGGTTTTCGTACGCGGTAAGTGTATCCTGGAGACTTGGAATCCGTTTCGATCTTCACAATTCATCCTCACGTCAGATGGTTTCACGTGTTCCTCTGGCGTGAAGCCTTTGATGGATCTGACGGTCAGCTCTCCAAGGCGGGCGAGGGAATAGAACGCGCTAGTCAGGCAAGCGAAGACTGCTGCATCAAGAGGTGAGTTTAAATCGAGGTGGGTCTTGATTTGAGTGATGTAAGACGTTGTGAAGGGTTCCCTTTTAGCGCGTTTGGAATCAGGAGGGGCTTGACTAGCAGCACCGTCAAGCGCTGACTTGAGTTGGTTTTGCTGTATCTCCCAGGTTTGTCCATGAAGTACGTGCCACGCGCGTATGGCAAAAACATAGTTTGCTAATGTTCTTCCAGCATATGCGCCTGCGCAACTGGCTACGAACGCTAGAATCGTCAATGTGTCGACTGGACACCTTTGAAGCTCTGGAACCCCACGCGTATCACAGAAAACGTGAAAGACTAACAAGCCGGCTCCATACGACTCCCTTGTGCTCTGTGTCCAGGCAGAGTTCATCACCGTGAGTACTCATTGCAGATCTTCATCTGTGACTGCAAGAATCTTCCCGTTAGCGTTTCGCAAGGATCTACTCTCCACTGGACGCCATAGCTTGAGGCGATCCCTTGCTAGGCAATGGGGTCGTAAGACGGATGCGATTGGAACCAGACCTTCCTTGTAAGGTGCGGGCTTCGATATTGGGAGGGTGACGACGAGTGGGGCTGTGAAGCGTTGCTTATTCCTTTGTTCTGCAGGTCCTTCAGATGGTGTTTGGTGAGATGGTGGGAAGTTCACTGATTGCGCGCTGACGGGGATAGTGGAGAGAAATTGCGAAGGATCCAAAGAGACCTGGTTTTCGTTACGATGATTCGAAAGGATCGTAAATGAAGGAACGTAGTGCGATGGGGATAGGGATGGGGGGGAGGAGAAGTGCAGTGTCCCCGTATATTGCTCGCGAGGGAGGGTCGGCTGGATTGACCTTACTGGGGACGTATGTTGGATGGAAAGAGTGTGGGGATGGTAAGTCTTGTAGGAATCCGAATATCCGCCGGAAAACTTCGTTGACGGCAGTATTACAACTTCGTCCATTTTTCCAGCCTTCGATAACGCCTTGGTTGTCACCGTAAACGGTGTAGTGCCGTTGTGGTCTATCCAGGGAGACAATGTATCGAATGAGAAGCTCGAAGCCGACAGCTTCAGCCCACCCGATGTCTCGCTGGCCGTCAAGGGTTGTCCACCCTGGGTACAACTTCCAGGCTCTCCATTGCTTGCCGATGATGATCGTGATGCCGACTCCAGAGCTTGCATCAGAGTATGCCTCTGGATTAAAGAGGGTGAGAGGTGTTGGAATGTCACGACCGACGAAGGTACTCTGCAAGGCACGTGTCCACCATTTAAGGTCCTCGGCGAGGCCCTTAACCGGTCGATGTGGTAAGAAGGGGTGAGTATGACACACCCGCAGCATGACCTCGAGTTTTGTGAGGTACGCTCGTCCTTGTGGAAGCACCAATGACACATGCAGAAGCTTTCCGTGTAGCTTCTGCACGTCACTAAGAACGTGCATGAGGCGTTCTCGCCACTCTTGTACCGCGCGGAGGTATTTAGCTTTCTTCTTGTCTGCGAGAAATACTGTACGACTCGTGAGATCCCAAGTAAGTCCAATATATAAATTGCATTCAGCAAATGGAGAGTCCTTCTCAATCTCCCACGGCGTTCGCGTGATGCGTGAAACCCGGTCAATGTCGTCGAAATTGAACGTAAAGAGAGAGTCTTCATGTGAGCGGGGTGAGGCATTCGATAAATCAAGGATCGGGAAATTAAAATCTTCATCAAACTCTTCTGTGGTGCCGTCGATAAAAATGTGCCCTCCATACCATATTCGCCCCCCATCACGATGCTCGCCACTCTCGATAATGCTCTTACGCCATTGTCGACGACTCTCGTTATAGTCGTGGAGGTACTCCTTTCGAATCCGGAAGAATAAATGGTCATCCACCCAGCGTGAGGTAGGACCAATACCCTGTGATCTAAAGATATCGAGGCCTGCATCTGCAAGGGAACCGTACGCTCCCGCTGAAGGGGACACCCCGAAACAAGTACACGTATCAATACAGAAACGATCGTCAGAAATACGTACGACTGCGCCTGGCCATTGAGTGTGGTGTAGCGGGATCGTTCGGTAAGCTTCCGATACATCCCTTGTTGCCATCTGTGATCCGGGAGGTAGTCGACTGATGAGGAGAGCGATGGTATGGAACGTTCCCCAGGTGCTGGGAAAGTCGTCTGGGTTAATGTGCGAATTGATGGATGGATTAGGGAAATTAGCGGAATGCGCGTGAGGAAAGGAATAGTCTTGTATGACTCGGAAACGTCCTGGTCGTCCTGGTTTCGGGATGATGGAAAGGGGAGACGATTGAAACGGGCCGATGAGACTTTCGATGCCGGCGGCTGTACAAGGACCGATATATCTTTCTTTTTGTAGTTCTGATTGGATAATGGATTGAAATTCGCTAGTATAGACAATAATTGAATCTTTGTTTGGAGGCGCTTGTGTGACTGTGATAGTAGGAAAATTGAGAATAAAACCTTGGCGCAGTCCTGGAGGGATGTGCGCGTATCGATCAATGAGCCCTGCTTGCGTGAGATAGGACTCCCAAGCGTCGGCGTCATACGGGGTGAGTGCTCTATGCTTTCTGTGCTCGAGTGCAAGTTTGCACTCCGTGAGTGGAGGCAGCACATCCAGAACAGAAATGATGTCTGTCGTGCGAGCTGTCGTTGCATCCGGTAACCCTTTGCCAGTCGCTGCAGATTGGTCGCCCATCCCGCATGGTGAGGACTTTGCTGATGCGAGTACAGAGGGTATCTGATGAATTGTCCCATGTCTTGGTCGCTTTGCACTCGACAATTCGGTGAGGGTGCCTTCCCAAACACACTGCGCAAGCGGATAGGGAGTTTCCGCTTGCGCCGCTTCGAAAATCCTGCCGTGAACGTTTGTTCGGGTCAGGAGATGAAGGACGACGTGTGTTCCTACTTGCTCTTGGGGATGTAGAATGCTGGCGAGAGTCCCTTGCTAGTCTGGGTGATGCGGATCGTTTGCGCGCGTCTCGCGATGATCGCCAATTGTCCTTTCCTCTATGATTCTGGTTGGAGGACTGATTTCCGGACATGAGAGCGTTGATCTGTTGATCTATCTAGTGACATGGATGTCAGGTGTAGCCGTGTGGCATGGTGTGGCATGTGGCAGGGTGTGAGGTGTGGCAGGGTGTGAGGTGTAGCATGTAGCGTGAGGCAACGTTTGAATAATATAAGATATTCAATGTTTGACGTTATGGAGGGAGAGAATGGACATATAGTCAGTATACGCTCGATGATCAATGAATAAGTACGACCACTGACCTTGTAATCCCGTTGATTATCTTGTCTATTACGATCTTCGAGGTAGACGTTGGTTCGTGTACGCTCTAAGAGTGCCTCGTTGATGCGCGACAGATCATAGGCCCCTGCTGCTGACTTGACTGCTATGTGCCAGAGTTTTCGTTGTTCTGCTTGGTAAACAAGCAGCGCCGTCTGGGCTAGAGGGTCTCTCATCGATCGATATTCGTGTACCTGTAGGTTGCGCCAGAATATAGCCATCATCTTAATACGATCAGCTGGCCATGCTGCCTGCTCCATAGCTGAGATGATGCGAGGACACGCTTGGCAAAAGTCCTCGAAAGGTAAGTTCTGGTCGTCGACGATGGTGCTGGCGTTTCTCATCGACGCCGCAGATACCCAGGCTGTTTCCCCTCCAGCTAATGTTGCCATTATCATAGCGTCCTCGCTTACTGAAGTCTTGAGCTTGGCGTCATCAAGACCTGCGTTGGTAAAGTACCATAATTCGACGTAGTCCCCTTTGTCGAGCTTGCATGTAGCGTAAGATGATGGGATGATGACGGGCTCTGTGGGTACGTCACGCTGGGGAATAGAAGTGTACTTGAACTTGTTCTTCTTCCGATCTTCTTTCTGCGTTGCTTCGTCTTCTTCCCGTCGATCATGTTCTAGCCTCTCCTGTTCCTCGTCGTTGAGTCTATCCACGTGTTCTTGGCGTTCTCTATCCTCTTCCACTTGTCTATCCCATTGAGCTTTAGCGATATTGTTATCCGCTTGCCAAATGTTCCTAAGAATGGCGATGGCCTGTTGTTCGTTGATGTTCTCATTTGTAAGTTGCAGCCTCGTGTCGGCAAAAACGCCATCTGCGTAGTCCGGGCAAATATTCAAGTTGGGGTCGCTATGTAGTCGAGGCATGGACTTTAATTATGTTGTGGTTTGATAGAGGCGAAAGTTCGAGTAATACGACTACGAGTCGTTGATTACGGAGAGTTTGCAAGTAGTAGTAGTACGAAGCAAAGAAGAGATGTCCCAAAAAGGACATCTGCCACATAGACGACATTCTACGCTCGTCCTCGTTCCTCGGACTCGCTTAGAATACAAAACATCCCACAATGACGCGCGCGCCAGCAGCACTGTCTCCCGCCCAATTTTTCTGCCACCAATTTCGAGCCCGATGTTAATCTGGCTCAACAGCCTCTACGACCGTCCCACATCAAACAGACATAGTTCAAGTCTCAATATATCGCTAATGATGTACGTTCTTCCTTTGTTTTGTTGATTCACATTATCTAGGAATGTTTTCTACGCCGAACCGATCGACCGTCGTCAGAAGGATCCACACTTTGAGGCACTGACACGTCTTGTCTCATTCCACATGACGGTGAGAGCGCCCTCGTTTATCGTGTCGTGTATGGGCGCTGAGCTGATGTGGGGGAGAGTTGAAGGGATTGGGGACATGGATGGGTGGTGTTACGAGGGAAGACATGCAGTGAGTATCTATTTCGTACTTTAAGACTCGAGAACTAATCACAGATTCAACCATACACAACAGTAAACTAGTCTCATGCGCCACGATATGTTGCCACCGACGATTCCTCACCCAAGTCGATCATCCGCAATCTCACCTCATAGGCATGCACGCCCTGACCCACGCTCACACCACTTTGCAAGACAGATACCTTCACAATCCCAGTCACTCACATTCAGAAGACTTCTACTCGAATTTCGCATCACTTTCCTTACTGTTGCTCACAGCCATGACGATAACTAGATAGGCGATGAAGGTTATGACCCTGCTTCGCCTGACCTCCACTCACACGAACCGTCTGCATCGATACAGATCAAAACAGATGAGCATATAAGTGGCCTTCTGCTATGATTCTCGACTTGCTATCGAATTTGTCGCACTGGCGCTTGTCGTGCCGGGGAGTTCTTGATTTGATGCTTTTCTTAGGGTGTAGGTTTTGTGCTTGTCATCGTGAATGATCGGTTGCTTCGTATTAACTCGAGCATGGCGTCTCATTTTCTTGTCACATTCCAGCTCTCATGCATCCATTTACAGCGCTGTGCTGCAGCGGGTGCTCCCGCCCCGGACGACGACATGATACGTGACGAAGACTATTCCCCTCCTCCTTCACTTAATTTCAATTCACGCCAGCCACCCACAGCATGGCAGATCAATACTGGAGAGCACGGAAGCGGCCAGCGGTGTTTTTTGCTTTTAGACTGAGTTTTGAAATGGTACTATGTTGAGCCCGTCGCGGACCTCCTCTAATTTCGCATTGTTGAAATTGCTGCTATGCAATGTGTGTTTTACAGAAAGTAGGGCGTGTCTCCGTTTGCTGGTGCTTTAACTTTGCGATAATTCCCTTGAGGTTGCCGGGGAGGGACGGAATGGGCGTTGAAAGCATCGAGAATGCGGAAGGTGCTCGCTGGTTATTGATTGAAGTTGGATTCAAATGCGTTATCTGGGGAGCGACTCTGATGGCGAGCAGTTCTTTCATACGTTCAGCATACGCTGGTTCAGTTCTACGTCGTGGAGTTCATAACCTTAGCTTGGCGTTGGTCAGTACTTGTTTCAAGTACAAACGGCTGGCTCGTGCTTCAACACAGGAATGTTGACTCGGAGGCGTAGACGGATAGGATTTACATGTTGTGCAGTACACAAGTATAGCTGTATCCCTGAGGAAGGGCGCTAAAGAGAAGGTGGCAAGAAGCGCCAGGCTATCATTCGCTCGTCATCTTTACTACCATTCTCAACTCGAGGGTAACGTGAACGCTCCAGAATGTTCGAGTATCCTGCACTAACGAAGTGATGACTGGATTAACTTGCAGGCAAGAGCACATCGGCTCTAGAATGAGTTAAACTTAAATACGGTCAGGTCTATAGGAGTAACAGCACACGAGAACTCACCCGAACACATCCAAATAACTGATAGAGTGCTTGCCAATTCATCTGGCAGTCCGCGGATACACCATCATGGCCTCCAGCTCGACTCAGCCCGGTACAGGAGCATACACATCGCCGGTCATGACCTTGGAGGCACACAAATAAGTCATTTCCCCTCTCTGATCAGCGGTTCCACTTACGAATCCAAACCAGTTTCATCCATTTCCTACTTCCTACCGGCAAGCAGATAATCATCGGATCAAGCGATAAGACCGCTCGGCGATGGGACCTGCAGGAGGGTAAGGATAGTGAGTAGGCTCAGGATATCTTTGAGAATGATATAGAAGAAGTGACGGTATCAAGAGATGATCATGGTACCTCGTCCTCATATCCCTGCAGTTAGCGACGACCAAAGACTTGGCTACTTTAGCCTTTTGTGAGATGTTCGGCACTACTCGTCTTCAGCGCTTTCCAAGCTTGCACCCGGCATGAGAAGTTTGAGCGGTATCATCTTGAGTCGAGGAGGGATGGGGGTTTTGGAAAAGTGGACACGGAGGAGTTTGCGAGCTACTGGACGGTGAGCAATGAGGAGACGCCGATTGCGTATCGCTTGCCGAATCCTGCAAACGTTCAGGAAAGGGCATAGGGATACAATTATCATGGCAAATCTCATCAGGAGGGCTGGAGTACGGCACCGGCCTTGAAAATAAATGTCAATCAAGTTTCCGAGTCCTGTGATGGTCGTCGTCAGGTTCAGAAGTGATAATCGTGGTGATAACATGGAGATGAGCCTAAGCTGCGCTATGACAGTGGCCTAGCCGTCGACGAGGGCTGCATGGTCGCTGATGATACTTGCTCAAGGTTGTCGATTTGAGGTCAATACGCGATGCAGATGTCACGAGAATTTACAGACTAATCATAGTTGAACGTTGAACATCTTCTATGATAAGTCAGTAAATTTTCCTTGACATGAGAACGTAAAGTTGGGTTGTAATGGTACGGCGGAATGTTCTTCAAGAAGGGCATACTCCGACACACAGCACCAGAAGGCAAGACCAAGGACCAAGGAGCGCATGCAGCTTCACTGGTAGATAATATTCCTAACTTTGTAGGAAAGGAAAGGTGGCTCGAGCGTCGGAAATATAATTGTAAACAAGGATATTACAACTCCGCGAAAAGCTTCGACCTAATCAACAATAGTACTATCCGTTACACTCTATTCGTGACGGTCCGCAATTTCGTGATTTTTGTCTGCAGCACTCAATTTGAAAGTAATTACTTAGCTACTTCACTGAGTATGTATTCTACGTACTATACTACCATATCCCAAGTGAAACAAAACAAATCCGTTGAGAAATGGTGGAGATCGTGTTTTTAGCGTGACAGCAGCAAAAATCACGATTCGATGTCACCTGCCGTGGCTGCCGACGTCGGACATTAAATTTAACAGTGTTTCATTGCAGCTGCAATCCGTGAGCACGTGAGCACGGCTAGTGTGACTGTCCGTTACTATTCGTGACATGAGTGTGACTCACGAAATTGCGGACCGTCACGAATAGAGTGTAACGGATAGTAGTCAACGACTCGTGCTACATACACGAGCTGCCTACAGCCTGAGAGATTGCTCTCTACATATCATCCATCTCTCATTACAATCTCCCCGCAATGTCTAGCTCGTGTCCATGGAATGACATGGTCTGATCACCGACAACGTCCAAGCAGTGTACAGTATACTGCAACGCAGCCATCTGATCGAGAGGGGTTGGCGAGGCAAGGCTCCGTCCGTCCCAACAGAGCTGGATGCCACTAGGAAATTCGTGATAACCGCCCTCCACATTGGAAGCTTCTCAGTGACTGATTGTAACACTGATTGCATACTTTGGGCCACTGTAAGTTGACACATATACCTATTCACCCCATCCTGAATCGTTCTGATCAACAGGCTCATGTAGACGATTACACTCAGTGCGAATATGATCACAGCTATATCATCTTCAATCGCCACGACAACAGCAAGGAAGCATGGCGCTACGCCCGCGACTTCCGGGACCCTGAGACGCCAGAGGACTTCAAACCTGACGAATCCATGATTAAAGTGTCGCAGGAAGCCGCTCAGCGTTTTACCTCCCCAACACATGGTGATCCTTTCAGACCATGGACCCTCCTCCAGATGCCCGAGTTTACCCGTGCGTTCCGCTTGTTGTACCCAACGCTGCTTTCGGCTGACGCAAATAACACTTATTTGTGGGACGTGCTGACTTCTTGTCTTGTTGAAACGATTGGGCTCCGAATATAAGGCAGGACACTAGGGCGCCTCAACTATGTTGAAGTCAATAACCAATACACTTTCTTCTGCGGGACCATTGAGCTACGCGTTTTTGCAAGGGGCGGTGGGGCCTTGGTCTATTGCTTGGGCATGAACGATTTGCCGTGCACCTACTGGGACGTGCTTCCAGATAGCAACGATGTCCCTTGCCCTTCTTTGCTCTTCCAGCCCCAACTACCTCACGAAGCATATCACGTCTCTTCCACATGTCAGAGCAACTTCATTGCTGGTAAGTCATACACGTCGATCTACATAATCTACTCACTGTTTGTGCAGCCCATGTATCTTCCTCGGGCAAGGACATGGGAATACTCACCGCATCAGGGATCTTCATCTGGATGCCCAGCTTCAAATACGTCATCCATTGCGAGGCCGCTCTCAACGACACAGCAACCCTCCTCAACTTCAATCCCTCCCTCGACAACGTCCGAGACATCTCGGTCTATCTAGCCCTCGAAGAATCAAACGAAAAGGCCACAATTGCAATCGCAAGTCTTCCTCCCACACGGGCTTTTCAGCGCTAAATCCATCGCAGCGCGAGGGTCTATTTATCGTGTCCCTAGACACCGAAATCAGCAAGCTCACTGCGGAGACCCCGCCTCGCCCTGGCCTATCTGTCTGCCGTGTCACGAAATACGACCACAGCCGACACCTATCCTTCATCTCATGTCTGCAGATGACGCACACTGGGCTCTTTTTCAACTGGTACCCGTCTTCAGAGCAAAACAGGCCTTCTCAGCCTGCACGGCGCAAGGTCATGATCCCGCCTCAGCCTCAGCAGGCAAATCAGATCCGTGTGCCTGTTCAGCTTGTGCCAGCTCAAGGCGTGGAAGGCAGAGACACTTTTTGCCCGGGCTGGGGCCTATTGAGTCTAGTGATGATGATGAGCCGCGTGAAGGTGCATTTTCTGATCCGCCTTCTCCCACTAACACAGAGCAAGCTGGCCCGCCCTCGCTGGTTGAAACGCACGAAGAGGACGAGGACGAGGGGAACGATTGGGAGGGAGGGGATCTCGTAGTGGACGAAGATGTTGATGATTTTGAGATGGAGGATGTGGAGGATGAGATGATTGATGATTTTCAGTTCGGTGGTGATGGTGAGTGCTTGTTGTGTCGAGGAGTTCTCGATCTGATGCTTGAGGTATTTTTCTTTTGTTTTGGTGTAATTTTTATGCAGGTCGTCGTGAATGATTGGTTTCTTCCTATTAACTCCAGCATGGTGCATTGCATACATGTTCGACACAATGACCGGCAACGCGAATACCACATCTCAGATATGTGCTGGCGGGATCTTCGATATCGGCATTGGCAGCACTCCTGCTTGGATTGATGGTAACACCCTGAAGAATGTGTACTCCGTCTTCCATGCTAGTCCCACTGCCGTTGGCTTTACCCAACTTGCCAGTGGCTTGAGCTCTTCAACTGGACTTTCCGACTCAAACTCGGTGCAGGTGACTGGCTTGACACCCCTGCCTACTAGTACACGCGTGAGCCTCGAGTGGGAACGGAAACACGACGAGCGGCAGCACAAGCTCTGTATCTGCTTCTTCCAACAAGAACATCGCCCTATCGCTTACTCTTCTCGCCTCTGTGACAGGCTGCTTCACCCTCTTCCTCTAAGCAGAGGCAATGTCTTGTACGATGTATAGATCATTCTTCTGTTTCTTTTGGTGGACCAATATTGCAGGAAGGCAACTGTGTATAGATCATTCATCAGTTTCTTCTTCTGATGCACAGTACGCACATTTTATGACGTCATTATTCTCTACACGATGATTTACGCCTTGACTCGACGCTTCGCAATCTCTCAATTCGATTTTCTGCTTTACAAAACACTGTAGATTGAGAACGAACGACTTCATTCGTCTATGGTCTGTTCACCCCGCCAGGGCCGAGCTCTTGGATTTCGATGCTGCATGTCGGCTGGCAGTACATTTAAGAACTGTAAAGCACTGGCAGCGAGTTTCTTCGTTACATGATCGATGAGCCGCTGGCAGGTACATATCCAACCGCATACGCGCACAAATATCCATCATATGTGTCATTGCACCATATTGTCTCGAGATCTTGATGATTTGGCTCGCTCGTACCCTGAGTGGTACATACATGAACCAATGATACAACTTGTTAACTTTATACTAATAGTGCATATTAGAAGGGGTCACGTGTGGTTCTGAGGCAACAGGCTGGGGAATACAAGTCGGAATTATGGGTGTACAAATCGGGGATCCGGGAGGTACCTATACAGTCTCAAAGTCTGAAATAGCGAAAAGAAAATATCTTGTTGGCAATAGGCTACGTGTAGGAATGGCTGGATGGTACAAGCGAAGTCGTCAGATTGTCTCAAAAACACTTTAATTAACAAGGTGGGGACGCACGAAATTGATTATATGCCAATATGCATGAACACGATGCGCTGTTCCAATGGCATGTCCTTGTCACTAGCCAACGACTGGACCGCTCGGTGCAACGCACGGGCAGCCCGCTTGGAATTCATCTTGCCATCTCCGCACAAATTCTTGTAGAATGCCTCGACTAGGCGCTGCACCGTACTATCGTTGACGCTCCATAATGTCCCAACTACGCTCTGCACACCAGCAAATTGTAGGCTAGCCGCCAGGTGTATGACTTCGTCAGGCGTATTGACATCACCTACTGCGGTTTCACAGGCAGAAAGAAAGGCAAATTCATGCCGAGACAGATCCATTTGCGCGATATCGAGGAGTGAAAGCGGTTGGTCGAGCATGAGAAAGGCCGAATTGAAGGGTTCTGTGTAGTTCTGTGTCCCGTGACACGAAAGATGAAGCCAGGTATTGTCTCGCAATGCATCCAACGCTCTCGATTTCGTTGCCTCAACGCTCGTTATTTTGGTGAAGGAAACAGTCGGAGGAGGGGGCAAAAGACTCCGCACCAATTCTAGTTCGGGCTCCACACACTCCAAAGTGAATGGATGACCAGCTGGGTGATTCTGACCGATGGCAGCAAAGGGCACTGACAGGGATCTGTCGTGACTGCTGCGAGCCCTGATCAGCGCGGTAAGTGATGGCGTGTATGAAGAGATATAGAGGTTCGAAAGCAACTGTCCGCCTTGCCTGTATGCGCCAGCAGCGTGCAACGGCAAAAAATTGAAGAAAGACGTCGGACACCACCATATCCGGGAACCTGGCGGTGCAAATCCGCCCAGATTGTCTACCACCGGGCTGACAACGTCGTCCCACAACTCCATCAAAGCTTTCATCAGCGCTGATTGGGTCCGTTTTGGAGAGGGCTTGGGAGTGGCTTCGGGAGCGGGGTTGGGAGCGGCCTGTGGTTGACTTGCCCGTTGGAGTTTGACCACCAAATGCTGGAGTTTCTCCAAATTGATGCGGAGTTTAATGTTGATCGGAGGTTGGTTGTGTGGAACAATGATGGCATCGCAAGACGACTTGCTTGCAACGAGCACGACAATAGGCCCATCACGAGCTGCATGTTGAAGATCGGAGAACAAGGGGGGAAGTAGAAAGCGAGAGAAGCCCTCGATATCGCGAATCTCTTCTACAACTCTATTCCAGTCCTCCACTAGACGTCGGTACCGACTTTCCTCTGCTTCTACATTGAATCTTGGGGTCCCTTCTGGAAGATTCGTAGGAGGCGCATCAAGGAGGGAGCCGAAGTGTCTGAATTTCTTCATCAGGGCCACTGCATGATCACCGAGATCTTGGAGGCCGTCAAGAGGCGTGCGTAGTCGTGTCATCTGGGTCCAAATGACAGTCCTACCTTGTTCCAACAACTCGACAGCGCGACAGGCATCACCACTACGAAGCGCACATGATGCAGCATCCACAGCAAGCGTATTGGGGAAGTCCTTCATGACATTGTGACGAGATGATACTGAAGCCGTCGCGGACATGTAAGCGTCCAGAAGCTGCATGGAAGTCGCATAAGCCTCTAGTTCAGTAGCATGTGATTGTTGAGCGGCATCGCGAACCCAGCGTAGACTTGTTTGCAGGCGAGGTAGCAAACCTCCAGAGACAAGATTTGCCGCTGCCTTGAGATGATACATGGCAGCAGCCGAACTGTCAATGTGTTCACCAGTGCCGTTAAGTCCCGATTGATGGAACAACATATAGACGTTAGCTAGCGATCCATGGACGATTAGTAGACGAGGATCATGTTGCGTCAAGAGAGTCAATGCACAGCGGAGATTCTCTTGTGACTCGTGGAGGTCTTCTCGATCGCGTCGGTGCTCGAAGCGGGTAGAGAGCAATCTCCCAAGGTTATTTAATGACGAGGACCGATCTGCGTGACCGACTGGACGTAAAGCCAGCGCGTCTCTGTCAAGCATGACAGCGTCATCCAAGTCTTGGTCATTGCCTCGGTGCTTGAAGCGGGCGGAGAGCACAGTCGCAAGGCTACTTAATGATATGGACCGATCTGGGTGACCGACTGGACGTAAAGCCAGCGCGTCTCTGTGAAGTATGACGGCGTCATCCAAGTCTTGGTCATTGCCTCGGTGCTTGAAGCGGGTGAAGAGCACAGTCGCAAGGTTAGTTAATGCCGTGGACCGATCTGGGTGACCGACTGGACGTAAAGCCAGCGCGTCCCTGAGAAGCATGACAGCGTCATCTAAGTCTTGCTCATTGCCTCGGTGCCCGAAGCGGATGGAGAGCACAGTCGCAATGTTACTTAATGATATGGACCGATCTGCGTGACCGACTGGTTGTAAAGCCAGCGCTTCCCTGTGAAGCATGAGGGCGTCATTCAAGTCTTGGCTATTGCCTCGACGCTGAAAGCGAGTGCACAAAATTCCGCCCAGATTACATAGTAATTGCCCTCGGCAAGCATGCGTAATGTGGTAGTATCGCAGTGCATCGTAATGAAGGGAGATCACTTCATCCAAGTCATGGGGGTCATCTCTCTGCAAGCACCGCTTTGCACGACCAGCGAGTTGATTCGGCGACAACGGAAGTATGGATGCAGCGGGCTTCATGTGCCCAATAACGTGTCCATCCATGCTTCCAGCTTGATGTTGAACAAATGTATCAATTGCAAGCAAAGCTGCTCTGTAAATGTGGCTGTTGGTGTGGCAAACCTCGAGGACTTCGCTCAGTGACTCTTCGGCCAAATCAGCATCTGTTTGAAATCCCCGTTTCGCAAAGCGAGACAGCAGAGAAATGGCAAGATGGAGCTGGGTCGTGGGTCGGTCAGGATGACCAGTAGGACGCAAAGCAAGGGCATCTTGAAAAAGACAGATGGGGATGTCGAGGTCGAGGTATGTTCCATTTACTTGGCAATTAACAAACTTTGCGGAAGCTAGATTGAATAGTGCTGCAGGGCGGCATGGATGATCTATGGCGCAGAGATCAGACGCACGTTCAAGGTGCGTTATGGATTGGTCGAGATCCGTAGTGTTCCGCGTCCTTCGGAATCGTGCGAGAAGGCGATGTCCGGCGTCTGTTAGCACTAACGCATTTATATCGCCGGACGTAGGCTACACATTACAAGCTCTCAGCATCAGCATATCAGACTGGCATTGATCACTAACGGCGGTAAGCGGTTCAAGAACTGCACCGTCGTTTTCATCAGATCGTCGCTGCTCCACTGTCATGAACAGCGAAGTACACGGGGATACGACTTTCGCCTGCTTGGGCTGAAAAACTATGGCTGTGATACTCGTCAACATCTGTTAGGCGTAACTTGCAACAGACGTTACTGACGACATGACTTTTCACTGCGATCCAATAATTCACCCACGGATATCTCGAATGTGCGGAGAACATCTCCATGACCGAGCACGGGACTCAGTTCAAATGAGGCATACACGCTGACCCGAACGAGAGAAGATGGTTCACATGGCCTAGAGTCTTTCTCAACGCCTGCAGGAAAGATGGGATCAAAGACAGCTTACAGAAGTATGGGCTCGTTCCATTCGACAACAGCCTGGTCTACGTGCACAGGCTTGTTGCTTGTTTGGAATTCGATATCGTGAGTCTTTACTATCACATGGAAGCCAGCGGGAATCCGTTGGAGACCAAGAGTTAGATCAGTCGCGCGAATGGCTTGGGAGAAGTCGTTAATTCATGCGACACTGAGTTTAATATCACATACCAGTAACGACGATCTGTTGCATTCCACTGAGGTGTGCCTCTCCCAAGTCTTGGGGGTGTTCTGGGTAGCTTGCCTCCTCACCCAAGGCTGGGAGGGTATTATCGAGTGAGTCTGGCATAGTGTCTGTGGCGAAACGAAACAGCAGAGCAATTAGGAGATAAAGTGTCGTCAGAATGGTTTTGGGAAATCATTAGTACACGTTGAATGAAGAAAGATGTCACATACTATTCACGTCGACTTGTAGCATTTCAGTGATCGCCAGGTTTGTCTCGGGGTCCTGGGGGCGTTCTAAATGGCTCGGTTCCTCCAAGGGTGGAGGGCGATCTTCCAGAGGATGTGGGACAAAGTTTGACATATGACTGAGGGACAGAAACTAACACTTGATGGTAGGATGTGTACTGGAGGCCACGAAACAATGCAGTACCTACAAAGTTCTGACGGATTATGAAGCTTTGAAGGAGGGAACCACAGCATGCACGTGGCATCCAAAACACGCTGCAATGCAGTTCACCGGGGCAAAAGCGGCTTGTAGCTCATTGAATTGCCTATAGATTCATTAATGAGCGTCAGACTTGTACAGCAAAGGTGCGTTGTAAATGCGCCGTTGATTGACGCAGCCAACACGAGGAGGCTGCGAGACTCGAGAACAGCACAGCATTCCAGGCTTCCACTTGCGTTAACCAAATTGTACAATGGAAGAATAATGTGATACTAGAATTTAGGGAGAATAAGCGTTACCTTGTAGATGATAGATATGGGCCTGTTCTCGATTCGTTTTCCCACGGTGTCCTTTACGCTCCTACTCGTTACTGACGTTGGCTTAATCCATCGCCGCAACGCGTCTGGGGAAGTGGTTTTTCGTTCAACTACAACCTGTGTGAGATGGTGTACGCTGCACATACTAGTAGGGTGCGCAGTGATTATTATAATACGGAATTAAACCATCTCCAACTGCGAGACAGTCAACTACAGCTGAGTAGTATCTATTCCATCAATTTTACATTTCTAATGTGTTTGCTGATGCACTTGTCAGAAACTTCGTGACAGCGCAAGAGAAAGAAACAAAATACCTGCAAGCTTAACACCAATGAAGATGCGTTTTCAGGCGACAGAGCAGTATGTCGTCAAGAATATACAAGGCCTGGAATTTCGTTGACGAAGAGTTGTGTGGACTCCATTTTGCGACTGCGCGACTCCTGATGAAGTGGTAACTGGTTTCAGCGTTCTTCTCCTTCTGCAAAATCTGACATACGTTCATTGTTTAGTATTTCAATCCCTTTACGATGAGGGCACAGCATGGTGCTTGTGGAGGAGATGCAGACAGAGAGTGTTTTGACAATAGCGCTGGCACTAGCAGAATGCTCCGCGTGAATGCCATTAATTTCCTCCGCTTTCTACGCAAACTGCTTCCCTCCTCCCGTACGGACGCAGTTCGTTATATTCGGAACAATAAGCCTCGTAACCCCTTGGACGTATGTTTCCTTTACTTGTTTGCTTCCCAGTTGACTTGATGGTTTCCTCGCAGTTCCCTGCTACAGCGCCCTTACCTCGTTCACATATAAACCCCCACGAGGACGTGAGTGGGGACTGCCATAATCACATATTTGACTTACATTTTATTTTATAGTCCCGACCCCCACCATCCCCACCCACTGCCCAATCCTGGTGGCCCATTCGGACAGGTCAGACATCACCGGCCATCGTCGAAGTTCCTCTCGCACAGGGTAAAGAGATTCGCGCGGCTCGTTTTCGGTCACTGTTCTGGATCTCACGCATCCATTTACAGCGGAATGCTTCAGCAGATGCTCCCGCCAAAGACGATGAATGGATTGCTTAGGAAGACTGCGTTTCTCCCCCTCCTTCGCCGAATCCCAATTCCCGACGGTTATCCACATCAGCAGGGCAGATCACAACCGGAGAACATGGAAGCAGCCGGGTGTGTTTCTGCTTTTAGATTGGCTTTGTGAATGGTACTATGATGAGCCTGTCCTGGACGATGATCTCCCCTTGCTAACTACCTACGTGTTGTTAAAATCTGCTCGTATGGACAGTGTATTTTATACATCTGTTCGTTGTATCCCTAAACCCTGAAATCAGCAAATCCACTGCGGAGGCACCGCGCCTCCCTACCCTATGTCTGCCCCATCGCACAATACAACGACAGCCGACACCTACCCTTATCTCATTTCTGCAAATGATGCCCACTGGCCCCATTTTCATCTCGTACCCTTCTCAAGACCTTCTCAGTCTACACGATGCATTATGGTGATCCCGCCTCCGCCTTAGCATGCTCTTCAAGTGCCCGTTCGTATTGGGCCAATCATGGTGATCCCGCCTTAGCCTCAGCATGCGGATGGCACCGAGAAAGCTGGCCCGCCCCTGCTGGTTGAAGACGAGGATGAGTGGAATGACGGGGATGGAGGAGATCTCGTAGTGGGTGAATATTGGGCGTAGGGTATCCTATTGCGCCTCTTGCTTCTTACTATATATTGTCACAGCTCTAACTTGTTACACGATCCCTGACTGCAATACTTATTGTGTCCTCATCACCTCAGTGTTGTTCCACAACATGTGAGTCGCCCGTCACACTAGCCTATAATGAAGGCGCGGACGGGATGAGATGAATGATTTTGTTCCGTTCGCTGGTCATGGCGAGCACTTGTTGTGTCGAAGTGCATCGCTCTCCCGTAGGTAGGGTGAGCCCGTTGCCACCGGACATGATCTTCCGCTTGATAACTACCATGGGCGTAAATGCGCTCGGTATAACGTTCGCCGTGTGGGTCCCAGTTTGAGGCACAGAGAAATGAGAACGATCAGATTTGCACCGCACTCAGCGTCATCATCTTCTGATGGCATTCTTACCCTAAGCTTTAAAGGGACAGTAGGTTTGATGAACGGATGAGTTACAAATCATATGCTATACAACGCACAGCAATGAAGGAGGGGAGATATAACGAGGTACGCCCATCAGGCCATCGATCTTCGTCCTTGCTTGCATCCTGGTAACGTGAATACCCTATCTGAGCATCCTGTGCTGATGATCTGACGATCAGGCAAAGTGCAGCAGCTTCAGAACGAGTCAAACTTCAAAATCGCTGAACGTCAGTCCTACAGCAAACAAGGACAGCTCACCGGACACACCCAGATAACTACCAGTTATGACCTTGGAGGGCCATCCACCATTGGTTTTTCCCTCGCCGGATGGCGATCATGGCGAGTACAAACATGTTTCATGCATTTCCTATTTCCCCAACGACAGGCAAATGATCAGCGGATCATGGGATAAGACCATTCGGCGATGGGACCTGCGGGATGGTATCGGTAAGGAAATTAAGGAAGCTCGGGAGGTTTGTGAAGATCGTATAAAAGCTGTGGGGGTATCAAGGGATGGCAGATGGGCTGTCACTGCTGCTGGTCGGCAGCTCAAAGTATGTGAGGTTGAGACGGGGATCGTGAGAACATTTCATGATGAAGACCCTGTTTGGTGGGCTCAGGTAAATTGCCGCATCACTGCCGCAACTTGCCGCACCCTACCGCACCACTGTCGCACCCATACTAAATCATAAGTACTACACTTATTTTCGGCCTGCACTGTTCTCGTGCACCAAATAAATGAACTAGGAGTGTTTCTCGTCCGACTCCTTAATTATCCACTTCACACTAATGCATTTGAGAGTCTGAATTCAGAGAACGATTTTGAGCATGTTGCGGCACGGATGCGGTACTGGGTGCGGCAGCTTCCAATCAAGGTGAGTCTTAGTATACTGTATATATATGAGACACTAACATTCAGACTGTCTACAGCACCCACCTCGCAACGGCCTGTCTCCCTTGACAAGCTCCATATTACCATGTGCACGTCGCACCACCCCTCAATGGCACAGCCACTAATATCGAGGGATGGGCATCGATCTTTGCAGTATCACGCTTATCATTGCATCTTGAGCGAGACTCGATGTTTGCCTGAATGCTGTTGTTATACAGCCCTAGTCGTAAGGATGATTTTGGTACGTGAAAGGACTTTAATTCGTGAATTCTGCTGATTGCATCATTGTATCTTCCAGAGTTTTATCCGTCAATTATTTCGGCGCGGGACGCCATGCGAGCGTGATACAACACAACCCAATACCACGGGTGTGACCCATAGTGCCAAGGAAGGTGCGTGACCTAATGGCTGCTCAGAGACCGGGCATCCTGAATCATGGCCTCCAGCCTCCGGTTGTAATCGCACAGAAACTGTGACTGCGCAATCTCTCACTGATACTCCCAATGAACATGTTCGTGTTGATGGTAAGCATTTTTCAGCCCTTCTCTTTCACTACGCCAATTCTTTATCTGATGACTTCAGTTACCGTCCGTGTTTTTGACACGCAAAATCAAAGGCTCGAGTCGCAGCACTATACCTCGAATGCTCACACCACTCCGACTGTACAACAACCACCCGCCCCATCACAGCTCGCACTTGCCAACCAACCACCACCAAATGAGGCGCGAGATCAGCCTCATGGAAATGTGCGATTTCCTATTGACGAGCCACATGGACGAAAGGCTACGCACACCTTTGCTGTCTCTGAACCAAGGGCACCTAAACCTCAGCCCCAGGTACCTACCAGTGGTAATACCGAGTGGGATGTCTGGCCTGACGGCCACATTGTGCGCACCTACTCGCATGAAGATGCCAAACGGCCCGAGGTCAACAATTTCCACGTCCACTGGGCTTGTGAGGGCGTAGGTGCTCCTCGACATAAAGGCTCACTCGATGCGTTACAGTGGCAAGACGGTGTGCGTAGTCGTAGACGTTGCCACGGTGTAATTATATGCACCAACCATGAATCCAAGGGTGGATCATGTGCCATTGTCATCCGCCCTACAACGACGAAGAAACTCATTACGAGGCAGCTTGAGACAACATGCTCGTGTGGTGCCATGCTCGTCCATAATCACTGCGGTATAATTTACGACCTTTTCAAATTTGCGGGCGGTGTGTGCTTCGTTCATCGTGGCTTTCACAACCACCTTCGCCCACCGCGACGATTGCATCTGACGAGAGTGGAATCGGATCTCTTCCAGCAAGTCATCGAGGAGCACCCCCGCATGGGCGCAACACAGCTTTTGATGGGCCGCCCAGGCATCAATGGACCCCAGGAGTCAATTGCGGTCATATCTCCAGTGCTTCTGAACACAGCCAGGGTGAACCTTGAGAGAAAAAAGGTTTTCGCGATGAGCCGAGGGAAGGACATTATTGCAGAGTTCACGGAGTTCCAGCGCCAGCATCCTAATTTCGTTATTTTCCACACCTTCGATCCCGTCGCAGTTGTCATCACGCAGTCACCCACCATGTTGTCGTTTCTTGTCAAGAATCACAGTAATGGCATTATATCTGATGCTGCCCATGGGTTTTGGGCTGAGCGTAATGATCTATTAATCATAAGCTCGGTCTTCAGTGATGCTCTGCAATGCTGGGTGCCAGGTGTAATGACGTGGTCGAATGGTGGCACCGAAGCACACTACCGTCATCATTTCCGTGCACTATTTGAAACAATGGCAGGGGAGTATGAAAGGCAGAACATTATTCTCACTGACGATCTTTTTGCGAATGTGAGTGCATGATGTCGAACGTAGTGACACCAATTCCTCACGAGTTCATTTTCTATAGGTCGTTGATTTCAGCCAGGCAGAGCGAGCAGGCTTCATCAATGCATATGTAGAATTCTGGATGGTTCGTGAAGATAATACTCGCCCAGCTGAAGAACTCGCAGAAGCTGCCAGGGGTCTACTGAAGGGCTGCCACCAACATTTTCGTGCACAGGTCACTCGTGTCAAAAAAATTAGTGGTGTCGTCCCTCCTGCACTTGCAGATGTGTTCGAAGACCGTGTGCTGCAGCTCCTGCAGTGTCAAGACCTTGCGACGTTCAAGTCTATCTCATCCTCTCTCATTCGTGACTACCCCAAGGCTGAGGACTGGTTGAACTGGTGGATGGCAGATGGGCGTGCTGAAATGTTGTTTGCTCCCTTTCGGCGCATGCCAGATAATCTCTGGTATAATCTCGAGGACACCACCAATGCGGAGGAGGCAATGCATTGGCGGATATACTGTGGCCTTGGCAAGTTTCATAGCTTCGTGGCTGGATTACATGCACTGCGAGCATTTTCTGAGTATTGGCAGCTGCAATTGGCTGGTAATTCTTGTGCGTGAATGCCCTCACAGACATATATGCTCACTAATCACTAACCCAGCTGGGATTCCTCTTTTCTACGGAAATATGCGGCAGTTCTGGCAGAAATGGAAAGCCGAGCTTGGCACTACACATCCTTCTCGTGCACCCGACAAGATCGCAGCCAAAAAACGAACTCGAAATGATGGTCGCCCCCCTGATACAGCTCGTCAATTACTCGGCAATCACTCTACCAATGGAGAGACCCTACATGACACATCATTGTCTCCGACGAAACGACCCCGCCTAAATGACATCAAACGAGCATCCTATAAGTGGTCTAACAACTCATGTTGGCTTGATACTTCACTCGAACTCCTTTTCGCTGCTGCCTCACGAGATTTCGAGACATCATTCAGCCCTCGAATGTCAGAGTTGACTGATGAAGACTCGCTTTCACTCCTCAGTCATGCCCTCAACGCTCGCACTGTGGTGCAAGGCCCCGATCCCTCAGCACCAGATGATATTGTTGGTATGTTGATTGTGCAGCGCGATAGTCTTAGAAAAGACCTCTTCGACAAGAATATAATCTCGGACGTAGACTCTTTCGAACCAATCTTTGTATGTAACGAAACGAACTATTGTGGTCACATCCTTAACAGAACACTTATGTTGCAGACTTGGTTAGGATCATTGCTCGACTATCCACGAAACTGTCCTATTAAATTCATGCATGGCTACTTCCATCTTCACATGATTGATGTTCGCTCATGCTCCGGTTCACTCTCTAACGAATCGACGTTCATGCAAGATCGGCACTGGCAAATTGTCCGCAAGCCTAGGACCGTCTTTCATCACCAATTGGGAAGATCTATGGCAGAGCAGTTTGACGGGGATGTGAGCAAATGGTTTCGACACTTAATCCAGGTCAAGAAGCCACCCGAGAAATCACGTTCCTGCTGGTGTGTATTGGATGGTGACGTGTTGTGCAACGGGGCAGCCACTTGTCTCAAATTTTGCTCACATATACCCGTCACATTAATAATTGAAAACGACGATCAAGACATCCAAGGGCATGATAACAACGGCTCATCGTGGCACTTCCCGCAGACGATTCGACCACTAGACGGAAAGGCAGAGGAGCGTCAAGGTGTTGTATATGATATTGTTGGGCGAGCATTCTTTAGTCCAGGCACCAGTCATTTCATTGCTCGTTATGCCACTCCCGACAAACGCATCTATGACTACGACGGGATAAAGTTTGGTGGTTATGCGACATTGGATAGGAAGGCAAAAACAACCACCCACGTCGCAGGCACACATCGCCTGATATCCCCACCCCCTCGATTCAACACTTGCGCTGTGATTTACCATCTTCGTGGAGGGACCGAAGCTCAACGATACTTTTCACGACACCAGATGGCATTAGCGCAGCAGATGTTGAACATCGAGTTTGTCAACGCACATAATGGCAGCCAGTTGACTGATAGCGAACTGTCAATACCCCGGGAAATTCAATTGCACGGTGACATTCTCCCGATTCCGTCAGATGAGCGGTTCTGGGCCCTGGATCAAACAAACTCGTCAAAATATGTGGACTATGTATCTCACAAACCCACCGTGGAAAGTTCATTGCCCCCCCCACCGATTTCACAGCCGAGACCACCGAAACGAAAGAGGGTACAGTTGAATGTCCTAGATAGCGATGATGATGAAATCCAGGAGGTCAAACCACCACCTCTATCCCAAGAATACGAGTTCTACTGTCGGTGTGGAAGCCGGGAACATGGAGATCTCCAGCAAGAGAGCGAAGTGGCAATTCAGTGTGATAACTGCGAGCGCTGGTCTCACGTAGCTTGCCAGAGGGATGGTCGGGCAAGTAACTTGACAAAAAAGCAGTCATTTTACTGTGATGCTCCTGACTGTGCGCCATATAGTGATCGTGTATCACTCTCGCAAATTAGACGGCCTGAGCGGTGAGTTTCTTTATTTGTTGCATCGAGATTCACAATGTTATATCGTCGTAGTATTTCCCGCCACGTCACGATTCCTATGGTGAAGCGCTTGTTGTAAGTTTGCCTAGATATTTATATAGTGAACGGGAACTCATCAATTATATGCAGACCAGGGAAGGGGGCACTAGCACGCCATGGCAAATACTGGTATCCTGTCAGGATAAAGTCATGTCAGCGTGTGTCTGGAAGTCTGAGGACATCGTTCACCGTCAAATGGTGGAGGCACTGTTCTTTCAAACTCGGTACCACTCAACCTCCAGGTGAGGTTGGCGAGGGAGATATAGTTGATGCTCTCTATGGAGATCGTAAACGTCGCCGCATGATCCGGGTGTGTAACTCTTGTGGGTATATGTCAGACTTTAACATATTCAAAAACCATAGCTCGGGAAATGGACTCACGCTCACGAAGTTCCCCAGCATGAGGATGTCATTGCAAACTTTAGGAATATACCCTACAGCATTAATATCGACGAAGCATTGGCTCCTCACACTCAACTCCTTACAGATATTCTTGAGCAGCCGGATCCTGTGAAAATGCGCGACACAGTCCCAGTTCTTGGATATCTCGCTGACCTGTCAGAGAAATCAGGTCGTAGGCACACTACAGTCCCGTATTGCGGTGATCTGTCACTCACAGACTGTGCTCATATTGCAAACTGGATTTACCGAAATGTCCCTGGTGCAGCTGAACGAATTATCAATTGGCTAAACTGTGCTACATATGCACATGCTTGCACTATCGTAGTTTCGAAGCGCAAGAAAAACTTACTCCAGGAGCCAGCCGAAAATATCCTCATTGAACGTCGCTCGTCAGGACCTGGCATGGACTCAGTTCCTACTCCGGAAGAGCGAGAAAACGCGATTCTCCAGGCTGCCTGGCTTGACCTCCAACTCAGCTATGATCTGACCTCGATGGACATAGACGTCGACTTGGAGTGTCTTGGCATACTGGAACAGCGGATGTTCGAGCTCTCGTTGGCTGCAGGAGCTGCAGGAAATGAACAATGGGGCAAAGATGCTGGTGCACACCAAGAGCGATGGAATCCCTATGAGGGCCTCCCTGAGCACTGGAATCATGGCGACCGAGATTCATACGCACCGGAATTTGAAGGAGAAGTAGACGTGCGTCATCATCGCTTTTCATCGCGGATCAGTCTGACATGGTTCGACTAATAGTGCGGACCGAACTTTAGCGAGGGAAGTGAGCCTGACATAGTTAAGAAAGAGAAACACACCAAAAAAACCAAACCGCGGCCACGACCAAGGAAGATACACAAGGCTTCATAGGCTGGGGCCTCGTAGCAGTAGTTTGTACTCTGAAATGAACGAGACTCAGTTTGCAAGGACAAAAGGCCACACAAATATGACATACATACCTTAAAGCCCCGGTATCCGTTTGCACAGGTTGCTGCAGAACGTGGTCGAGGAGATGTGTGACAGTGAAGTCAGGCAAGGCATGCAACCAGCAAAGACAGGTGTTGAATGATAAGCGGAGGCATCGAGGTGCCAAACCTGACAGGCGCGAGCCTGTGTGAGGGGTCGTTGAGTCTTCTCACCAAGTTTCGCGCAGCTGCTCATAACGGTGCTGCAAGTGGACTTGATAAGAAGGGTGGTTTGGTGTCGGTGCAGTGGTGCGGTAGTGCACAGCCACTGCCGCACCACTGCCGCATCACTACCGCATCACTGCCGCACCACTACCGCATCACTGCCGCACCCATCAAGTACATATATCACTGTAGTACCACTGTTAGCCCTACACAAACACCTGGAATATTGTATTACTTATTCTTAAATCATATTTCAGACAGTTGCGTACGACATAGACGCATTTAAGAGGCATATAAGACATTGTTGAGTAGGGTGCAGCAGGGTGCGGCACAGATGCGGCAATTTCCTAAGGCCCCTGTTTGGTGCATCGACATCTCAGCAGACAGCACACTGCTGGCGGGTGCATCGTTTGGTTCTACAGCACGGATATGGAGCCTGGACACAAGCGAACTCGTCGCTGGTCCATTCGAATTCAGCGATGATATTTCTGGCGTACAAGCACTTCGATTCTCGGCAAACTCAAGGAAGCTGGCGGTGTTGTCAAATCAGGCGCAGTGTCTTCAGGTGTGGGACGTTCAAGCACAGAACTTGAAAGTCACTAGATCTAGAGGAAAATCTACTCTTGAACGTTGTTGGGTCTCTTTGCCGGTATTCTGGACAAAAAAAGACCAATCCATCATAGCTGCGTTCAGCTTCACGGATGACCCCGCATCGACGATCCATGAATTTGACGCGTCGACGTTGGAGACTGTCGGAGATTCCTTCCAAGGGCACACCAAGAAGATAACCGGTCTAGCGCTCTCTTTTGATTGTGCCCTTCTCGCCAGTGCTTCTCTCGATGGCACCATCAAGCTCTGGTCCTTCGAGTCCCGCCAGCTCCTTGCTTCATTCAATGTCCAAAATCCCTTCGCCCTCATCCTCTCGCCGGATTCACGCAAATTGGCTTACGCGCCCTGGGGTGTACCAAAGATTCGTGTGTGCAAAATTCCAGCCAATGTCATTGCTAGGATCAGCCATGCAAAAGAGGCACAGTATTCGCCACATGGATTTATCGTTTATGTGCTAAAAAACTTACAGATCAAGAAACCTGGACGTTCACGCCTCACTCGTCTACTCAATGTACGTTGTCCTGCTTTTTTTCTCACTTACACCTCACCATCCTTCATTATAGTCCAATACAATTCGTCGTACCATGCGCAGAAAATCAGTGACGGTGCCTGTTAAATCTCCCATTTCCCGCCCGCAAATTCCCCTGCCTATTGCAAGGGACCCGCATGCTTTCCTTCGTTTTCTGCGCAAACTCGTTTCCTCCTCACACACTAACGTGGTTCATCCAATTCACACCGATGAGCCTCGTAATCGCTTGGATGTGTGTTTCCTTTCTCTGTTTTTTTTTCTTCGCAGTTGAGTTAACGATTCCTTCGCAGTTCCCTGCTACAGTGCCCCTACCTCATTCACATATAAATCCCCACAAGAATGTAAGTGGGACTGCCATAATCACATATTCGACTTATATTTGCTTTCTAGTCCCGATCCCCACCAGCACCACCCACCACCAAATCATGGTGGCCCATTTGGAAAGGTCAGACATTGCCAGCTATCATCAACGTTCCTCTCGCACAGGGTAAAGAGGTTCGCACGTGTCATTTTCGGTCACTTTTTTACATCTCACGCATCGATTTACAGTGGAACGCTGCAGCAGATGTTCCCAGCAAAGATGATAAATGGATTCGTGATGAAGATTATGTTTCTCCCCCTCCTTCACTGAATCTCGATTCACGACAGCCACCCACAGGAGGGCAGATCAACAGTGGAGAGCATGGCAGCGGTCGATTGTGTTTCTGCTTTTAGACAGATTTCGAACGTGTTTACTCAGTTATATGGTATGTAATTGTTGCTCGTCGCATGTGTTGTACTATCAGGACTGTTATCGAACCCGTGGTCACTAAGCCCTAGAGCGCAGGGCTTATCAACACACATCCCTGATGGTCGGTTCTCTCGACTCTACTACATTGGTCTAAAGCGTCGCAAGTTACAGAAGTGTTTTTACAGCAATCTACACTGAAAGAAACAATGCGAGGACCTCCTATAAGTGTCAAGTGTCCAAACGGTTGCAATATGAAGGTCGAGATCTTCTGCATAGTCATAATTGCAGAGGGGGGCGCCTGAGAGGATGAGCTCCTTTGGTATTCGTCCGGTCAGCCTGATTCTTTGATGCATGACTGAAATATCCCTCAGCGCCATTGTGGCAATCACTCCGCAGGAAATGAATGTTGAAACACAGTGGACACTTGCTGTTTGGGTCGACATTTTTGCCAATCTCGTATTTATTATCATCTGATGCATATGTGTTGTGGTTCATACCTTGATCCTCTCGACTTGTACACATGTCATATCCGATGCAGCAAAAGCCCGCTTCGCAAGTCGTATCATTATGTCTCCCAGTACAACTGGCACACGACACTCGACAACAAGATAATCCTCCGTGGTGACAACAGATTCAACAGAGAACGCTGGATCGTCACTACCATCTAAGTACTCCGAAACAGCATCCACCTCGACGCCTGCGATGCTTCCCTGTCGCTCGGGAAGATACGATGGCACGATTTTGACACGGTGCGGACCATACCAAAGTTGTAGAAAAGGCACTGTATGCGGCGACAGAGCTTGCGATCGGTGGTGTACGAAAGATCGGGCCGGAAAGGTTGGGCGGGTTTGATGTGAACTAGGGTGGATTTAAAAGGGACGGGCTGTACGACGCACAGCTTTCATAAGAAGGGTGGGTATAAAGAGGTGGTATACACCCATCAACCAGGTGATCGCTCTTCATCCTTGCTATAGCGGTATCCTGGTAACGTGAATATCCTATCTGAGCATCCTGCGCTGATAACCTGACGATTGGCGTACGCAGGCAGAGTGCGGCGGCTCTCGAGACTTGAAAAAAAAACTTGGCAACGTCAGACCTACAGCACACGAGGACAACTCACCGAACGTAATCGTCGTACTTGTCAACCTCTCTGCGGATACAACCATCATGGCTTCCAGCTCGAAACAGCCCGGCAAAGCAGGAAACAAATCGATTCTGACACCGGTCATGACCTTGGAAGGTCATCAACCATACGTTATTACCACGTCGGATGACAAGCCTGAGCTTCTCGAGTTCAAAAATATTTCGTGCATTTCCTATTTCCCCAACGGCAAGCAAATTATCAGCGGATCACGGGATAAGACCATTCGGCGATGGGACCTGCGGGAGGGTAAAGAAATTGAGGAGGTTCGGGAGGTTTCTGAGAATGAGACAACCACAGTGCTAGTGGGGGTATCAATGGATGACCGATGGATTGTCACTGCTCTCGGTGATCGGAAGCTCAAAGTCTGCGAGGTTGAGACGGGGATCGTGAGAACATTTCAGGATGAAGACCACCTTTGGCGCATTGATATCTCCGCGGATAGCACGCTACTGGCGGGTTTGACCGGTTTCTCGTTCGATACTTCGGTGCGGATATGGAGCTTGGACACAGGCGAACTAGTGGCTGGTCCATTCATATTCAGCGATGATTACGGTGGCTCACCAGTATTTCGATTCTCGGAAAACTCGAAGAAGCTGGCGGTGTCGTTATATCTAGGGCGGTGCCTTCAGGTGTGGGATATCCAAGCACAAAAATTGGATGTCACTAGAGGGAGATCAAAAACCTCCCATGACAGTTTCGGGTTCTCTGTACCGGTATTCTGGACCACAAAAGACAAATCTATTGTAACTGCATTCAGCTTCACGGATGCCCGCGCCACGACAATCTATGAATTTGATGCCTTGACGCTGGAAACTGTCGGAGATTCCTTCGAAGGGCACACCAACACAATCCACGACTTATCACTCTCACTTGATTGTGTTCTGCTCGCAAGTGCTTCCCACGACAACATCAAGCTCTGGTCCTTCGAATCCCGCCAGCTACTCGCTTCATTCGACATCCAATATCCCATCGCCATCATCCTCTCACCTGATTCACGCCAACTGGCTTACACGACCAATGATGAACCAAAGATCCACATATGCAACATTCCACCCAACATCCTCGTTAGTGTCGGAATTGCCGAGAAGGCGCAGCCTAGTGTACGTATTCACCTGCATAGATTCATCATTTACGTGCTAAAATCTCTTACAGACCAGTAAACCTAAACGTCCACACCTCGCTAATATGCTCAATGTAGGTTGTCCAGCTCTTCTACTCACAACGCCACTCCACTTTTATTACAGTCCGACGCAACACGTCGTACAGTGCGCCGTCAACCAGTGATATTGCCTGTTATATCTCCCATCCACCGCCCGCCAACATCTCTGCCTACAAGGAACACAGGTTTTCCCCGCTTTCTGCGCAAACTGCTTCCCTCCTCCCGTACGGACGCAGTTGGTCCTATTCAGAACAATCAGCCTCGTAACCCCCTGGACGTATGTTTCCTTTATTTGTTTTCTTCCCAGTTGACTTGATGGTTCCCTCGCAGTTCCCTGCTACAGCGCCCCTACCTCGCTCACATATGAATCCCTACGAGAACGTGAGTGGAGACTGCCATAATCACATATTTGACTTACATTTTCTTTCTAGTCCCGACCCCCACCAGCACCACCCACCATCAAATCATGGTGGCCCATTCGGAAAGGCCAAACATCACCTGCCATCGTCGATGTTCCTCTCGCACAGGGTAAAGAGGTTCGCGCGGCTCATTTTCGGTCACTGTTTCTAGATCTCACGCATCCTTTTACAGCGGAACGCTGCAGCAGATGCTCCCGCTAAAGATGATGGATGGATTCGTGATGAAGACTATGTTTCTTCCCCTACTTCACCGAATCCCGATGCACAACGGCTATCCACATCGGCAGGGCAGACCACATCCGGAGAACATGGAAGCAGCCGGGTGTGTTTCTGCTTTTAGATTGGTTTTGCGAACGGTAATATGATGAGCCCATCGTGGACGATTATATTCCCTTGCTAACTACGCGTTGTTACAATTCCTGCTGTGCAAAGTGTATTTTACAGATAGAAGGGCATGTCAGGTACAAAAGACTGGATGGCGCTTCAACACAGGAACGTTGAGTCGCAGACGAGCCGGAATGAAATAGAATGTATATCGAGTCTGATACATCCATTTACATTGGAACGCTGCAGTGGGTGCTCCCGCAAAGATGATGACTTAACGCATAATGAAGACCATCATGATGTTCCTTCTACCCCTTTTCACCGAATCACGAATCAGGAATCACGACAGCCATCCACATCAGGGCATACCGGAATCAATGTCGGAGAGCATCGAAGGTTGTGTTTTCTGCCTGTAGACTGGTTTTGACCGCGTTCTACGGGTATTTCGATTTTACTGTATCAATCGTTGTTGCTTGTCGTATGCGTTGTCTTAATGAACTCTTGAAGGGTGTCGAATTCATGGTCACCACACACTTTTCTTTTCTGGCTTGCTTCTCGGGCCGGCAGTTGTCTGTTTTTGAATTCATAGGCAGCGTGGTGCCTTCGTGGATGCGACTGAGGATGACAACGGCGACTTCGTACATGATGGGACAATGTTAAAGTTGAATGGCTGCTTGCTGGGTTGCCGGACATTATGATCAGTTGTACTTTCAAATAATAACATCGAAGAGCAACTCCTACACATGCAAACGCTGTATAAATACAATGTGCACCTGGTACTATCAAGATACAATCGATTTTCGTGAAGTCATTACGTTCATCTTAATTACACGTTGTAAGATGCCCCTTCCCCAGGCACCTCCTTGCCTGTCGATGGTCGGTCCTGATTCCCATTTCTGTACATTGAGGCACCATCATTGTGCGTGAACTGAGATATATGGACCTGCATAGGTTTCAAAGGATATTGCTGCAAGTTTCCCCGATTCGTCTCACTGGTCGACCCTCCACGAACAGTCAAAATATGACTGTTTCTACTGATTGCGATTCGGATCATCACCATGTAGAAAACAATGGAGATGATTGGCATGAGCTAGTTGATCGGAGGTTACTTAGTAACTTTCGACAATATGTGCTATATGTGAACCTACTATGTCTATCATGACAAATATTCCATTGTTCGAGCAGACGGAAGTGATTAGGGTGCAGAGGAGTGCTATGGAGTACACAATAGCAGCATCCACAACCACGCGCAATATGCTCGTTGTGGTGACTTTCGTAGTGCGAGCGGTAGAGACACTGCGTTCGATTTTCCAGATGCGAAACGCCAGTAACCCTGAACAAATTCAATATGAGGCTACAACACCACGCTCAGGTAGAAGTATACTTACCTGAACTCAATAAATTCGTTACAAATTCCAAGGCATAAAATGTCAAGATCCATTCACGAGTCGCTGGGCCGGTGACGTTGCTGGAGATGTTAGCTATATGCGCAACTTGAGAAAAGTTACAAGCTGAATAAACGCCAATGGCTTCGAGGGTGTTATCAGAAAAGGCAACTTCCTGTGCGTGATTGCAACATCACCTGCAACGCTACACCACAGTATGCTTGGTAGGATGATAACCCAAACGGTCTGCCAAACGACATAGCAACGATAGATCTTGTTGTCTTTCAATATCAATATCATGCTGAAATACAAGATTGAACCCACCACCACCCCGTCGGCAACCAAAGTTTGCAAAACGAATATCACGTTCTTGATCACAAATATTTCTCCGGGAACGTCTGCGAAGAACGCCGCTGAGCTGCCTGAAAATGTGCTGCGGTACTTCACCAGCCCGTCTTCAGTCCGAATGATATCTACGACCATGTGCTTGGAGGACGTCAGCAGATAATATAGGATATCAAAGGCAAGAAGCTAACCGCGGTACTCAGTACCAACAGCAGGACGGTCACAGCAGTGATTGGACGGTTCACGTCTCGTATGTGACGTTTGTAGGTTAGTGTCCAAATGGTGCCAATAAACATGAGGACAGAAAAGCCTGAAGTACACTAGTTTGGTGGGTGCGGGGTGGGCGAACTTGTTGAGATACTGACCGTATAACATGCCTTCCAGGACTGTTGACATAATAGCGGCGCTATCCAACGGGATGCCTTTTGAAAAAGTCATGGTGAAGATGACGCCCTGGGGGTGTACAAGGGCTGGCACATTCGTCGTGTATATCGTAGTTCTAGCAGAACTTCATATATCATCATCCTGATCTTGGAGACCCTAGATCGGTAACCGTGACCATCAGGCGGGGTATTAATATTCAGCGCTCCTGGTCCTTGCTTATCAGTTGCGCAACCGGTGAAGATGGTATCTGGACGTGTTTGTTATGCAAATTTGATTTGAAGGTGTCATTAACCGAAAGTACTCGGACCCAACGAATTTGAACGATATATTTGCTTACAAGACAAAAGCTTCGTGCTTGATACATAACATTTCGGACCCGGTTTAGTAACTCTTCAACGAAATGTGACCAGTGCATTGGAGGAGGTGAGAAAGCTACCCGCTGATAATCAGATCTATCATGATGTGCACTTGAAACATGACCGCCCATCATGATTCAGAGACGTAGAAAGTTTGAACTTTGTGCGGAGAAGCTGAAATGTATTACATAATTAGCTGTACTACTTGCGGAATCCGGATTTGAAGCGTTTTTGATGGTTTTGCAGTGTCGTTGTCTCTCTCCATGGCCAGTCGGACTTATCAAAGGAAGATGGTCGTTTCTTCACAATCTTCATTGAATTACTGGACTGTCGACAAATCGACAATTGACCCGCAACCTCCCACGTGCTGAATCAAAGGAGGTCGGTTTCTCTCACTTGAAGCGCAGTCTGCTGGCTTCTGCTCAACATTGTTGGCTCTACACTCAACAGGCGCAAAACGGCGTGGTCTATCCTACTGATGGAACCGTCGTTCCAACCTGTCTATCGTCGCCTGGCATATATACTATGTCATATTCTATCACTTTAACTGTGTGTCGCGAGTGTACCGGAACTTGCCCCTCGGCCCGGACTTCATAACTCTGACTTTCACCAGTACTTGGAACGCATGGACAGATCTATCCTGCGGTCCTTAACTGATTATATGCACTTTCCTAGCCCGTCCTGTGGATCTGGATGATTCATTTCACAGATGTGTCCCAGTTACTGCTGATGATATCATACCCACAGGACCAGACGCTTCGAAGACTACGCTCAGCATGCTCCTTCTTTTCATTACCCTAGGATGGTTCGAAGATTTTCAACCAACTTTGAATTACGGAATCAACCCCATGCCTTGGTCACGGAGAAGTCCTCCGCACAAATCACGCCTGACGGATGCCAACGAGTACCAAAACCATACTATTTCAGCCCAAGCAGGAGGAAGTCGCATCCTCGTATACTTCCCCTTCGAGCACTGAGGCAATTTCCAAGATTTGGATTAGGCTATTAAGAGTGCAATTGGGACACTATGGAGCGTCAACGATAGTACGGTTCAGCGCTTAGTCGAAGCATTCTACAAAAACTTGTGCGGGAATGGCACAATGAATTCCAAGCAAGCTGCCCGAGCGCTGCACTGAACAGTCCAGTCGTTGGCTTGCGACAGGGACATGCCCTAGGACCAACACATGGTTTTCATGTATATTGGCGCGTGATTAATTTCGTGCGTCTTCCCATCTTGTCGATTATAGCATTTTTGAGACAATCTGACGACTTATATAGCATTCAGTCGTTACCGAGACGTATCAGGATTCTTTTGTGAATTTTGGTGCGAGGACACTTAATGCTCGATCCCGATGCCCACCGCCTAATCGTTTGCGATTAATACTTCCGCAACCTTGATGGTCTAGCTCTGTTCTCCACATTGAATGCAATCGTGGTCTGTACAAATACAATGAGTTATTCAAGATATCGTGCCGCGAGTTATCGCCTGACACTATCAAGATACAGTCAATTCTCAACAAGTCGTTACATTCATCTGATTACGCGTCGCAAGATGACCCTTCCACAAATATCTCCTTGCCTGTCGACGGTCGGTCCTGATTACCGTACATCGAGGCATCGTCCTTGTGCGTGAATTGAGATATATGGACCTGCAGAGGCTTCAAAGGATATTGCTGCAAGTTTCCCCGATTCGTCTCACTGGTCGACCCTCCACGGACAGTCAAAACATGACTGCGATTGTTTCTACCGATTGCGATTCGAATGATTACCGTGTAGAAAGCAATAGAGATGATCGGTGGGAGCTGGTTGACAGAAGGTCAGTACTTTTCAACAGTTTGTCGTGTGAACTCACTATGTCTATCATCACAAGTGCTCCATTGTTCGAGCGGATCGAACCGATTAACGTGCAGAGGAGCGCTATGGAGTACAAAATAGCAGCATCCATGACCACACGTAGTATACTTGTCGTGGTGATCTTCGTAGTGCGACTATTGGCGACATTGCGTTCGATTTTCCAGATGCGGTACGCCAGTAATCCTGAACAAATTCAGGTTGGTATGAGGATGCAACACCGCGCACAGACAGAAGAGCGCTTACCAGAACTCAACAAATTAGCTGCAAGTGTCAAGGCATAGAACCCCGAGATCCATTCACGAGTCACTTGGCTAAAGACATTTCCGGAGGTGCTAGCTGTGTGCGAAAAACTGTAGAGCGAATAAATACCAGTTACTTCAAAACGACATCAGAGTATGCGAGATCCTGTGCATATTTGGAACCCGACCTGCGACACTGCACCACAGCATGCTGGGTAGGATGATAACCCAGACGGTTTGCCAAACGACGTAACAACGGTAAATCTTTATCCAAAAACTTTTATATATCAATCTCAAACTTGCAGATAAACAATTGAACCCACCACCACCCCATCGCCAAGTAGAGTTTGCAAAATGTATATTGTGTTCTTGACCACAAATGTTCCAAGGGAAATTTCTGCGAAGTACGCCTCTGGCCCGCCTGGGAACGTGTCCCTGCTTTTCACCAATCCGTCTTCGATCCGAATAATATCTATGACCATGTGCTTGGAGGGACTTCAGCAGACGGCATCGCATGTGAAAGGTAGGAAGCTAACCGCGGTACTCAGCACCAACAGCAGGACGGCCACAACAGTGATTGGGCGATTGACTCTGTCCCGCATGTGATGCTTGTAGGTCAGTGCCCACATGGTGCCAATAAACATGAGGACAGAAAACCCTGACGAGCGCTATCTTGGTGGGTATGGTATGGACTAACATATTGAGATACTGACCGTATAACATGCCTTCCAGTACTGTTGACATTATCGCAGCGCTATCCAGCGGGATGCCTTGTGCAAAAGTCATGGCAAAGATGATGCCCTTGGATGTACGAGGGCCGGCGCATTTTCCAGCCCCGTGTCCAGTCCCGTGTATATCATGATTACGCCAAAACTTAAAGATAATCACGAAGATCCCGAATCAGCATCCATCAAGCGGGTATTTAAATCCAGCGCTTCTGATCCTCAATCATCAATTGTGGAACCAGTGAAGCTGCTATCTGAACGTGGTTGCTGTACAGCTTCGATTTGAAGTGTTACTACATCTGCAACCGGATCCCCGTGACGAAATAGTTGTTTACAGGACGAAAGCTTCGTGCTTCATATTTCGGTGTAGCGACTGTTCAGTGAAATGACCATTGGACTCAACTTGGAGGAGGGATGAAAGAAACTGCATCCCGAGGATAATGTTTGATATTAATAGCTGGCAGATACCTCGCCGTCATTATCGGATCTATCTGTTCTCGAAACGCATGATGCTGATTCGGAGATCTAGAAGGTAAGGGTTTGAACTTTGTAAGTATAACTGCGGCCGAGAAGCTTGATGGTATCACATAATTATTTAAATAATTAAACAGTTACGCATTCGTGCTTTATCATACGTCGAGGTCTTGTGTCCGTCTCACCGCTAGGTTCCCCTAAGTCACCATATAGAAGGATGGCAGTCATCCGAGTCCTTTCGCCCGTTCTCGCACTAGGCATCTCATCCCTCCCTCCCCGAGTGGGTCCTTAGGGCACATAAAAACCAGGCTGGCTAACGATAGTAATGTATGTATCGTTATTTCTGAGCTGTTGGCCAGAATGACATATCATTCTGCCTGTATCCAGTCTGCGAATGCTGCATGCGAAGTTGAAATGGGGTTCTTCGATTTGTCTCACTTGTCCCTCCATCCTGAGTGTGTTTATTGATTGCGATGCGAATAAACACCATGTAGAACGCGATCGAGATGATCGGGACGAGCTAGTTGATTGAAGCTCAGTAATTTTCGATAATAGGTGACTTATGAACGACGTAATCACCAGCTCTCCCATAAAAATAGATATACCAGGCAAGAAGGCCAATACTGCTATCACAAGGCAGAGCGCCACGGAGTACAGAATAGCGGCATCGACAAGGACCCGCAATATAGGTATTTTGCGCTTCGTAACGCGAACTGTAGAAACCTTGCGTTCGATTGTCCAGATGCGATATGCAACTAGTCCTGGGCACATTCAGATTGGTAAGTGACCTCGACATCGTCCATACACAGGGGTTCGCTCACCTGAACTGAACAAATTAGTTGCAAGTGTAAAGGCAAGGAATGTCAATAGCCAAATCCCAGCCTCGCCAGCAAAGGTACTAAAGCCATTTGTAGGGTTACTATAGACCCAAAAAATACCAGAGACTTTAGGACATCGTTAGAACGAATAGCTTCCTGAGCATGATTGCAAACCAACCCCCGATACCGCACCACATCATGCATGGTAGGATGATAACCCAGACAGATTGCCAAACAATGTAACATCGATAAATCTTTTCCCAGAAAGGTGAGTGCTATAAGACACGAGGGTTTCAGGCTGGCAGACAAACAATGAACTCACCACTACTCCGTCTCCGATCAGAGTCTGCAAGATATATATCACATCCTTTAAGTTTCTTATAGACTGATCTTGGGAAATGTCTGCGAAGAACGCATCTGGCCCGCCTGGGAACGTGTCGCGATACTTCACCAGTCCATTTTCTGCATGAATTATAACTGGAACCATGTGCTTTGGAGACTTCAGCAGATGGAATCGGATGGAAGCAGCGAGCAGCTAACCACGGTGCTCAGTAAGAACATCAGGGTGGCAATCGCAGCCATTGGCCAATTGATATCCCGCATGCGACGTTTGTAGGTGAATGCCCAGATGGTACCTATGAACATGAGGGCTGAAAAGCCTGAAGAACGCTGGCTTAGTGGGTATGGGACGGGCAACTCATTGCGATATACCCACCATATAAAATACCTACCACCGCTGATGATATGAGGACGGCGGTATCTAGCGGGAGGAAAATTGAAGCCATGACAAAAATGATGCCTGCCGGTGGGGGATGTATGACAGTGTGAGTAGCATCGCTAGCTCATCCATATGCCGCTTATATGTACTAGAAGTACACGCTGTATATCATGTACACTGGTTCCAAAAAAAATAGATCATGATGGCTCTCACAGAGTCACGTCACATATATAATGCACTGCATGTCCAAAACGTGGACTCCAGTGGCGTCCATTAACTGAGCGTGTTTGTAAACGGCCCTCCTCACTGTAGTACTGACTACTGACTACTGAGTATTTGCCAGCAGCCAGCTGTCCCAATGTCCTATAGAACATGAAAGTGATTTTAAAAATTGATATTGAATTGTTTTGATAACTCATGCTGACAAACACGACTCCCACAACATTATGATTATGTTCGTCCTCTCTAGACCTCGCAACTTCCGTTGCATTAAAATCCGAGCAGCATGATGTATCGGTGGGTGTGTTTTCGCTCGTCTGTTTTTATACATGCAGTGAAACTCACACATAATAAATGCAGATTCAACTAGCTAGCTAGGTGCTCTGCAGTCATCATGATGTGCAAGTTTCCGTCTTCAAGTCGCCCATAGCCACACTTTGGAAGAAAGAAGACAGCCATTCCTTCTTTTTCATTCGTGTGTAGTCTCTCTTCCTTATGTTTCTATTCGTTGTCATTTTATATGCGGTTCAATTTACGCACGATGATCTTCATATAACATATTGTCAAGACATTCAATCCCGTGCAAGCAATTCGTCTGACTCACCCGGGGCCGAGCTCCACCTGCACCCCACCTGCACCGCTCCTTGCTTTTTGTCAGTGTGCGCTTGGCAACCGGCTACCTGCGCGTTGTGCGATTGTCCCCGTGTCTGGATTCCACTCTTTGCAATGCAACAAATTCGCTTAGTGAGACAGTAACGAGCCTGAGGTCTATCTATCCTTCTTTGAGTTCGAGAAACCATTATTCTCCAGGACATGCAGTCATTGTCAGTGGAAGAGCTGCATTTGGTCCTTATGGTCAGCAATGCACTTCCGAGGACACTGAACGCAGTCCGTGGTGAGCAATTCGTCGACCTCATACCCGAGCTCAGGTCCACACAAGTATTGACAGCATCGTCCGCAGGCAGAATGGGTGCTTGTTAATATATTTTTCTGAACAGCGGTTTCATCCTCGGTCTGATGGCATACAACCCTCTCCATTCTCTCCCGACTCCCCCTTTCCCCCCTTCATTCATACATTCAGTGACAAGCTTTGAACACATCCATCTGCCATTCGTTCCGATGATATCCCAAACGGATTTCCAAACAGCATAACAGCGATAAATGTTTTTCCACAAAGGCGAGTTCTATAATACACGAGCGTTTCAAGCTGGCAGACGCAAATTGAACCCACCACTACCCCGTCGCCAAGCAGAGTCTGCAAGGTTTATATCACATTATTGGCTAAAATGTTTGTTGGAAAGCGTCTGCGAAAAATGCCTCTGCTCCGCCTGGGAACGTGTCGCAATGCTTCACTAGTTGGGTGAGCACCATCAAATTCCTCCTTCCACTGGCTTTAACATTTGACTTGTCATGCAAACAGCTGGATTCGAAACAGTATAATTTGTTTACCTGCTTTGTTGATTTCTTAAGAAATATATAAAATTTAGAGCTCTTCGATGTTCGTCGTGGTTCTCCGCCCAAAAGTCTAGGCCAAAGCGCAGGCCGAAATTGACACTATTGTAGGTCTGACAAGGCTGCCATGCTTCGAAGATAGACCTGAGAGGCACTTTGCCTCAGACGGGTCACTACTTTCGAATCCAACCTCAAATAACCCTCTGCTCGTCTTAGGCCGACGTATTTGTGAGGCATCTCCCAACGAAACACCAAGAATAACAACACTATTGACTTGGGACAGGTCCATGACGATTTGCTGCAGAGTCGATGCTATGGGCTGGCATTGTTTCCGTTTCCATCCTTGCAATCTTTCGTATAGAGAAGGCGAAAGGTGTCGACGGCCGTGAGATCGATATGAAGAAACAGTTTACAACTGGAATCGCGATATTTGTCAATGATGTTGGCATTTCCGTTTTGCTCATCCATATTGCAGTTACCTGGTCCCTTTCTGTTGGCTGGATAACGATAGGTAATATATGTATCATTACTTCTGAGCTGTTGGCCAGAAGGACATATCGTTCTGCCTGAATCCACTCTGCAGAGGCGGTATACGAAATTGTATTGTGGTTATTCGTTCCGTCCCACTGGTCCCTCTATCCGGAGTGTGTTTACTGATTGCGATGCGAATAAACACCATGTAGAAGGCAATCGAGATGATTGGGACGAGCTAGTTGATTGAAGCTCATTAATTTTTGATATTAGGTAAGTTGTAAACGATGTAATCACCAAGTCTCCCATAACATAAAATACAGTAGGCGTGCTGGAGGCGAATAGTGTGATGAAGGGGCAGAGCGCCACAGAGTACAAAATAGCGGCATCGACAAGCACCCGCAAAATACCTATTTTGCGCTTCGTAACACGAACTGTAGAGACCTTGCGTTCGATCGTCCAGATGCGATATGCCACTAGTCCTGAACATATTCAGATCAGCATAGGGCCTCAATGTTGTCCATACACAGGAGTTTACTTACCTGAACTGAACAAATTAGTTGCAAGTGTAAAGGCGAGGAATACCAAGATCCAAATCCCAGTTAAACCAGCAAAGATTTGAAGGAAGGGCTACTATTCGGTGCGTAGATCCAAAAAATACCAAAGACTTCGGGACGACATCAGAGCGAATGGCTTCCTAAGTGTGATTGCAAACTAACTTGCGATACCACACCACATCATGCATGGTAAGATGACGACCGCGACAGATTGCCAAACAACGTAACATCGATAAATCTTTCTCCGGAAAAGCGAGCTCTATAAGATGCTAGGGTTCAAGCTGGCAGATAAAAACGAACCCACCACTACCCCGTCTCCAAGCAGGGTTTGCAAGGTGTATATCACATTCTTGGCTAAAAATGTTGGTTGGGAAACGTCTGCGAGGAACGCCTCTGGCCCGCCTGGGAACGTGTAGCGATACTTCACCAGTCCATTTTCTACACGAATGATAACTAGGACTATGTCCTTGGGAGACTTCAGCAGGAAACAGATGTAGGCGGTGACAAGCTAACCGCGGTACTCAGTAAGAACAGCAGGGTGGCAACTGCAACCATTGTCCAATTGACGTCCCGTGTGCTATGTTTGTAGGTGAATGCCCAGATGGTACCTATGAACATGAGGGCTGAAAAACCTGAAGAACGCTGGCTTAGTGGGTATGGGACAAACAACTCATTGCGAAGGCTACCCACCGTATAAAATGCCTGCCAGCGCTGATGAAATGAGAACAACGGCGTCCAGCGAGAAAAAAATTGAAGCCACGGCGAAAATTATGCCTGGGGAATTGGGGGTATGACGATGTGAGTAACATCGCTAACCGCATCCAGATGGTATATATACCGTATAGTAGAACGTCATGATCAGTTCGAAACTCACGCGGTGTACCGTGACGGTTCCAAAAAAACATTTGGATGGCTCTCACAGAGTTATCACCGAATGCACTGCATGTCCACAACTCGAACTCTGGCGGCCATTAGTAGTCACTGAGTGCTTGCAAGTACTGCAAATGGACATTGTCTCAGCTCGATCTCGTTAACGTTGGAGTGGTGCTATGTGTCTCGATGCTGGGCTGCGCTATGTGATGCTGCCTACGTCTTGGTTGACCGTTGCGTCACGTGCTGGTGGGTTTTCTCTGCCGTTTTTATACATAAACTCTCACAACTTCATGTTAGCGCGACGTAACAGTCATGCTCCGCGGCGACGGTCTTCATGGGTGAGTGACATCAAACTTTTCCTTCCACTGGCTTTAATATTTGACTTGTCATGCATATAGCTGGATTCGAAACGGTACGCTTTGTTTACCAGCTTTGTTGATTTCTAAAGAAACCATTTATGCTCGCCATGGTTTTCCACCCAAAAGTCCAGGTAGGCCGAAATTGACACTATTTTAGGTTCGTCAAGGCTGCAATGCTTCGAAGACAGACCTTCGTTGCTGTACGTTGAAGCTATCTTGAGCCCTATATTACCACTAGGTATGCATCATCACATCAACACTTGTTTTGTGTACTCCGTTCATTCAGGGATCTAGTAAGCTACGTCAAACGAGGATGTATTTGGAGGATACTTGATACCAAAGGGTTTGTGTTTACAATTCGGTTGCATGCAGCGACGGATCTCACTGGCTCTGGCAGGGGCTTGTGTGGTCCCCAATGTCTGGTACGCGATGGTTTCCTTTTCGTTTTGAAATCTGACCTGAGACGCATTAAATTGCCTCAGACGGGTCACTGCTTTAGGAATCCGGATCCAATCTCGAACGAGTCGGCGAGGTCGAGCGACCCTCTGTTCGACGTATTTGTGAGGCATCTCCCAATGAAAGATCAGGAACAACATTATTGACTTAGCACAGGTCCAGGACGGTTTGCTCCAAAATCAATGCTATGAGCTGACACTGCCCCTATCCTTGCACCCTGTCGTACAGAGAAGGCGAAAGGCGTCGACGGCCATGAGATTGATGCGAAGAACAGTTTACAACCGGAATAGCGATGTTTGTTAATGATTGTCAGTATTTCCGTTTTGCTCATCCGTATTGCAGTCACCCTGTCCCTTTCCGTTGCGCATTTTTATGCCGTTCTGCGCAGAAGGAGAAGAAATCCAACCAACCCATGACCGGAGGAATTTCAAGCATGATGTTTTATGCAACGGTACTAGTCAGATAACACTTTACAATGAATGGAATCCCGCGTACATCTCAACCGAACAGCCTTCACAGGTGCAGTCGTGCATTCCTAGAAGTCCTGAACCATTGATCGGGTCTCTCCTATAACATGCCGCAATGCATATGGTCGAGTTGATTAATATTATCGACAGATGAGATGAGTCTACCAACATGTCCAGTTTCATCCCCGCGTTGTATATTTCTTTGATATACTGCACGGGTCTTGACTCCCAGTGAAAATAAGCAAGATGGAGGTGGATGTGTGTTGATAGCCGTTGATAGAAATCGGTAGTTCGATACGAATCAATGTCTATCGTGAAAAATGAGACTTTTATCGATTTTATCGATAGAGATCGAACGAGTAATATTTACAGATTGATACGCGTTCGATTTCGTTCTAGGTAGTTTTTACATTTGCAATTGAATCACATTGATACAAAATGAAACAAATGAATGCATTGATAGGTATCGCTATACAGGGATATACGTTGATGCAGAACGAAACACGACAATGCAGAGCGAAAAATGACGAAAAAAAAACCCAGCACCCTACTAGCGCCGTCCACCCAGCTCACGCCCACCATCCGCTACTCGTCTCCGTCTGATCCAGCGAACTCGTTCGTAACCAGGTGTAGAAGAAGGTAGTTAGCTCGTGTATACTAATAGTAGAAGAAAAAACGCACCAATCAATGTACCTGCTCTACATGCCATAGCCATAGCTCTGATTCAACGTCGCGGCAACACCGACCGTGCCAAAAGGGCTCACGTTAGCATATCCAGCAATGTCCGTATAGCCAGTGGTGTTGGTATGAGGGGGTGTCAGGCTCGCGCTATGAGGAGAGGTGCCTTGCAAGACATATCCGTCGATCGAACACGCCTGAAGACCGTGCATATGGGGACCGATGTGAGAATGACCGCAGGCAAATGCCTTCGATGAGGAGCATATTAAGCCGACCACTGTCCAAGCCGATCGCTGTCCACGATTGTTCAACCCATAAGGGTCTTCGACACGGTATTGTTCGAAACCCATGGAAAAATTGCCATACTGGCCGGATGACAAGTGAGAGAGAAGGTTTGCACTGATCGCGTCGTGCTCATGGCAGGGGAGCCCCGCCTGGGTCCAGGTGCTTTCCATGTTGAACCAAGAGACGCTTGCATATGTTGACCTGCATGGGGAGTTCCAGCTCCACCGCCAAGGGTGGCAGTAGACAAATAAATTGGCGAAGATGTCACCGCACCCAAAGACCGCCCAATCGGATGTGGTGTGATGATGGCGGGAAGAAAGGGGTGTTGTGGATGGTATGGTCGCTGTGTCGAGAACTCGAACTCGCATCTAAGTCTTTCAAACTCCGATTGATTTACTGTCCGTACCATGGGTTTGCGTGGGGTGTCGAAAGAGCTATTGGTTGAAGTGTACAAGTGCAGTGTAGAATGGCCGAGTGTGCAGTGAATATTTTCAGGAAATGCAGAGTTGTGCAGAATACCTGGACCTGTGCACTGCAGCTGCAGAAAATGTAGGATTTGTGTTTGTTCGTGCAAAAATGCAGGAATGTGAGGGCTGCAGCAGTGCAGAAATGTAAAACTGACTTGATTTTCAAAGTGTAGGATTGTTTGTATCGACGTACATCAATGTTCTTCATTTTATATTTTATTGTACCTATCTCGTTTGATTTATATCAACCTCTATTTTGCTCGTTTTCACTGGGGTTTATGTATAAAAACGGCTTGACTGGTCGCGTTCATGCATGCATTTCCGTCTCCGCCTACGCCCAGTGACTAACACAGATTTAAAGTTTGTACCTAAATTACAGTACGTACGTCCAAGGTCACATTCTGGAGTAAATAATATACGTAAACCTACGAAGCACCTAAAAGCAACAAGAACAATAAGAACGCCACATTAATATCGCCATATACCGGGTGGATTGAAGGTATGTAGTAAATGGATAGAGCAGAGTTTATAATAGAAGTCACCGAGTCTCAAAGCACAAGCAAATTTAAACAAACCTCTCAAAACCCCAGCTGCTCCACAAAATTCTGCCACGCCGCATCTAGAACCGGCGTATCCTGTATCCCATTCGGCGCGCTATATGGATGCGCGGGATGAAACGTATTCAGCACCTGCGGCTGTCCACTATAAATCTCCGCCCCGTACACACTCGACCCGCTAAACTGTACATCACTCATCGCCTGGAAGAAAGACTCGGACGAGTCGAAAGAGCCGCCCGCAGTGAACGGCGATTGCTCGTATTTGTCAAAGACACGCATGTCCTGCATGATGCGCGGGTGTATATCGATCCCGACGGCCTGTGCGTCCCATGCGTATTGGCTGCACGCTTGAGACGCGCCGCATGACTCGGCTTCTGACGGTGAGGCGTGGACGGACGGTGACGAGGCGCTGGACGGAGGGCTCGTTTGGGATATAAGATGGGTTTTGCCACCGCCAAGACGATTGAGCTCGGTGCGGGATAAGCTGGACTGATCGTCATAGTGTGGGTTATCAACAACTTCGTGGCCTTTTTTCCACACTTTTGTGATGGAGTCCTAGACACAGGATGAGCGGTCTGCATAGAATGCATGGAAAGGATGCTTACGAGGAGCACAGCAGCAGGCTTTGAGGTTGGCGCTGACTTGCGGAAAACTTCGTAGACAACATCCAGCTCGCACAATGAAGAAGCCGCTATGCTTGATTGAGGCGCACGGTTAACGATCATGCACATGACGATCTATGATATCCATCGTAACGCACTCCAATTATCGAGTTGGACAGGGCTACTCACAGCAGCGGATAAAGCATGTGACCATATAAGACTTATCCGCTCAATCGCTTGCGGAATCTTTCTGACTGCATGCGAGTGACTTTCTATCACTCGCCAAGCAGAGCGATACATCGCCATGACCGAGGGGCCGTACTTATGCTTCAAGAGGTCCTTTGGTTGGTCCTCCAAAGCTTGTGTAAAGTATCGTCGATGGATATTCAACAACGCTAAACACGCCGCAAATAAGTTTCATGAACGGATCATAATAGATGTAACGTGTGTGCCCACTAGATTCCTTAGTCGAAAGAAGCATAGACCTTTGGACACGAACGAGAGTAGCGGCTTCTGTGGGAGCTTCGTTTGCATCACAGCAGGGCTGGAGATGAGGTGGGACAGGGAAATCGCGGATCTTTCGATCGAGTTCGAGGATGGTACTATAGGTGGGTATTTTGGCTCCAAATGCATTGACCATGACATGGTGCAGAAGCCGCGAAAACTGCCACGACCACATGTGCCCTAAGGAGATATGTAAGGATGGTGAAGTACAATAACGAGGACCACATACCGCTCATCTCCTTTTCCCCCTTATTGTTGACTACAGCGAAATCATCATTTGGATATGGCGTGTCGACCCAATCGGGAGAGACGTTTGGTGGGCGGCCGGCGTAGAAGCTCTGAAACGCAAAACATGAGTGAGAAGTCATGGCGCGAGTTTAGATGGCGCACAATCCAGGTGTCCAACATGAACATCTGCCAAAAGGCGGTGTTGCGTGTTTGAACAACAGCGTCGCTGAGCTTCCACCTAGCACTAGAGAGATCTTGAGGATATGATCAGTCCCAGACGAACCGAACGAGTAGTATGAAATACGTACGGACGCCAATCTAGGGAAATGGATGAGAGACTTGCAATACATAGAGTGGATAAACGAACCCTGTAGCCAAGCTTTACAGCTAAACCCATGAACAAGTATGATCTGCTTGAATCCATATCTAGGTCACTCAATTCCAGGTACTGCACAATATGCAGCTAGTGTAGATTTCAGCATCTGCACAGTGGTTTCTCGCTTAGGGAAGAAACAGACCAGTGCGATGAGAGTATGGACACTCGTTTCCATGGTGGGGGAATGAAAGTGTATTGCCACGTGCGATAAAATATGATATTCCTGTGCCTCCACAGCGTAAGATGGCTTGTCAAAGTCAAAGAGGGCAGCAAGAGCGAATATGCTGAACAGGAGCGAAAGGTCATGAGGACCAGGTATTGCCTCGTAACAACTGTAGGGGAGACCTGCTCAGGAGCACAACAAGGAAGCAGCGGAAGAAACTTACTTCGCCCGATAAACATTTCCAAGGATGGTATCAAAAAGCTCCGATCGTGTCAGGGGATTCCACCTGGAAGAAGTGGTTAGACATCATTCAGTCACGGTCACCTGGACGTACAAGACTTTACCCCATTCAAGGTAAATCTCGCTAAGGCGAATCGCCTCTGATAGTGGAGGCAGATATGAATAAACAGGTTTCCAAAGGCCATTATCGAATGGGACATTGTCAGAACCAGGCAACCAAGCATCAAGGATCTGTTTCGAAAGTCGTGGAAAGGTTTCAGAAAATGGAGCCTTCGGTTGTTGTTTCAGAGGTGGCTATAGAAAACATCAGACAATTGTCACAAGGAGGTCACAACGAACTCCACCTGCATGAGATACTACCAAGATATTCAGCGCGTAGTTCACTATTTTTGAGTGTAGGACTTACTTCTGGTCGGGCATTGGCGCCCGTGAAAACAGTTGATCCACGAGGGCCAATGGCGAGCGTTCCTGTACGCGAAAACTTAGCTACGTGCATCGACCACAAAATTCAATGAGCGTTACCAAACGCCTTTGAGACAGAATCGGCATCAGCCTGATTTGAAGGCTGGGGTTGTTGTTCTGGAAAATTGCTGCTTGAGCTGGATTCCGGACTATCACTGGAAATGGCTGTAATGGAGTCTGACAGCAGTGGGTGCGGTAGATCAGATACTTCAGACTGCATTTGACGAAGCCCTTCCTCAAGTTCACGTATCCGTGCTGACATGACTTCGATCTTGCTGTGTAACTCCTCTGTGTTTGCGAGAACAAGGCTGTGCACGTCTCAGAACTGTCATGATAAGAGGAATAGAAGAACTGCATACCGATTGCCCTTTCCCGCTGTCAATGATCCTGAATATGTTTGAGGCAAGCAGCTTATAGATTACAGAACGAGCACACCACTAGGACATATTGCGGCACAACCACGTTTCACGCAGGTCTCGCATGGAATCTACACAACAACCAAGTCAGTAAGCTAGTGGATGTCGAAGAACAGAACCACAGACCTTGCGGTCACAGCGAAGTTTGAGTCTGAACCGACAAAGGATCCGAGCCTTTGGTCAAGATAGCCCATCTAAATTGAGCAAAATGAAAACTCGCCTTCTACACTCTGCACAAGATGTGGGTACTCTGCCAGGCTTCTTCCTTTCCTTCTGCTCGCCGTTCTTCAACTCTGTCGTCCTGGTCATTTTGCGATGAAGGTACGTACACAAAAAGATCTACAACAGGAGCGCGTCACGTACATGACTAAGCACCGATCTTGAACACGGCCCTCGGCACCACTCGAGCTGGCGACGCCGAGTCGCACTGCTCTCATGACCCGGGATTTTTTTTTCCAAGGGCAAATATGCTTTAATGCGCCTGCATGGCCACTATAAACTCCAGGATGCCCCGTTTGATATGGAACAAATCGATTAAGCAGGCCCGAACTTTCACAGCATATTTGCGACACTTTGTCTGGGCATGATATCAAGTTGAGGCACACTTGTTATCTAGTACAGGACACCTGAATGCCAGCAGATTCCAGGGAAAAACCATTGGCAGGATCCGCGCCGCGGTAGGGAATCGGGATTGGCTTTCACGCGAGTCTCTTGTCAGGGATGAATTGTGTCCTTAGATCATGCGCCGCAGAGATGGCCCTTGGGCACGCTGCATTGCGACTGACATGTCGGCTTGGCAAACTGAGTCCACCATTTTGTCAAGACAAATCGCCCTGAACCAAGGACATATTCATCTCGTCATGTCGAAATCCTATCACTTTGCCGATGTCTGGCGGGGACCTTCTGGCAACGCCTATATGCGGACACCTGAGCCTCAGCGGCTGACGCTCAGCTAAACTAATGGGTCTAGGAATCAACCATTTTTAGCTCTGCGGATTCTGCGCAGTTCTGTGCCCGTTATTTCGTTCTCAGTTGCGCGTCACGGTTTTCCAAATGGTACCCGGAGATTTTAATATTGGTAGATCATGAGTGAGTACAAGCAGTAAACTACATTGCGCACACATTGGGATAATTCAGCCCATCTGTCTTAGTACTGGGAAGACGTGGAGTGAATGGCGGGCTCTTGTCACTGGTCAGGATAGCTCGTGCCCCGCCTGCTCCTGCGCTAGAAGGTGTATCCAAAGACGCCCACCTGTTTGAATGGGCTAGTATTAGGTGGAGCACACATCCTGTATTCTTCGCGTCGTTGACTGAAATAAGATTACGGCGCTTGAGCTAACCATTTCGACGCGGCTTCTGCAGGTAATATGACTATCTTGAGCAAATCTTAAGTGCATGAAGTAGACTTACCGCCGCGTTTCCGATCGATCCGAAGAGTCTGAAAAAAGTATAGTACTATACTTACTACGCACTCTGGACTAGCTGTGGGCTGGATACCATGCCTTCGGAGACTGTAATCACCGTTCAGATTTGATGCAAGAATCGCTTCAAACTTCCTGTGTTACATGGGAAGACCTTGAGGCAGGTCTGAGCGGCACTGCCACGATGCCACACTGGCTGGTCGTGCAAACTCAAAAGGTTTGATGCGGGAATGTGAGAGTAAATAACTCATGCAGTGGCTTACTAATCGAGACAACTTCTTCCGCTCAACTTTAACGACGCCATGTAAAGTGACTGCCTGATTTTCTTGCATGAATCGGATTCACAGTATGTAACAATATCGCTGCATGCTCCACTTCCTCGGATATGCGACAATGTGTAGCGGAGAAGTTCCTGTGCGTCACCAACTCGGAAGTCGGCTTTCTCTTGGACCAATATTAAGTAACGATTCCTTACATATGGGGAACTCGGTTTGAGGTAAACCGGCTAAGCGAAGAAAAGTCAAGTCTTCTCATCCAACTTCAGAACAAGCAGTACACGTCGAAGCCTTCAAGTCACGCTGGAACCAAATGATATGGCACTGGCAACTTCCGTTCAGGACTTGAACAATACAATGCCGTTTGCCGGGTCGACAGCTACAGCGGTGTCAGACGGCGGCACTTGCTCGGGACCGGCATTATTGGGCAGGGCCTGAGACGACCCTTAGCTTCGAGTTCCAGCAGATTTGCAATTGGTTGTTATTCGGTTCGGACGACAGGCGGGAACTTACCTCGTGGTATCCGTCACGGAAGCTTTTTATACCCAAGAATATACACTTTGATGTGCGCCCTTCCGGCTCTTAAAAGGCCACCAAAATAGCAGAACTCAGCTAGGTTTCTCCCTCTCCCTCAATCATGGAACAAAACGTGCAGCCTCCATCGTTACAGCAGAAGCCGCTACCAGCTCCACTCATCTTGAATGACTATCCTGATGTTCCAAACGTTGCTTCTTCTCCGACTTTTAGTGGGCAGTCCTCATCGCATATAGGTGACATTCTACCTCCTGCGCATACCCACCGGACGCTGGTACTGTGTTTGTAGGTCGTTTCTATAGAGCCCTTTGATCACTGACTGACTATCCTGTTAAGTGATGGAACCGGTGACCAAGTGGGTGCACTTCGTTCTCTAATAGCGCTTAACAGCTTATCGGCCTTGGTGAACAGTTTGATTCAGATGTGTGTTACCGTTTCTTTCTCTTTCCTAATCCTGAAGGATCTGACGGGCCTATTAGAACTCTAACATCGTCCAACTATTCAGCATGCTCGTCAAGGATGATCCCACTCAACAGCTGGTATACTATCAGGTAATGTGAACTGTTTTGTGGGCCTGGACTTGGCTTAACTATAGTGTGACCTAGGCCGGCATAGGAACATACTCTATCCCGGAAATGGCCACACCCTTTATGGCCAAGGTCTCCAAGACTGTCGACATGATGATTGGGAACCATCTCAACGCCCATGTGATGGGTGGGTGAATCTTATTCTCCTTCCGTCTTCAATTTCTAATTTCAAACAGGAGGATACGAGTTTCTCATGCAAAATTGTAAGTCAGAACGCACTCCGCGGGTAATGCAACTAATTTTGGCTTTGGTAGATGCCGCTGGTGATAAGATCTGCATCTTCGGCTTTTCAAGAGGCGCTTATACGGCGCGCGCGCTTGCTGGAATGTAAGTTTGCCCGAATCCTTGTCGGCCATAGTCCCAACATATTATACTTGCAGGATTCACAAAGTTGGGCTTTTACCTACCTGCAACCATCAGCAGGTTCCTTTTGCGTACAATATGTACAGTCGCGATGATCCTGAAGGCTGGGCACAAAGTAATGCCTTCAAGAAGGCTTTCTCCATTAATGTGGATATAGAATTTGTTGGTGTTTGGTAAGTGCTCGGCGCTGGTTTTGTGTGGCCCATGACCTGAACTTCATTTGTGAATAGGGATACCGTTAGTTCGGTAGGAATCATTCCTAAACGATTGCCCTTCACGCGGGCGAACAACAATATCAAGTATTTCCGTCACGCAATTTCTCTTGATGAACATCGGGTGTATGTGTCTTGAATTCCTCTTCAATGATTCGTTATCTGATTTGCAATGCTCAGGCGCTTCAAACCTAATCTTTACACACGCCCAACCGAGGAGGACAAGAAGTGTGGCGTCAAACATCATGAAATGCCTCGCAGCATCCGGCGGCGTTTCCAGAAACGGCAGGAAAGCGAAATTAAAGGCAGCCCAGACAGTGATGACACCAAGGGATCACATCACCATCACCACGCTGAGCAACAGGACCTGCTGGAACGCCAGTATTCAACTGACGAGCTTATCGTTGAGACGAACGTCGAAGAGGTTTGGTTTGCTGGATGTCATTGCGGTAAGCACCTAAAATTCGGCAAAGTGCAATTCTAATCTCGCAGCAGACGTCGGCGGAGGTTCTGTCAAGAATGGTACCCGCAATAGTCTAGCCCGCATACCACTTCGGTGGATGATTCGACAGTTGTTCAAGCTTAACATCGGTATCCTCTTCCATCGGAGCATGTTCCCAAAAATTGGCATGGATCCTGGGACGCTCTACCCTTTCGCTAAGCGGCCTCCTGCAATCTTTCAACTTCCGACGGTCCTGTCTCCTCCTGGCACGCCGAATTCGACGATAAAGGCCCTTACGCTTCCACCGCCGAAAGTCGTCACCGATGACCCTGCGATGATCGTCTATAGCGACGGTGGCAAATTCGTGAGCGAGGAACTCGAGGACTTGGCTGATGCTACCAGCCCAATGTACGACCAGCTCCGCCTCGCACGTGTATGGTGGGTTCTGGAAGTCATTCCACAACTGCTTCACTACCAGAAAGACGATGATGATTCTTTGGTTGACGAGTACACGTGCGTCATCTCGTGTTCTATTATATTTACTTTCATGCTGACCTTGATGAAAGGGTCAACATGGGGCATGGTCGGCACGTTCAGCTCCAACACAAGGGCGTCAAAGTCCACAGGTCTGTCAAGATTCGCATGGAGGCGGATAATCTCGAAGGTGGAAAATACTGGCCCAAGGCGAAACTAAAGGTGGAGCCTGAATGGGTTGATTGAGCTGTTCCGATGTGATTCATGACCCCTATGAGCTTGGCTTTCTTGTATCCATGCCGCGATCTGACTTGATGATATCATACCGTGCACCTGTACGTAGTACCTGTTATATTGTAGTGAATGACCCATTCTTTTAGTGCTATGCGTTTCAACTTGATAATACACACGTGCGTTCAATACTTTATGTGAGGAAATGCTCGACCTACAAGGAAGGAATGTCTCTTCCTCGATTGACAGTCTGTCTCGGGTAGACTAACTCCCACTCCATTCTATTATTTGTGCTTATGATACAGACAGAGTTCCTCGATTGTATCCATGTGATCATGCTTGTCAGGAAGCTGTGCTGCAAATTGACAGCAAGAGTATATGGTCTGATTGCCGGTTCAAAATGTGGTGAGAGTCCTCAAACTCCAAGGTCAGCGCTCTCATCATCTTTCTTTGTCTATAAAGGTTTACAGTATAGCACTCCCAGCTGCTCTCAGGCTGTCTCAAGCTCGAGAAAAACTTTTTTTGTGATGGGAATGAACTTGTAAGTTAGTGGCATGGCCCCGACATCTCGGACGCATTGCCCCCTGAGGTTAAATAACACCTTTCTTGAGGCGGGCCGGAACTGCGCTTTGTGGCTGGGAGTAGACCTGCGATATCACAATCACTGATGTGCGCTAGCGCTGAGCCGTGATGCGAGACGGCCGCTTGACCCAGTTTTTCACTGAATCACTGGCAACACAGCTGTTGTTTTTGCGTGCTTATTGCCTTTGGCTGTCGCAGGCCTTCCCAATATGCAGCTAATTCTGATCACCTGGCCTGGTCGGCATTAATGAGTGGCGATTTCGTCCACGGGAGACATACATTCAGTGAGTTCAGCTATCTCTTTCAATCGAAAGGTTCGTTTTACTAGCGCACAGCCAAACCAGTGCCGGCTCTTTAATAGGAGAGAGCAAAACATCCTGTACGTTCTGAACCGGTTATTTAGTGATCACCCTGCTTGACGCCGACCACCAGACGACATCGTATCCCATCCCATCATCAGCTGTGCGTGACGGAACCAAATCGTTGCAACATCGTGAGGTGGTATTTTTGTTATCTTGACATTAGAAGTGGAGAACAACTAATATTTTGGTACGTTCTTAGTCTCTACACCATCATGATGGTTTGCCAGCATCAAACTCACAAGCAGCGCCTTCAAGTTCATCGAATCTCCGAGTCGCACTTTGCCGACGGAAGACCCGCTGTCACTGGTGCTGTTGCTAAATCATGATGGCGGCCTAGCTGCAGTTCGATAGTCGGCCTTCGGCGTGAACATAGTCCGACGAAGTGGTGATAGCATTAGGCACAATCCGTTCACCGCAGTTGGAACAAGAACGCGAATTTCATATACTTGCCTGGATCAACCAGTCGGCTCTGGTTCCCCACACCCTGACACGGATCGTATACCACGATGCTGCTAAAGATGGATATGTGACATTGATGGGGTCTCTCAACATCACTCCATCCTAGCGAGTCGACACTGTCTGCCACCTGGATTTCTCACCCTGTGGGCGTAGACCCCTTGCAAAGTTCATGTCATCACATGTGCTACGAGTGATGATGATAACCAATCGGATATGGTGTAATGGTTAACATTGCCGCCTCTCACGCGGCAGCTCGGGGTTCGATTCCCCGTATCCGAATGTTTTTTGCTCCTCGTAAGATTTCTTTCGACGCCCTCCTTCAACCTACTTTTGTTGACGTCCAACGGATGTTTTGAAGTTTTGTTCATCGGTTTCATTCTGAACACAATGAACGAAGCTTTAAATTGAAGACATCTTAACTGCATAACAGCGTCAAGATGTCATCGATCGTGAGTCTCACTCTGCTTAAACATCGAATTTGAAGGGCTAAACATCCTCCAGATAGACTTCGCCGCACTTTTTGGGGGTGGTCGCTGTACCATAACTCACGATAAATACAACTGCACGCCTCGTGATCGCGCTAAACCAAGTGACATAAGAGTACAAGCGTGCTAGATGGGTAACAATGGAGAAAAAAACGGGAGCAACAACAAAGACAGCATCTATCGATAATGAGCAAATAGCACTTGGCACGGTACACTGACAATTCCAAGTATGACCTCGCCATGACTTGAACGGATTTCTTACTCTCCCCCGCCTGCGAGTTCGAGAATCAACCGACATGCAACATCCATAAATACAAAGGGCGAAACCACCTCGTCTTCCTTGAGTGCGAGATGGTCTTTGTCCTTGATGGATCGTCCATCTGAACTCGAGTCGGGGAGATAAGCATCGGGGTCCGCCATATCGAATTTTCCAGCACCGGGTTCGACGGAGGCTTTGTATGTCTTTTTGTGGTGGAAGTCGACGAGATAATTTATTGAGTCCACCATGTAGAGCTGGAGATTCATGAGGACCTGGTGATGGGTCAGCTGCATCATAAGTCTTAGATGGAAATAGAGGTGTACGTACGACAACGTCCTGCACTCTGGCTCGGGTCTCTACGAAGTAGACACTTGCAGCCACGCGCAAGTCTACTGATTCACTCCCATCCATCTCCCTTGCACGCTCAATCTTGGCGCTGCCGTCCATGCTGCTCCTCGGCCGGGCCTTAACACCTCCCAAGCCGCCCAAGCTCCTCTTCTCCTTCCACTCCATCCCAAGCGCCTTAAGTGTTCGATAGATCTCCAACATGACTTCCATCGGGGGACTTCTGCTGCGAATCCCAAAGTGCCACTTTGTCCGGTGTTGCTTCTTCTCCTTGACAGGCCATGCGCGTCTGGCAGTTGCATATGATGCGAGATGGTGCTGTTCCGGTAGTTGGTCAGGGAGGGGTAGCGAAGAGTTGAGCACAGCAAATGTGTTAAGGTCGCGTTCGCCTTGTTCACCGTCTATCGGAGGCGTGGAAAAATCGAGGCCGTCGTCGATTTCGTCATCTTCTTCCCCATCGTCATATTCAGCGTTGAATTCGGCTTCAAAGACGTTTTCTTCAAGGTCGCCTGCAGGTGAGAGAGCGTTGGGTGAGAGCGTATTCCGGGGCTGGTGAATCATGAGTAAAAGTGCGAAACCATCAAGATCTGCACTCACGTCCATTGCTGCGAGCTGGGCATCGCGTTCTTGTTCCTCGAACTCTGCCACTTGGAAAGTGATCAGTCAACCAGTGCTGTAAAAATTAGCCACGCAGATAATGTAGATACCTACAGTCACGACCAGCACGGCGTTTGTCTCGTAGGAGCATGTATGCAACCTTGACCGCGTTCCCTTGAACACCGTCATCCCGCCTCAGACACTCCCAGATGTCTTCCTTGTCCACTCCTTCCATGCGCGTTGACAGTTCATCGATGATGTCCTCCTCAATGCGTCCAAGACCGTCAATAATCTCAAAATCCAGCACCTTGGCCTGAGTGACAAGGGACGATAGCGTACCAAGCACAGGACCAGGAGGTGGAGGGAGAGGAGTAAGGTAGCGGGGAAGATCAGTCCTGAAGAATGCGTGCTGCGTTATTTCGGGGATGGTTATACGTTTGACAGGGTCGATAGCAAGCATGTGGTTAATCAGACCGCGGGCATCCGAACCAAGATAAGACGGCATATGGTAAGACCCCTCTGTAAGATATCAGTACGTACGTTCTCTAGAAGAAGCATAGAAGGGGAAAGACGCACGGCTTATTTTGGTGAACAGGGTTTGAACGTCGTCGTCCTCGAAAGGTAGCCTTCCACACAGCATGACATACAGGATTACTCCACAGCTCCAGACGTCGATCTCTGGGCCGGTGTAAAGTCCTCCTCGGATCACTTCTGGCGCTGCATAGTTTGGACTGCCACAGCTCGTCTTGAGGAAATCACCATCCTTGATCTCATTGGAAAGTCCAAAGTCCGCTATCTTGACGTTGAGATCGTCGTCAAGAAGCACGTTCTCTGGCTTGAGATCTCGGTGGACGATTTTGAGCTTGTGGCTGTACTCTATCCCTGAAATAAGTTGCTGAAAGAACCTCCGAGCTCGGGGCTCCGGCATCCGTCCATTAGCTACGATGTAGTTAAAAAGCTCGCCACCAGCGTACTCGAGAACGATGATGATATCTGTAGGGGTCGAGATCACTTCGTAGCTAAAGAAAAATGATAAGATGGAGCAGCAACAATTGTTTGAATGGACATACAGTTTGATGATATGTGGGTGCCGAAGGGTTCGCATGTACTCCACTTCCCTCTGAACGCGAGTCTTGGTCTTGGTCATATGGATAACTGCCTTGGATATGTACTTCATGGCAACTTTCTGGCCTGTTATTGTGTGAGTAGCCACTGGAGAACATTCGTTAGTCCATCCAACGCAGAGATCAAGGAAATTTGTAAGATGCACTTTTGACCTTGCCAAACGTCCCCTCCGCGATATCCTGGATGACTGTGTACTCACCCAGCTTTGTAGCTGGGTACACTGTTTGTTCGCTCATGGCGGAGAGCCGTCGGTATATAAGTTGTCGTTGCCGTCGTCGCGATCGTGGAGCTCGTGCTGTGAGTCTGAATTGCGGGAAAATTGGGAAGTGCTCCTGGGATTGATGCAGTTACGTACTTGATTTTGGGGTCTCAGTTGCTTATGTATATCTTGTGATTCCCAGGTTGACCCAAGGAGCCACTTTTTGCTTGGCAATAACTGTAACAAAGTTCAAAAGCGTCGGATTTACCGATTTTGGTGTAGATTCAATTGGGCGTGGATTTTCTTACCTGTGAGAGGACGAATACATACTGATTACCTCGAGGCTCCTTGAGGTTCGATTTCTACCCTAGTATCAATGTCAGTGACTGAGTACTGAGTGATCGCACCCCCACATCGGAGTTTCGAGGCTTAATAAACCCTAATAAATTGTTTGAAGTGGGGTATATTATGCCCTTCGACATCGCCTGCTGCCAAAAGGTGTTACATATGATCGCAGTGGCAAATCGCAAAATTCCAACAACCTTCTCCTCGATGCGACGGGAATAGGCTTCCCCCCGGGGGGTAACGATGATCCAGAGCTCATTCACCGATCACCGATCAATGCACATCTTCAACTCCTCCCGCGATCCGCCTTCTCCGGTTTACCATCAAGTGAACATTAAGTACCAGGATTCTCTCCGTTGTAGCGAACTCAACTGAATCGAATAAAGAAGGTGAATCTGACATGGGCTTGGCATGAAACCTTTTTGCAGGTCTTTCGAAGGGCAGATCCAGCGAGTGCTTGAGACGCTAGCTTGCATGTTGGACTTTAATGCCGTCGCGGGAGGGATGCGTATTTAAAAGTCCGACTTGCCTTGCCGAATGATGCCGCTAACACGACAAAGGGGCTGTTTGCGAGTAATCGAGACTGAGCACAGGAAAGTATGACATTCTCTTAGCAATATGTTGTCAAAAATGACGGCAAATTCAGTTGAAAGGTTTGGAATCGATAATTATCAGCCGGTATGCCTGCAGAAGACTATACTCATTTTTTCATGGACAGTGGACCCACCAAGCTGCATGTACTTCCAATAGAACTACCCTCATCTTCAGGTTGGAAGATCCCTCAATCGGAAACACAAACGGCGTTTATCCACCATCCGGTCAGATGTCCCCTCAGCTGATGGGAAACTGTTGATGACGAGCAGTCTTGGCAATAATGTCTACCTTATCAAGGTGATACTTCAAATGCTCTGGAGCAACCTTCTCTTGCCACGTCCCATGCATGATGCACCTCCGTCCGACCGGGAGGTAATTTCAATTACAAAGTGTTACACAGATTTTGCCCGTAGATAAATTATATCTAGATACGCGCTCTGCTACTACGTCACGATCCCGTAAGTCCGCGTGCTCCATCAATTACAATTCCTACTAGACTAGTGCGAAAGCCCATCAGTGACCACCGTAGTAGCTCATCGAGCTACAAGAACACCGAAAGCGAGGCTTCTTGTGCGATGCTCGGCATTCGGGCAATATTGGTAATTGCTGAACGTTGAACAGCTAACTTCTGAGGTACCTTTGCTGCTATCATTTTGAGCGGAATACTCTCAAACCTACCAGATTCCAGAACACGTTCGCAAGGATTACACCCACCTTCCGACGGCTCGTTTGACAGCAGTACACGAGCTACAAATTAACCACAAACTCAGCAGCCAATTTATTCAATCAATGATCACCTGGTTCCCGAAACAAGTTCATTCTTCTGCGCTTGTCACTGCGATACCACGCCTGGACCCTGGGCTCCACTGGCATTCCAACATACGGCACAACTAGGCACAGATAAGAATGTGTTTGTGTTACATCTCCATGGACAAGTGCGGACCGTGACTTATAATCGTCCTTCCCTTGATCTCACACCTGATATTCGTGTAACCCTGTCGCCTTTGTCAAATTTGTTCATAAAAACGGAGGGGCAGTGCGGTATAGTGGCGCATCAAGGCAGGCCACTTTTTCTCTGGATGCCAGTCAAGCATGCGACTAATCAAGCAAAAACTTTGATCTTCGCTGTCTATCTTTGTTATCAGTACAACATGCCGTGAATGAATGGCATGTGAACCAGACGCACCGTCAGAGTTGAAATGGGACACCAGTCTCAATGTCTCTTCCGACAGCTCCTGCTCTTGGGGGCGCCCAACAAGATTGATGGGCATCACAGGGTGCATTTAGGTGGTATATTTTCCGCGTTCAAGTTGACAACGCCATCAATTAAACCATTCCCTTCCAAAAGATTCCGCGGCTTTGGTACGCCATTTCAACGCGGGAATACAGTGCAGGAACCCCAAAAACCATAGCGCCGAGGTCAAGGATTGTTGCTTCTGGTACGTTATAGCAGTAGGTTAGATGTGATGCGTAATGGTCTTCCCAGATTCAGCGACCAAAGAGCAGAATCCAATCTCTTTGGTCGGCCAGGAGACAAGTCGGAGCACCCGAATTCGTTCGGAGATAAGCAGATAGGGTGAAAGGAGGACTTTGCGAGGAAGCATATTTTCAGTTTTGAAAACTGGTAGCGCACAGGGAAAGGGGTGCAGTCATGGCGCGTCAACCTACCTGTACGTGTAATGATGCCGATACTTGGGCCGACCCGGTGAGAAGGAACTGAACCGGCTGTCAGATAGATGCCGTCATACAAACATCGCTGGAGCAATCAAATAATCCAGGTTCATAAATGAGACGCACCTTTAAAGTTCTTAATTTAAATAATCATTCATTGGTCTGACATGGCTGATTTTTATATTTTTCATCGCGGTAATGCACCAAGAGAGTGTCAACTCGGTGTTGTGCTCCTTCTTGCCGGGATCGTATTCAAATAATTTTTCCCTTCGAAACATTGGTAACGAAGTTCAGCTAGTTTGGGTTGCAGCCAGTGACCACATACCGACGAGGGTTTCAACTGAGCTATACAATCTATCACCTGTTGCAGGGATCACCCAGCTCTACTGAGAAGGTGAACTTCTCATGACAATCCGATCTTCTATCTTTCTCAATAGGGAGCGAAGCCTGCGTGTTTCAATGACCCGGAGGACACACGGAAAGCTTAACATAGGTCAGAAGTGTCTGCGACGACTGTCACAGACTTCCGAATAAACAGATCAATTTACTCAGCTCGGACTAGAGCCACGAAGTGAAGTGAAGGCAATAAAAAAGCCCACCACCTTGTATTTTGAGGACATCGTCTGCCCTCAAAATAACATACGATGAAAGCGGCTGTAGAAAGCTGTAAGACCAATACGTTTAGTGAGATCTCCCTCACTCGAAAGCGAAGCATTCCAGGATCTGGGGGATTCTGTCTGTGACACGCTAACCATGATAAGGATCGGCACGTCAGCATCACTCTAAAATGTCCAAAGAGGTTCGTCAGGCAAGATCATGCGTGATTTCATATGTAGAGACCGGATGGTAAAATATACAGATGTATATGCGGGAATGATGATGCTTCGAGTCCTATGGTACAACACATGAAACAAAGAAGGAGAAAAGGAATCGGAGGAAAAACAAACACGCAGCGTAGATTATACAGCCACTTTTGTGGCCATCACCTCCTTCCTCAACGCATCGCACTTCATTTCTTGCCCTTCAGCATGCTCAATCGTCTTTGCGAGTTTCTCCTCCCTGTTCTGCAAGCGCTGCTCCATGCCGAGTACGAGAAGGCGGATTTGTTCCACCTGCGTTAACGTAGCTTCAACCGCCGCTTGAGAGACAGGCACGGAGGCAGATGAATCAGAAGTGCCTGACTGAGGCGTCGGCGTCCCTCGAGCGAAGACGGACCCCATTACAGCGCGAGCTGCGAATGTTGAAGAAGATGGCGCGATGTCAAGCGCACTCTGGAAGCAGATCAGATACAAACGATTGATGATGTCGAGCAGAAGTGCATACCTGCCAGTTCTCGCCCGCAAGTTTGGCCAAGGCTTGCTCCAAACCTTTCTCCCTTGTCTTCACCCTACGACAACATACCGTCTGAAGTGAATAATAGGCACACAGATATGCACGCACCTGTCCAGTTCTGCCATGCACCTTTCATTCTCTCTCTGGGTTCCCTGCAGAATTAGATCCAGATTTTTATATTCCTTCTCTAGCTCCTGGATCCTTTCAATGGGTGGCCTCAAAGCAAGTTGTTGTTGTAGCGTCAATATCGTTGATTGAAGCTTTATTAAGACCAAGTCAGCTCATTTGCGCTGCACATATCGTCGCCCTCGATTGATTAAGCTGACCTTATCATTCTCGCGGTCTTTGTCTAGGAGCTGCCGTCGCAGTACATCTTCGATAGCTTCGTCCCCCTCACGAAGAATGCCGAGATCGTCTGCAGCTAGTACAAGAGATGGCTTGATTCCGTAGTTGCGCACACTCTGTGCACGGCGCATGTTTGCCATCTCACATGCAGGTTGTGGTTTAGCGAAAAACCACTTGCGGAGACGCGTGTTGACAACAGCATGCACGTGACTGACGCGTTGCCGATTCAGAGAGTGATTTGTCCTCAAGTGCTCAGCAAGTCACGTCGAATGTTCGCTGGAGCTACAACCAGTGGACGCCCTAAAGCACAAGAAACATCGAGATTAGACATCTTTGCTTTACATTCCAATTATTCTCATGTATTGAGTGCATCCAGCTCGATATAATCAAATACAAAACTGTTACAACAACAGTGAACGGGAAGCTATCATGCAGGATAATTTAGGTATTGGGTGATACGACCATCTGAAAGGTAATTCCCTGCGGAAAGTCCTGGGATTCTTTGCGGCACGTCCTAGGAATTACGCTGGTAGCACAAACGAAGGCGAGAAAATAGCTGCGAAGTCGATGGCTGTGCGATTCGATGAGTGTGAACGCTTGGAGAGAAGCTTCAGTGGCTAAGAAACATTGGAGTCAGGGACTGCGGAAGCTCGCTGGACGCGCTGGTGTGGAGAACCGCCTCATCTGCCTAGTGACGTCTTGATCACGGACGGAACTTGCTCCAGTGGTGAGAAGTGGCGCAGACATCCTATGAGTAGCACGGGAACCTTGTTTGCTGCCGCCTGAATCTTCAACGTCTGCTACGTTACTCATCTTCCAAAAGGCCCTTGTTACAGCATGCCGCAGTCTTGACCAGATTCGTTTTGATGGCGATGCACGAGGAGCCCTAGGTCCGGGAGGATCATGACTCATGGATGGAACAGTATCACGCAAGTCGGGCGCAATGGTTGTATTGCCATTGTATACGGGAAAATTCGAGACATTGAGACCATAGCTCACGTCACAGTTCAAGGGTTGTCCCGGGAAGGAAGACACGTCAGCGAAAACCAGAGGAGAAACCGGAGACGACTGTGCAGCTGACATGGAGTGATTAGCTGAATTCAACTTGGGAGATGATCGAGCAGGATAGATCCCTGGCTGTCCAAAGGAGAATGATGGCCTAAACATGGCGTAGTACGACGCTTGAGATTAGTGGATACAATGACAAGTAACGGGAATCCATACTCTTGCGATGTGAAGTAGTGAGCGGTCTCGAAGGGAACATTGGTCGTGCTCGCTGTGGATGACTTTCTGCTGCTTTGGGAAGCAGAGACAGCGAACGGCCCCATAGGGCTATCGAACATTGTAGAGAGGGAACCAGGGCTCGCGAAAGCTTCTCTGCCTTCCGTGATGGGGGAGAGATCCTTGTTCGAATGCTTGAACGTTGTCTCCTGTAGCTAAGATGATCAGGCATAGTTGTTGATTGGCACGTTGATATACCGGTTGGTCCGGACATAAGGAATCCTTAGGATATTGGATTGGTAATCGAGACGGAATGATGCTAGAAACCTGCTGGTCGTCTGATGCTTGTCGGGTTTTCAGTACGCAGAAGTCATGGGCGGGGCTCTTGACAGTCATTCAACATTTGCGCTCTAAACAGTGCTGAAAATAGACTCACCTTGGAGGAGAATTGTCTCCTTACGCGCCTCAGTCCAGGTCGAGGCGTGGGTGTAGGACTCGCATCATACATCTATACAGCACAAAGTTGTCCTCGTTTCCCAGCAACACATTCTTATAGCTCACAGTATTATCCTTTGGTCAGGGAGCAGAGATAGCCATCAAAACTCAGACAGAGGGCAGATGTATCATTGTATGCGCACCTCAACGGACTTAAGACGAGAGTACACATGTTGTCGGACGCGGCTCGAGAGCGGGGAACAATGATCAGCGAGAATATCATCAAATTCGAAATCTTGTTCATCTTCGACATTGAAGGGAGAAAACTGCTATGTCATACATGACTTAGTTGAAGACGAGTATGACAAGAATATGGAGAATTATTTGTTACCGTGAATGATGTCTCTTGGACGTGCGGCTGCATTTTTCTGGCCACCGAGCTGGGCGACGTAGTCCACAGGATGTCTGGAGCATATCGATCCGATAGGCGTCAGTGAAATAGTTCCATGCCATTCAATTGATCGTCACCAAATCTTTCTTGATGAACTTTGAACAGGGGATCTGGAGGTGAGGGTGTTATCTCGAAGGACTGCACCATGTTCAAGTCAGGTCCAGTTTCTACACAACATCAAAGCACCGACAGGCTTGGGCTTGAGTATGAGCTTAAGGATCCGCCGCGTGTTGGTGAGACCCATAACTACCAGGTGGGTGTGGTTATGGCCAGCTGCAGCGGTACAGGAGGCGGTGAACTATTAATTAATGTGGTTGCCGCAACCGTGGGGTTCCTTAAACTTGTCACAGTACGTGTACGTAGTGGCTACTGACAAGGGCTAGAAGTGATAGAAATGTCAGATCTCAGCCAGTCCGGGGGACAGCAAAGTTTAAAACCCCGCTCGATGTTTGCAACAGCGCCCGGATCACTACAACTTCATGCAGCCGCCATTTTTTGAATTTGTCAAATGATCATGGCATGCACATGTACATGATGCTCCGCCTCAACTCTGCCCGCCCATCACCACTAATCCGCCCCCTGCCCGTTTTCTTTTCCAGATTTGGAAGGTTTTTGCCACTGGTGGCAGCAGTGAGCAGGCGTAAGAAACGGTGACGAGTTACATTTCCAGAGATGTCCTCAAAAGTTCCGACTCTATGCAGACACAACCGCCTCGTTTTTCAATCTCATTGCTTCCGCTTGTTGATAGCTGTGGGCTGTGACCATATTAGCATGCTCCTTTTCATTACCCTAGGATGATCCGAACATTCTCAACCAACTATGACATCCTCAGATTCCTCACTCAATTATTCACATGATCCTTGCAACATCCCCAGCAACTAGTATCACATCCTTACATGTGCAGACACGATCAATCAATATTCCGTTGCTCCAGCAAGTGGAAGCCTGGACCCATCAGGACCCAGCCAGAACTTTGTCCGATTCCGTCATAAGCGCTGACCCTATCTGTGACGGTCATGCCCAGAACATCGAGCCTCGTCAGTTTAGGCACTGTTGGGACTGCTGCCCGCATGGGAGACAGTGAGTTCTTGTCGGTTCTTGCCTTCTCGCGTGACATACTGTCTGACAGCAGTGCGATGGGGTTGATGCCTGAGGGCGGTGACATTCAGGCCGTGCTTCGCAATATTCGAAAGCCTGGAATGCTGTTCTTGAGCCTTGCAGCCGGCTCGTGTTGGCTGCTTCAATCACCGGGGCACCTACAAGGTGCCTCTGCTGTACAATTCTGACGCCCATCAATGAATCTATAGGTAAATTCGATGTGCTGCGAGTCGATTCTGTCCCATTGATCTCGGCCCTGCGCATCGCAGCGCGGTGTGGATACCACATGCAAGCTGTGCTTCCCTCCTTCATAATCCGTCAGGACTTTGCAGCTACTGCATTGTTTCGTGACCTCCAGTACACATCTTACTTTCAAGTGTTAGTTTGTATCCCTCAGCCATATGTCAAGCTTCGTCCCTCACCCTCTCGATGATTGCCCTCTACCCTTGGAGCCGAGCCACCCAGAACGCCTCCAGGACCCCGAGACGAACATCTTGATCAGCGAAATGCTACAAGTCGCCGTGTATAGTATGTGCCATCTATTTTCATTCAGCTCGTACCGATGATTTCCCAAAGCCATTCTGGCGACACTTTATTTCGTCATTACTCTGCTGTTTCGTTCTGCGACAGACTCGGTGCCAGATCGACTCGGTGATACCCTCCCAGCCTTGGGTGAAGAGGCAAGCCACCAAGAACAATCCCAGGACCTAAGAGAGACACAACTCAGTGAAGTGCAACAAGTTGTTGTTACTGGTGTGTGATATCTATCTCTGTTCAGCACATATTGACGACTTCCCCCAAGCCATCCACGCAACTGATCTGTCTCTTGGTCTCCGACGGATCCCCTCTGGCTTTCATGTGGTAGTAACGGTTGATGGTGCTGAATATCAGACAAGCAACAAAACTATACATGTAGACCAGTATGCCGTCGAATGGAACGAGCGCATAATTCTGTAAGTTGTCCTTGATCCCGTCTTTCCTGCAGGCACTGAGAAGGACTCTAGGCCATGCGAGCCATCTTTTCTAGTTCGGGTCAGCGTGCATGCCTCTTTTGAACTGGATCCCACGCTCGGTCATGGAGAAGTCCTTCGCAAATTCAATATCTCGGTGGGAGAATTACTGGATCGCAGTGAAAACTCACGTCGTCAGTAACGTCTGTTGTAAATCACGCCTGGCAGATGTTGACGGGTATCACAGCTATAATCTTTCAGCCCAAGCAGGGGGAAGTCGCATCCCCGTGCACTTCGCTGTTCATGACAGTGGGGCAGCGACGATCTGATGATAACGACGCCGCAGTTCTTGAACCGCTTACCGCCGTGAGTGATCAATACCAGTCTGATATGCTGATGCTGAGTGCTTGTAATGTGTAGCTTACGTCCGACGACATGCGTGCATTAGTAGGAAGGACGGAGGCCGGACATAGTCTTCTTGCACGATACCGAAGGACACAGAACACTAGGGATCTCGACCAATCCATAACGCACTTTGAACGTGCGTCTGATCTGTGCCCCATGGATCATCCCTGCCGCCCTGCAGCGCTGTTCAATCTAGCTGCGGCGAAGTTTGTTAGTTGCCAAGTAAATGGAACATACCTCGACCTGGACATCCCCATCTCTCATTTTCAAGACGCCCTTGACTTGCGTCCTCCTGGTCATCCTGACCGACCGATCACTCAGCTCCATCTTGCCACTACCCTGCTGTCTCGTTTCGCGAAACGGGGATCTCAAGTCGATGCTGATGCAGCCAAGAAGTTACTGAGTGAAGTCCTCGACGTTTGCCACGCCAACAGCCACATTTCCAGAGCAGCTTTGCTTGCAATCGACATATCTGATCTGCATCGAGCTGGAGCCATGGATGAACACGATGTTGTGCAGATGCAGCCCGCTGCATCCATGCTTCCGTTGTCGCCAAATCAACTTGGTCATCGTGTAAAGCGGTGCTTGCAGAGAGATGATCCCCACGACTTGGATGAAGTGATCTCCCTTCATTACGATGCACTGCGATACTACGATACTATGCATGCTGACCGAGGGCAATTGCTATGCAATCTAGGCACAATGCTGGTAACTCGCTTCGAGCGTCGAGGCGATAGCCAAGACCTCGACGAGGCCATGACGCTACTCAGGGAAGCGCTCGATTTGTTCCCAGTTGGTCACACAAATCGGTCCACGGTGTTGGGTAACCTTGGGAAGGTGCTCTCTACCCGCTTCAATCACCGAGGTAATGACCAAGACTTGGATCAGGCTATCATGCTTGACAAGGATGCGCTGGCTTTGTGTCCAGTCGGTGACCCAGATCGGCCCATGTCATTAAATAACCTTGCGAGCGGGCTCTACACCCGCTTCCAGCACCGAGGCAACGACCAAGACTTGGATGACGCTACCATGCTTCACAGGGATGCGCTGGCTTTGCGTCCAGTCGGTCACCCAGATCGGTACATGTCATTCATTAACCTTGCAAGTGTGCTCTCCACCCGCTTCAGGCACCGAGGCAATGACCAAGACTTGGATGACGCTATCATGCTTGACAGGGACGCGCTGGCTTTATGTCCAGTCGGTCACCCAAATCGGTCTTTATCATTAAGTAACCTTGCGAATCAACTCTCCACCCGCTTCCAGCACCGAGGCAATGAGCAAGACTTGGATGATGCTACAATGCTTCACAGGGATGCGCTGGCTTTGCGTCCAGTCGGTCACCCAGATCGGTCCATGTCATTGAATAACCTTGCAAATGTGCTCTACACCCGCTTTAAGCACCGAGGCAATGACCAAGACTTGGATGACGCTACCATGCTTCACAGGGATGCGCTAGCTTTGTATCCAGTCGGTCACCCATATCGGTACATGTCATTAAATAACCTTGCGACTGTGCTCTCCACCCGCTTCCAGCACCGAGGCAATGGCCAAGACTTGGATGACGCTATCATGCTTAACGGGGATGCGCTAGCTTTGTATCCAGTCGGTCACCCATATCGGTCCATGTCATTAAGTAACCTTGCGGGTGTGCTCTCTACCCGCTTCGAGTACCGAGGCAATGACCAAGACTTGGATGACGCTATCATGCTTCACAGGAACGCGCTGGCTTTACATCCAGTCGGTCACACAAATCGGTCCTCGTCATTAAATAACCTTGCGACTGCGCTCTTCACCCGCTTCCAGCACCGAGGCAATGACCAAGACTTGGATGACGCTATCATGATTCACAGTGACGCGCTGGCTTTACATCCTGTCGGTCATCCAGATCGGTCCAAGTCATTAAATAACCTTGCGATCGCGCTCTACACCCGCTTCAAGCACCGAGACAATGACCAAAACCTCGACGAGGCCATCACGCGTCTTAGGGACGCGCTGGCTTTATGTCCAGTCGGTCACGCAGATCGGTCCAAGTCATTAAGTAACCTTGCGCTTATGCTCTCCACCCGTTTCCAGCACCAAGGCAATGACCAAGACTTAGATGAAGCTATCATGCTTGACAGGGACGCGCTGGCTTTACGTCCAGTCGGTCACCCAGATAGGTCCGGGTCATTACATAACCTTGCGAATGTGCTCTCTACCCGCTTCGAGCACCGACGCAATGTAGAAGACCTCCACGAGTCACGAGAGAATCTCTGCTGTGCATTGACTCTGTTGACGCAACATCATGATCCTCGTCAAATAGGGGCTCATGAATCGCTAGCTAAGGTTTATCTGTCATTCCATCGATCACAATTTGACGGCACTGGTGAGGACACTGACGGTCTGAATGTTGTCATGCATCATCACAAGGCAGCAGCGAATGTTGTCTCCGGAGGTTTGCGACTTCGCCTGCAAGCAAGTCTACTCTGGGTTCGCGATGCCCATCAATATTCACATGATACTCAACTGGAGGCTTATGCGACTTCCATGGAACTTCTGGACGCTTCCATGTCCGCGACAGCTTCAGTATCGTCTCGTCACAATTCCATGAAGGACTTCCCAAATACGCTTGCCATAGATGCCGCATCATGTGCTCTTCGTAGCGGTGATGTGTATCGCGCTGTCGAGTTGTTGGAACAAGGTCGGACTGTCATCTGGACCCAGATGACACGACTCCGCACGTCTCTTGATGGCCTCCTGGAACACGGCGATCATGCAGTGGCGCTGACGAAGAAATTCAGACACCTTAGCTCCCTCCTTGATAAATCTCCTGCGAATCATCTGGAAGAGACCACAAGAGTCAATGTAGAAGCCGAAGCAAGCCGGTACCGACGTCTAGTGGAGGACTGGAATAGAGTTGTAGAAGAGATTAGGAAGATTGAAGGCTTCTCTCGCTTCCTACTTCCCCCCTTGTTCTCCGATCTCCAAGACGCAGCTCGTGATGGACCTATTGTCGTGCTCGTTGCAAGCAAGTCGTCTTGCGATGCCATTATCATCCCGCACAAGCAACCTCCGATCAGCATCAAACTCCGTATCAGTTTGGAGAAACTCCAACATTTAGTGGTCAAACTCCAACGAGCAAGTCAACCACAGGCCGCTCCCAAACTCGCTCCCGAAACCACTCCAAAACCCGCTCCCAAAAACACCCACTCGGCCCTGATGAAAGCTTTGACGGAGTTGTGGGATGACATTGTCCGCCCGGTGGTCGACAATTTGGGCAGATTTGCACCACCAGGTTCCCGGATATGGTGGTGCCCAACGGGTGCCTTCAATTTCTTGCCGTTGCACGCTGCTGGCGAGTACAGGCAAGGTGGACAGTTGCTTTCGAAGCTCTATATCTCTTCATGCACACCATCGCTTACCGCCCTGATCAAGGCTCGCAGAAGTCATGACAGATCCCTGTCAGTGCCCTTTGCTGCCATCGGTCAGGATCACCCAGCCGGTCATTCATTCACTTTGGAGTGCGTGGAGCCTGAACTAGAATTGGTGCGGAGTCTTTTGCCCCCTCCTCCGGCTGTTTCCTTCACCAAGATAACGAGCGTTGATGCAACGAAATCGAGAGCATTGCGTGCATTGCGAGACAATACCTGGCTTCATTTTTCGTGTCATGGAACACAGAACTATACAGAACCCTTCAAGTCGGCCTTTCTCATGCGCGACCACCCGCTTTCACTCCTCGATATCTCACAAATGGATCTGTCTCAGCATGAATTTGCCTTTCTTTCTGCATGTGAAACCGCAGTCGGTGACTTTCGTACTCCTGACGAAGTCATACACCTGGCGGCTAGTCTACAATTCGCTGGGGTACAGAGTGTAGTTGGGACATTATGGGAGGTCAGTGATAGTACGGTGCAGCGCTTAGTCGAGGCATTCTACAAGAACTTGTGTGGGGATGGCAAGATGAATTCCAAGCGGGCTGCCCGTGCGCTGCACCGAGCGGTCCAGTCGTTGGCTAGTGACAAGGACATGCCATTGGAGCAGCGCATAGTGTTCATGCATATTGGCATATGATCAATTTTGTGCGTCCTTCCACCTCGTTGATTAACGCGTTTTTGACACAATCTGACGACATCGCGTGTAGCATCCAGCCATGACTACCCCGTAGCCTGTTGCCAAGAAGATACTTTTTTTTTCGCTATTTCAGACTTTGAGACTGTATAAGTACTTCCAGGATCCCCGTTAGGTACACCTATAATTCCGACTTGTATTCTCCAGCCTGTTGCCTCAGAATCAAACGTGATCGCTTCTAATGTGCAATGGGGATTCGTGTGTAAGAATGAGGAAGTTGTACCATTGGTTCATGCCATTGTGTCGTTGAGTGTCCCGAGGTTATGATGTCCAGGGACTGATCGCCCAGCTGGTAAGGTAGACTTTGCGCTGTTTCAGCAAACGTCACGTGCTGTGACCAACGTGTGACATGTACGTTGGCCGGACGAGTAATCCTTCTGAGACCGAAAAGTTCGGTCAAAATTCCTAAGGTAGACGACATTAAAATCCAACTACATTCACTGAGGGTAGTGAAGACAATGAATATCAAAACCAAAGACCTTTATGATCAGTGCTGAAAGCTAGGACATTAATTGACAGTTGATGTAAATCAGTGCCGCCGTGAGACACTGAATCGCTCATTGACAAACAATGAATTTAATGTTGGGGTGATAATCATTGTCTGATCCAAATTCATTGTCATATTCAAATTTGTTTTTTGTCAAAAAATAAAAAAAAATAAAACCCCTAATCTTTGCCACTTGCCTGGTTTGAACTCACAACTCCCGACCATGCAAGCTCAGCTGAAATCCCATAATCAATTCTCACGCATTTGAGCATTACTTACCACTAGACTACATGTCCTTGTATATATCTATGCAGCAATTGATATATATACCATACCCATGGGACTTAGAATAAAATATGATAATCTACTCATACGATAAATATGGTACACCGTGGGAATTATTCCGATAAAAATTAAAGTTGCAGTCCTTGTTAAGGGTAGTCTATCAATCGTCTCATGACATTTTTTGGTTAAGATCCTAGTAAGTTATATGCAAAATACTAGAAAGGTGGAGTGTTCAAGAAAGTTCAGGCACACAACTAATATTGCTTATTGCAGCCGTCCCTAGGAATAAATATAAGTACAAAATCACTCCTTATTCTCCTTAGCTGCCTCGGTCACTGAATTTGTTTGCTAAGTACATTATGGAAAAAATGGGACTACGTGATTTGCTAATGTGATTCAGTGTCCTTAAAATTTTGACAATGAATTTCGTACCCTTACATGATCGAGGGTAAAATTCAATGTCCCCAGTTGTCAATGAATGCAAGTAACCAGAGATTAAGTGACACTGGGAGTGAATTCAACACATTCATTGCCACTGTCACTTAATTTAATGGTTTTTACTTCCCACAGTGATTTTGAGACACCATTTTGCACAACTTATTGCACTTTCCTTATCCACTTTCCAAACATTCTTTTTGCACCAATCTGTTCCTAAGACCTCTCTAGATAGCTTGATGGTCTCAAATTTTCTCAAAACTGAAATTTAAGAGAGCTATTTCCACTTTTTCTATATGTTGTATTTCATCTCCAAATACATTTCTGACGCTATAGGCGGAAAATAAAATATTTGTCCCGTAGATTTGGCCACGTCATGTGATACCACTTTAACCATATATGGTATATTACATAACACCAGGCTGTGCCACAATCAAGGTAAGCACTACTGGTGCGTAGTCAGTCATAACCATACTCCTTTGATACTCCTAGTACTTTAAGTGTGGATGTAGGGTAAAATAAAAAGCTTATTGTTTTTTAATTTTAATTTTTTTGATGTTGTCAAAGTGATTTTCGAGGCAAATAGTTATTTTGGATTTTCGAATTCTGAGATTTGGCTGTGGGAACAGTCACGTGATCACATGGCGGCACTAGTTGTATTTCAATGTCGTCTACCTTATTATAGACAGTGTAGATAAACTACGAACTTCGAGTAAGTACTACTGTACTTGTAAGTAAGCTAGTGTAGTTTGATGATTATGTAGATGTGTATGTATTGTAGTATAATATGCAGGTAATAAACAAAATTTACCTAGATCAATATGTGCTGCATCGAGCTCGGTGAAGAGCTCTGAAAGTGTCGCTCCGGACGTCGCTAAGTTAGTAAGTTACGGCATGTGCGGCGGCAAATTTGGACTCGGTGGAACTCTGATTACAGCTGTAGACTAAAGAATACACATATTCTCTCTAAACATGGAGTGAAGAAACAATCAGAAACGGATGATTTGTAGCTAGAGCTATCCTCTACAACATATCCGTCTCTGATTTTTTCAAACCAGTCCCATTACCCTTTGTATACATGATCAATACTTTTGTAACGCTTTATCACGCTTTATCACATGACGTTTGCTGAAACAGCGCAAAGTCTACCTTACTGCCGAACGAGATGTAAACTGTGACATAAGTGTCGCAGGCTAGAAATATGTAAGTGACTTTCCTGCTTATCCTCAAGTGCGCGCAGATACTGACGGAATGCATACAAGCATTGTTCACGTCGTCCTCGTCCTCTTCGTGTGCTTCAACTAGTGGAGGCGGGCCAGCTTGCTCGGTATTAGTGGAATAAGTCGGATCAAAAACCACACCTGCACCCGGCTCATCTTCATCACTAGACTCAATAGGCTCCAGCCCAGGCAAATAATCACTCTGCCCCTCTACGCCATGAGCCGGCACAAGATGGACAGGCACACAAATCAGATTTGCATGTTAAGGCTGAGGCAGGACGATCACCATGCGCCGTGCAGGCTGAGAAGGCCTGTTTTGCTCTGAAGATGGGTACCAGTTGAAAAAGAGGCTAGTGTAAGTCATCTGCAGACCTGATATGAAGGGGTGTTGTCTGTAGTTGTACTTCGCGACGCAACAGACAGACAGACCAGGGCGGGGTGGGGCCTCCGCAGTGAGATTACTGATTCTGGGATTACAATAAATAGACCCTTGCGCTGAGAGCTCATGCGTGGGTGGGAGACTTACGGTTGCGGTTGCGTCTTTTTTGTTTGATTCTCGAAGGATGAGATGGCATCTAGATGGAGATCCCTGACTTGGTGAGTACTCCCATGTCCTTGCCCAAGGAAGATACATGGGCTGCGCAAACAATGAGTCGATGATGTAGATCAACATGTGGAACTCACCAGCAACGAAGTTACTCAAACGCGTCCCAGTTGGTGCATGGTAAATCTTTCATGCCTAAGTGATAGCCCAGTCGATTTCATCTGGTGTGTCCACATTTCTTGTAGCATCTCTTCTTCCGCGAGACATGCAGCCAAGGAGCATTTCTGGGATGTTGGCGGGAGTAGTTATCGACCTATGGGTTTGGTTGATCTGAGCCCTCCAAAGAATGAAATGAGCCATAGAAACGTGCGCGCGGGGGGTCAGCTGAAGCTATGTTGATGGGAAAAACAATATCCTAACCCAACCTTCCTGCCACTTCAATGTTCCAGCGTATGTTGAGCGTACGAAGTAACTTTCAGTGCTCGATTCCGTCCCTCCCCTACACCATCAAGGACAGTGTTGCATTGACTCTTCGTCGTAATCAGGCGTTTCCCACGCAAGTATAATGTTGCTATCAATGCATTGAACACTCAATAGCACTGACGCACACCAATACAGAATCAACCTACATGAGAAAGCCTAGATCAAGATAGTGACCGCGACATTCGTCCCCGGTATCAAACAATATGATGTCAACGTCGAAGTCCACAAAACTGCCTTCCCATATTTAGGGAGTTGAAGCGCTTGGACAACTATGACAAGGGGGGCTTTGCGGTGCAGGAATGCTCGTACGGCAAGTTCTCTAGGACCCTTCAGATTCCTAAGGGAATCAAGGTGAGTACATCAATCGTCTAAATTACATGTGGTGATTTGGTGCTTACTGTTATCTCATCGTCAATCTGAGGAATTTCACCCGAAGATGGGGAACGGAGGCTAGAAATAAATGAGTCTCCCGCTTATCCTCTAGTGCGTGCAGATACTAACGGAATGCACATAAGCCTTGCCAATCTCCGACAAGCTCTGAGGAACCAGGCACTTGAGTTAAAATACTTGCGGTAATGGATGTGGGTGCCCCGTTGAGGGTAGTGCCTGTGCCGATGGCAGCAAGACCACTCACTAGGTGATCATCTTGCTTTATACGATGACTGCTGCAAATTGACCATTCAATATGCTGATGACATGACAGAATGATAGTGCTAACAGCTGACGGACTGGTCAGGTTCAGTTCCACCGAGTGTGAGCATACTGCCCGGGGCAGCGTTGATCTGAGTGGGTTGGTTGACATGATGTTCGAGGTAGAAAGAGAACAAGGGTTTTGAGAGATCTATACGGGATTGCCAGAAAGGGTTAGTCTGGAGAGCAGAAATCCAGGTAAACCTGAGACCCATGATACCTGAGAGTCCATTGTTGATCAAGCCAGAGGTGGTGGTAGTAACAGCGGCTATGGTCAAAATAAGGTTAGGTCTGAATCTGATTAAGTCTCCGATAGACATACGGAGTTCCCGGGACATTTCGAAGGTGGCGCTATCTGGGGCGATAGTACCTTGCGCCGATCCTGAGCCATAATCAAATGTCAAGGAGGGAGGAGGATGCAGTCTTGTACTATGTCGATGATTGTGAGGGGTCAAAGTCGAGTACATCTGATCTGCAAGTGTCGAGCACAAGATTGAAATTATGTGGTCTTCACAAAACCAATGTTTACGGGTATTGCTACTTGAACGTACTGAGTTCCAATGCTCACGACACCTGATCAGCTGGAATCGTTTCCCTAATACGACTATTGTCAATTGTGTGAACTATATGAAGGCTCGAGCTGCGAACCTCGTTTGTGATGGGAATTGCAGCAGTGCTTGTTGGCTTTGAATTCATGCTCTTCACGTTCAAATTTGTTGCCTTATAAACATACTTCTTCCGCGATGCTTCCATGGCTTTTGGTAAGTTTGGGGCTCGTTTGGGGGACTTCGTCGCACAATTGGGGCATGAACAACGCGTGAATTTGGTTGGTGAGCAGCATGAGTGCATGAGAGGAGTACGATGGCTGCAAGGGGGAAAGAAATGGCAGAGGAAAATAGCGAGGAATCTCAATCCCGCCCAAACCTAGTGGCCATACACCCATACTAGTTGGCTTTACCGTCAAAACGAGTAACTTAATTTGAAGTCTTCTACCGTGTTTAGTTCAGGAAAGAGCGGCTACTAATACGCTCGCGAGATCCTGTCTGAGTTCGAAACTTAACCTGACTCGCGGGATCTGGTCTTCCCATCCGATATAAAGTCGTCCGCTGGTGAGTGTCATTCTGCTATATACCGGAGGTCCCTGCCCCAGTCTGTCACAAGTACTGATTCGGTCCATGCGAGCTGTCGAATGATCTCTGCACGTGAGCGTGCCCCAAAAAATGTGAGCCGAAAGTACACAACTTGTATGCAGTGTGTCGTCTCGTATCGCATTACTCTGCCAATCAAAAAAAAACGACATGGATGTAGCATGTCGAACAAAAGGTGAAGGAGTCCGATTGCTGCCATAGAGCAGATGTATAGTCTGCAGGCCCAATTGATGTGATGGGAGTATCTGGGAATCATCCATGACATAAGGAATCGAAACCCTGAATAATGAACGTACATTAGATTTTGCAGAAGGAGAAGAAAAATGAAATCAGTTACCTCTTCACGTTCCTCTTCATCAGGAGACACGCAGTCCTAAAACAGAGACCACACAACTCATTGTCAACAAAATTCTAGACCTTGTAAATTCTTTACGACATATTGCTCTGTTGCCTAAAACACATTTTCATTGGTGTTAATAAACTCGTTGTTGTTCAGTCCTTGGGGCAGGTTGCGTGCTGCCTCGCGGGGTTACATACCCAGAAGGTGGACGTGGGCTCGCTTCTCGAAGTTCGGTTGATACAGCACGGCCTTTGGAACACAGTTGTGGGCGTGTTACTAATATCCAGATCTCGCATGTCGATGACGTGTGATGACTTCTACGCCAGTGAGAAAGGGATCGTGGAGATATCTTGTTTGCTGCTCTTGCACTGCCATGAGGGGCCGAAGTCTCTGGCATCGGTAGTAGCATGTTAGAAATTTCAAATTAATAGAATAGATACTACCTAGGCCTGCGCCTTGAGAGTTGACTGTACATGTCTCGCAGTTGCATAGTCACATGGAGCAATCGATGTTTTGAACACATGAGACTGATTTCAAAACTACTTCACCAGACGTGTTGCGACGATGCATGATTTCCTTAGCAAGTCACGTCACCAACGATCTAGAGCTACAACAACAGTGGACGCCCTGGAGCATAATTAAGACAAATTGAGAACACACATGATAAGACCATCTAAAAGGAATTTCCCTGCGGAACGAGCTAGGAATTACACAGGCAACACAAACGAAGGCGAGAAAATAGTTGCCAAGTTGATGTCCGTGCAATTCGATGGGTGTGGAAAATGTATGGCTGCAGAAGTGCCAGAAAGTCAGAGATTTGGCCGGTCTGGGACAACGCTGTTGAACTTTGTACGGGTCAGAGTTTGGGATACTTACCACGGCGCGAAGTTTAAACTCCGCTCCCTACGCTTATTTTCAACCGACTATAGACGTGGTCATTCCGTTGCTCGTGCAAGTAGAATCGACCATCAGAACTTTGTCCCATTCCGTCATAAGCGCTGAGCATATCTTTGAGCCCAGAACAGTGAACCTTTGTCTGTCTAGCAAAGTGTTGGGACTGCTGCTCGCATGGCAGACAGTGAATTCGTGTCAGTTCCTCTCTTCTCGTGTAACATACTGTTTAACAGCAGTGGAATGGGGTTGAAGCTTGAGGGCAGTGACATTTGGGCCGTGCTTTGCGATATCCAAAAGCCTGGAATGCTGTACTGTTCTTGAGTCTCGCAGCCTCCTCGTGTTGGCTGCTTCAAGCAAGGGCACACCCACAAGGTGGTTCTGCTGTACAATTCTGACGCCCATTAATGAATCTGTAGATAATTCAATGTCCTGCGAGCCGCTTCTGCCCCATTGAACTGCATTGCAGCGTGTTGTGGATGCCACGTGCATGCTGTGGTTGCCTCCTTCATAATCCGTCAGAACTTTGCAGGTACTGCATTGTTTCATGGCCTTCATTACACATCTGACCATCAAGTGTTAGTTTGTATTCCTCAGTCATATGTCAAATTTTGTCCCTCATCCTCTGGATGATCGCCCTCCACCCATGGAGGAGCCGAGTCACTTAGAACGCCCCCAGGACCCCGAGACAAACCTCCTGATCAATGAAATACTACCAGTCGCTGTGAATAGTATGTGCCGTCTATCTTCATTCAATACATAACAATAATTTCCCAAAATCATTCCAATCACACTTTAACCCTTGACTACTCTGCCGTTCATTTCGCGGCAGACACCGCGGCAGACCCACTCGATGATACCCTCCCAGCCTTGGGTGAGGAGGCAAGCCACCCAGAACACCCCCAGGACCCGGGAGAGAGATACTTCCACGGAGTGCAACAAGTCGTCGTCACTGGTATGTGATATCAGACTCAGCTCCGCACATATTGACGACTTCCCCTAAGCCATTCGCGCAACTGATTTGACTCTTGGTCTCCGACGGATTCCCTCTGGCTTCCATGTGGTAGTAAAGGCTGGCAGTATCGAGTGCCAGACAAGCAACAAACCTGTACGCGTAGACCAGGGTGTCGTCGAATGGAATGAGCAGATACTTCTGTAAGTTGTCCTTGATCTCGTCTATCCTGCAGGCATTGAGAAGGACTCTAGGCCATGCGATCCATCTTCTGTAGTTCGTGTCAGCGTGTATGCCTCATTTGAACTGGATCCCATGCTCGGTCAAGGAGAAGTCCTCCGCACATTCAATATCTCCGTGGGAGAATTACTGGATCGCAGTGAAAACTCACGTCGTCAGTAACGTCTGTTGTAAATCACGCCTGGCATATGTTGACGGGTATCACAGCTATAATATTTCAGGCCAAACAGGAGGAAGTCGTATCCTCGTGCACTTCGCTGTCCATGACAGCGGAGCAGCGATGTTCTTATGGAAATGATGCCACAGGTCTTCGCCCCCTTACTATCGTGAGTGCTTAATCCAGTCCGACGTTCTGATGCTGAGTGCTTGTGATGCGTAGCTTACACCCGACAACATGCGTGAGTTAGTACTATGGACGGACGCTGGACATGGTCTTCTCGCACGATACCGAAGGACAAAGAACACTAGAGATCTAGACCAATCCATACCGCGCTTTGAACGGGCCTCTGATCTGTGCCCCATGAATCATCCCTGCCGCCCTGCAGCACTGTTTAATCTAGCTGCGGCAAAGTTTGTTAGTTGTCAAGTTAATGGAACGTACCTCGACCTCGACATCCCCATCTCTCTTTTTCAAGACGCCCTTAACTTGCGTCCGACTGGTCATCCTGACCGACCGATCACTCAGCTCCACCTTGCCATTGCCCTGTTGTCGCGTTTTTCGAAACGGGGATTTCAAACGGATGCCGATGCGGCCAAAGAGTTACTGAGCGAAGTCCTCGACGTTTGCCATGCCAACAGCCACATTTCCAGAGCAGCTTTGTTTGTAATCGAGACATGGGCCCTGCATCGAGCTAGAGGCATGGATGGACATGATCTTGGGCAGATGCAGCCCGCTACATCCATGCTTCCGTTATCACCATATCAACTTGCTCATCGTGCAGAGCGGTGTTTACACAGAGATGACCCCCATGACTTAGATGAAGTGATCTCCCTCCATTACGGTGCACTGCAATACTACGGCACTATGCATGATTGCCGAGGGCAATTGTTGTGCAATCTGGGCCTGATGCTGAACACTCGCTATGATCGTCGAGGCAATAGCCAAGACTTGGACGATGCCATCACGTGTCTTAGGGAAGCGCTGGATGTGATCCCAGTTGGTCGTGCAAATCGGTCCTGGTCATTAAATAACCTTGCGAATGCGCTCTATGTTCGCTTCAAGCACCGAGGCAATGACCAAGACTTGGATGAGGCTATCATTCTTCACAGGGACGCGCTGGCTTTATGTCCAGTCGGTCACTCAGATCAGTCCATCTTATTACACAACCTTGCGAATACGCTCTCTACCCGCTTCCAGCACCGAGGCAATGATCAAGACTTGGATGACACTATCATGCTTCACAGGGAAGCGCTGGCTTTACGTCCAGTCGGTCACCCAGATAGGTCTATGTCATTAAGTAACCTTGCGAATCAACTCTCCACCCGCCTCGAGCATCGAGGCAATGAGCAAGACTTGGATGATGCTGTCGCGCTTCACAGGGATGCGCTGGCTTTACGTCCAGTTGGTCATCCACATCGGCCCTCGTCATTGAACAACCTTGCGAATGTGCTTTTTACCCGCTTCGAGCACCGAGGCAATGATCAAGACTTGGATGAGGCCGTCATGCTCCACAGGGACACACTGGCTTTGCATCCAGTTGGTCATGTACATCTGTCTGTGTCGTTAATGAACCTCGCAAATGCGCTCTCTACCCGCTTCCAACACCAAGGCAATGACCAAGACTTGGATGAGCATCAGTAAATTCACACATTACTCGGCGCTTGCTTGCTTAAAATTCTAAATATTATTCCCACCTTTAATTGACTTATGTACACTTATTCACTTGTGGCCCTGGATTTCACATGTACGAAAAGTAAGCACGTGACACAAAAGCGCCGGAAAGGCAGCAAGTTGAAGCACACAAGTAAAAGCGCGTGAAAAGGCATACAATTGAAAAAAGCTGAAAAGCTGAAAAGCTGAAAAAGCCTAGAGTGAACAAGTAAATTACAATATAGTAGTACTACTAGTATCATAGGGCACACTGTTAGAGATGGGACTTGCTTTCCAAAAAGGGAAGACGGTGAAGCGCCCGTCTCGATACCAGCTACTACCGCTGATCAAACACCAACGACTCATTGATATCAGCGATCAACACGATCTCGAGTGCAATGGGCCCCCAAGATCCAGTACGTACTCCAGCTCGTTATGATATTGACCCTGAAAATGTTTGTAGATGTTAGTAAGGTACACTGGGACCCGCAAAACAACACATACCGGTGTGTATCGCGGGCAAGGGCGGATGCAAGGGCAGAGGCAGCCAGTAGCTCAGGTGGCTCAGGTGGAGGCCCCACTGGGGTTGTGGAAGAGATTGAGGAGGTGGATGAGGCGTAGGAATCGAGGAGATGGAACACCCCGCTCGAACGTAGCGTGACGCTGTTTCTGCAGACGATGGTGAGTAAAATAGCTCGTAACTGACGAGTTGTGAACTTACCGATTATTTGAAGGTGTTGTTGCGGTGATGCGGCATGCCAATGCGCTTGTTAACGTAGTCGACCTGTAAAAATTGTATCATCAGCGTACATGAATCCGTCACGAATGACATATGCTCACCAAATTCTTCGAACGCTCGCCAAATTCCTCGATCGCTCGCTTGTGAGTGATGGTAGGTGGGGAGGGGGGGTCCAATTGTGCTCGCTAAATTCCTTAATCGTTCGTTTGTGAGTGATGTTAGGTGGGGAGGGGGGGTCCAATTGCACTCGCCAAATTCCTCGATCACTCGCTTGTGAGTGATGGTAGGACCGACACGAGGAATACGTGCAACAGCGCGACCAGTACCACAGGACTCAGCGGAAGTCTGGTGACCGGCCTTCTCATTGACAGCGCAAGCCTGACGGCTGATTGGTTCACGGGATTCGAAGCTAGGGGTACTGAAGGTGTCCCGTTATTGAGGACCCATACCCCAGGACTCAGCGGAAGTCTGGTGACCGATTAGCAACAGACTGAGGATTGAATTGAGGACCCATACCCCAGGACTCAGTGGAAGTCTGGTGACCGGCCATCTCATTGACAGCGCAAGCCTGACGGCTGATTGGTTCGTGGGATTCGAAGCTAGGGGTACTGAAGGTGTCCCGTTATTGAGGACCCATACCCCAGGACTCAGCAGAAGTCTGGTGACCGATTAGCAACGGACTGAGGATTGAATTGAGGACCCATACCCCAGGACTCAGTGGAAGTCTGGTGACCGGCCTTCTCATTGACAGTGCAAGCCTGACGGCTGATTGGTTCGCGGGATTCGAAGCTAGGGGTACTGAAGGTGTCCCGTTCGGAGCAGGGGACTCTTGAGCTTGTTGTGTACCACGAAGATCGCAAACTCAGTGTGTTGCGAGTCACGCTCGTACTCTGGAAGCAGTTGGAGTTCTGATTCGATTGTCCTCGAGGGGGGCTTGTCAAAGGCGGAGACACCGAGTGTCGATAAGTTGAACATTCTATCGGGGTTGATTTGACCATTAGCAACGGACTGAGGATTGAATTGAGGACCTACCTATGTCACGTGTGGCGGTCAGGACGCTATCTCGAAGGCATGGTGATCAGCGTATTTGTTGACATAAAATGAACGGAAAGAATCATAGGAATGATAGAACTTGAGGGAGTGAGGGATGTACTCAGAGCCGTAGACAGGTATCAGGTGTGCTGCACGGTAGACCGTCTCAATATGAATGACAGCGAGGTTCCGGGAGCCATCCTCATGAAGACTTGGACAGACCATCCACATGCCAGTGTCTTCATCGGCACAATCACCAATCTTGTCGAACCATTGGATGAGAACGCATGAGTATACTTCCCAGTCATGTTTGAAAGAAAAGAAACATGTCACTCTCGCGATTTCGAGTCCTCGCATTCCTTCAGCATTTGAATCAGTGTTGATGAACACACAATCATTGCGTGGGTACTCGTTCCTCCAGAGTGGGCATGCACGGACGTGTTCGCGTCGCATGCCGCCAATGCCACTTGGATCGCTGGGAGCATAGAATGTTGCAGCAGCCGAATTGAAGACCTGGAGCTTGCCTTCATGTCTAGGGCAGCTAGCGGCTGGGACATCTTCGAGGTCGCGAGGATCATTGGGGTAGAGCTGAGAGAACAGAAAGTGTCGAATGAGACGTCGCAGATCCGGAACAGCGACTTCAAGTGCCAATGCTGCTACTGTATGTGCCCGTTTTCGTTCTGTGTGACACAAGTGAGCTCACAGCTTGGACATTGCGTGATATTACTTACGAGGAGTTTTGGCAAGCGATACATAAGCGAGTACGGTTGGACCATCAACTATTTCACTGTCGTCGGTATCGTTTTCTGGTTGCGGTTCAATGGTATGGGCATCTGGTTGTGGCGCGGCGATAGCAGGTGCAGCTAGTCTATCTTCATCTGCCGCTGTATATTGCTGATAAGTATACAAGGAGACAATCAGATATAGACAACTTACCAAGAACGGCCAAAACACTTGATAAAACAGTACCAGTCAGCATCCCTCGCGCATCGAAGTCCACTCGTGATGCTGTGAGCTTGTCAAGGCGTTGATTGGTCACAAGCATCTGACCAAGAGCATTGTGCTTGCTCGACCACCGCCAGGGCTCCTTTACCGCCTTGATATGTTTTGATTCCGTGATTGAAGAACATAGGCCATTTGGGGCACCGAAGAGTCGTATCATGTCTGTGTAATGAGTCATCGAGTGCTGGCGGGGGAGCGAGAAGGTAGGAACGACAACATCAAATATCTTGCGATAGCGATGAAAACGATGAAGCGCGTCTTGAATCTGATTCAAGGTATCTTCGGTTATGACATTGCGCCGCACAAGGTAGCAAAATTCTAACAATGCGCGGAACGCACGCACCATGTCTTCAGGTACGTGGCCTTCAATAGCCGGAAGAAAGACCTTCATGAGCGCTTTTGAATCATCGCCTGTCCACTGTTTGAAGTCACGGCCTTGAGGAAATTGTTGTAAACCTGAGAATGATGCTACAGCAGCAACTCTGACTTATTGTTAGAGAATGAGATTGAGCCAGCGAGCGAGGTGACATACCTGCGATCTATGTCGCTCATGATCTCGTCCGCCCTTCTGGTACCATGCACAGCCTTGAGGTACTTTGCTACCCAGTCGACGAGATGATCTTTGAAAGCGCCTTTTATTAGCTGGTGGAGGAGGTCGAACGATAGCAATTCATGGATGTCAGCTCGGGGGAAGTCATTCATAAATGGCTATACAAAACAAATTAGTGTGGTATTGAAGAGCGGCCGGTTCTGCTCACAACGAGATCGCCAATGATACCATATTCATCCCACAATATATCCCTGTGTAGTTCATTGACCATGAAATCGGTATGCTTGCGACAGCGGTACGCACCACCACTATCAAGGTCTGTTCGAAGTGCGATACATCTACAAGTATTGTCAGTATGAATGGACACCAATTGCAAGTTCTCATACTCACTTTGGGCACCAACGTTTAACAATGCAGGATAACACCAGTTGTTCTTCGTAATCTGCAATGTAGGGTCCTAAGCTGTATATAATGCGTCGAAAATGACCGTCTCCACAGCGCACAACCTCATACTCAGTCATCGCAGGTTTCAGGCTGGAGAGAATTGTGGATAGTGAGCTGTGGAATAGCTGACGACGAAATATCCGAAACATGTCGTCTTTAGCATACTTCTTGTCAGCTGGGGTGCCATTCAGATGGGGCATAATAAAATGTAAATAATTAGCACACATACTTTTGGGTATAGCGAGGAAACCGATGATAACAAGAGCATCTCGGTGAGCGCGCCGTGCATTGTTGCGTACGTTACCGATCGAGGCATAGAGTGGATAGTATTCGTTGTTACCAGTGCCAACAGAGACAGTAGTCTTGTCACTACCGAGAATGATTGGGACTAAAGTAGATCCACGGGTTTCTGGATCTTTTGATATGGCATCCTTTATAGAACATTAGCATGTCCCGAGAAATAATAGTGATAGATTAAATATGTACCGCCTGATGCCATGCCCAATCTCCAGACATAAAGTCTTTCCATCGGCGCATGTCGTCCGATGCATTATACTCACGAAATGGCACATAGTCAATTTCGTCCTTGTAGGTAGGGTTGGCCAATATGTTGTGCGCCATCTCACGGGGATCCCTATACCAGACCTCAAATTCATCATCCATCCACGGCGGGACAACCTCAGGGCGTTCTCCTGTGTATTGAACCGAGAAACATTGCCAGGGGACGTCGCCAAGTTGTGTCACATCAATGACGTTGTGTAGATCTTTGTGATCGGTGAATGGAGGGGTGTCATGGTGTTTTGCGAGAGTCGCAGCCATTAAGTCGCATAGGAAATCCAAGTTGTTTGTAGACATGTGGCACTTTTTGAATGTGAACTCTGCCATCTCAAATTCTGTTCTATTGTGATATGGACTCCAATCAACAGGAGACTTTGGTGGCACAGGAGTTGGTGGGGTACCATACGGCAGAAATGCTCCCTCGGCCGTGCATGGTCGTCCTAAGGTAGTAAATCTGAGTCAAAAACAGAGTACTGACAGATTGAAGGGAACTTACCGTTTAGCATTGAATGGTGGGTATGATAGTAACGCTCACTTGCATCAGTGAATTCTGCATCAGTATCCTCGTGAATTCGCTCAGGGAGTATGGGAGGCAATGACTGGGGTGGCTGTGCGAAATCCGGAGGGGGTGGTGAGAAACCCGGAGGGGGTGGTGAAAAGTCTCGATGGTGGGGTGGTGACTGAGATAGTAGGGGAGGATCCTGCGGGGGCAGTCCTGAAGCAGGTAAAGTTGGGTGGAGCGCCCGCATGTGTTGGGTGCGACCTGACTGATTTCAAAACCAGCGTGTGCAGGCTGGAGCTAGGCATGGAAGCTGAAGGAGATTGTGAGAACGGCGGGGAGGCATATGCGCTACAGGCGGGGCTGTTGGAATCAATGATTGAAGAGGATTCCGAAGGCCGACACATTCAACCGTAATCACCAGCACCAATGTGCCCAATGTGCCCAAAATTAGGTTTGATGTGCAAACTTAGGCCAGACTTGAGCATCTGAAACAGACCCTAGACCAAATTTAACTGGAAAAGTCATGGTGAAAATTGATGTACTAGCGGGGTGGGAAACTTTCCTCTCGGCGAAATGTCTCGGCTAACATTGATGTTGCTGCGTCGAAATGGCATGGGCGAACTTTGACATCCAGGAAAAGTGTTGGAACAATTTGATGCGTGTACTGGAAAGGTTTTGGAAAAATTGATGCAGTCCCCAACGTCAATAGCAGCTGCAGAAGGGTCGCACTAAACTAATAGGTAGTAGCACCGGGGCATGACTGTAGGTAGGGTCGATGTATTTATTCAGAGTCAGCTTAGACTACATTATCAAGAAATGTGACAAAACTCACCTTGTTGTCAACCACCATCGCCCTCGAATTTCTTCAGCCTTCCAACCCATCCATCAATACCATGTCTCAGCCTGCCAGCGCAGTTCCGAAACGCATGACAACTCGAGCTAAAAATGCTACTCAGCATCCAGGACATATTCTGACTGGGGGTGAAGGCCGCGCAAAGAGACGTACCAAAGCTCAAAAGTCCGCTGACGACCAGCTTGAAAAAGAAGCAAAGGAGGCAAGTGAAACAGCTGTGCAAGAAAAGCATAAGCGCGTTGCCACATTTCAGAAACAGATGGAGACCGACCAAGCTGCAATGCGTGCTGATGCACCCAAGCCAAGTCGTCCTTGTCCACGCCCAGTAAAGAAGGGCGTGAAAGCCTCAGACACCTCCAACATGACTACGGCGGGTGGTCAGGAAGGTGCAGGCATTGTCGCCGATAAGGATGTTGGTGCCGATAAGGCTGTTGGTGCCAAAGTCAAGGGCGGCAAAGCTAAAGGTAAAATGACAGCTGGTGCTGACATCGGGAATCCTGGGAGTGAACAGGAGTTGGAGGCGCAAGTGCCAGGGACACGCAAAACGAAGGGGAGGAAAGTAATCCCAGTGAAGACGCCAGTGAGAAATGCGATTGAAGCAGCAGGCCTTATCGATGAATCAACAGAGGCACGTGATCATGATAACCAAGTGTCTGATGTGTAAGGCGTTTATTTCTTACCTTAACCATGAGGCTCTATCTGACTGAAACAACTCTTTTTTTTTCAATCTCATGGTCCGTGATATTGATGCTGATAGCTCTATACCGGCTCCTAAAAAATTCCAACTTGCTGGGCATATCCTGGACTGGTGATCGAACATTCCCGCTGGCGGTTCAAAGCCGTCCTCCAAGGCCAGACATTCTGCAGCGTCTTCCATCCAGGAGTCCGCTATCTCTAGTTCTGCTCCCTCCTCTAAGCTCACCAGGGGAACCACTATCAGTAGCAGCAGTGCCCCGCTCACGTCAATCAGTAGCAATTTTGATGCTGGGGCTGACAAATTGACAGGTCTTGCTATTTCTACCCTGTTTGATGACGATGATTTAGACGAATCAATGGAGCGCTCTCAAGCTCTTTGTCGAATGTCAAAATTGAGGGCTACTCAGGTGACTTCATCTATATCTTATTTCTAATGTTTTAATTGTATTTGCAGGGCGTCAAGATTTCTCCCAATGTCCCTGGCACTGCAGTGCCCACAAACTTAGCCCCCCACAATGCCCATCTGGCACCCAAGCAGCTCGCCGCGATCGAACCTGACGTCGTCTATGATGATACCTTCACGACCCCGAACAATGATTTTGAAATGGACGCTGAGGCACCTGCACAGGCTCCCCTACCTGCCCTGGTTTTTTATAAATCCGACTCGGATTCAGAATCTGATCTCGAACCACCCCCTTCTGCACAGGTTCCCAAAGGGTATTATGACGTTGACCCCCGGCCTCTCGCCCAAGCCCACACATCCCACCCTACCATTCCAGCAACACGTGTAAAGCGGAAATTCGCAGATGTCGAGGATGCGGATATCGAGGACGCGGATATTGAGGACGACCTGCTCGAGGACGACCTGATGATTGAGGACGACCTTATGATCAGCGAGGACGACCCTATGATCGAGGACGACTCCTCATCTGAAATTGAGATCGTTGATCACCACAAGAAGACCGTAGTCAAGACCGAACCCAAACCTGTGTCCTTGCAGGTAACGTCTGGGGTAGTATGCTTTCGTTGTGTTAATATGACATCTTACTGACTACGAAATCCATAGACTGGTGTCGGTGTCAATCACAAAGCCCCCGTCACAAAGAGGCCAAAGCCCTCCGGTAAAAACACTCAGAGCGTTTCCCGTATCGCAACCGCCGAAACACCTGATCCCGCGAACCCTGACGAGGTTATAGTGGAGATCCTCCCCCGCTCTCATTACAGGATCACAAACCTTCCTGGAGGTCATCGGGCAACAACTAGGTGGAGTAGCGTGTTTATACCTACTCTCATCCTCACCATCGGAGATCGGGACGAGGTCTGGTCTATTCCTGAGATGACCCTCCGCGATATTCTGCAGGACATTTGGAACGTGGTTTACGGGGATATCACACATACAGTCACTACAACCGGACCTGTCATTGCCATAGTAAGTACTTTTTGATGCTACTTGTATCTAATCATTTTTGCATTTTTCTTAGGCTCTCCAACGGCTGTCCGACTGGCGCCATAACATCAGTCATTCCGCTGTCTCGGTACTTGCGAGTTTTATGTTGTCGCAGGATGATGTCGAGACCGATCGAGACCGCGAAGACTTCGCAAATAGCTTACTCTTCAAGTTTGGATTCCTGTATGGTCACATTACAGAGGATGGAAAATTCCAAAAACCTTTTCAGTCCGATCTCATTCTCGAGGTCCTCGTGCAGCACGGTCATAGTACTTCGGGCGCTATCAACAGGCATAGGAGTCCAACAGATATAACACATGCGAGGGGCGCTATTGGTCTTATCACTGCGGCGGCGTGTATTTCCACCCTCGCTTCATAGTACCGCTAACTTATTTGTCACGTTTTAGTTGGAACGTGCCCTCAAAATTATCGGGCATCACCCCACACTCGGCGTCAACAGTAAAGGGAAGGCTGTTAAGGTCCCCCACACTCTCAACAAAGCCACGGGCAAGGATAGCGGTTCTCGGAGTGCCTTTTCGGTCACCAACTTCGGTTCAGCAACCAGGAACTATATGAAGTCTATCAACCGCCTCGAAGAGTCAATCGTCCAAGAACTCTGGGGACGCGCGAAGGCACTCGCTGCCATGAGGGGGCGTAATGCGCCGGTCGTTCTGGACAACGACTCCGATGACGAGCGTGCACTCATCTTCTGGTGGGTATCGTTCTTTTTCTTTTTGAGCTTCTAGTCGCAACTAACGATTTTTGGTACTACTATTTGTAGATTACTCCTTCAATTTGTCAACGTTTTACTGCTGCTTCCAGCCCGGGGTCTCGTGTACTACCAGTAGTCATGCTATTCACTTTTTCGTACATTTAAATATCTCCTACCAGTACTTTCGTGTAGCTTTCCCTCCCTTTTCTCTCAATTAATCTAGTACTTTTGTTTGAAATGCAGTCATTTTTCGCTTACTAAGTGTGAAATAAGTCCTCAAAAATGTACAAACAAAGTAGAAAATAAGTGAATGTACTGCATTGGTGCAAAAAAAAGGTGCAAAATAAGTGCGCAAAAGTGAAACAATAAGGACTGAAAAGGTCCCGCCGAGAGGAGGCATCTACTTATTCCACTTATAATTGCCTTGTGGCAAGCTAATAATAAGTTGGTGTCACCATTCTTATGAGTCACTTGTCCGCTCCTTTTTGGGAAACTACCCGGCAGCAAGTTACGAAAAAGGGAAGCTAAGTAATGTGTGAATTCACTGATGAGGCTATCATGCTTCATAGGGATGCGCTGGCTTTACATCCAGTCAGTCACCCACATTGGTCCTCGTCATTCAATAACCTTGCGAATGCGCTCTCTACCCGCTTCGAGCGCCGAGGCAATGACCAAGACTTGGATGAGGCGATCATGCTTCATAGGGACGCGCTGGTTTTACGTCCAGTCAGTCACACAAACCGGTCCTCATCATTAAATAACCTTGCAAGTGTGCTCTCTGCCCGCTTCGAGCGCCGAGGCAATGACCAAGACTTGGATGAGGCTATCATAATTCACAGGGATGCACTGGCTTTATGTCCAATCGGTCATGCAGATCGCTCCATGTCATTAAATAACCTTGCAAAAGTGCTCCTTAGCTGCTTCGAGCACCGAGGCAATGACCAAGACTTGGACGACACTATCATACTTCACAGGGACGCGCTAGCTTTACGTCCAGTCGGTCACGCAAATCGGTCCAAGGCATTCAATGACCTTGCGATTGCCCTCTTTACTCGCTTCCAGCACCAAGGCAATGACCAAGACTTGGATGAGTCTAACATACTTCACAGGCAAGCGCTGGCTTTACATCCAGTTGGTCACCCAAATCGGTCCGGATCATTAAATAACCTTTCGAATGTACTCTCCACCTGCTTCAAGCACCGAGGCAATGACCAAGATCTGGATGAAGCTGTCATGCTTCAGAGGGAGACGCTGGCTTTACATCCAGCCGTTCACCTAAATCGCTTCATATCATTAAGTAACCTTGCGAATCAACTCTCCACCCGCTTCCAGCACCGAGGCAATGAGCAAGACTTGGATGATGCTATCGCGCTTCACAGGGATGCGCTGGCTTTACATCCAGTTGGTCATCCAGATCGGTTCATGTCATTACACAACCTTGCATCTACGCTCTTTATCCGCTTCGAGCACCGAGGCAATGACCAAGACTTGGATGAGGCTAGCATGCTTCACAGGGACACCGTGGCTTTACATCCAGTCGGCCACCCAGATCAGTCCACGTCATTAAATAGCCTTGCGAATGTGCTCTCTACCCGCTTCCAGCAGCGAGGCAATGACCAAGACTTGGATGACGCTATCATGCTTCACAGGGATGCGCTGGCTTCACGTCCAGTTGGTCATCCAGATCTGTCCACGTCATTACATAACCTTGCAACTACGCTCTTTTTCCGCTTCGAGCACCGAGGCAATGACCAAGACTTGGATGAGGCTATCATGCTTCAAAGGGAAACACTGGTTTTATATCCAGTCGGTCATGCACATCGGCACAATTCATTACATAACCTTGCAAATGCGCTCTCTATCCGCTTCCAGCACCGAAGCAATGACCAAGACTTGGATGAGGCTATCATGCTTCAGAGGGACGCGCTGGATCTGTGCCCATGCGGTCACCGATATCGGTCCGCGTCATCCAATAGCCTTGCAAATATTCTCGCTACCCGTTTCAAGCACCGAGGCAAGGACCAAGACCTGGATGAGGCTATCATGCTTAACAGGGACGCCCTGGCTTTACGTTCAGTCGGTCACAAACACAGGCCCGGCTCATTACAGAACCTTGCGAGTGTGCTCATTGACCGCTTTGAGCACCGAGGCAATTACCACGACTTAGATGAGGCTATCATGCTTGACAGGGATGCGCTGGCTTTATATCCAATCGGTCACCCAGAGAGGTCCGCGTCATTAAATAATCTTGCGACTGTGCTCGCTACACGCTTCGAGCACCGACGCAATGGAGAAGACCTCCGCGAGTCACGAGAGAATCTCCGCTGTGCATTGACTCTGTTGACGCAACATGATCCTCGTCAATTGACGGTCCATCACTCATTAGCTACCGTCTATCTGTTGTTTCATCAATCGGGACTTGACAGGACTGCCGAAGATACTGACACTTTGAATGCTGCCATGCATCATCGTCGGGCAGCAGCAGATGTTGTCTCCGGAGGTTTGCAGCCTCGCCTGCGAGCAAGTCTACGCTGGGTTCACGATGCCGATCAATATTCACATGATACTCAACTGGAGGCTTATGCAACTTCCATGCAGCTTCTCGACGCTTACATGTCCGCGACAGCTTCAGTATCGTCTCGTCACAATTCCATGAAAGACTTTCCACGAACGCTTGCCGTGGATGCTGCATCATGTGCTCTTCTTAGCGGTGATGTGTGTCGCGCTGTCGAGTTGTTGGAACAAGGCAGGACTATCATTTGGACCCAGATGACACGACTCCGCACGCCTCTTGATGGCCTCCGAGATCGCGGCGATCACGCAGTGGCCCTGATGAAGAAGTTCAGAGATCTCAGCTCCCTCCTTGATACACCTCCTACGAATCATCAAGAAGAGACCCCAAGAGTCAATGTAGAAGCTGAAGCAAACCGGTACCGACGTCTAGTGGAGGATTGGAATAGAACTGTAGAAGAGATTCGGAATATCGAGGGCTTCTCTCGCTTTCTACTTCCCCCCTTGTTCTCCGATCTCCAAGATGCAGCTCGTGATGGGCCTATTGTCGTGCTCGTCGCAAGCAAGTCATCTTGTGATGCCATTATAATCCCGCACAACCAACCTCCGATAAGCATTAAACTCCGTATCAATTTGGAGAAACTACAAAATTTGGTGCACAGATTTCAATCGGCAAGTCAACCACAGGCCGCTCCCAACCCCCCTGACGCTGCTCCCGCACCCACTTCCGAAGCTGCCCCCACGCCCGCTCCCAAAAGTATCCACTCAGCCCTGATGAAAGCTTTGAGGGAGTTATGGAATGACATCGTCCACCCGGTGGTCGAACATCTGAGCGGATTTGCACCATCACGTTCCCGGATATGGTGGTGCCCGACGGGTGCCTTCAATTTCTTGCCGTTGCACGCTGCTGGCGAGTACAGGGCACACGGACAGTCCCTTTCGCAGCTGTATATCTCTTCATACACGCCATCGCTTACCGCCCTGATCAGGACTCGCAGAAGTCATGACAGATCCCTGTCAGTGCCCTTTGCTGCCATCGGCCAGGATCACCCAGCTGGCCATCCATTCACTTTGGAGTGTGTGGAGCCTGAGCTAGAATTGGTGTGGAGTCTTTTGCCCGTCCTCCGACTGTTTCCTTCACCAAGATAACGAGCGTTGAGGCAACGAAATCGAGAGCGTTGGATGCATTGCGAGACAATACTTGTCTTCATTTTTCGTGTCACGGCACACAGGACTATACAGAACCCTTCAATTCGGCATTTCTCATGCGCGACCAACCCCTTTCACTCCTTGATATCGCACAAACGGATCTGTCTCGACATGAATTTGCCTTTCTTTCTGCATGTGAAACCGCAGTCGGTGATGCCAATACACCTGACGAAGTCATACACCTGGCGGCTAGCCTTCAATTTGCTGGGGTACAGAGTGTAGTTGGGACATTATGGGAGGTCAATGATAGTACGGTGCAGCGCTTAGTCGAGGCATTCTACAAGAACTTGTGTGGGGATGGCAAGATGAATTCCAAGCGGGCTGCCCGTGCGCTGCACCGAGCGATCCAGTCGTTGGCTAGTGACAAGGACATGCCATTGGAGCAGCGCATAGTGTTCATGCATATTAGCATATGATCAATTTTGTGCGTCCTCTGATCCTGTTGATTAAAGCGTTTTTGAGACAATCTGACGACATCGCGTGTAGCATCCAGCCATGTCTATGGACCGTAGCCTGTTGCCAGCAAGATACTTTGTTCGTTATTTCAGATTTTCAGACGACTGAATAAGTACCTCCCAATCCCGATTTGTACACATGCATAATTGCAACTTGTATTCTCCAGCCTCAGAATCAAACGTGATCACTTCTAATATGCACTAGTGATTTGTGCGTAAGGATGAACAAGTTACATCATTGGTTCATGTAGGTACCACTTAGGGTACGAGCGAGCCACATCATCGAGATCTCGAGACAGTACGGCGTAATCACGGAGATTTCTGCATGTGTGCGGTTGGAGATATATCAGCCAGCAAATCATCAGTCGTATAACGAAGAAGCCGACTGATTTACATGGCAGTAGGGCCTGGCATTCTTGAACGCACTCCCAGCTAATTAAATATGCGGCACAAAAATGCAAGACAGACCACAGACGAATGATGTCGAACGTTCGCTCTCACTCTAAATGTATTTTGTGTAAAGCAGAAAATCAAATTGAGACGTTGCGAAGCTTCGAGCCAATGCGTAAATCATGATACAGAGGATAATGGTGTCGTAAAATGTGCGCACTGTGCGTCAAAAGAAGAAAAAAAAAAAAGATCTATACATTGTACGGTCAGCTGCCTTCCTGCAATATTGGTCCACCAAAAGAAAATAAATGATCTATACATCATACAAGTATTGTCCGATGATGTGTGAATCCCCAATGTATAGGTACAGTGTGCATAGGCTCTGCTTAGAGGAAGAGGGTGAAGCAGCCTGCCACGGAGGCGAGAAGAGTAAGGGATACGGCGATGTTCTTGTGAGAAGAAATAGATCCAGAGCTTGTGCTACCGCTCGTCGTACTTCCACTCGAGCTTGCGCAGGTACTAGTAGGTAGGGGTGTCAAGCCAGTCACCTGCACTGGGTTCGGGTCGGAAGGTCCGGTTGAAGAGCTCAAGCCACTGGCAAGCTGGGCAAAGCCAACGGCAGCAGGACTAGCACGGAAAACGGAGTACACATTCTTCAGGAACGTGTCGCCGACAATCCAAGCAGGAGTGCTGCCAATGCCAATATCGAAGATCCCGCCAGCACACATCTGAGAAGTGGTATTCGCGTTGCCGATCATTGTGTCGTTGAGTGTCCCGAGGTTCATGTCCAGGGGACTGATCGCCCAGTTGGTACCGCCGAAGGAGATGTGAACTGTGACATTAGTGTCGCAGGCTAGAAATGAGTGAGTCTTCTGCTTATCCTGCAGTGCGGACAGATACTAACGGAATGCATATAAGCCTTGCCAATCTCCAGCAAGCTCTGTGGATCCAGGGACTTGAGCCCAAATACTTGCAGCAATGGGTGTGGGTGCCCCGATGAGGGTAGTGCCCGTGTCGATGGCAGCAAGACCACTAGGTGGGTCAACGGTAATGGTCTTGCCCTGTACAGTGACCGCTGCAAATTTATCATTCAGTATACTGATGACACGACAGAATGACGGTGCTAACAGCTGACAGAGAGTAACCAATATGATGGCGGACCGGTCAGGTTCATGTACTCGATGGAGCCCTGGTACAAACTCGAATTTGTTCCTCCGAGAGTGAGCATACCGCCCGGGGCAGCACTAATCTGATTTGGTTGGTTGACATAACGTTCAAGGTAGAAAGAGAACAAGGGTTCTGAGAGATCATTGGCGTTATACAGGGCTTCCCAGAAAGGGGTGGTCTGGAGACCAGAAATAGAGGCAAACCCGAGACCCATGATGCCTGAGAGTCCATCGTCGATCAAGCCAGAAGTAATGTTAGTAACAGCGACTATGATCAAAACAAGGTTAGGTCTGAATCAAATTAAGTCGCCAAGACAGACATACGTAGTTCCTGAGACATTTCGAAGGACCCGAAGGTGACTCTATCTTGGGCGATAATACCTTGCGCCGATCCTGAACCATAATCAAGCTCCAAGAGGGAGGAGGTAGCCTTGTATGTCGACGATTTTGAGGGGTTAAAGTTGGGAACATCTGATCCGCAAGAGGTACATGAGGTTGTTGCAACCCAAAGATCAGAAGAGCCAGTATCGAGCACAAGATTAAAGTTCTGTGGTCTTCAAAGAACAAATGTTTACGAATTTTGCTATGTTTCGAACTTGAACTTACGGAGTTCCAATGCTCACAACGCCTGAGTAACTGGAATCGTTTTCCTAACACAATTATGGTCAATTGCGTGAACTACATGAAGGCTTGAGCTGCGAACCTCGTCCGTGATGGGAATTGCAGCAGTGCTTGCTCGCTTCGAATTTGTGCTCCTCACGTTCGAATTCGTTGCTTCATAACCATACTTCTTCCGCAATGCTTCCACAGCTTTTGGTAAGTTCGCAACTCGGTTGGAATGACTTCGTCGCACAATTGGGGCATGAACAACGCGTACATCCGGTTGGTGAGCAGCAAGAGTGAATGGGAGGAGTGCGATCACTACAAGTGGTAGAGAAACCATCAGTAAACAAGCGGAGAGCAAGACAGAGAGGAAGTGATAAAAGAGAGATGATAACGATCTGTGGCGTCAAAAGGAAAAAGAAACTTGCACAGTACCTCGGTCCCGCCCAAACCTAAGGTCATGCACCCATGCTGGTTAGCGTTGCCGTCAAAGCGAGTAACGTTCGAATAACTTAATCTGAAGGTCTTCTCTTCTACCTTGTCTCGTTCAGGAAAGGCCGGTCTACTAATACGCTCGTTAGATGCTGTCTGAGTTCGAAACCTAACCCGACTCGCAGGATCTGGTCTTCCCGTCCCATACGAAGCTGTCCGCTGTTTTTCTACTGTGTCCCGGAGCCCCAGTCTGTCGCAGGCACATGCAAACCATCTGTCGAATGACCTCCCCACGTTAGCGTGCCCCAAAAAATGTGAGTCAAAAGTACACAACTTGTTGTGCAGTGTCAAGCTGCGTCGCTCCACTCTGCTGCAAATCACACAAGACGACCTGAATGTAGCATGCCTAGCAAAAGTCGGACGAGTCCGACTGCCACAAAACAGATAGATAGTCCACGGCCCAATCATTGTGTCTGGAAAATCGTCTGCGACGAAGGAATTGAAATGCCTAGCCGTCTCGCGGGGTTGCCCAAATGCAGCTGAGGGCATGTTGAAAGGATGACGGGCAACGACTTCCACGCTAGCGAGAAAGGGATCGTGGTCTCTTGCGCTGCCACTGGTGGAAAATGTCATCAGTAACTGTGTCAGAAATATTAATCAATGAAACAGTTACAACGTTTATCTTGAGAATTGACTGTCCCGCATAGCCACCGACCATTCCCTAGCAGGATATGGAGGGAGGCCAGGACGCACCCCATGGATGATGGTTAGTCTATCAGTGCATATTAAGAGCAACGTGGAGCTTTCCCAACCAACGACATCGAAGACAAGCTTTTCGAATCTCCTGGTGCGAAGTTCAGAAACTTCAAATAGCGAGAGATCAAAGTTCTGCATTTCAAATAAATATAATTACAAAAATTTGTCTGTCCCAAAACTACAAGCTCGACGAAAGAAAGCCGCCGACCTCAACTCTGCAGAGACGCATCTGACCCAACCACCTGTTGGTCTGCTCGACTTCATAACGAAGCCTCGCAGCAAGCGGACTGGACCAACTTCATATTCCACGAACGTAACAGGCCCCCACTGTGAAAATACAAACGAGGGCCTTGACTGGTCTGTGGGATTACTTCGAAACTCGAGGTTGCTGGATGTCCTTCGCTCTGGGTGACTATGATTTAACATCGCGCGCTGAAATTGGTGAAGAGTAAAGGCAGGCAGCTTGAAGCTACGACTGGGAGAGGGTATGCAGCGCTAAATTGACTTCAGCCAACATTTCTTATGAGGCTGTACTGGTATGTAAGGAAAAAAAAAGAACGATGGAATTTGAGTGACTGAGAAGCTGTATAGTTGCTGATTAAGCTATCTCACGCCATCCCCAATTTGAAATTGCTATATCGATCACCAAAGTCCTGTGGTTCAAGGCGACCTTATCAGAATCTGCCACATTGTGGTCGAGCACCCGCCGCCCAGCTGAAACCCCCCTTACATGGCCAACGGAAATGAACCATTTCAATATTTTCGAAACAGTTTTACCGGTGTTTGGGCGTCCAGGTGGCATATCAATCACGTCGCACTGCAACTTGGCCCCATGATCGCCGTGTGGTCAACTGAGTACGCACTTCTAACGTTATACCCAAGGAGCTCTACGTCACCATCCTGATCGCCGCTGTGCGTAGCGCGAAAGCTATATACTACAAGTACCTGTTACACAAGAGGTAGACCATCACGTTTATAGATCCTGCCACCTTTCATGACAAACTGTATGCTTTCCGCGGACACCGCGCCTTCGAAATCTGCCGCAAAGTTTCCCGGTGTTGCAATCAAGTCAGCGATAAACCCTCTCCTCACAGCCCCAAAAGGGACTTCATTATCGCCAACTATCCTTGGGTCCTCCTTGAGATCGCCGACCTGGGCGAGTCGGGTCTTTCCTGCCTCGCCTTCCCACATCCTTGATCGTACACACTCCCAGCCGCCCAAAGTTGCCCATTTAAGCACTTTCTTCCAATCGGCACCCAGACGGACCATGAGCGAGAGCTCCAACGCATTGGCTCCGTGCGTGAAAACCCCAGTATCGCCTCCGCATGCAATATTGTCCAAGTTCAGTCTCAAGGCTGCCTTGAAAGAATTGACGGCGTGATCCCAGATCTCTCCTTTCCCCTGGCTCATGGTGTAATACGCCGCGAGGGTAGGTACATATTTGGTTTCGTGGCCTTTATATTCTTCAAACATCTCGACCGCGGTTATGGCAGGGGTGCCCATCTCGTATCCGTGCTCGATGGAGTCCACTTTGAGATTGATCAGAGGTATAATGGTTGACCTATTCGTCGCATGAGCGGCGACCTTGACCCCATATGCATGGGCAGTGTAGATCATCGCCTGCACCTCATCAAGTTCGAATGTGCGCATGGACGCAGCCCCAACCCTACGCGATACTTCAGAAGCCCGCGATCGAATGGGGTAGTCTAGGACAGCGTCAACGGAGATGACCGAGAGATCTCATCCAAACCAGGATTCATTTACCTGCATAGATCTGTATAATGTTGCAATCATAACGGAAACGAACAGGTATATATGAGCGCCTTGCCGCAGTTATGATGACAGAACGTGTAGATCACCTTGATCCAATCAGCCCCCGCGCCAATCTGCCTCCGGACGGCCTTTATGCATTCTTGCGATCCATCTGCCACATCAACGCCGGTGACACCATCGATGCCTTCTTTGTTTAGATAGAGAGAACTCTTTGGACCTGTCCAGGTCCCTCGCATGAGTGATAAGTGCGACAGGGGAAGCACATGTTTGAAAATCAATAAACCGGCGGACACACGAACCGTACGTTCCAGTGGGCGCAATTGCTCGTGTGGCACAAAAATACCTCGGGCCGGGTATGAGGGCCCCAGGGCTCGATAAACACTTGCGTAGCGCAATATCAGCGTCCCCTGCACCCTCGGTACCTAGATCCCTAGGAACAGGATGCTACCGTTGAACGGAGAACTACGCGAGAACGGCTGATGGACGCACCGCACAGCCGTAAAGCCTGCCATCAAGGTACGTTTGGCGTGCACTGTGGCTCTGATGGTGCGCTCGACGATGCTCTCTTTGGTAACTTGGTCCTCCCATGAGGTCTCCGCGTACGGATGCAAGAAGACTGACAGCAAGTGGCAGCCTGAGATGAGCCTCTGTCCCGGAAATGAAAGTGGTGCGCTCACAGTGAACGTGAGTGTCGACGAAGCCTGGTAAAACAGTCAAATGCCGTAGGTCTATTACTTCACCATCAAAGGACGCGAAATCACTGCCGGGTTCTGAGAATGGTGAAACATCGAGAATCATTCCAGAGTCGTTGCATATCGTTATGGCTTGATTTTCAAGAAGTTCGAGCGTGTACGGGTCAAATAATTTCCCAGCGAGAACTTTCTTGGTCGCCGCAGCACGTTGGGCTTGGGCATCTGCCGTGGGGATCCTTGCCGTGAGCTGCATTTAGCTGAATAGAGTTTAGCTGGCGTTCGTATGGTGTTCTGCGGTCGACTGGGGACGAGGGACTGAGGATAAGAACCCCTGAGAAATGACTTGATGGAGTAAATGGGCGGAGATTGACCTACATATGGCGGCCGGGCACAAGGATGCATTACCGCGGCGCTGCCGCGACTGCCGCCGGTCATCTATCTTATCATTACCTTCTCCTGTCAAAGTTTCTACATGAAAGTTCGGGCTTCGCTGCCCTCGCATGGTTGCCCCGCGTCCACCCTGGTTCTCGTTATGGTCGGAAGTTCCCGACGGAGACCTTCGTTGCCTTTTGTTTTTCGAGGGTTACGCAATGAACATATGTTATCATGGACATTCTGCGCATGTCGTGGCGCACACACTTACAGCACTAGAGCCCCGTTACAGTCGGCTCGCGTCGTTGAGAATACAATGGAATAATATCAGAGTTTGTGACAGATGTTTGAGAGCTGCCTCACGTACCCACGTACCAGACTCTCAATTTTCTTCCGGATGTCCGACAAGGTATCTTGGAAAATCCCCATCCCCACAATACCCACCCGACCTCCAGAAACGGAACGACAGAGGAGCCCCAGTTCTATTCGGTATATATCACACAAAGTAATATTTTTAGGTCAACTCGGCGTCGCATCGGCCGCGGGGGTCTTGTTAAACGCGGGGAACGACTGGTGCCCTCAAGAATATCAAATCGGATATACTTCAACGAAGGGGCTCAAGCTTATTCCAGAGAGAAACCCCAAGTGATATGGCGCACCGGGATGACACAAAGAGAACACCACAATATTTTTAGCAAACGTCGAAGTCGCCTCAAAATGTTCCGAAGCTTATTGTGAGAACCATTGGCCGCGGATGTTTTCAACAATTGTGAACGCGGTGCGGGGATCAATGTGTACAGGCCCCGCGACAACCTTGTGCCATCGCGAATATTCGATTCGGATCGGTTGTGAATCAACGAAGTCGAAGTGCTCTCTGCTTTGTGGCGTTCTGTGCGTTCGAGAATTTGAAGTGCGAGAATTACAGCTCAGTGCTCAGGGCGATTCGTTCTGATATGTCTTGGATAACGAAGAGAGAGCCTCGCCGCTGATAACTCGAGTGAGTCGGTCTCCTTCCTCGGGCTTTCATTAATACACACCTTTCGTAGTAATCGCAGGAAGTACAGGAACAATATCCGCGTTGATTATGAGCAGAAGACGCACGAGTAGAACTTCGGGACCGTGTAAAAGGCACGGCGTGACTGACACACGTCAACGATTTAATCGCTCTTCTGCCGCCTACGCACAAAGTTCAGCTTCCCCAAACTTTCACTCGTCATGGACGTACGTACCTTTCGCAGGAAGATGCATCGATATGATCATGAGAAGAGAATGCACGAGTAGAAGAGGACGTACGAGTATACTGGAAGCCCAAGAGGACACACAGAAGATAGAAACGGCAAAGACTTTAGCTTATCCGAGTCAGTCTCCACAACATCTTCTGCGCATCGCAGCGTCAACGCACAAATATTATTGCACGTACAAGCGTTCGTACCGTATCCGTGACCGCGGGAGGACCATCGTGTACGACTTGGCTTCGCGATTCCCAGCGATCCTGGGGCACTTGACAGATACGTCACGCCGCGGCGCTTGCACCTTGCCCAAGATCAGCAAACCATAAATGACACAAGGGAGTACGGCCCGATCAGCACATCGCCCGTCACATCACTTCGAACATATATATATACGCATATATATGTATGCATCAACGACGAGTTCCAACAACTTGAACCCACGTACCTTCGCAACTGGTGCTAATCATGATCCATGCACACGAGCAAGTTAAGTTCCACGCAAACCACTGCAAACACCGCGAAATCTCCTCCGAGTCCTTCCCGAATCGAGCTCCGAGCTCCGACTCATAAAACTTTTCTTTCCTTCGAGTCTTCGAAAGTTAAAGCCTGAGAAACTCCCAACCTTTGTAAACCCAGCGAACGAGTACATCAATTGATAAGATGTGATTAAGATATGATGCCCATGATTCTATACCGAGTTCCAAGCGACTGCTTGTGGTTTAGATTCTTTGGACTTGACGCGGTGTTCTCATGGGGATTTTCCAGCGTCTTGACAAAGGAACGCTACGTCGATTAATGCCTCTGTATAGCTTAGTGCATAACTCAGCGCTCAGCAGGGAAAGACGATGATCATGATGGTACTCGGATCACATCGATATTAAACGCAAGCTCGCACAAGGCGAACAAGACATAATTTGACTTGTAAAGTAAAGACGGAATGACCTCAGCCGAGTTCGGACTCCGAGTCAGGTTTAAACCTTCGAATTCTCGATGAAGGCCCGAGTCGTGGGGAATTGTGGGATTTTCCCCAGGCCAGCTAGCCAGCTAGGGAGAAGGAAGGAAGCCTTGAGCTTCGACGGGCGTTGGTGTGGTCATGAGGCGTTATGTATGCTTCAGGAACGTTCGCCATGTTGATATCGATATCGATCGTCGGATGACAGCTGGAATAGCGCATGGAAACGCAGTGCTGAGATGACAGCTGGGATAGTGCACAGAAGCGGAGTGCTGAGATGACAGCTGGAATAAAGATGTTACTTGCTATTGCGCCATACTTGCGATTTCGCAGTACGCGTGTGCCAGTGCCCTAGTACTTGATAGATAAGACACATGTCATAGGTCGGCAGACCAAAATGTTTTAAAAACCCACAAGCTTAGCGCTTAGCTTTTGACTAAAAGCACACAACCCTACTAGTAGCTAGCATGACACAGCTGTGACAAACTTGACATATACAAAACGTTGACACAAAGCCGTGAACGTCGTTGACATGGACACGCATTATAACAGACAAAACCAAAGATATTGATTGGAGGAGAGTACTAAATGAACAAAGGTGTAAAGTACAATTAACAAGGGTACCAGTACAAGAACGATGATGCGCGTGATAGCAAACGTCAGAGTCAAAGTCAGAGTCATGCAATGTAAAACAAAGCCTATGAGTGAAGTGAGCGAACAACGTAGTGAGGTGAGCGAACAGCGTGTAGTGAGGTGAGTGAACAGCGTGTATGAGACGAGCCATCGAGCAACGTGATAAAACCATGAAAAGCGAACAACGCGTACGTATACTATGAGGATGGGTGAGGCAAACAAAAACAACATGTGAGAAATCTCGTGGTATGTATGATATCGATATGTGCATGTGCCGAAACCAAAAAACCAAACTAAAAAAACCAAAACCAATCAGCAAAAAAAAAAAAAAAAAAGACGAAAAAGAACAAACAACACAAATGACGAAACGTTAACAAGGTACGTATGCATGGGTATGGTATGTATGTAATTGCGGTGGGAGGAAACGCAAGATTGATTTACAGACGCGGAATGATGTACATGCGCCAAACGATGCCAAATGACGAATTGGCGATAGAACGCCGTGCGCCGACGATTGGCGATAGATATGTAGAACGCCGTGTCAATGCGCCAGCGATGGGCGATAGAACGCAATGCGCCAAATACGATTGGCGATATAAACGCTATGCGCCATCCGTCCATTGGCGAGAGGCGATAGAACGCGGGAAGAACAAAGAAGGATATCAGGGAATCAAAATAAAGTTAGGTTAGGTCGCAAGGAGCATCGCAAGGCCTGGCATGGCGTGGCGTGGCCTCATGAGCGGCTTTTTCTTTCTTGGGGTTATGGATTAGCATCGGCGGGGGTGCGGGTGATAGGTGGCCCGTCTTCGGCGGGAGCGGCAAGGTCTGGTCTTCTTCGGATAGTGTGGCAGATTCTTCTTCTTCGGATAGTGCGGCAGAAGTCCTTCTTCGGCCAGCGCGGCAGAGACTGGGTGTTCCTTCGGCGATGTGACCCCCTAATGCATGACCCCCTCGTCCCTCCGAGTCATGGCAAAGGAACTCTCAAGGGTCGGGATGCCGGGGTTCGCGCCCCCCAATGCGCGCCATGTCCCCACGAAATTCTGCCCGCCCACAATATATCCGCTAAACACCCACACACCCAGACCTTGGGCTGCAGGGTGCGGGTGCGCAGGGATACGCACGAGAGCGACGAGTCCGTCCCATTCACGGACGCGCCCGTAGAATTTGTAGTGGTTCCATGCTTGGCCATGCTTGAAGTCGGTCTGACAATGATGAGGATTAAGACTGAACAACGGGAAAGAACGGATGAGCTTACCTCCCCAACAAGCGCAATATCAAGCACCCCATTACACCTCCTCTGAACTGAATACTCCTCGTCGCTATCATCATCCGAAACGAGATCAGCATCTTCGTCCATAGCGTCGTCGTCTTTTTGTTGGAAGACGGTGTCGATGACAGAGTCGTACTGCGCTGAAGCGTCTTCCAGGAACTCCTGATCTCGATCCCCGTCCTCATCACTAAGAAGCTCGATATCAACATCCACATCAACACCCTCGTCCGCCTGAGACCGGTCCGCCAAATACTGATCATCATGCTCCCTGTAGACGATATCGCACGTCCCGCGGAACTGACATCCACGACATGTAGCTTCGTCATGGGAGTTTGAGAGTCCGGGGCGGTAGGCTTCGTAGACATGTACGCGGCCGTGATGTTGGAATGTGAGTTTGCCTTCGTGCTGCCAATAGATCAGTCGTGAGAAGGGATGATCATTCGGAGTGGAGACTTACCATATCTTCGTGTACTTGAACACCGGCGGGTATCCAAGCGTTTGAGATCCCATCGTCGAAGCCGTCGTTGGCGCCGCCGGTTGGTACGGGGTCTTGGGGATCAATACAATGATATTCGCGGAGACGCATGAAGAGAGGGGCGGCGTTGAGGAAGAGTTGTTGTTCGGTAAAGTCTTCGGGCATTTGAACGTGTTGGAGGATTGTGTTGAATGCGTTGTCTGTTGGTACCTGTTTTTTGTGAGATAGGATGAGAGAAGAGAGGATGGGCACGAACTAGGATGCGGCCTTGCCAGAGACCTGTTGCGGAGCCGTAAGTGTAGTGTGTATTCATGAGAGATGATTTTTCCATGGGATATATACAGTCAGTGAGACGGTACCAGTCGTCGTCGAGTTGTGAGCTGGGAGTTGGTGTTGTGTCGATGTGGTCGTCCCAGGTGGTAGCAGGAACGTGCTTGACGACATTGTGTTGGTTGAGCTCGTGAACGTCTTCTTGGGTGGGACCGATTTGTTCACCAAATCCGAGTTGGATAGCGTGTTGACGATTGAGAGGGAGGTGGATAGGAACGCCGATGGGGGTGACTTGACGACGTGAGAAGAAGATGAGCTTTGCGGCAGTGGATGCGAGTGGGATGCCTATCTCGAGGTCTGTGCGATCGTAAAAGTGAGTGGAACGGGCACTGCCGGAGCGGTAAAGTGGGAAAGCGCCGTGAGCTGGGAGGATAGATTGACGGAGGTGGCCGTCTGAGTTGCTCGTGAGAGGCATGGTGAAGTGGTTGTGGGGAGCATGAGCGGATGGGTACTAGGAGGGGTTGTCATGATTGTGGAGGATGTTTGATGATGGAATGTTGCTTACGCGAAATGGGACGATGACAAAAGGGAGTACAAGTCTGATAATCTCGTTGCGGCGAGCGGTAGTTTCTGCCTTGAGGCGTTCTGGGGGTGTGTTGGAGTGTGGTGTTGTTTATGAAGAGAGGACATACCTTCTGTACTCGTAAACCAAAGTAACCACAATGCAAGACAATTGATGGGAGATTCGTTTGGCCATCCACTTGTAGAGACGTTGTCCTCGTAAAGACGATTGCGGACGAACTCGTCTACGAAATCTGGTAGACCTGCTGCTTCGAGGTGATGGCGGTTCTTTCCATCGTTTTCCGACATGAGGGCAAAGCAGGCCCAAAAAGCGTCGAGGACGGCATGGTCGTATATGTCACCACGTCTAATGCATTTCAAAGCGGAGGAATACCAGACTAGCTGGTGAGCGAGATGACGGGAATGGTGTGTACGAGTTCCTAGTCGTCGAGCGGATGCTGCAGAGTCGAATCTATGATGGAATACACGGGAATATAGATGACTGTTTTTAGGAAAAGCGAGGATATGATTTATTTGTTTGCAAGTCTGGAGGAGGGGTACGATGGGGGAAGTTGAAATGAGTTCTAAGACGATATTCTCGAATATTTCAGCTGGAAGATTGCAGAGGGTAGAGGATTGAATTCGCATGATTGATTAGGGAATGTGGATGGAGGGAGAGGTCTTTAGTTATATGTGTGAGGTATCTCCGTTGATAACCAGGGTATAAAATCGGGGAATTTCTAATGATAGATCTCAACGCCAGCTAGATCATTTCGTCATATGGGCGTCTGTCCCCTTTCAGCCTCCCCGTCTGCATCCCGCGACTACCGCCCTCGGCATCATCCTCTGTCAGTTACGTCTATACACCTCTACAATTGTACATATCGAACCTTTTTGCCACTACCAGAGTCATCCCACCGGTCTCAAGGCTTCCAAACTTACGCAACTAAGATACGATCTACTCCCCTATACCCTATGGTACAATATCATGGAGCATACAATTCTTTTCGATGGCCCTCGTCTTCGTGCCTCGCCAATTATCTCCGTTAAACCGTCAACTAACCCGACAATCCGGCCCCGGCTCAATTTAAAGGCCGCAATCCACGGCGATCACGATCGGTGGCTCCCTCGGACCCTCCAGGTTCACAGCCCTTTCCATTCCCCATTTCGGCTTCCATATCGGCTCCTCTTCCCGTACACAATACATACTCTACTCCTTCCCGCTCACTCACTTAGGTACCCGCTATTCTATTGCTACAAATTCAATTCTCCTCCAACTTCACTTCTTCTAATCACCTCTTTCATTTCCGCCCTAACTCACACAGAACACTCTTTTACGCCATCCCCGCCTCTTTCTTATTCCCAAACGCCAATCTAGCCAATCCAGCAACGATCACTCATCATCTATAAACACCCTACATACAAAAAAGGCATCTCCGTCATCATCCACGTGACCATTACGGACGGCTCATTGGAGCTTATCGCCGGCGGCCCGTACAAACTCTTCTTCTGCAATCCTAGCCTCCTTTTGGTCATCTCCTCATGCCGCCATTCTGGAATTTACCTCTGACGCAACGCATCGCATTTGCCCTGGTGCAGACGTACATTCAATTCAATCGACCCTACAAAGAAAAAATAATTTATCCCCTTGCCTGACGTCGACAATTCAATTTTAATATTACAACTTTGTAGCCCCTGGCAGCCATAGTCTAGATGCTTGCGTGCGTGCGTACGTGCGTCCTCCTTTCAAACACGATCATTCGCTCGCGTGCCCTTCCATATCGCCTACTCAGTATTCCCGGCCACCATCGATCGATGGTTCTATGGAGCATCCATCCAATATCTGTCTGTGGGGCGAAATCTACAGATGGAGAACATTACGACTTACCGTTCGGATCTTGCTGGCTCGAGCGCTCAAGTTCACCCATCCATGCCGTTTTTTTTTCGATCACTGTACGTTGGCTCGACTTACCTTTTGCTCCACAAGATCTGCCATGGAACGTGTAGGTCGAGGCTCGCAGTTCGCAGCTCGCTCAGCACTCTACTCCACTCCAGCACTCAACACTCCACTCCAGCACTCTTCTCCACTCCACTCCAGCACTCACCACAAGCGCTGACGACCACCCTACAAAGTACACGTTCAACTCCGCTATTCTTGTGGCGGTTCCTTTTGGATTCATTGGCTCTGGGTTCGAAATCAGCGTTAGAGTTAAGTTAAGTTAAGTTTGGATCAGGCGCCAGCTGAGCTGAACAGCCCCAGGCCCTCTTCACGGGACGACGGTGCCTTCAGTTTCCGGGACGACGGTGCCATCAGTGCTCCCGGGACGGTGATGCCCTCAGTGCTCCCGGCACAGTCACAGTGGTGTTGTCACATCTGGTGGTACCTTCAGTTCGGGACGAGACGGTCACGGTGGTATTGTCACTAAAGCCTTGTGCATCTGACTTTGACGCGCATGCTTGACGGGCCGGGGTGGAACTCCGTACACCTCGCAGGCTTGGCCAAGCCATTACTAGTTCTCTACCTTGGTTCTAGGCTTTCCGAATGGATGGGCGGGTGAGTAGTGAGAGGGTCGATTGAGTTTTGGGGTTGCTTTTCCCAGGGACAAGAGAACGCATGCGCTTTTATCGCTTCTGTCAAGTTCCCTCGTCCTACTTGTCTCGCGGAACCGGTTTTCGAGTATCAAGATGAGCAACTTTGAAGGGTTTCGTACTCATTCCCGTCTCATCGCATCCACATCCCCGTCTTCATCGCCCTCGCATCCCCGTTTCATTCCGTTGAAAATGGCGGTCGAGTCACAATCACAAGTCCTCCCTGAATCCACTCAAAACTAATACCAATACCAAATGTGCGCCTCAATCGCATCCTCATTTCATCTCCGTCGGGCTCCCCTTCACCCTTGCACCATACATCCGTCCATCATCTAGCCATTCATGCCATCGGCAGTGAATATGGATATGGATCGATCGTTGACGTACAACCTCATTGATTCATTGATTATTGCTTTCCGAACAGTGAACACCTCATAATTATTCTTCGTTCAAGTCGAGTTTCAGGGTATATGGAAAGGTATGTCTCCTAATGAACGTCTCCCGCTATCGCCGTCACCACACTGACGGGAACAATTGTAATGCATTTGTGTAGGTCTGAACAGGCGATCGTAGCCAGCGCGTGCGTGGGATACCCGTTAAGTATATGGGGCTGGACTCTGGACCTGCCATGGCCCTGGCCTGGGGCGCATGTTCCGTTACGGTACTGCCAGAACGGGGTGCAGTCTCGACTGTCGCATCCCGTTTACCATCACTGTCATCTGAATCGGAGCAGTCTCCGTTACCACAAATTTTGAATCGGGGCACACAGCATGAATCGGGGGGCAGCCTGAAGTGGAGGGGCTGAGGCGCAGATTCCTCTTGATTACCGTGTGAGATGTTGATCGTTATCATATAACCCGCACGCGATGTGGCGTCTGTGGGCTGTGGTGGGGCCCTGGCTATTTGTCTTTTTTCCCTTTTTCTGCCCCTTCTTTCCTTTTTTTTCTTTTGCTGTGCTTATGCCATATCGTGCTTATACTTATTTGTATTACCGGCGGGCACTGAATTCGGTTTCGTCATGTTATGTTATGTGCGTATGTTATGTGTTCGTGATGCATTGATAGCCCCATGGGTACCGACGGGCTTTTCATTATGTATCAATACGATACCGCTTACCGACGGCTACATACTATACTATCATCACTAGGGAATAGGGTCAGGGGGGTAACCTCGGCAAGGCAAGGGGTTGCTGTTATGTTCGCTGGTGAGATTTTGACTTGCCTGACAGCTGGAGATAAGTGTGAAGGCTAATTTGTGTTTGTAGTTTGGAGTTTGTGTTTAGGTCGTCGTTGGCGTTTTGCTATTGGGGCACAGGGGTACATGTCCCACGGGATTGGTGGGCTTTTCTATGAGCCCGCTTCTTGCTTTAGGTATTTGGTATTTGGCGGTGACTGACCGATGGGGTTTTCTTGGGTTTACAGACGCTTTTGACTTTAACTTTCGACTTCGGTGTTTCCCGGACGTGGAGTATGTATGGGTTTCGTTCGCGTGGGGGTTGGTGGGCTTGTGCCTCTTGCTGTTGCTGTTGCTATTGCTGTTGTTTGACCGATAGATCTAGGAGGAGGCGCGTCGATTCGGTCTTTCCCGCATGCACACGCTCAGGCCGCTATTTCTTCGCGCGCGGGTCAGGAGAACGGGGGTTACCGTTTGTTTGATGGCGTTTATCCTTACTACTTGCTGGAGATACGAAGGCTAATCTGTGCTTACAGGTGTAACTCGTCATTGCGTTATTGGACTCTACGACTTAATCCCACTTTGGCTCGCGGCGTGCGCTGGGTTGTTTGTTTGGTTATCCGTTTTAAATTCGCGTGCGCGGGGATGCATACCGCGGCTTCATTCTTTGCGTCACCTGGGAGATTGGTAGGCCTTTACCCTCCGTACTTTGCTTCTTTTAGTGATAACTGACCGATGGGGTTTTCTTGGGTTCACAGCCAGGGCTTCGAACTTCCACTTCGACTTTCGGGTGTTCCCGGTTTTTGTAACTTGTTGGCGTGTGGGGGTTTGGTGGGCCGTACCTCTTGTTGTTGTTTGGAGTTGCGTTTGGTTCGGTTTTTCCCGGAGAGGTTTAGTGTCTTGTTCTCCTTGATGTTGATGTTGATGTTGATGCTCACGTTGACGTTTTCCTTTTGCTGCGCACGCAGTGGGGCTTTAGGCCTTAGGTTTCACTGCGCTTTTGTCGAGTCCGTTCGTATGGGGAATCGCTATTGGTAGGTCGCATGAGGTTTTCTGTCTTGGCGACTGATTGATTGGGTTCGCAGATAAGGCTTTCAACGAGGTTTCATCGTGGAACTCCAACGAGATGCATTGATGATGGACTTGGTCATCGTTTACCGACGGGATCAGATTCTGTCAGATTGTGCTGGTCTTGTTGGTGATCCTTCGTGGATAAGGTTTTCAGTCCCGTCTCTCGATAGACAAGAGTTGGCGATTTCCCTCGATCAACGAATCAGTAATCCTCCTCTGTTGATGCGATTAGACCTCGCGGTCTTTCATCGCGGAACTCCAAGGAGATGGAATGATAGACTTGATCATGGTTATCGATGGTATCAGACTGCGCCAGTCTTCCTGTCATCCATCCTACTCTTCGAATCCGTTCGTGTGGATATGACTTTCAGTCCTTCCCAGAATCGATAGACGTAGTTGGGGGTGAGTCTTATTGTAAGTATACAAAGACTCACTGAACTTCGTCTGTCGATGGGACTGGACTGCGCCGGTCTCTTTGTCGTCCATCCTACTTCACGAATCCGTTCGTGTGGATAAGACTTTCAGTCCTTCCCAGAATCGACAGACGTAGTTGAGTAAAGTCTCTGAACAAGAATACAAAGACTTACTTAACATCGTCTGTCGATGGGACTGGATCGCGCCTATCTCCTTGTCATCCATCCTACTCTGCAAATCCGTTCGTGTGGACAAGGCTTTCAGTCCTTCCCAGAATCGACAGACCAGGTTTAATGATTCTCGTCGCAGGAAGCAACGACAAGACTCATTTTGACATCGTCTGTCGATAGGACTGGATTGCTGGTCTTGTTCTGAGCTGCCTGCTGTTGATGGGGCTGCTTTCACGTGTGGAATTTGGTAAGCTTACTCGTTTCTTCTGCTTTGCAAACCCATTGGAGACTGATTGATTGGGTTCGCAGATGAGGGTTTTAGTCACTGGTCTTTCCTAAGTCGACTGATGAGGTTTCTCACTCCATGCATCGAGTATGGCGCAATGGAGTGCTTAACATCATTTGTCGATGGGATCAGGCTAGGGGGTCTTCTTGGGTTGAGGAACTTGTCGTTGTCATGTTTCCTGCTGGTAAGCTATATGCGTACTTTCTCCTTTGCGAGTTCCTTGGTGACTGACTGGTTGAGTTCACAGATCGGGCTGTAGGTTACTGGTCTTTCCTGAGTTGACAGACGGGGTTTAGGGATTCGTGAATCTTAGACGGATACAACGAATCACTTAACATCGTCTGTTGATGGGGTCAGACTAGGCGGATCTTCTTGTGTTGTGCGCCTGGGGACGTTGTACTTTCTCCTGGTAAGCTATATGCGCACTTTCTTCTTTGCGAACTCCTTGGTAACCGACTGATTGATCAGTTCATAGATAAGGCTTTTGGCCACCGGTCCTTCCCAAGTCGACTGATGAAGTTCAGTGATTCATGGTACAAATCAATGATGCAATGACGTGTTTGACATCATTTGTAGATGTGATCAGACTGCGCTATTGACACTGTCCGTTGCCGTCGTTTGACTTGATTCAAAACATGGCCAAGGATTTATATTACGGCTTTTCGGTCTTCTTGTATTGACGCAGCCCGTTGCCATCGTCTGTTTGACTTGATTCAGAACATAATCAAGGACTTATCTTACGGCCTTTGTATTCAAACGCAGCCTTCGTCACTGTTGTAATTCGTTCTACAACACGGTTCTTTCCTGCAGATGCGACTGTTCCTGTGAAACGCCAATTGCCGAACGATTTGTACGAGTGCATATGGTACTTGTTGCATAGAAATCACAATGTGTTCCAATCTGATCGTCTGTTCCAGGTCCCTTGATTCTTGTGCTTCCCTTGAGGTTGATTGTGATCTTGTGAATGATCGATACGGTCTAGGCGGTATCGTACCGACTATCTGATGTCAAAAAACACAACCTTGTGCAGCGCTTTGGATGATGGATGGACGTGGTTTAGGGGACCTAGCAAAGCTCTAAAAAAATAAACTGGTGGTCGTACCTCCTATATCCATCTCGGGAATTCTTGGTGAATGCCTGTCAAGAGGTGTGGCGGGATCGAAGCAGAAGAAGCCACTACCAAATCGGGTCAAATCACGTCCGAGAATGGAATGTGACTGCTTTCCTTGACGTCGTCACAGAACGCGGGGTCGATGGGCAATAAAAACTCGTCGTCTCCATAATTCCCTCTTTCTTCGTGCCCACTATCATCTACCATCTTTCCCCCACCTACCGTCATGCAGAGCACCGATAATGCCCAGTCGTTCGTTCCCTTTGGTCATGAATATAGTCCACCGCGCTCCAGGACCACAGCTGCGTCCATCTGGGCTCCTCAGCCTCAGCTTTTGGATTCGACGTGGCCAAAAGCTATAGACTCCTTCTCTCGTGATGCAGAGATGGAGCTGCAGCGCTCCGGTCGTATTCCGAATGCACGGAACTTCTTTCCCTCAGGTAACGGAGGTGAAGATGTCTTTGGTCCTGTCGGCCTTGTAGGTATGCCTCGCAAAAGAGACATTGGTGCGATCGGCGACGGTAGGAAAAAACAGAGCCCCGATTTTGACGATAGTGTTAGTCAATCTCATCGAAATAAAGCGCATATATGCTGACTACACCGACTATTTAGCATGTCGAGCAGCTCTTACGCGCTCTCAATCTCAACTCTCCCGCTCTTTATACTCAGCAGCCTTCTCGTCCCCAGATTTCCGACTCCAAGAATGTATCGACCGGCTCTCCGGATTTTTCTCCGAGTTCTACTACATCTGCACTCCTTACGCCTACAGATCTTTCTCCTGCGAAAACTTCTTTTGACTTCAAGATCAATCCACCTCATGAACTAGCTCCTTCGCACCCTACTTTATCTCCTTCGTCCCTTCTGTTTGACCACGGCTCGCCCTTGAGGGCGCACGATTTCATGTCTCATAATGTACACCAGCGTTTTTCCAGCGTTCCTTCTTCGAACCTTCTGCCTCCTAGCCCATTGCCTTATTTCGAGCACTCTTCTGAGAATTCTTCCCCAGCTTTGGGCTCCCAGCAGTTCTATGACAGCGCTTTCGCTCACTTGGGCCATCCAGAGGTATCAAGAGTTTCTTGGCGGCAACCACAGCAGCTGCCTGGCCCTCCTGAGTGGTTGAGGGTTGAGGAGAAGCTTGGCGGGAGCGACTATCCCTCCGGCGTCACGGTCGGGGAGGACTCTCTTAGAACCTCGCCGTCTCAGCCGTCATTCCCACATCGCCAAAATGGAGCTCATGCTCACGAGGTAAGATTTTCTTTCTCCACTCTGTTTCCATCGTGTATGCACTTACGTCCCCTTCCCAGCCGATCAATTTCCTCTCGCTTTTGCATCCGTCATCGTCTCCCCCATACAACGTATTTGTGGCGCGCATCATCAAGTCATCTGACCAGCAGGCTTCTATCTTTTTGCAACAGAAGCTCAAGGTTGCCGATCTTGAAGAACGCCACAAGATTGTCGATGCTATCTGCGCGCGTGGCTTTGAGATGATGTCACACCGGTCAGTGCCCTGATCATAGACAAGGTCTAATTAAAACTGATATTGATCTGCGCGACTTCTAGTTTCGGCAACTGGGCAGTTCAAAGATGTCTTGAAGCGGCAGCGACCCCCGAAGAAAGGAGGAAGATAGTCAATTGCATGAGGTATGCTTTCGTCTTACGACGATATTCATCGAACAGCATCTTTAATTGTGAACAGGGGACGGGTTGTCGACCTTGCGACTAATTGTTACGGATGTCACGTCCTCCAAAAGGCACTGGATTGCGAGGAGGATATTCGCCTCCTGATCGTTTCCGAGCTTCTCCTCGGAGACCCTGCATTAACTTTAGTGAACAAGCACGCATCTCATGTCTGGAGCAAGGTAAGAGATCCGTTACGACTCGCATGCCGTTGGATCCTAACCGACATGTATCCAGATCATGGAATTGACGTGGACGGCCCCTGCACCGCCGATTTTCGCATTGTCAGGGTATTTCTTGCTGGAGGACCAATACCGTTCTGACGATTGTAATGCTTATGTAGCGTCAACAAGTCCCTGAAAGGGAAATGGGCGTCTCTCGCTTGCCATGAAACAGGATCCCTCGTTGTCCAGGTGAGGATGCCAACGTATGACATGTAGCTCATTTCTCATGCTCTACAGCACGCATTTGAGAACCTTGAAGAGTCCGCCAAAGATGGCATTATTGATGAGTTGCTGAATCAAGGACCTACCGTGTTCGGTGAGATTGCGAAGAACCAGTGGGGTTCGTACTGCATTCAACACAGTCAGTGCTTCTACGATTACGTCCCTCTTCGTCATTTCTTACTGTGACTTCTTTTATCCAGTTCTGGAGCACGGGTCTCCGAAACACCGTCAAATGTGCCTAGACCATATCATGTCTGACCTCCTGGATTATGCCACAAACGAACAGGGGTACAAGTCAGTTACGAAGGCTCTCAAGGAAACGGGCCCCGAAACTCTAGACAGGATTGTCAAGCGGATGTGTGAACCTGCGAAGGGGTACGAACATTGTGATTGCCTTCTATTACGATACTGATTCTTCCAAAGTGGCCGTCGAGCGATGATTGTGGACTTGGCATTGTCAGTCACCGGCAGTCAGCTGATTGCTAGCACGTTGCCTCAGGTATGCTGCGCTGCCGTTAGTGTCTATTGTCAGCCTCATGTTCTTTCGTAGGCGGACAAGGACCAACGCACCACGCTCTATGACTGCATTCGCGGCCATATCGTCACCCTGCGTGGCTGTAAGACAGGGTCCAAGGTCATCTGGCTCTTGTGAGTTTCATTTATGTGTTGCTTCCTTTCCTTCTTGATGTCTGATCCGTCCGCAGCGATAGAATGGTTCGATCGTTCATTTCTACTGCTGCTTTTGGTTCTAACTCGTGTCTAGCGCGCCTATTATGGCTATTGAGAGGATGCCCCATCCTGTGTCCTCTCTATTCCGATCTTTTTCATCCACTGCAATATTCTCTTGCCATCTCGTCTTCATCCACGGCGTCTTCGATTCCTCGACTTGGAAACGTCTCTCATAACATAAAGAATACCTCGGTCAATACCTGGCTGGCCCATCTCCACCATTAATCTCGGAAAAGTACCAGAAAAGCTCATCTGTCTCGCATTCCAATAACAAAAAGCAGTCCTAATCGCATCAACATCAACAGTCTCAGTCGCATTCGCAATTTCCCAACCGTAATCGTATACTACGCATCGCAGTCTCCATCTCAGCCTCACTTGCACGAACAATCTTCGCACTCAATTCTCTCGATATCGAATTTCACGCCTGCTTATTTGCGTCGCTATCCAAGTTCCTCGCTTCTTCTTTCGACCATATATACCGTGCACATCAACTTCCGTTGTCAAGCATCCTGTTTTTCCGCTCGCTGCTGCTCTCAGCACGGAATGGGGACGCGGATAATGTGCGCTAATTAATCAAATTTCCGTCCTTATGTCAAGCCAAGCTAGAATTCCTCGCATGATCCATCGAACAGAAGCTCAGTTCTATTGTAACAACCTGTTCTTTTACTTTTACCAATCCAAACGCATCATCGCATCTGTAATTGTCTACACCCACCTTCGTTTGTAGCATCACTTTGTCGTTACCGCTGTCAACAATGTTATCAGTCGCTGTCCAGTTATTGGACTCTTTAGAATTTTAGATTGACTGGTCCGGTATATTCGCAACAACGCAGTTGAGGTCTTACAATATGATATAGTATATGCCGGGCGACAATGAAAATTATGATCAGTTTGGAACGACGGTACCATCTATCAGGTAAATCACGCCGTTCTGCGCCTGTTGAGTATAAAGTCAACAACATTAAGCAGACTTCATGCGATATAAGACCGACCTTCTTCATCCCTATGATGCGCACACCATCCTCTAAAGTCACCCGCATCCACTCGGGTGAGTCAGGCTTTGAGTTGGGAACAGGTGTGACAGCAACGAGTTTCCCATCTTGCAGCGTTTCATAGGAAGCAGGCGCGTCGGACAGGGAGATGCGAGACTTCATGACTCGCTATAAGAGAAATTTCGACAAGCGACAACAAAGCAACTCACAGGAATTATGTGGGCTGAGACCCATCGCTCAACATTTCTCTTAGACCTTTCGTCCAGCTCCTGTTCTGAGATCTCAATCTTGGGCTCTACCGGCTCCGGACCTTGGTGTCTGCTCAGCCATGCATTCAATCACGTCCGTACCATCATACACACAATTATTACACTCACGGTTTCCGAGCCAGCGCCATAACAGCCTTGTTCGTCGGTACGAGCATCGTATACCAGACAGACTCAGAAAAGAAACTAGACGACAACTCCGTCTCTCGAGCATACGAGTAATATATACTCGCTAAGGGCTCGATGGTGAGCAAGTCCGCGAGCGTGGGCTGGGAGCTTGTGAATGGTGATGAGATGGATTCTTTGGTGGTCTGCGACATTGGTGGAATTATGATTTGCTCCTGGAGAGAAGCGGATACTGCGAATGGGAAGATGGATGTGAGGAGGTACGAGAGACGCATGGTGATGAGCTTGGTGACTGGAGCTCTGGAGCTGAGAGGATCAAGGATGTTCGGAAATTGCCGTATGCGCGGTCATGTGATGTAACACCGTTCTGCATTCAATTCTGAATTCTGAAGAGACGTTCAACAGAACGATCTTATGATCATCTTAAGTTCATTTGTCTATGGTCTGTTCATCCTTCCAGGGCCAAGCTCTTCACAAACACTATAGTACTGAATTTTGGTGTCGAACATTCAAGAACGCCGTTACTGTGATCATCGATGTAAAACAGGTACTTCTCATTCGTTCTTTTCTTCGTTATGCCCACGCATATGGGGTCAAGGTCGCCGCTCTTTCAACGAATAGGTCAAAAATTCTACCCCTGATGGGTGAGTCTTCATTGATCACGCATCCGATATGATCACTCCTACGGTCAAATCTTTTTGAAGAATATATAAGCCATAAAATAAAATACGCACCTACCCTCGCGGCATATTATACGATGACCCAGGGGGACAAGAAGAGATCATGCCGTCAATTCTTTTAAAGCAGCCTTGGAACTGTCCTTCATGCGGAGGTTTTACTAGGGTTTTCGCTCACAGAGCGTTGGAGCTCTCGCCCACATGGTGGTCCGTCCGGGTGCCGGTTGAAGGGCCTCAAATGAACAACTTTGGGCGTCTGGGAGTGCGTACAATCAAGCATACGGGAAGGCGAGTCAGGAAAGACCCGACTTGCCCAGGTAGGCGATCTCAAGGAGAATCCCAAGGATAGTTGGCGATGAAATCCCCCTTTGGGGCTGTGAGGAGAGTATTTATCGCTAACTTGATTGCAACACCGGGAAACTTTGCGGTAGATTTCGAAGGCGCGGTGTCCGCGGAAAGCATACAGTTTGTCATGAAAGGTGGCAGGATCTATAAACGTGAGAGCCTACCTCTTGTGTAACAGGTACTTGTAGTATATGGCTTCCGCGCTACGCACAGCGGCGATCAGGGTGGTGACGTAGAAATCCTTGGTTAACGTTAGAAGCGCGTACTAAGTTGACCACACAACGATCATGGAGCCAAGCTGCAGTGCGACGTGATCGATATGCTACCTGGACGCCCAAACACCGGTAAATCTGTTTCGAAAATATTGAAATAGTTCATTTCCGTCAGCCGTGCATAAGGGGGGTTTCAGCTGGTCCTCACCCACAATGTGGCAGATTCTGATAAGGTCGCCTTGAACCACAGGACTTGCCAAAGATGGTGACCAATTGGCAATTTGAAATTGAGAATAGCCGTGAGATAGCTTAATCAGCAACTGTACAGCGCAGCGTTGACGGCGTCTCTGTCGTTTTTGTTGACTCCCCGTTAATATTCTTATTCCATCAACGTATTAAGGTATGGTTGGCTGAAGTCGATTTGACGCTGCATACACTCTCTCGGCTCTAGCTTCAAGTTGCTTGTTGTTCTTCTTCGCCAAATCCAGCGCGCGATGTTAAATCACAGTCATATCATCCAGAGCGACCGACGTTCAACAGCCTCAACAGTCTCGAATTTCAACCCACAAACTAGTCAAGGCCCTCGTTTGTATTTCACAGTGGGGGCCTGTTACGTTCGTGGAATATGAAGTTGGTCCAGTCCGCTTGCTGCGAGGCTTCGTTATGAAGTCGAGCAGACCAACAGGTGGCCGGATCAGATGCGTCTCTGCAGAGTTGAGGTCGGCGGCTTTCTTTCGTCGAGCTTGTAGTTTTGGGACAGACAAATTTTTGTAATTATATTTTTTGCAATTCAGAATCGTTGATTTCCTGCTATTTGAACTTGAGCTCGCATCAGGAGATCCATGAAACTTATGCTCGATCAGATCGCGGCGTGGAAGCCGTTTCCCGCAACTTGGCCTTTTCCGTCGAGATCTGGCCACAACTACGATGTTTCGAAAATTGTGCTGTATCAACGAAGGGAACATCTACTTGGTTCGATCGGACGTGGTGTTCGCGTGTAGCAAACGAGAATGCATATCAGGCGACGGAGCAGTGCTGTAGACGCACACGGTTTGGAATTTTGTTAATGAGTATTTATTTTGAGACCATGACCAGACGACGGTGCGACTCCTCATCAAGAGGAATATCAAAGAGTAAGTAACTCTTCTCATCTGCCAAGAAGAATCCATTAGATGTCCATTCATTGTCTAGATATCTCATTTCTTTCGTTGGCATCGTTGTGAATGATGTCTCCCATACTCATATCAAATCGATTGGGCCTGCGGGTTATTCAAATCTGGTAGCAGTTATTAATGTTGGATGGACTCACGGTTACTCTTGCGGGCATGATCTCGTGTCGCTTTGTTTAATGACAGTGGCGGGATGCAAGATAATTCACACATGTTATATTCCTTTGGCTTTCTGGAGTACGCGGATGTATGCAGATCATTCGACAGATACAAATAGATGCTAAACCGAAGCGTTGCTTGTGACGAACTGGGGCGAGGTCCGCAGGGACCTGCCTGTGAGACAGGATAGCGGAAATTTGCGCCGGACAATTGGACTTCATATCGAACAACTCGCGATGGTTCTCAATATCAGTTTGGCCTCAGTGCCATCTATCAGGTATAGTACGCCATTCTGTGCCCAATGAGTATAAAGTCAACAATGTTAGGCGCAGTATACGAATAAAACAGAACTGACCTCCTTCATTCCAGTCATGCGCTCTTCATCCAAAGTAGCACGCATCCACTCAGCCTTTGGCTTCTAGGCAACAGACTAAATAGAAATTGAGATTAGGTGTACAAATTCGGGAGAAATACAGTCCCAAAGTCTGAAAAAAATGTATTTTGTTTTATTTTATTTGGCAACAAGCTGCGTGCAACCACGGCTAGATGCTACACGCGAAATCGTCAGATTGTCCCAGTAACCCATTAATCAAGGTGGGAGGACGCACGAATTTATCATATGCCAATATGCATGAACACTATGCGCTGGTCCAAGGGGATGTCCTTGTCACAAGCCAATGACTGGACCGCTCGGTGCAGCGCTCGGGCAGCTCGTTTGGAATTCATTTTGCCATCCCCACAAAAGTTTTTGTAGAACGCCTCGACTAAGCGCTGTACAGTAGCATCGTTGACATTCCATAATGTCCCAACGACACTCTTTACCCCAGCAAATTGTAAGCCAGCTGCCAGGTGTACCACTTCGTCAGGCGTCTTAGAATCACCGACTGCAGTTTCGCAGGCAGAAAGAAATGCAAACTCATGCAAAGACAGATCCGTTTCTGTGATATCGAGGAGTGAAAGCGGTTGGTCGCGCATGAGAAAGGCCGATTTGAAGGGTTCTGTATAGTTCTGTGTCCCGTGACACGCAAAATGGAGCCAAGTGTTATCTTGCAATACGCGCAGAGCTCTCGATTTGGTCGCATCAATGCTCGTTATCTTGGTGAAGGAAGCAGTAGGGGGAGGGGGTAAAAGACTCCGCACCAATTCCAGCTCAGGCTCCACACAATCCAAAGTGAATGAATGACCGGCTGGGTGATTCTGACCAATGGCAGCAAAAGACACTGACAAGGATTTGTCATGACTTCTGCGAGCCCTGATCAGCGCGGTAAGCGATGGCGTGTACGAAGAGATATACAGCTGTGAAAGGGACTGCCCATGTCCCCTATACTCGCCAGCAGCGTGCAGCGGCAAGAAATTGAAGAGAGACGTCGGGCACCACCATATTCGGGAACCTGGTCGTGCAAATCTGCCCAGATTTTCGACCACCGGGCGAACGACGTCGTTCCATAACTCCCTCAAAGCTTTGATCAACTCTGGTTGGGTCCTCTTAGGACCGGCGTCTCTTTGTACTGCCTGTTGGAAAGTGGACACCAATTTCGGGAGTTTCTCCAAATTAGTAGGGAGTTGAATGCTAGTCGGAGGCTGCTTGTGAGGGATAATGATGGCGTCGCAAGACGACTCGCTTGCAACGAGCACGATAATAGGCCCATCACGAGCTGCATCTTGCAGATCGGAGAACAATGGGGGAAGTAGGAAGCGAGAGAAGCCTTCGATCTTCCGGATCTCTTCTACAACTCTATTCCAGTCCTCCAATAGACGTGTATACCGACTTGCTTCTGCTTCTACATTGACTCTTGGGGTTCCTTCAAGTTCTGTATGGTTCGCAGGAGGTGTTTCAAGGAGGGAGCTGAGGTCTCTAAATTTCTTCATCAGGACCACTGCATGATCGCCGCGTTCCTGGAGGCTGTCAAGAGGCGTGCGGAGTCGCGTCATCTGGGTCCAAATGACAGTCCTGCCTTGTTCCAACAACTCGACAGCGCGACACACGTCACCACTACGAAGAGCACATGATACAGCATCCACGACAAGCGTACTTGGGAAGTCCTTCATGACATTATGACGAGATGAGACTGAAGCTGTCACGGACATATGAGTGTCCAGAAGTTGCATGTAAGTTGCATAAGCCTCTAGTTCAGTGCCATGTGTGTAATCATGAGCATGGCAAACCCAGCGTATACTTGCTCGTAGGCGACTTGGCAAACCTCCAGAGACAATATTTGCTGCTGCTTTGAAATAATGCATGGCAGCATTCAGATGTTCGCCAGTGCCGTCAAGTCCTGATTGATGGAACAACAGAAAGACCTGAGCTAGCGAGTCATGGACTATCACTTTAAAAGGATCATGTTGCCTCAACAGAGTCAATGCACTCTGGAGAGACTCTAATGACTCGTCGAGGTCTTCTTGATTGCGTCGGTGCTTGAAGGAGTGGCCGAGTGTCAATCCAAGGTTATGAAATGATATGGACCGATGTGGGTGACCGACTGGGCGTAAAGCCAGGGCTTCTCTGTGAAGCGTGATAGCGTCATCCAAGTCTTTATCATTGCCTCGGCGTCGGAAGCGAAAAGCGAGTTTACTTCCAAGGTTGTCTAATGATGTGGACCGATCTATATGACCCACCGGGCGTAAAGCCAACGATTCCATTTGAAGCGCGATAGCCTCGTCTAAGTCTTCGTCATTGTCTCGGTGATGAACACGGGCGGAGAGTTGATTTGCAAGGTTATTTAATGACGTGGAACGACGTGGGTCGGGGACCGGGAGCAGAGCCAGCATTTCCCTGTAAAGTACGATAGCCTCATCCAAGTCTTGGCCATTGTCTCGGTGGTCACAACGGGTGGAGAGTTGATCTGCAAGGCGATGTAATGATATGGGCCGATCTGGGTGACCGACTGGGCAAAAAGCCAGCACTTCCCTGTGAAGCATGATAGCGTCATCCAAGTCTTTGTAATTGCCTCGGAGGTGAAAGCGGGTGGAGAGTCTATTCGCACAGTTACTTAATGACCCTACCCGAAGTGGGTTACCAACTGGTCGCAAAGCTAGCGCTTCCATGTTAAGCGTGATAGCGTCATCCAAGTCTTGGCCATTGCCTCGGTGGTCAAAGCGGGTGGAGAGTGTAGATGCAAGGTTGTCTAATGGGATGGACCGACGTAGCTGACCGACCGGACATAAGGCCAGCGCTTCCCTGAAAAGCGTGATAGCCTCATCCAAGTCTTGGTCATTGCCTCGGCGATCGAAGCAGCTACAGAGTCCCCTCGCAAGGTTATTTAATGAGATGGACCGATCTGGGTGACCGACCGGGTGCAAAGCCAGCGCTTCCCTGTGAAGTGGGATAGCCTCATTCAAATCTTGGACATTGCCTCGGTGCTCGAAGCGGGTGGAAAGTCCATTTGCAATGCCGCTTAATGGCACCGACCGATCTGGGTGACCGACTGGGCGTAAAGCCAACGCTTCCATGTGAAGCGTGATGGCTTCATCCAAGTCTTGAACATTGCCTCGGTGTTTGAAGAGGATAGAGAGTGTATCTGCAAGACTACTTAATGACACGGACCGATCTGTGTGACCGACCGGGCACAAAGCCAGCACTTCCCTGCGTAGCGTGATGGTTTGATCTAAGTCTTGGCTATTGCCTCGGTGCTTAAAGCGGGCGGAGAGCGTAGATGCAAGGCCATGCAATGGCTTAGACCGATCTGGGTGACCGACCGGGCATAAAGCCAGCGATTCCCTGTAAAGCGTGATAGCCTCATCCAAGTCTTGGCCATTGCCTCGGTGCTCGAAGCGGACGTAGAGTCCCATCGCAAGGTCATGTAATGACTTAGCCCGATCTAGGTGACCGACCGGGCGTAAAGCCAACGCTTCCCTGTGAAGCGTGATGGCTTCATCTGAGTCTTGGGCATTGCCTCGGTGTTTGAAGAGGATAGAGAGTGTGTCTGCAAGATTGCTTAATGACACAGACCGATCTGTGTGACCGACCGGGCACAAAGCCAGCACCTCCCTGCGAAGCGTGATGGTGTCGTCTAAGTCTTGGACATTGCCTCGGTGCTCGAAGCGGGCGGAGAGTACAATTCCAAGGCCGTGCAATGGCTTAGACCGATCCGGGTGACCGCGTGGGCACAATGCCAGCGCTTGAGTGAGAAATTTGACGGCCTCGTTGAGGTCTTGGATATTGCCTTGACGTTGGAAGCGAGTGCGCAACATTACACCCAGATTACATATTAACTGCGCTCGGGAGGCATGCATTAGATTGTAGTATCGCAGTGCATGGTAATGAAGGAATATCACTCCATTTAAAGTACGGGGATCATCTTCCACCAAACACCACTGTACTAGAGCAGGAAGTTGATCCAGCGATAACGGAAACGTGGGCACAACAGGCCGCTCCTGCCCAACGTCATTTGCACCACTGTTTCTAGCTAGATGCAGCTGAGCGGATGTTTCGATTGCAAGTAGAGCTGCTCTGTAGACGTGGCTATTGGAATGGCAAACACGGAGGACCTCCCTCAGTAACTCTTCAGCCGCATCAGCGTCCGTTTTTAATCCCCGTTTCGCGAAATAAGACAACAGAGCATTGGCAAGATGGAGCTGGGTGATGGGTCTGTCCGCATGACCCGCGGGACGGAACTTGAGGGCGTCTTCAAAAAGAGTGATAGGGATGTCGAGGTCGAGGTATGTTCCATTAGCTTGGTGACTAACAAACTTCGCGGTGGCTAGATTGAACAGTACTGCAGGGCGGGAGGGATGCTCCATGGGGCAGAGACCCAAGGCGCATTCAAAGTGCTTTATGGATTGGTCGAGATCCCCATTGTCCTGCGTCCTGCGGTATCGTGCGAGAAGACGATGTCCGGCGTCCGTCTCTAGTACTAACGCATCTATACCGTCGGATGTAAGCTACACATTACAGGTTCTCAGCATCAGAATATCAAGCTGCACTGATCACTAACGGTAGTATGAGGACAAAGAACCGCGGCGGCATTCTTATCAGAACATCGTTGCTCCACTGTCATGAATATCGTAGTGCACGAGGATACGATTTCATCCTGCTTGGGCTTAAAGATGATGGCTATGATACTCGTAAACGTTTGTCGAGTAAAAATTACAACGGAAGTTACTGACGATGCGACTTTTCACTGCGATCCAGTAATTCTCCAACGGAGATCTCGAATGTGCGGAGGATTTCTCCATGGGAGAGCATGAGGCTTAATTCAAATGAGGCATACACGCTGACCCGAACTATAGAATATGGTTCGCATGGCCTAGAATTTTTCTCAATGCCTGCGGGAAAGACGGAGTTGAGGACAACTTACAGAAGTATGGGCTCGTTCCATTCGACGACAGCCTGACCTACGTGTACGGATTTATTACTTGTCTGGCATTCAGTACCGCCAGTCTTTATTGCCACATGGAAGCCAGCGGGGATCCGTCGGAGACCAAGAGTGACATCAGTTGCGCGAATGGCTTGAGGGGGATCGTCAATACATGCTGAACGGAGATAGATATCACACACCAGTAAGGACGACTTGTTGTACTCCACTGAGGTGTGTCTCTCCCAGGTCCTCGGGGCATTCTGGGCGGCTCGGCTCCTCTCCCAAGGGTGGAGGGCAACCATTGAGAAGATAAGGGATGAAGCTTGACATACTAAGGCTGAATCCTGATGGATGGATAGAGACTGCTAACACTGGAGAGTGAGATATCCTCAGAGAGGTCAAAAAGCACTACGGCGCTTGTAAAGTCCTAATGGATTATAAAGGAGGGAACCATTTCGTGGCTATGGACGTCGAAATCCATCAGATCGTCTGCCAGGAAGGAGCATGCCAAGAATTGATGGTTTTGTGACCTGTGCCATGTACGATATCAATCATGGTTGTTACCGCCGATCAGCACTTGGAACTATGTTTTTGAAACTCAGCTAATAGGTACCACAACTACGCCGAATTGCCAGTGGCCGCTGGCTGCAATGAACTTATCATCCATTGATAGGCCTGTTTTCCAGGTGGATCAATACATCTGATAACCGTGACTCCATCAACGATTCGACGCACTACTAGGATGAATCAGGCTCTACTTGTCCCCGAAGTTCTCCTAGATATCTTTGCGCATTTGAATCAAATCGGGGAACCATCATATGGTCGCGAGACATTGTTGTCTCGGCAGTCTCTTGCAGCACTTGCAATGACATGCAAAACCTTCTACGAGCCTGCAATGGATTTTCTTTGGTCCAACATGAGTGGGTTACTACCACTGCTAGGCTGTGTACCAAGGTTACATCCAATGATATACCCTCGTGCTCAGGTCAGTGCGGATGAGTCCACACAAGCTCGATGTTTCTTTTTCTCGTTCTTTGGCTCACCGAACATCTCAACACAGCAATCCTGGTCTCGCGGAATCGAGCCATTATCTGAGCACGAGCGCAATCAATTTCTCCGTCATTCCGCTCGTGTGCGCTTCTTCAATGTTTCATCCGACGCCGATTTTCACCTCCTTCATGCATTCCCCTTCGATACATGCGTGTTTCCAAAACTGCAATCATTGTCCTGGGTGGTTGTTTTCACAAGATACTTGCACTTTTTTCTATCCCCTACGTTACGCAACTGTTACATCGCACTCGTTCAACCAGATCTGGCTCAGAAGTTTATCGGGACCCGTTGTGCTAATCTGGAGGACCTTGACATCGTGACAATGGGGACCATGGCACAGGCTACACATCTATCCGAAACCATCTGTTCATGCACGGGACTAATACATCTGCAATGTCCACCGCTCGACTCAGCAGCATGGAAGCACCTCTCCACTGTCCCCACCCTTCTCACAGTATCGATATATCAAGAAAGCTTTCCAGGTCCCCCGTCCAAGTTGGACATGCACAATCTCAGTTCGGCAACTTTCCTCAACGTAACGACTCTTCGTTTCAGTTATGCATCAGTGGCAGACGTTACCGCGGTCATACAACATTCAGAATTCCCCTCGCTAAAAGAATTCGAGTTAATTGTCCACGTTTTACCTGTGGTAGAAGCTCTGCCGCTTTTACATGCACTGTCTCAGTGCAAAGCATGCCATACCCTGGAAAACATCGCCATTTCCGACGATAATACAGAAATTGAAGAGCACCCAGACGACATCGCCATTTACGACGATGATACAGAAATTGAAGATCACCCGGGAGACTCATTAGTAGTCACTAGGGAGCTTCTTGGTTTCACGCAGCTGCGAACCCTCCGGATCTTTGTCCATTGCCCCATCTACCTTGACAACGACATTCTTTGCGAAGCCCTCTCAAGTTGGCCAAACCTTCGCAGTTTGTGTCTGTACGACCACCATCCTCGTCCACCTAAAGTCACGTTCCGCGGATTATTCGCAGCGCTCCGTCTATGTCCTGACTTGCATACACTGCGAGTAGGAGTGGATGCTATGAACATTGACATCGATCCTATCGATCCTACAGCCGAATCATTTCAACATACCTCCTTAAACCAATTGACCATATACCCCTCTCCTGTAGGGGATTCCGAAGTTGTCGCTCGCATCATTTTCTTCATGCTCCCTAACGTTCACCATAACACGTACCTCTCGAGCTTGTGGGGTGACGTCAACGCGCGTCTCAAATCTCTCAAATCTTCTTCTAGCTTGTCTACAGGTGAAAACGGTGACTGACGAGTGAAGAGGCAGAAGTGGGGCAAACAAAGCGATGGTATTATTGATCCGCCAGACCGTGATGACGACTGTCCATGTCATAGTACCAACGACGGCCACAGCTTCAGTAAGCAGGCTAGTTTCAACTTGTTCATGATGCAGTTAGTTTAGAATCATTAATTCTCATATGACCAGCGTTCAACGCATCTTTCCTCGTAGTCTCAGACTAGACGTTCTGGTTCATTCCCTAGAACGCAGCAATGTTGTTTTCGACTCTTGGCTAGATTTGACATACTCGTCACGAATCACGACCCTAAGGATCCATTAAGACTGCGAGGTTTTGCGATGCTCGATCATACAATGTACGAGCTCGCGAACAGGCTCGTCCGAGTCTTGCCGATGTCGTAGATCCCATTTCTCCAAAGAAACATATTCTGCTCAACGGTGTTAGTGTCAATCTCACTGCGATATTCCCGTGCCTTTTCCTGCAATATAGTTCACACGGCTACAATCTCAAGGACTCGTGAATTCACCCCACGATGCTCTCAGGCCTCCCTCACTGCTACTAGTTCTTACTACATATACAAGTCCAGTGCTCACTATACCATTTCTTCTCCGGGTGTCAGTGCTCGAATTTCTATGTCCGTGCGTATTGCAATTCAAACATATCCACCTAGATTTTATACTCATGAAAGGCACAGGGTCGTCTTCGCCCAATTGCCACGGCGCTCTTCGGCTTCATCCTCCCTGTGTTCTTGACCAATGGCAGTCCTCGTGTAGCTGATCATGATAGCATAGAAGACAGGGTGCAAAAGTGTCGAGCGGCCTTGCAGAGCTGTCCCCCCGGTCATCCTGATCGATCAGCGTCTCTCTACAATCTTGCCATAAGCCTTCAAAACAGATTCCGGCATCGGGGCATCCCGTCTGACCTTGATGAATCCATCGAGCTCCATCGGGCTGCACTACTCCTTCGTCCCCCCAGTCATCCTGATCGATCAATGTCTCTCAACAATCTTGCCATCAGCCTTAAAAACAGATTTAAGCAGCGAGGCGTCTCGTCTGACCTTGATGAGGCCATAGAATTCAATCAGGCTGCACTACTCCTTCGTCCCCCCGGTCATTCTGAGCGATCAGCATCTCTCAACAATCTTGCCATCACCCTTCGCGACAGGTTCGACCAGCGGGGCATCCCGTCTGACCTTGATGAGGCCATAGAGTTCCTTCGGGCTGCACTACTCCTTTTGCCCCCCGGTAATTCTAATCGATCAACGTTTCTCAACAATCTTGCCGCCGGCCTTCAAACCAGATTTAAGCAGCGGGGCGTCCCGTCTGACCTTGACGAGGCCATAGAGCTCCTTCGGGCTGTACTACTCCTTTGTCCCCCCGGTCATTCTGAGCGATCAGCATCTCTCAACAATCTTGCCATCAGAATTCACGACAGGTTCAAGCAGCGGGGCGTCCCGTCTGACCTTGATGAGGCCATAGAGCTCCTTCGGGCTGCACTACTCCTTTTGCCCCCCGGTAATTCTAATCGATCAACGTTTCTCAACAATCTTGCCGCCGGCCTTCAAACCAGATTCGAGCAGCGGGGCGTCCCATCTGACCTTGACGAGGCCATAGAGCTCCTTCGGGCTGCACTACTCCTTCGTCCCCCCGGTCATTCTGATCGATCAGCATCTCTCAACCATCTTGCCAACAGCCTTCAAAACAGATTTAAGCATCGGGGCATCCCGTCTGACCTTGATGAGCACATCGAGCTCCATCGGGCTGTACTACTCCTTCGCCCCCCCGGTCATTCTAATCGATCAATAACTCTCAATAATATTGCCGTTGGCCTTCAAAACAGATGTGAGCAGCGGGGCGTCCCGTCTGACCTTGATGAGGCCATCGAGATCCATCGGGCTGCACTACTCCTTCGTCCCCCCGGTCATCCTGATCGATCAACGTCTCTCAACAATCTTGCCAACAGCCTTCAAAACAGATTTAAGCAGCGGGGCGTCCTGTCTGACCTTGATGAGGCCATAGAGCTCGACCGGGCCGCACTACTCCTTCATCCTCCCGGTCATTCTGATCGATCAACGTTTCTCAACAATCTTTCCCTGAGCCTTCAAACCAGATTTCAGCAGCGGGGCGTCGCGTCTGACCTTGATGAGGCCATAGAACTCCTACGGGCTGCACTACTCCTTTTCCCCCCGGGTCATCCTCATCGATCAGCGTCTCTCAACGATCTTGGCCTGAACATTCGTTACAGATTCAAGCAGTGGGGCGTCCCGTCTGACCTTGATGAGGCCATAGAGCTCCATCAGTCTGCACTACTCCTTTTTTTCCCCGGTCATCCTAATCGATCAATGTCTCTCTTCAATTTTGCCGCCGGCCTTCAAACTAGATTCGAGCAGCGGGGCGTCCCATCTGACCTTGATGAGGCCATCGAGCTCCATCGGGCTGCACTACTCCTTCGTCCCCCCGGTCATCCTGATCGATCAACGTCTCTCGACAATCTTGCCATCAGCCTTCAACACAGATTCGAGCAGCGGGGCGTTCCGTCCGACCTTGATGAGGCCATCGAACTTCATCGGGCTGCACTACTCCTTTATCCCCCCGGTCATTCTGATCGATCAATAACTCTCAATATTCTTGCCCTGGGCCTTCATTATAGGTTCGAGCAGCGGGGCGTCCCGTCTGACCGTGATGATGCATTTAGGCTGTATGTGCAACTCTCCTACCTATCTCATTCAGTCTCCCGTGGGGATCTTATGGCTGCCAAGTCATGGGCCACCTCTGCCGAAGAGACGAACCATGACTCTGCATTACTTGCCTATCAAACTGCGTTGAAATTTCTAGATCAGCATTTTACTATGTTGCCGTCTTCTCCACATCTATTTGATGTCGTCAGGATAGCCACAGCTTCACTTGCCATGGACGCTTTCTCGTGCAGTGTTCGTCATGGTGCACTGACAACTGCTATGGAACTGGTGGAGCAAGGCCGTGCCGTATTCTGGACCCAGTTCACATGCTTACGCTCACCGCTCGATGAACTTTCCCTGTCCGGTGACACCGGCGCAGCCTTGGAGAATGAGTTCAAGCAGCTGAGCTTTGGCCTTCGTAAGGCACTTGATCTGTCTACTGAAGAGCGGTCCCCACAAATCCGACAACTGACCATGCAATGGAATGATGTCGTCTCCCGCATCCGCATGCTGCCTGGCTTTTCTCGGTTTCTCCTGCCTCCCCTTTTCTCCAACCTACAAAAGGCTGCTGAAGAAGGCCCTGTCATCATCGTCAATGCAAGCCAATATGGCTGTGACGCCTTGATCGTCTTCAGTGCACAAGATCCTGTCCACGTTCCACTCGATATCCCGCACACTGAAGTCTCCGAGTTGTCTTCGGAATTTCAGTCCCTCGCAGAGCAATTTGGTTCTTCTGATCGTCAAAACAAACTTGTCAGCATCCTCCGCAAGCTTTGGGATTGCGTTGTTGATCCCGTGGTCCGAGCTCTTAGGGCGTCTAACATTCACCATGGCTCGCGTATCTGGTGGTGCCCCACTGCTGAGTTCACGCTTCTTCCTCTACATGCAGCAGGATCGTACGAGAAGAACAAAAACAACTTATCTCACATTTATATCTCCTCTTACACCCCCACTTTGGCAACACTCATTCGGGCGAGACAGCGAGTTTCTCAAGAGGTGTCCACACAACATTTTGTTGCTATCGGTCAAGCGAATCCGGACAGAGGGAAGGAACTCCGTCATGTCGCTCCCGAGTTAGCCATCGTCGCTCGGCGTCTCGGGCCCGTCGTCTCCTTCACGTCACTCGAGGATAACGACGCAACAATCCAGGGTGCACTTGATGCACTAAATCATAATCAGTGGCTCCACCTAGCTTGCCATGGAATGCCACATCGGACGCAATCGTTCGACTCTTCCTTCGCAATGCGTGATGGGCCGTTGATGATCAAGGATATCATCCGGTCCAACTGGCAGAACCTGGAGTTTGCATTCTTATCGGCTTGCCACACTACCGTGGGCCATGAGAAGAGTTCCAATGAGGCGATACATCTCGCTGCGGTGATGCAATTCTCTGGATTTCGCAGCGTGATAGGTTCCATGTGGTCTGTCGACGATGAGGTTGCACGACAGGTTGTGTCCGTTTTTTACCGCAACCTGGTCGATGGCTCAGGGAGATTGGACTGCACACGGGCTGCGGTAGCGTTGCACAAGGCTGTGAAATCGTTGCGCAAGAAGATTCCACTAGAACAACAGATCGCGTTTGTTCATATAGGTATCTAGTCTGATTGATTCGTCATGCTATTGTATTCTATGTTATCCTGATTGCTTTCATTACCCTGTTGTCCCACCTAGATCCCAGTTATTCAAATCATGTCTGCAAGATACTCTGTTTTTTTCCGTTGTGTACTAGTACTGCAAGCACCGATCCATTGAATGATTATATATTGCTTTGTCAAACATACAATATACAAGCCTGAGTCAGAGTAGAACTTCAAAGGGGCTCGAGTGGAGCGCGCACATGGAGTCGACGCGAATTGGTTCCGCGGGATCAAACGCTTCGTCCTTAGTACATGTGGTAGAAATCGTTGGACAAGCCTGCATAGAAGAGGATCATGCAGTGTCAACTGTAGCCTGAGTTTTACCATTATTCACAAGGGTTGCTTGTCTCTCCTGCAACTTGGCCTCGCTACGGTGTGCAGCGCCGAGGTCAATGGGACAGAAGCGACTCGCAGGACATCGAATTACCTATAGATTCATTCATGGGCGTGAGACTTGCAGAGTGAGCTTCCTACTTCTATGATGATATGGATGTCAAAGTTCGTTGGGAATCTTCGATCATCTCAGGGTAATGAAAAGGAGAATATTAAGCGTAGTCTTGAAGTGTCTAGTCCTGTGTTTATGATACCATGAGTAGCTGCCACCCACGAAATGAATGATCGCCACAAACCCACAGGAGTTAGAACAGTACTAGTGCGCAGAAGCACGAGATAGCTCTGCTCAGGTGTTCCACCGCCCTCACCAAACTATAGTGAAAGTCAGACAGTCATGTCTGGTATACTCACCACATATGATTAAAGTTGTATAGTAGTAAATATGTCGGGTGACAGCGAACGTGATTATCAGCGTTCCAACTATCAGATAGTGATAGACATTCGCTGAGGACTCGATAGTCAGCAGGTCTGCGAGCGTCGGCCGGAAGCTTCTGCAGAATAGTGGTATGATAAATTCTTCAGTGTTCTGTGACATTAGTATTGGTGGGATTATGGTTTGTTTCGGGAGAGAAGCAGATACCACGAGTAGCATGGTGATGAGAAAGCGGAAGGATCAAGTTGATGTACATGTGATATGACAGCATCGTGCTCTCAGGGTCCAGGCCTTGCACACCCAAGCTCGTTGCGCTTACTTACTTACGCGGCGCAGACGTATCTGGACGACGAGAAGGAGACGGCTGGCATTTCGTCCGACAAGCCAGCAGGCTTATGTGCAGTACTACAGATGTGCAGTCGCTCCTGAATGGATAGCCCAGTCTGCGGAGGAACACTGGCCAGAAGCGTTGCCCGATCGAAATGACAAGAGGATGTCGCATTGACGCGAGCATTCGAGCCCATTCGAGATTAGACACCTCTCTACACTCTGACAAGCAAGAATCCCAAGGGTGGCTCGGTTCCTCCAGAGTGGTTTGCTCCGATTGATTATCACGAAGAACCCGAGGACATGCTCATTTCCATAACCACGAGGTAGACCTCAGTATAGGCGCATGGCATCACAGTATATTAGAAGAACCATGATATACATTGGAAGGCAGTGTCTATCGGTCCACCTCACTAAATGTATATGCGTTAGTGTACTTCATGTAGAACGAAATATCAGCAACGCACCCAAACACAAGATCCTGTTCGAAGACAGTGATGAGCGACAGGAACAATAAGACTGCAGGGTACATACCATAGTACCGATGATGGCGACAGCGTCAGCAAGCATGTGCTATAAAAAGAGGAACAGTCAGTGCTTCAATGGTAGGACGCAATTTCTCGATCTTACATCTAGAAGACAAGTCATATCTCAGTAAACGTCTCAAATAAGGTGATAACAACGTACGTCTCATCATGAAGTCTGAACCTGCAAGGTGGGCAAAGCCAGGAGCACGAATTTTGCATCGGTATGGGCGATTGGTACCATCCCTGAATATCAGCTGATCAGCGATGTTTATGGAGACTTAAAAAGTCACGTACGAGACCAGGTAGACAGCCATCTCTCCCTTAGGAGCCTCAATGGCGCTGTAAGTCTCACCTGGAGGTACTGAATAGCCTTCGCTGAAAAGCTATGAGAACGCGAAATGAGTAGCAGTCGGGTGGAGTTGCGGGAAAGAGGATACCTTGAAGTGATGAATGAGTGCCTCCATGCTTTCCTTCATCGAAGCACGGGGTGGCGGGGCCAGTTTGTTATCGTCTATCTTGATGACGCCTGTCGGCATTTTGTTCAAACACTGAAGATGCGAATGGCTAAGTGAAGGATGATGATCATTTGGTTGAACACCACGAACCTGGTGGATGATACGCAGTGACTCGCGGAACTCCTGGACTCTGCAAAGGTACCGGTCGTAACAATCGCCATTCTTTCCAACCGGGATATCAAACTCAACCTGTGACACATGCTAAGCAAACATGTCTGTAAAACACAAAAATCATACCTCATCATATTTGTCGTAAGGCTGCACTCTTCTCAAATCCCAGGGGATACCACTACCTCGCAGCATAACACCCGTGAAACCATAATCCAGAGCTTCCTTAGCAGTCACCACACCAATCCCTACAGTTCGCTGCTTCCATATTCTGTTGCCAGTCACGACTTCCTCAATTTCATCGACACGAGAAGAGAACTGGGTCGCCCATATGTGTATATCCTCTAGGAGACCATGCGGGAGGTCAAAGGCGACACCACCAGGACGGACGTAGGCGGCGTGGAGTCGAGCACCAGAAACGCGCTCGTAGAACTCCATGAGCTTTTCGCGCTCTTCGAAGCCCCACAAGAAGGGGGTGAGAGCACCGACATCCATGGCATGGGACAAGACAGCCATCAAGTCTAAAACCACATTTGAGCGTAAAGTCCATGGAGCATTCCGTATGTGACATACGACTAAGGATACGCGTGATTTCGCCAAACATGGTACGAATCCACTTTGCACGTTCGGGAACCTCGATGTTAAGTAACTTTTCGACCGCGAGCGAGTAACAAAGTTCATTGGTCACTAGAACGAGGTCATTTGGGCAGACCTTTCGTCGTAAACTTCACTCACTCATGGAAACGTAGTCGAGCCGATCGAAGTAGGGAAGAGCTTGGACATATGTCTTGTACTCAATCAACTTTTCCGTTCCACGGTGGAGGAGGCCGACATGCTGGAGTTAAAATCAGCAACTTTGTTCAGTTACCTGCAACTGAACTGCATACTGGATCAGCGCGAAGAATCTCCTCTCCGTTCAATTCCAAGATCATTCGCAGCACCCCATGAGCAGCAGGATGTTGAGGACTAAGGATTCAATCAAAATTTGCACAAACTGAGAATATCATGAACGACGCTTACCCGAAGTTCACTGATCGAGCGGATTTATTCGACTCAGTCAAGACAATGTTCAGAAGAAATGCTTACCAGTGAAGTGCCGAAACTTCGCGTCAGCTCTGGTCCCTGTCTCTTTCAAAATATCCGCCGCGCTCAAACCATGCAAGTCTTCTACAGTATGAGTCTCATACAAATTGTTTCCTCCATTGGTACCGGGTTGCACGACCTCTGGCTGGCGACGGGCGACCGAGGAGGAAAATGAGCGCAAAAGGGAGCGCTTCGGCAGCGCAAGCTGCCGCCGCAATAGTGTACTGGCCATGGCCGTCGTCGATGGGGACGAAGGAGATTGTGATGAGGTAGGTTCGTCAACGAAACGCGGCGTAAATCGGCTGATGCGGTGAACAGAATGGGACAACCCCCATACAAGGGGTCGTTGTCACAATATTCACACGTACCCCGCACCGGAGTAGCAAGCACAGGTCTAGTGCTGAGCGCTGCTGCACCATGCTTTACGCCAATAGGCTGAGTGCTCTGCTGTGGGTTATATTCCTTGGATTCGGTCTTATCGCGCTTGCAGATGAAAAGCCGTGCACTTTGCATCATGAAGGCAAATACTACGACCTAAATCCGTTAAAGGCTAGGTATGCCGCCAGGTATAATAACTACGTTACATGTGTTTAAGCCTGCTCTGACAGTCAAGACTACGAGTTCAAGACTCCAGGCGGACACTCTTTCTACCTGAATGTCTGTCGACGCATGACCACCGATCCCTGGAGCATGGGCGTTCCTGACAATGTTGACGTCGCCGGTATCGTGCGGAAAGACCACCACGACTTTGCCGTAGGGTATGTGGTATTCATTTCTAACTCCATCTCAACAGTTGATCAATAGGAGTCGTTTAGGCTTGTAAATACAACTCTGGAAATGAGGGAAAAAGGGCTAATGTTACATCTTTCCAATGGTTCACCCTGCCCTGAGGAAGACAACATATACGGGAGCTCATCCATCAGATTTCTTTGCGACGCATCGGTCTATGGAGCCGGTGAGGTGTGATATTGCTCAATGAGGGACGCGACGATTGATGTTTCATCCAGGAAAACCGGTGGTAATATCCCAGTTTCCGGAAGACGACAATCAAGCCTGCCAATACACGGTGGAGTGGCAAACGCATGTGCGCATCTATATACACCTCAATCTTTCTTTGATTGACAGCTTCCTATTGTGTAGTTTGCTTGTCCCACAGGCGAAAGGGGCCTTATCTCAGGAATAATTGTGTCCTTAGTGATAACGTACGTGATGTTGATGTTGATGACGATATTTACAGATGGGCTAATTTATTTTTTTCCAGCATGATGATCCTTCTTATGCTCTTGATTGTTTCAAGCACACTATACAACCGGTTTGTCCTGAGAAAACGTGGCTTTGATCAATTGGCTCGGCCTTCCAAAGCACACCTCCTTGAACTCGTGGACTTTTGCATGGAGCTCTTCCGGTCCACAGTGGACAACGTTCGCTCGAGCGGTGATAGATGGGCAAGGTTGACCAGAGATCTTAACCCCACATCTCACCACTGGTCGTCAAGGGATGAGGAGCAGGCTATGATGGTCGCTGATCCCCTTGAAGATGACCATGATCGGGAACTACAAGATACCAATGTATGGAGAAACGATGCGGTGGATAGGTCGCATGGTGCGGATGATTTGGGATCTGTGCGATCATAACTGGACATGTGTACGTTACACGCTGTATTTTTACGGAACATATCGATGATTATGCCTGAGACATATTCCCTATTCAGCAGTGCTCCGCATCTCGCACCTTGAGGCAAATTGTGATAAAGACTACAATTACGCTTAAGCGAACCCACAATCCTGGTTTTCTATGCCTGGAAAACATATGAATTGCTGTCCAGAGATGATTGGTGTTTGCAGTCGATTCCCCAATAACTTAAACTGTTGCTGCCAAGATCGTCAACTGAGCTCATTGAGCATCTCGAGCCAAGTATCTCTTTTGAGCAATTGTGACAAGAGCGTCTGATAGATACCCATGCCCCCTGATCCATTGTGTCCCATTTCGTCAAGTGAGGAATTTAACAAACTCTCCTTGACGCCAGCCACCGCCGCTGACACTCGACTTACCCGATGTAGTACGGGATAAGACGAACTGATGTGTCCGAGTTTGTGCGTGATCGTACCCGGTATGACATTTGATGGGTTGTCTCTGTAAAGTGGTCCGACGACATGGATATTGGCTTATTATTTGTGAAGTTCAACCACTATGATGACTTGCAACTATAAGAAATGACCCAGTTCGCCAGAGGCAGTTTCGAGCTGGAGATATGGTACACTGAACACTACCTTCTAAAAACAGAAACACCTTCCTGAATGGGAACTGTCGGATCCTATTCCTGTCTGCTCATCACCACCAGACAAAAATGTCTGCGAGGGTCAAATCATCCAGAATATCAAAGCCTGGAACGTCCAAACTCAGAACTTCGTTGAAAAAATCTAATGCAGCAGGATATGCTAAACGGCATTCACAAAAGTCATCGGGCAAGGCAGCTGTAGCATTCGACGACGTTTACGAATATGCACCTTCAAAAGTCAGGCGAGCAAAGATCGGCTTAGAACTTGACCGAGAAGAGGCCACTGACCGCCATAACTATGCATCGGACGATGGTGTCGATCTTGGAGGCATGGGTCAGGAGGGGAGAGAAGGTCTACGAGCCAGATTACTAGGAGAAAATGCAGATGATGAGCGAGTAGACAGTGGGGACGATGAGGAAATTGACAGTGACGATGCGTTTGAGGAGAGCGACGAAGAAAAATATGCTGGGTTTGATTTCTCTAGTAAGGTGTGTGGCGTTTGTCTCTAGGAGTGGGTTCATCGCTCATTTACAGATAGCGCAGTAAAACTGCTGGCATTTCATCGAAGAAGAATGCTAGGAAACTACCTCAAAGCCTTCCCGAGGTTGATTTGAATGAAGATTCAGATGACGCCGTCTCTGATGCAGTTTCTGCGGACATACTCGACGAAGATGAAGACGAAGAGATGGAAGATGGAGATGCCGATACTTTCTTCGACGTCCTGGAAGTTTTTGATGGAAAAGCAGACGCCGAGGACGACGCACCGGCAAAACAGGCTGCGGAGAAGACGAAAGCTCCCGTATCAGATGTATCCGATGAGGCCAGCGAGTTGGAGGATGATAAGATGTCGGAAGATGAGCAGGATGATCAGGACGAGGAAGAAGACGCCATCTCAGCATCAGAGGATGAAGCTTCCCCTGAAGCTCTCGCAGAACTGGAAAGCTTCCTTTCAAAACTGGATCCGGCAGAAGACAAAAAACGCAAATCAAATGATATCTCAGCCACACAATCCGTTCTGAAAAAACGTCGCTTGATGCAGGAGCGCACTGAGGCTGGGGCGGAGGGAGAGTTTGGCGTTTCTGCTGGTGGTGAGTCCCAACTCAAGTTCATCTGCAATTTTGTATTAAAATTTGGACATGCGCAGGCTCTAGAGCACTTAAACTAGATGACCTCCTTGCTCCGCTTGCTTCTTCAAGCGCTCTCACTGCGCTCAAAAAGTCTACGAAGGCTCTCACTTCCACCTCAAGCAAAACCAAAACCCTATCGGCACCGCTTCCTCAGCGAGCTCAAGAACGTCTTGATCGCGAAGCCGCGTATGAGCAAACCAAAGAAGAAGTGGACAAGTGGAGTGCTACGATGAAGCATATCAAGCAGGTACTGATTTATCCAGTCCATCGCATCTATCTAGTTACTAACTCGCGATTGTAGGCAGAGCATTTGAGCTTTCCGTTGCAAGCACAGCCAGAAGGTCGTGTCTCCAACTTGGAACTCGCAGCAAAATTCAAGGTAAGTCTAACTCATGATCGTTCAATCCACATCATTGAATAGTACATCCTTATCAGCCTTCGAATGAACTCGAGTCGGCTGTGGACAACCTCCTAAAATCCGCTCAACTCCGTGATCAGGATATCGCTGGAACCGAAGCTCTGAAGATGGCCCATTTATCAGTCGAAGAGGTCGCGGCGAGACGCGCAGAACTGCGCATGATGCGTGAACTTGCATTCCGTGCTGACAGGAAGGCGAAGCGAATAGCCAAAATCAAGAGCAAAGCGTATCGACGCATTCGAAAGAAACAGAGGGAGCGGCTGGGTGGTGAAGAGGGAGATGAGGATGAGGACGTTGAGGATGCAGGAGCGCGGCTGAAGGCTGAGGTGGAGAGAGCAAGGGAAAGAGCAACTTTAAGACATAAGACCACTGGGAAGTGGGCCAAAGCCATGCAGGGACGCGAAGGGCTTGATGTGGATCAGCGGCAGGCCATCGGAGAGATGTTGGAGCGTGGAGAAAAGCTTCGCCGTCGCATACAGGGCGAGATGAGTGGCGACGAGTCCGAGGACAGCGAAAGCGATGACGAAGAACAAGACGTGGAAACCATCAAGCGAGGTGCATTTGAAGAGCTTGCTATGCTCAATGCCTCCGAAGACGCTACGTCTGCAGACGTCAAAAGCAAGAGTGTCTTCAACATGAAGTTCATGCGCGATGCCGCGGCAAGGCAAATACTTGAAGCAGACGCAGCAGCGGATGACTTTTTGAAAGAGATGGGTGGGGTGGAGCAAGGAAGTGATGACGACGCTTCCGGTGACGGAACAGTGACAGAGGGCCCGTTAGTCCAGCGCGTGGGCGGGCGCGTGACGTATCATCCTGGTACGAGTGCTCATGCAAAACCAGCCGGCTCGCACGCATCGGAGACTTCTAGCGTTACCCTTCAATCCGCCGACCTGGTGCAAGACGATCGCAACAGTTCGAACGCAATTTCTAGTCCAAGAGTCTCTACCCCTGTGCAGGAAATCAATCCTTGGCTCGTCGCATCATCATCTTCGGGCCCATCCCGCAAGAGAAGCGAAGTCCTTGTGCAAAAAGGCTCTGACGCCCTCGCGAAGTCCACCAACAAGCTCAAGAAACGAACTGCCAAAGGAGGGGAAGAGCAAGAACGTATTCGGGATGACGCGGTGCTGGAGATCGATACTAGCAATGTTCTGACTGAGCCAACATCTGCGCCGGCTATCGTAAATACCAAGCGTGCGCCCAAAGGAAAAGGAAAGGAGAAACCGAAGAACGGCGGTGTCATTGCGCAGCTATCACCTGATGATGCTGATGAGTCTGATGGACATAGCGAAGTGGACGAACAGGAGCGTACTCTGGAGAGGAGACGCCAGGGGGGCAAAGGCAAAGGTGTAACAGCATTCAAGCAACGAGAATTAGTCTCCCTTGCTTTTGCTGGTGATAATGTCGTCCAGGTACGCAAGCTGTCCTTCGGTTGGGTTCATGCAGGATATTGATATGTCCTAGACATTTGAGGACCTGAAACAGGTAGAAATCGAAGCAGACGCGCCACGAGAAGTTGATACAACTCTCCCTGGTTGGGTAAGCTGAACCGCTTTTTATTTATTTATGAGACTCAACACGCATTACAGGGCTCTTGGGGAGGTACTGGTACCAAGAAACTTCCACCAAGACCCAATCTGATCAAAAAAATCGCTGGCGTCGATCCTTCATCTCGAGCCGATTACAAAAAAGCGCATGTCATCATCTCTGAGAGGCGGGACAAAAAAGCGGCCAAGTACCTTGTCAAGGAATTGCCGTACCCATATACCAGTCATGCTCAGTACGCCCGCAGCATGGACATACCTATAGGTGCAGAGTGGAATACTAGAGTGGGGTTCCAGAGGGGAACTCTACCTCGTGTTGTCAAGAAGGCGAGTCGTCTTGACGCAGTTCTTATTCGGATGTGCTGCTTATGTCTTGTTCTTTTAGATGGGTACTATCATCGAACCCCTAGTAAAACCATCTTGATGGCGATGTGCCGTTCATCGTTGCATACAGTTTCTCAGTTAGCAAAGAAACCATAGTCAACTCCTACATGTAATGAACTGTGAAATAGGTAGCACGCAGCATTAGAATACCCTGCCAAAATGTCACGTGACTGGATCGGGCTCACATTAATATCATGTCGTTATCGTCCGAATCAGCGCATGTGCTATCAAACTTCAAAGCCTGAGATTAACTGCCTCTTTTCATCAGCATCATACATACCACTAGCGCTATAACATTGTCACCAATGCCTTATTTATATCTTTACAGTGCACTCACTGAGCTGGCCGGGGGCATGTCATGTGAATACGTACTACTTATCATAGTTCGTACTACGCACTAGGCTAGGCCGGGTAAGACCTCAAATTGGTTTTCCAAGTTCCAACTATCTTGCAACGGGAGGCTCTCCCTTGACCCGTGTTCATATATTCAAGCTACCAGCTCACCTAATGGACGGCCCTTCAGAAACAGAGCCTCTGCTGCGACCGGCTCACGTCCAGCGGAAGGTGACCAGCGACCTTCCGGAGGAAGGGTATTCATCTGTGCAAGACGAGTCCAACCGTAGTAGGTGCTTGGTGTTCACATGGACCGAACATCATTTTACTCAGCATCTCCGTTTTCTTCTTTGATACAGACGTGTTTGACAATGTGCCTGATGCAAAGAAGCAAATCGGTAGGCATTGTCGTCGCTTGTGCCGCCGAGTATTAAGCTGACCCACGGCGCTTCAGGACTCGCTAGCGCAGTGATGCTCATATTCAACAGGGTGATTGGAACTGGGTTCGTTATAACAAAACCATACTTCGTGATGGAGGGCTTATGTTCATGTCCAGCGTTTTTGCAGCGCCTAGCATTATCTTGCGGTCATCGGGGAGTGTAGGAATGACTTTTGTTATGTGGATACTCGGTGCGCTTGTCGCATCCGCAGGTACTGCTGTTTATGTGGAATTTGGAACGGTCAGGGACTCGGGTCGTCTGCTTTTTCCTCCCCTCATTTCGCCCTGCTCTAGGGACTGCCGAGAAGTGGTGGGGAGAAGACCTACATGGAATACATCTATCGCCGACCGAGGTTCATGGTCACTTGCTTCTACGCGATATACGGATTGCTCATAGTGAGTCCTCATTCGTCCCGCAAATGCATTGATCATTCTCAGCATCCATAAGGGTTGGTTATCAGCAAGTAGCGTTGTTTTCGGAGAATGTAAATATCACTCCTTCCGTCAGATCACTTCTGACTGGTCCTCCTAGACACCTTGAACGCCCTCGCAATCCAACCTACCACCGTTAACTCTCGAGTAGTCGCCTTCCTGTGCTCGACATTCTGTCTCATTGCCCACGGTGCATTCTTGGACTCCGGGCTGAAACTACAAAATGCACTGGGTTTTTTCAAGTTATTCGTGTTGCTCATCATCACTGTTTCTGGGCTCTTCAGCCTTACCGGAGTCCCTGGATTTGCCGTACGTGCTGGATACGATGTTCCACACAATTTCACGTGGTCGTCTTTTTGGGAGGGAAGTGACATAGGCCTGAATGCGTTCGTCACTGGAATGTATAATGTCATCTGGTGGGTCATATCTGGTCGTGCACTCGCAAGCCAGGCGCTGACTTATTCACAGGGCTTACATCGGATACTCTAATGCCAATTATGCTTTATCTGAAGTGCGAGATCCCATCCGCACCATCAAGCGCGCCGCACCCCTTGCCATGGCCCTTGTCGCGGTCGCATACTTATCCGTGAACGTTGCATACTTTGCTGTTGTATCCAAGCAAGACATGTTAGGAGGTGGCACCATGGCGGCGTATGATTCATTTATTACGAAGTACGCATTCACGCTGAGACAAACTCTTTCAGAGCCCTATTTTTCAGGAACATCTTCGGCCCTGCTACAGAACGGGTTAGTAATAGCAATCATGCTAGTCGGTGTCTTTTCTTACGTGGTGAAACCCAGATCCTGAGTGCTGTTATTGCACTATCGGTATTAGGAAACCTTATGAGTATCCTGTTCACGCAAGGCAGAGGTTATTCAACTTCACCTGTACATGATTGTGTATGCTGACTACTGTACAGTCGTCCAAGAGTTAGGTAGAGAGGGTGTTCTACCCCTTTCATCTTTCTTCGCCAGCAACAAGCCTTTCAATGCACCCCTTGCTGGGCTCTTTGCCCAATGGCTTGTTTCTATGATCGTCATGGTTGCCGCCCCTCCGGGAGATGCCTATCTCTTTATCGTAAACTGTATGTACCTCATGACTTGATCTTGTGCGCCATCTAACCGCAAATTAGACTCATCATACCCCTTGACGATGTTCAATATGCTGATATCGGGTGGCCTCCTCCTTTTGTACACTCCCGCATTCAAATCCTACCATTGGAACCCTCCATTTCGGGCGTGGAAGTCCATCGTCGTATTCTTTTTTCTATCCAATGTCTTTCTTGCTATTGTGCCTATGATCCCACCGTCTCCGGGATCCGACGTCTATGAACATCTCCCATATTGGGTACGTTGCCACAGGTCTTTGTGCCGAGCAAAGCATAATTGACGGTTTGGCACAGTCACACGTCGTTATAGCATTGTCAATCGGGTTACTTGGCATTGTATATTGGTTTGTTTTCTTCGACTGGATACCCAGGAAGCGTGGATATCATATCGTACAGGAGACTATCTTACAGGATGATGGGGTCCCGCGGAGCGTCCTTCGGCGAATACCCAAGGAATCGGGTGATGAATGATCCATGTAAATGTAGATGATGCACTGCAAGTGCATCAGCTTCTAAACGCTATCTCAATGGTTATATGCGTACAAGCGTAGGTATTTGGGTGCGTGCTAGATAAGCTGTGAGGTACCAGGAAATTTTATAAATACTATTCCACCATTTGCCAACCCAAGAGCCATGCAATCGCCGAATGATGCCTGAGACTTCACCGGTGACATCGTTGGAAGCATCGTAAGGACCGTACCGTCCCTTGAATCTACTATCCACTTTCGCTTCAGAGACAGTGGTCCGACGATAGAATGATACCTGGGATCGTCAGCCGGCACTGCAGTTAAATGTCCTCCCGTTGTTGCGTCCCATGCGAAGACAGCACCCTTACTGTCTGCCGCTAAGATCCTAACATTATCAGCGGGTAGAGCAACGGAGCGTACTGGTTGCTCGAGGGTTAGTGGACCCAGCAGACAGTGGCCTGTTATGGGATCCCAGACCCGCACAGCACCATCAAGCGACCCCGAAACAATGCGTTGGCCATCTTGTGAGAACGCAAGATGCGAAACGAGGCCCCTGTGCTTCCGAGCCACCCCCATACTTCCAACTGACTCGACATCCCAGATGCGGACAGTAGCATCCTTCGCGCTGCCTGTTACCAGACGGAGACGCCCATACTGCTGCAAAAATGCTACGCAACGCACAGACTCTTTGTGCTGGCGAATGAGGTGGCTTAACTCTTCCCTCGACTCCAGACTCCAGAGGCGTACAGAAGTATCACGTGATGCGGAGGCGATGAGCCGCCCGTCAGGAGAGATGGCAACAGAAAACACGGTGCTGCGATGACCGCGAAGCTTGAATGACATATGCGCCTCCCGAGACCCATTCAAAGAAGAACAGGCCTGAATATCGAATACACAGATATTTTTGTCATCTGAACCCGATACTATCTTCGTGCCATCAGGGGTAAATGCTAAAGAATAGACACCCCCAGAATGACCGCGCAGGGGTCCTATAACCATCCCCCCCGATGCTGCATCCCAAATCTTAATAGTACCGTCACGCGAGCCCGAAGCATAGCGCGAACCATTGGGTGAGAATGCAACACACAGGATCGTTTTTGTGTGCGCCGCAGGGGTGTCCAGGATAATTGATTCTGCCTGTACATCCCACATGACGATAATGCAATTGCGTCCGCCAGAGATCAACCGGGTCCCATCAGGGGAGAATGCAAGGGCGAATATAGCTCCTTCATCATGTTTGAGTGGCTGACCTATAATTTTACCAGAGAAAGTGTCCCAGAGGATTATCGAACCGCCGAAAAGACATGACGCAGCTAGTTGACCACCAGGAGCGAGAACCGTCATCACCACATCACCTTTCGGCCCTTGGATCAGTAGCTCGCCCGATATAGCATTCCACACATAGCACCCGCGGGCGACCGTTGAGATCAACTGGGACCCATCGGATGAAAGTGAGAGTGATGTGACTTCTCCACCTCGTCCGGGAATGTCCATGAGCAAGGGGGACCATTCATCGCGAAAGCCTCCAGCTATGACTGGTATTGACAGCTCGTCTTTGAACAACTGATATAGAATAGAGTTGATTGGAGCAAACGGCAGCGCACTGCTGTATACGAGAAGTGGGTGCTGTTCGATGACTGTGGTGAAGGCTTGACAAAAGCGCACTGCGTCTGCCAGAAGGTCGCAAAGTTCTTGACGGTGACCCTGAGTTGACTGTAGGCTTGCTTTTAACAACGAGAGAAAGAGGCATGGAACTTTCACTCACTCGGCTCCAATCTTCCAGTCGCATGAGTAAGTTGATGGTCTGTCTGGCCTTCTTCAACAAACTCATCATCTCGATCCAGTGAAGCAGATGCTTCGCAAGAAAATCATAAACCTCCATAGAGAGCGATTCCGCGCTTCCCTCTAACTCGCAGACGTGTTCGATCCAGAAGATGCAGGGGTAGGTAACACCCTCCGGTAGAATCTGAACATCGACCCCACTTGTCGTGAGAGTCAAGTCGCACATATTTCGTTTCAAAATCGCACGAAGGGAGCCGATGCACTGGCGGGCAAGTCTCTGGCGGGATAGAGGTACATCAATGAACCATTCATCCCTTTTGCAGCGAGCTCGATCTGTTAAAAAATCCTCGAACGAGGGATGAATGACGTGGATTGGCTCGCTGGTTGTTCCCCGGAAAACACAATTAAGATGTCGAATAGTGTGAGGGCTTGGTCGCGTTCTTGGGACTGGGCCAGCCTTGTTGAGATAGTCGATAGTCGATGCCGTCAAAGGGTTTTTGGCGGCTATCACCACGCCGAGAATGTCGCGAAAGTCAACAGAAAACGCTGGATCTTCCCATTTTTCAACAGATTCCAGGGCGGTGGAGTATACAAGATCCAGGGCTGATTCGGCGTTCGGGCAAACGTCAGTGCGAAGCAGGTCCGCTAACCTGTCTCTTGGATCTTGACCAATTTCCAAGTAGCGACAGGCAGTAAATGCCCATATAAAGAGTCCGCACGCTCGAGCTGCCAGAGCATCAATTGCGTTATGCCCAGGCCAATCCTGTGGGAGTGATAGATAACTGTTTTTGGAACGGATGATCTCCAGACGATCGTGTAGATACGAGTGAATGTCCTTATCATTGGCAGGTGAGTTGATGTCAATTGGAATGCTGCAGATATTCTTCCGTGCTTCCAATGCTTCCTGGATATCCAACTCTGTTCGGCTTGTTACAACGATGCGTAATGTTGGCGGCAACTTGACGCTCTCTAGCGCCAGGATGCTAAGCAGGTCTTCCCGTTTCCCGACGTGTCCGCACTCATCTAATGCATCGATAACAACAATCACTGGGCCTTCTTGGCTCCAAACTGCCATTTCGGATTCGGACAGTGGTTGCACCAGTAGTTTATGAAACTGTTGTCGTAGAGGGGATTGTCTGATGCTTGGAATGTTTTTGATCACAGTCGAGATGGCCGCTCTCAGTCGATGGTCAAATTCCCCAAGTTGGAAGGCAAGAGTTCGTACAACGGCCGCTGAATCATTCCTTGCCGCCATGTGGCGGTTGAAAAATACAAATGCGCCGAGACGACCAAGGTCTCGCGTAATGTTGGCGATCGTTGTGGCAAGGGTGCTCTTTCCGGAGCCAGCAGGGCCATGGAGCCAAAGCACGTTTTGATTGCTGGAAGGATTCATTGCCCAAGAGAAAACACTGGAGAGCAAGTCGCTGCGAGTGTGGGGCAAGCACGTCGGGCGGGATGGGTCATCCATATCTACTGGATGAAGCTTGGCAAGAATTTGTGTCTGATCTAGATACTGATGAGTGCTTGGAGCTCGCAACAATGTATCAGGCATACAGACCTATCGACTGCACATGTTCGTATATGTGGTGAGCAGTAAGAGCAACCTGGACCCCAACCCCTTGGTTCATAGACCCCTTCAACATTGTGAATGTTTGCGTGAAGCGTGCGATTTGGTCGTCTGCCCACTGTCTATTGAGCGCACGTCCTAGCACACTCTGAATGAGAATTAAAGGCGCGTTGAAGGTAAAACACGCACCGCAAAATCCATGGCCAGAGTACTCCCGAATGAACAGCATACATTCTATGGTTTGGAATATAATCTTCTTAATGGTGTCCTCTAGAGATGATAACCGACTCGGGAAACTTTTCACATCATCAACAAAGGTATACACGTCCTCCATCATATTCGTTAAATCTGCAATTCTTCCGTCCCGGTCCAGTTGGTTTCTAGCGATCTACTCCATTTATCAGAAACACAGAGTCTCGTGCGTTCATACTCACCGTGTAAAGTGATGATACAACCTGCCATGCCAGGTTCACGAATGGATGGATCTGCATTTCCAACATTAGGTTGTCATAAGTGGACAAAATGAACGAGCCTACCTGCGATGCTACGCCCACAATCTGGACAAGCGTGTCTAGCTGCGAAATGAGTACAGAAAAAGATTTTGCCACAGAGGAACGAGAAAGTTGCACAGGCTCTTCAGGTTTGTGTAGACGGACCAACATGTAACCTCGCTGTGAGGCATCATGGTGCGGTGCTTCGTCTGAAGGGAAATCCAGCCGAACGTCCTGCGCTATATAGGGAAGGTTGTATCGACATCAAGACGTGGTCGATGTAAGAAAAGACATCTTACACGCCGCAACGACAGGCTGTCTGAGTATTGCTGCCACATCTAATCTGACCTTGCCGAGAGAACGGGAGCCATGTTTGAACAATAGGTTGCGTTTTATCTGCTTGATCTCCAGTTGTGTTTCCGTATCCATGGGTCTGACGGCGTACATAGTACTCGTCAACTTTCCTTTATGTATAAATCATTCAACACTCACAACATGAAGTGTTCATTCCATACAACCTTGCCATCAAGTTCTTCAAGCACTTTAGTCTTCTGCGGTGGCAGCCCTTCTAAATGGATTTTGACATATACATCAGAGGATTTGCTCAGGCTGGAGCCTTTCTTCGGGATCAAGGCTTCGACGACTGTAGATCATATCTGAATCGTCGATTTACCATGCTATACTAGTGAAGACCCACTTTCTGCTTTGTAGTACGTCCTGCTGCCCATTAGATGCTGCTCGGGGTGAGAGTATTTGAAGCAGTTGGTCAAGTCGATATCCGCTTAAAATGTATGAGGATGTACGGGTCTGTACGGGTGTTTGGTGGTTCTAAGCTCTCGAAGGGTGGTAAAACGACTCATGATTAATTGCCGACTCCACGCGCGCTTGAATAACGAAACGGGAAGAGTTCCACAGTACTGTGGCAAATGAGACCCCCCAACCAATGTTCGGACAACGGAACAAGGTCGGAAAAATCATAAGGATACACTATCACAAAGTTCGGAGGATGTATATATGCTCTCAACTCGCCAAACCTAGCCAACCCTCTGAAGTCTAACCACAGAAATAGAAACGCATCCATGGTACATTAGTACAGATAGTAGTGACATGCTCCAGATGCGACTGTACATCATCATGCAACTCGATCTCTTGCCCTGAGCGCCTGGTCCATCTCTGAGTGCCTTGGGTCACGCAGATATCGGACAACGCGTTTTGGCTGATGGGCCAAGGATTTCACAAAATCCAGTAAACATCCAACAGGAGTGGCTATCATAGGCCACAACGTGAATATCATGACAATTGCCCATCCAGGGACCATCGTTGCGAGCGTGACGACATCGCTGGTATCGAAAATGAGGATAGATAAAGCGAGGCCGAAGAATACCATCCTGAAGACATACAAAGGTCAAAGCTCTGGAGTGGAGATGCTAGGCATTAGGACATACGCCCATATAAGAAGTGCAAACGGCAAGCTATGCATCAATGCCAAGTTTTCAATTCCGGGAATTGCACTGGTCATTAGGGACATATACAAAGCCTGGATGTGTGATCAGTGAGAATCGTGAAGTGAGAAAAGATCACGCACACCGCCTTCGGCAGTCTGATAGTCTTGGCTTTGGTCGACAAGCAGTACAGCAACCACAAGTGAACCCACAGAACAAAGAGCCGACATGTATACCGCGATATTGGCCGATGTCTGCGAGGTTTCGAAGACATCGATGATGCCAGGCACTGCGAGGAAACTGACATCAACAGCCAACATAACGGTCGACTGCAGAGACGCTAAGTCATTTATTGCACTCGATTGTATATCGAGTACTTACATAGAGCGTGAACCCCGTCCACTCGTGGTCTAGTTGGGTGATAAAGTCTTTCCAGCGTGGGGCATTGATGATCTCGTCGACCCATACTCTCTGTATACGCTTATAGTGCTTGCGTGGCCCATACCAGAGGAATAGGTTGGAGAACCTGAAGATCAGTGTTTCGCGCTCGTGGCCCTCCTTGTAATAGATGGATCTGTCGGCGTCAACCCGTGCGCCAGGTTGTCCGCAGAAGTTTGTGTGTTTGCCTTTGGCTGGGCGTTGTCAGTATTTTTCGTGAATCGAAGTGTAGTTCCATACTGAATAATCTCATGAACCGGGCTGTAAGGAGTAGATAAATACACTGTTGTCATCCATGGAAAAAAAAACTTACCTACGACACACACAGAATGAGCATGCATTTTATCAATGCTGCCTGGTTGAGCTTTTAGTTTGGGTCGAAAATATCAAGAGCGAATCTTACCCTCGACACGGTCCATTAGATCCAACATTTTTGCCAGCTCAATGCCATCAAAAGGGGCCAATGACGTATCCGAGGTGATGGTCTCTATAATCAACGTAAGAATCCATTCTTCGTATTGCAACAACCTAGCCTACCTGCGTTCGCATGGATAATGATTTCCCTCAACTCTTCAAAGACTTGTCTCGGAAGGTATCGGTTGTGAGGATAAAGCTCACAGTGGTACCTAGAAGACTGTCAGCGTCGTCGACACACTATTGCGTGCAAGTCAGCAAAATCGATCGCGAATGTTCACGGAACGTACCGATCCATTGGAGAGCACTGGCCAGTATTGTGATTCTAATGAATATTCTAAGAGCGGGTGTTTAATGGTAATTCAAGTAGTAGTGAACCACCTACTTATATGACTGTGTTTCCTGGCAGCCTTGACGTTGAACACAATCTCACCACCTGGTTCGCAAGTATACGGATGTGCCCAAAATATCATCCTCTCCGCGTGGTTGACGAAATAGTAGCCACAAGATTCGATGATGTTAGGTTTTGCGATGTCAAGCTCGAGCACCAATTCTGTGTCATCACCGATCCTGGCCTGTACATCTGGCTGATTCTTTGCATAATCCTGGAGGGCTCTAGCCATGACCAAGAGATTCTCAGAATCCACCCTCCCCGGGCGCATGTCTGCATCTGTGAAGATTCTCTGTGGGGTAGTTTATGAGCCTCTTGGAAAATCAACCTGAAGACGCGTGCTAACTGTCTCGGGGTGATAGTAAACTCTGGGACCTTCCGGGTGCACGAAATCGTTCCACCCACGCTGCACCTCCCTATATGCATGTATGAACATAGGATACAAAAAATGTTGGTGAACGTTTACATACTGCACATACTTGCTGTCTTTCGGCTTGATGACGATTTGAGTCGGTTCAACCCAATTCCTTCCATGGGCAATGCCACTACGTCAAGATATCTCTAAGAATGGGTGACCGTCTTACAATCTAATTTTCCTGTTATAGCGTTTGACGTCGGTCGGTATGATTGATGATAACCTGATGGACTTTTGTACCGCAGGATCCGTAGCATCCCGCGAGAAGAGAAGTTCTGGCTCGTTAGCTGATGCGCTCCATTCCAAGAAGATTCGTCCACTGCCGACGTTGGCATGTGGTACTCGGTCATCATCATCCATCGTCCCGGTGCTGAAGCCGTTTCTGGAACTGACATGTGAAGGTGGCGCCAGGTACAATGGATGCTGTGGAGATGCGATGTCCACCGATACTGCAAGCGTACGAGGTGATCGGTCGCCAGGCTGATTGTCGCCTGTCGCGGGCATGTGGATCGCAGGCAAGCCGCTCGCACATATTGTAGGGTGTAACTCTTCATAGAAATTCCCTAGAGAGTAAGTGCCAGGGTCGAAGCGAACACGAATGCTTCCTAGCCTACGGAGCAGAGCATAGAAAACTCGCAATATATAGCATGCTCGGCGAAGTGGAGATTTGAACAACTGTGCAAAGAATCTAGCAAGCTTGCGCAGGACGTCCGATGAGAAGGTAGCCATGAAGATGGAACATACAAGCTTTGAGTCTACTATCGAAGAATTGAAGCTAAAGCGCGAAGTTTTGAATACGCAGTAAGTACCCCGTCAATAATATCCTGGCCAGGTCAAGGCCAGCGCGGCCGCCAGCCCTGACTTTGGCCATTCCACTTGCTTAGTCATCCAAGAATGGCCCTTGCCAGTTGACAACTTGACCCTACTACTGCCAGTTAGCTGCTTTTGGCTGCCACTGCACCGCGCCCCTAGAATACAATGTCTGACCAAGAAGAGCAGCTCATCGAGTTGCTTTTAACGCTCAAGGTCAGTGCCAACAACTACCATACCAACCAACTACTAACACGACATCCAGAAAACAACACCAGAGCAAGCACGCACCATCCTCGCGTCCACACCGCAAATAGCATATGCCCTTATCGGTCTGATGGTGAAAATGAATGCTGTAGACGTACAAGTCCTGCAGGTACGCTGTATTCGCGCTTATCACATGGAAACTGCCAAATTGTTGAACCGGCAATTCCAGAAAACGCTCACGACCTACTCGGCATCGATCCAGCAACAGCAACAACAGAATGCAGGCCCGTCGACGGCGCCTGCCATTCAGCCTGCGTCTGCCATTCCGCCTCACCTCCAGCAGTACCGCACGCCAACGCCGCAGTCGCAGACGCCCCCGCACGTGCCGTCACATACACCTACCCCTCCACATTATTCCAATGGACACGGGCAGGCTTCACAACAAAATTACGGTTATGGCGCACCCCCCCATTATGGCGTACAAGGAGGATATAGCGCTCCACAACAATCTTCCATAGGGGGTGGCATGATTCCAGATGCCCTTGCATCGATCCCTGATGAGCAAAAGGTGCGAGAAGCGGATTTTCACCCATATTGCGAATTCCGACGGGTAAAAAAAAACAGGCCATGATAATGCGTGTCATAGCTATGACACCAGACCAGATCAACATGCTCCCGCCGACGGAGCGCGCAAGCATTATTCAGCTGGTAAAAATATTTCTTTTATCTCGTTTGGAGCCTATCGTGCTGACCGGAACCTTTTCCTTTTCCCCTCAACTTTCTTTACAGCGCGCAACACTGGGGCTGCCGTCATAAGGGTCTACACTAGCCAGTCATATCTGAATACGACATAGATGACCACCCACGACTCGGACTCGGCATCGGCGTGAAACACTAAGCCGTCAATCTGAGAACGTAAGTGATTTTCTTCTGGCCCGCGGTGTAAGCACCGAGAAGGCAGACGTGAATTTAATCCCAGTGGAGATGGTGACCAGCAAATTGGCCAATTTGATCATGGCAAGCAGCCTACACGTGATGGAAATATTTACAGTTCGATTATTCCATGTTTGAATGGTAGACTGATGGTACAAATGCAATTCCGAGGAGCAATATCTGTCTTACAACAAATCTCAATAAATGGGTATTAGTTTATCAGCATGCCGATGTGCAAGATAAGACCCTGATAGTGCAAGAACATTCTTAGTACAGGTTCCAAGGTCGCTCATTACCGAGGAGATTTGGAGGAGATTGTAGTTTACATTGGTGGGCGACAATAACATGAATGTCGTACGTGGTCCGCCAATCATCAAGATACATTGCCTCTCTGAAATTCGTTGCATCTAATCTGATGCATAATTCAGCTTGTACGACATCACTGAGCCAATCACTCGGTTGATTATCTGGAACTGTATTGACCCTCAGTGCTCATTCATTGCCGATGCTAACATCGCCTGTCAGACTGACGCCTTCTGGATCAATGCCTCTACACCAGATGCACCCAGACCCTCCAAATCGGAATAACCTGATGGGGAAAATCAGATGGATCAGTCTTCACGCAATACAAGCCAACAATATAACCATACCTCCAATCAATTCCTTGTCTTTAGCAAGATCGTGATATCAGCATCACCGCAAGCTAAACGGTTGGTAACTTACTAACAAAAACCCGAGGGAATGTGGGCGCAGAATTTGGCAGGCCGCCAAGGTAGCTGATAATAGCAGGCTGCTCGCCTGTTTCACTAAGGCTGTGCGCACTTGTCAAGATTGTGGGCGTCCCGATTAAGAGAATCGCTTACTCGACTGATTTACCCTTGAGCTCTGGGTATTGTCGCAAGAAGCGGAGGGCTTGCTGGCAGTAGTAGCAAGGCGGTGATGTCCGGATGAAGACGACGAGGCCGTTGTCTTTGAGGTTGCTCTGTAGAGGTATGTCGGTCATCAGCAGGTGAGTGTGACGTGGAGTCAATTGAATTACCTCAACAAACTCTTTGACATCCATTCTGGTTGCTGATGAGGTGGAAGCGGAACTTGACAAGGAGGGAAGTCTAGATGAGACGGCTCTGTAGATATGAGAGAACATATCCATCCTCCGGCAATTGGCGCGTTCTGAAATTTCAAGTCAGTAGTCAGCAAGTCGCGTCCTTTAGCAGCTTAGCTTGCGTGCGCGCTTATTCACGCAACCAACCACAATACTCTGATTTGCTTGCGTGTTTCATCCTGGCAGGTCCCCAAATAACCAACCTAGAACCTGGTCTTTGAATAACTAGTTACCACCCTCAAACGTGTCATCTTGTCACTGTGGGTGTTATACCCTGCAAGAATGTCCATCGTAGTGAAAAGCGTGTGCAAGGCGTTGGAACGAATCGCACCGCTCCGGCTCGCTGAGCCATGGGATAAAGTTTGTATCATTCGCCAGCAACGTCGTCTGATACGGTGATCTGACACGTCCTGCAGGTAGGCCTCATCATAGGTAACACCCCGGGCCCATATACCAAAGTTCTGTCATAACTTATCCAACGCCACACAGAATCTCCTGTCCCGAGGGCCGACGCAAAGCGTGTAGTGTTGACGATAGAGTAAGTGAAATGCATCTACAAGGATTGCTTCGCAATCAACAGTCAACATGTAGTGACAAGGGTCCTCTAGCCTGACTACCGCTGTCCTCGAGGAAACACTAAAAGTGCCCACAGCACTAGTTATAGCCTACCATCCGCCCCTCTTTCAATCTACTACTTCTCTCACATTGGCAAACCCGCTGCAAGCATCCCTGCTCAAGCTCTCGGCCGCAGGGACGTCGGTATTCTGCCCTCACACAAGTCTCGATTCGACATGGGGTGGTATCAACGACTGGCTCGCAGAAGGCGTTACGGGTCCCCAGAAGGCCACTGCAAAAGTAAACATCCTAGGGGAAGTCAAGGGAGAAGCAGGTGGTGCCGGCCGGATCGTGACGCTTGATGAACCGATTCCTATCGAGGAACTCGTGCAGAGAGTAAAGAAGCATCTTTCTTTGTCGCAAGGTCTATTGCGCATCTCCCTCCTGCGTGCCTATCACGAACAACTGACTATAATGAACGTACAGTTGACGTAGGAAGGCCACCCACTCAAAAATTGGTCAAATCGGTTGCAATTTGTGCTGGTGCCGGAGGAACGTTACTTTCAGGAGTCGATGCTGATGTGTATCTTACGGGCGAAATGCAACATGTGGGGCTAGATTCCTCTTGCATATGCACGTTCCTAACGGTTATTGCAGCATGATGTCCTTGGAGCAGTGGCAAGGGGTCGATACGTCATACTATGTGAGTTGACTACGCATGACGAGAGTCTCGTCACTGAAAGCATGATATCAAGGTGGACATACAAACACCGAGCGTGGATACCTCCCTGTTCTGGCAAAAAAGCTTTTGGACGCACTCTCCGAAATTGTGCAGGACGAGTCGCCGAATGGATTATCGCGAGAAGAAAGAATCGAGATCGAGAAGTACCAGCTGGACATCCATATCAGCGAAGCAGACAGGCACCCTCTTGATCACATGTAAACAAACACCGGTGTACAGCAGTGCACCGGAAGGTTTGGGTATTTGATTATACAAGTACTATATATAATATTGGGCGAGTCTTCTTTGACGAAGCAGTATGGTCAGATCTGTCACCTGCCGGAAGCTCAAATTGCCACCATCAAATGCAAAGGCAAAATGCGCATGCTACACTTGTCCTACTCGTAACCGTCCACGGCATTCGACCCTGCGCTAGGTTGGCTATGCTGCTTCTTAGAGTTCAGTTGCTAACCCGCGATGGAGTTAGTTTTACTGACTGGCGGACCGAGTACTAGCCGTTCGAACTCACGAAGGTCTCGGAGGTTGGAAGCAAAAATGATATCAGACGTTTCTGAAATTTTCTGACAGTTGACGCTATTTGAGTTTAGTCCAGTGAGTATTGAACTAGAATCGAGCGGAAGAACGTGAGGAGCGATCGCATGACTGTGGTGCACTGTCAGTCTCGGTGCCTGGATGGAGTAAGTGACCACACGACACGCAAGCATCAAACTCCCTCACCGGTTCCTCTTCGAGGCACATCACCCACAGACGCGAGGGGACGTGCGAGGGGACCGGTGAAAGCCAAGAGAAGTGATAAAGGAGGATAAAGCCTTAACAAATGAACCACACTTGCAAAGGAGTGCGGTTACGAAAAGAAGACAACCTAGTGATCGTCATCGTATTCAGCGACGTCGGCGGACAACGATTGGCCCGCGAGCATTTTACCCGAAGAGCAACAGGAGAATAGCAGGCATTTGATATATATTGTGGGGTAAGACGCGTTCATAGAGGAAGGAAGCTGCTGGCGCGTGCGAACCGCAACGCGGTGATATCGCATATTAGGAACAGAAGCCTTGAAGGGGAGATGGAACGGCGAAGCCGGGGGACATATCTCTGTCGGAAACACTTATCGAGGACACGGATGCTTAGCGTTCACCGCTCAGCAGACATATGGTTGAAATGTGGGAAATGTCGTGCCGCGATGCGGGGAAAGGTGGGAAATGTGCGCAATTAGACGTAAGAATATTGATTCGGCATCTAATCTCGACGAGATAAGGGCTTGTCGAGGGAAGGAAGATTCAAGGTGAGATGTGAACGTTAGCATTTATCTCAAAGTTGTTACTCACTGTGAGACGGTGTCATACACGCCAAGACATCGTATAAAAAATCTGGATCCGGGCTAAGAGAACATCAGCGGAAGGCACGCGCATCATTGGCTGTCGCTGCCGTTTGCGGCGCTGCCAGAAAATTGGTTGAATTCAGGAGGCGCGTTGGGAATTTCAAGCCGACGTGTTCATGGAGTGGGAAACTCTCGTGGTGATGTCCGACATACGAGAAAGATTGAGTTACAGATTTGGAGTGTTTGAGAAGGTTGATCGAAAACCTGAATGTTACGCGGCATGAGCGCGTGCTATACCTGAGATGGTTTCGAACGGTCCATGAGGGCAAGTTTATGATCCTCCCGAGAAGGGGCAGTGCTTCATAGACACAGGCAGTGTTTCATAGACATGGATGGCTGTGAGAAGACCTGAGAGTGCTGCGTATCTTGAAATCTGAAAAAAGACAAATGAGGTTGTGAAGATTGGACTGAAAGGTTTCATTCGTTTGATAAGACTGAGAAGAAATTCATTAGCATGTACTGGAATGTCAGAGCAGGGAGCTCCGCCGTTAAACCCCATTAATGGCAAATACAGAAAACCTTGCTTGATTGAAGCAAACCTGAAATTGCTCAGGAGCGTTTGCATTTGACCAATTAGGCAAGTGTCACTCTGTGACTTGTCATTGTGGCTTGTCACAGACGCGTCAAAGCAAATGCACGTGTTGTTGACGCGTCAGAAACAAATTCCCACGCCCTTTCCTTCTCTCCGACGCAATACGTTGTTAAACGTTTCAAGTCTGCGCGCACCATGCCGCCAACGTTCAAAACAGAGACAAGCTCAAGACGCTTACAAGACCTCTCAGACGTATCTGTCTCCTTTCAAATCCCCGCCGATTCCTCCTCCGCGGAGTTTCTGCTTGCAGATAACAGTAGTGATCTTGATTTTCTACGCGGAGCTGGCGACGCCAGTTTTGCCACCATTGCCCCTACTCCAGCCCGCGGACCACTAAAGCTCGGCGATGTCACGCCCAAAGTCATGTCGCAATTGTTATCGCTATCAAGATCACCTAGTCCAGGTCCGTCAGCACGCCAGAAGAATGACCACAGACCCTCGCGGTCGAGATGTCAGAGTCCTGTTAAGGCGAAAAAAATGACACACCCTTCGTCTAAACTTAAGGAGATAGCACTTGACGGGCCCGCCATCTCCGAGGAGCGATTGGAGTCCTTGCGCGCAGAGGTGGGCACTCTCAAGGACGATTATGATATCTCGGTGCACGTGCAACCACCAGCGGTTGCGCAATCCTCTGTCATCCCTGTGCTAGATGTTACGGCAGCCCCAAAATCAAAGGTAAAGCCGAGGACAAGAATTAATTCTGTAAGTTGACTCCCATTTACAATCAGTATGAGCTCACCATCCTGTGGTAGGTTAAGGAAGGCGGCCGTAATACGAAGCTAGCAACACAAAGCAAGATCCCTGTGTCTGCTGATGACAAACTTTGTCCAAGTTCCACTGCTGAACTAACAGTGCAGTCATCATCTACGTGGTCGTCTGAGTCAGGAAACATGGTCATAGATACCGAATGCCAAGTTCCGCCCGCGGGCACGAGCGGCCCTGATATTAACATGATCTCAAACACTAGCCAAAACGTGACCGAACGGGTGGCTGAACGCCTCGTGTCTTACAGCCAGAAGCTAATGTCATCAATTGGGTACGTCCGCTGATACGCATTTCACTGCATTTGCACCGGAACTGATCAGTTGTACCTTGCGCGGTTCTTCTTTTCTTCTCTCTCTCTCTTTCTGTGTAATCCTGATCGCAATCGGGAATTATGGTTCGATCTGACATGATCTCCGGCCACCCGTCTTGGAAATGCCATCACTTGGATTCCCCAGTATCTATAATCCCAGGACCGAAAATTCTTTCACGGCAGGTACGGGTACTAGTGTTGCTAGAATGGAAGAACACGTCGAAACTCAACCTTCGCCTATGGTCGACATTGTCCATGCCCCATGTTCACCGGACGTTTCCAATCCAAATGATTACCTATTCAGGCTTTCTGAAATTTCACCGCAGAAGTATCACACGCAAGCTAGCGCCTCCCCCGGTCATTTATCCACAGGAAGGCGGGAGCTATCGCCCATGAGGCCGGCGAGGAAGCGCCCGGCCACCGAGGAAGATGTTACTTCCCAACAGCCAAGTGGCAGCAAAAAGTTCAAGGGGAGACCGTTGGCACAAAGCGCCGAGGCCAAGAGTGGCCCGTTTATTTCGGCAGGGTCATCCAGCCAAGCTCTTCGGCCATCCACCCAGAAGAACCACACACAGCATGTCCGTCGGGATTCGCGGTGTCCGACGTCAAATTTTCCAAGTGCGCGAACCAAGTATAAACCCAGACAGAATGCTCAGCGCAAGACGCCGTCGACATCAATGGCATCATCGTCCCTGCGCAGTCAGACGATCAGCAAGGAGAAAGACAAAAATGTCCAGGGACAGGAGGGGGTCTTAATTGGTCCCTCGCTCGCATCGCAAAGCCTAGCCTCAGGCAGTTCCCGGGACGCGGAACATGTGGTCAGCAAGAAACCTGCGGCAGTTGTGGGGCTCGGGCGATTAGGACCATCTAGACCTGGTCTTGTGTCATCCCTCGAGAAGACGGTACGTGATTAATTAACGGAATCCTCGTCTTATGTGCGCTCATTCAAGATTATTTTTGCATGGCTTGATTTTTGATCATTTGCTGTGTGGTATTTGAACGCATAGAGCATCACGTTACCACCTGCCAACTTAACAAAGCCTGTTGCGTTTACGTTTCATGTGGACGCGCGCGTTGAAGCGCGTAAAGCTGAGTTTGAGAAGCTTGCAAGCTCGGCTAACGAGCAGGGTTATATGGAGAGGGGCTACCGACAAAGGCATCCTGTGCCCGATTTCAAGGTTTTACACGAGGCTCATCAGGCGTCACTTGCATGCCGTAAGGAACACAAAGTCCCGATTGTTCCCGCACCACCGATGGTCCTTAGCACGGAAATTCGCGCCAGAGAGAGAGAGAAATTCGACCAAATGGTGCGGATAAAGGAAGAGGAGATTCAACGAGCAAAAGAGGAGCGCCGAAGACAACGAGATGCGGAAGAAGAAAGGGAGATCAGAGAGCTTCGCAAGCGAGCAATTCCCAAGGCGAATGAAATTCCAGAGTGGTATGCTGACATGCCGAAGAAAGGAGGCAGTGTAGGAGGATCAGGATAGTGGAGGGGCGTCATGAGATGGTTGTCAAGTGATGGAGATCGAGAACAAATGCGAAGTGCGTGGGCCATGTTTTCGTTATCTGTGCAGCATGGCTTTTTACATCATCCCTTCCCAGTCATCACCCCTCCAAGTCCATGGCTATTTACTTGAGTCGTGATCCCTCGCCCACAGCACAATGCCGGTGATACAATCAAAGTCCTGTAAGTTATTCTGGGATGTTTGAACGGGGAAGAGGAAGTCTGGGAAGACCTCGCGTTTAAACGCATTATGGCCGGTGCAAAGTGCCTTTCAAGGCCTGAGAAGGCCTGATGGCATCTTGACCGATCGCCCCGGAACCTTGTTTTGCCTTCTGTTTCGATAATATGTTTATATGTGTCATTCCTCCTGGGTAACCTGGGCTGCGGGTCTTGATATCGGCCGGCTGTGCAGAGAGACAGAATACGACGTTGATGGTATATGCCACTAGTGGTATCACTGTGCCAAGTTTGTCGGCGATCGTTTCAAGTGGGATGATGATGATGGACAGATTGAGGAACGATATCTCCAAAAGTTGCGCTGTCTTGAGAAGATGTAAAGTTCCATGGGATCTATTGCTCAGTTGGTCGGAAAGCAACATGAGATGGTCGTCTGTGGGTGCCTTGGGCCAACTGGCGCCCTAACCAAATCTACTGAATTAGACTTTGAGATGGTATATGGAAAATGTGGTGATGAAGCTTTCCGATTCATAAGAGCGCATAGCCCCATTGAACCTAGTCATACATGCGGTGGGGGGAATGACTGATTTCGTAGAGATTGGTTTAGATTCTAGAAGTCGGATGCAATGTAAGTTTGGAGCCTACGGCATCGCCAACGAAAAACTCTTGGACTGCGCGCGGACACGCATGGAATACGTGAAAAAAAAAATCCCGATTTGATGGGATGAATACCTGTGAAGGTTGGATATTACAGGCTTGAACAGTTGAGTTCTGTCTTTACGATCGGGCAATTATAACGAGAGATTGCCAATATAGCGCTATGCAGGAACGGTCACATCATGTTCCTGTGTTCATGCTCCCCCTCACGCGATCGGGATTGAGTATGTTGCCTGGTATAGCAAGGGTGTTCCGGCTGTGTTTGAAGGTCCAAACGTAGTAGGCAAGACGTACGTCGAGGAACGCGGTGCCGCCGCAGGGTAGCAGAATAATTTGTGATATACACGTTGAGGTACACGTCGATTGAACGTTGTTGGGTTGCGGGTGCCGCGTCGTGTGAGCGTTCTCTCAAGGGGATTTCGAGGAGGTTGTCGATTGAATTGAATTGATGAAGAATAATCTGGCAGAGATGGGTGCCAGATCTCGGTGCTATTGGAGTGTCACTTGAGCAAACAACATGTCCAAGTTGAGTTAGATATAGATGGACTTGTAGTACTCAGTACGTTATCATGTCAAAAAGACAGGTGGGAGCCGAAAGCAAGGAACCGGTGCAAATTGGCCTCGAAAGGTTATCGTGGTGGATGGGATCCCCTGGCTGTGAGCGCCCAAGAAAATTGATGCAAAAATGCTTGATTGAGTGATTTCTTCGAGGGGTCATGAGGGAAGTCGCTCTCAGGCAACCAAGGGTTCCCTGATTTCCTTTTTTGTTTTTACACTGATTACAGATTTGGTTCATCAGTGACGCCACAACCCGCAAGTGTACTCTGGCCGTCGGATACGTTTGGTCTACATAGCTATGTCTACAAGCCGATAACGGAAGTATGACCGGCTGCCACAAGGAAACGCATAAAAGGTGGAGTAAAACCTCTTTCTCTTTATAACCATTCAACCAAACCAACCCTCTCCTCCAACAGTCTTAGCAGTACCCTCCAGTACCACAATGCAACCTACCTGCTCTAACGTCGTCTGCACATCATCCAAGGCTGCCCAAGACTCATCATCATCTCATCACTGCACCCGTCACTCTAACCCAACACCCGTCTCAATGCGCTTCTCATCTGATGATGACTCTTGCATTAACTTCAATGCACCTCAGTGCTGCCACTGTGGCTGGCGAGGATCTCACTCACCCAGCTGTCCCTTCCGCTGAGCACGCTTTTTTACGATATTTAATCCCTTTGATCGTAAGTCCCCTGTTCCTATTGTTTCGCATCATCCACTAAGTCTCATCACAGACAATTGTTCTCATCATCGATCATCCATCCATGTTGTCACTCGACTGCATCTGTTTTGTCGCATTGTATCAACATACATCTACACCCCGTGCATTAACGCACATTAGTCGTCGAGGTCTCATTGCAGTTGTAGGATCAGGAAGGAGGAGGGGGCAGAGGTCACTCGCGGATTCCTCGGGGCGGCAGGATATATTAGGCTCACATTTTTGCCGTCTGCCTTGTATGTATGACTATTGCGCTATTGCTGCAACAACCATCATTATTTGCCGGACCGTCAACCGTGCTGAAACGTCAGTGATAGTACATATTCATCGCAGCATGCGTCCGTCCTGATGGCCGAACGACAAGCTACATCGGAAATGAACTCTCTGACTCGGTTCCAAGTTCCACGTGGATACCCATGATGTATTGTCAGATTCGTAAATGGAAATCCACAAGGAACACGTGTCATTCGGCCTCTGATGAGATGCTCGTTGTTCCGCTGACGGGTGTGGGGAAGAAGGGAAACCTCTGAGATTTCAATGAGATTTAGAGAAGAATATTGATCGCGGAACCTGATCCAAGGGACGGCTCTAAAAAACGTGTCCTACCCATGTCTCTTCTCTATCATCTTCGCCGAACTATCCGCAAGTATGACGACTTGGAAGCCTGTCATGAACCGAGCTGAAAGAAGCTTGACAACGTTGAAGTTGGCTCTTTTGTCACGCCCTACGCCCATCACCAACTACGGAAGTTAGACCGGCTCGGCCGTCCTTATCCGTCACTGCCTTCTCCCTCGTTCTTGTCGGCGTAATACGTTTCGTTCACGATTAATCTCGTTCCATGTGATCTTTTCTCGAGCTTCCAAGTGAACTATTATCGTGTTTCGTTGATACCGTTATTTCTGGCCCACAGGCCTAGTACCTTTCATACAATTCGGGTGGGATTTCATTTAGGCGCCTCCTGGGCTTGCTTTCCCATCCCGGCAGCCGAAAATCCGACTCTGTCCGACTCTGCCGCCAAATCCTGTGTAGTGTGTGTCATTTCGCAGTCGAACACCTACCAACTGTTCTTGGATCGAAACATATCATGTCTTCTTCCAACTGGGACCCGCTGGCCTTGCACCCACCTTCTTATTCGGATGAGCTCCAGGTGTCTTTCCCTCAAGAACATGTATTGCTTATGACCCTCAACCGTCCGAGGCACCTCAACGCCATGACACCTCAACTTACCACCGATATAGCTGCCATTTTAAATTGGTTTGATGATGAATCCTCCTTGTGGTAGGTTCGTTCCACCCACTCAGCCTATCGGTAAACCTATTCAACCCGTCCCGTCCTTCAAGGGTTGTAATTGTAACAGGTCAAGGACGCGCTTTCTGTGCAGGGGCTGACTTGAAAGCGTAAGCAACCACGCCCGCCGACCTCTCGTTTCTTACTTATTTCCGTGGATCCTTCATTTTCACACCAGCTGGCTTCATAATCAGACAAGTGGCACGGCGAATGAAGGAGAAAATGTGGCTTCTTCCGTGCACGGATTTGCGTCTATCTCGCGCCGACACTCCTCCTGCAAGCCAATGATCGCCGCGGTGAACGGCTCGGCTTATGGCGGCGGTGTTGAAATGATACTAAACTGCGATATGGTCATTGCAAGCGAAGACGCCGTGTTTGCACTTCCCGAAGTTAAGCGTGGTGTGCTAGCTGCACAAGGAGGTGAGTGAACGCCGCATCAGTCATTCGATTTTCCAATTCCAGCCTCGTCTTCCTCGATTATTTTGGAAGACTGACGCGGGGGGCGGGTATGTATAGACTTTTTCACTGATCGGTGATTCGTTTTTTCCTTGCCAGTTATTCCCAGGTTAGGGAGAGTTGCGGGCCATCAGGTATATCGCTTCGGCGTGAATAAAACTTCACAGGATATCTCCGCTTACTGAGAAAATCTCGCGGCGTAGCTTGCTTCTGAGATGCTGCTCTTGGGAAATACAATCACTGCCGTTCAAGCCAGAGACAGGTTTCGTTTGTAAGTCAAAGCTTACAATCGCCGCCACCAGTCACAACGACAGCTTCTTGACACTGATGCGTACACTTCCGGTCCGTAGTGTCAATATCGTCGTCGAAAAGTCGGCTGTTGTGCCTACTGCTCTCGATATCGCACGACAGATGACCATCAACTCCCCTGACTCGGTACAGAGTTCAAAGGAAGGCCTTATACTTTCGCAAAAGCACCATTTCGAAGATGCTGTACGAACTCACTCAATGAGTCTCGTGAGTAAACGCCTGTATCACGGCGCGAACATCAAGGTACGTCACGTCACGTCATCATTGTCTTATGGGGTATGGAGTGTATTCATAATTATTCCCCCTGACGTTAATCCAGGAGGGCCTGGCTGCCTTCTCGGAGGTATGGTGCACATGTTTTTGATATGCGGAATCAAATTAACGTGTTCTTTCCGTTCGCTCTTCCGCAGAAACGCAAACCCAAGTGGTCTAATCCCGCGAAGCTATGACGTGGTCGCTTATTGATCCAGAATATTTAAAAAGGTTATAGTACACACAAATGTGTTATCTCTGGTACATAAGCTCCTGTGTGATCGCTCGACACTAGTGAGATAATCCTCGAGACTTCGGTCGTCCGAGATTTTTGCGATGCCGAAGGTGGCTGTGCCTGATAGTGATGCCCTGAAGTAAGTGGGAAGATTGGCATGTCCAGCGAGAATGACATTGAAAGAAAAAGTTATTTCCGCTTATCACATTCTCTCAACAACAAATTGGCATGCCGCATCAGCGAACGAGAGCAAGAAAACCTACCTCGATTTTTATGATTTGATCTATAAGGATCCGTACCAGCACCCAAGCCAACCACCCCAAACTCAAAAATAGCCTGTTCTCAAGCCGAAGGGGGGCGACATCGAGCGCACGCTCGATGTGGCCGAATTTTGCCAACGTTATCGCAAGCTTGTTGAATGCCACGTAGTCTTGTCTCCTACCCGTGAAGGCCCGCAGAGCGCACAAAGGGATCGACCTTTTTGCCTTTGAATATCAATGGGGAATCGCGTCATATGCAAACATGGCGTCCATGATCTAGAATCAGAACCTGAGAAGCACACAAGACGTGAGAGCCCGAAGTCTGTTTTCAGCGCCAAGGTGAGCATTAGACACGTCGAGTGACAACCGCGAACCGGTAGTAGAGCACTGCCAAGTGATAGTGAGCCCGAGGATTATTAACTTGATGAAGGACTTGGGACAGCCTATGTTTAGCTGAAATCGATATAAAAGTAAGGTGTGTATTATGGTTCAAGAGATCCATGCTGGCCGAATGGCTTCCAGGAGTTGCCCATGCGAAAGACGGACGAAGAGGTACATCAGCGCCAAGACCGCGTATGTCCTTAGTGTCCCTTCAACCTTGTCAGTAAATTCAATCAAACGGTCTTCAGCTGACTTGCCGACCCACAGCATGGCACTAAGCATAAGTATAGACCCTAAAGGAGTTGTTCTGAAGTGTAATTTATCCAAGTTGAGTTTGAAAAGATCTTTTGCGAGGGAGAGATAGTCTTGATAAGTTCGTTGGGTTCGTGGGGCGCGATAGTCGCGGCTTTCAATATCTTGGAGCGGGGTGAGTAACGAGCTGTCATGGCGTGAAGTTAGCTGAAAAAAAAAATACATAGACAGTCAGGGTAATTCAGTGAGGCCCGTGAAACGGGGGAATTTATTATCTGAGACAGGACCCAAGTAGTGGATGGAGTCGCCGCGGCAACGCCCGTAACACACAGACAGTCCTAGTGGTCGGGTCGCGACCTAGCGTTGCTTATCAGATAACGAAGTGGGTCAATATTATCAGGCCTCTGGGGGAGGAGTGAAGGAAGGGTCGCAAAATGGCTTGATTGAAGAAATATGCCAAAACGACAAATCGTCAACTGTGCAATAAGTATGCGGCGATATTGGTCGTTGCGGGGAAAATGCGCCCATGGCTCATTATTAATAAAGATAATATCATACCATCTTGGCTTGACGTACCATGTAATCGGAGACATGGCATTCCGTATGAGCGCGAGTCGGTCGTAAAGGGGACAATGGTTGAACCAGGACAACCCTTCAGTCACTGCAGATCCAGTCAGCAGGCCAGAAGTGTCAACAAAAGTTCACCCGACCACAAAGGAAATGTGTTGCTGACAAGACTTGAAGAAGGACGCAGTGAGAGTCTAGACGTTTAGTAAGAAAATTGGTTGATTCATTAATATTGAGAATCATGCCACGGGTCTTGAGCTGCCAGTGAGCACGAGGTCATTTTTTATTATATCCAAGGAGTTTGTGTAATGGCTGTAGAGGTTTGGGGGAGACGCCGATCATGAAAAGTAGAAGCTGCCACTGGCAGTGGCAGTGGTTGATAAGCGAGAGCATGGCGGACGACGCGCCTGCCACCGCCGCCGAACGTGGTTTAGGCCCAGAGCAGTAATATCCACTGCTTCCATTCATACCAGTAGTACACTAAGATAGTTTGAAGCATAAAAAGCACCAAATAATTAGCTCAATGTATATTTTTATTGGAGACCGGGTGAACTGAGCTCCCCACTGGCGAGCTTCTGTTAACGTTGCTGTGATAGCGATGGGATTCGATACATAAAGTTCTGATCCATGCCAACAGCAGGGAGCAAGTATTCCATGCATAGTTATATCAATAAACCAAGCAAGTGCCAGACGTCAAGAGTCTTCATTAATATTGAAACTACAGTACAGAGTCACATTGGTTTATGTATGCCGTTGTTCTGCTTTATGCCTGGCCGTGCTTGGTTGTCGCTATGCACATGTCTCATAATCAGCCATGAATTCACAGCTATTTAGAGAGTAAGCAGAGGTGCGCGTTTCCATACCATATGATATCAGCCACTTTGGGAGTATTCTGTACCGCCCACAACTCAACAAGGGTGCAATAGATATCAGGGTTGCTGGGAAGCGTCCCGGAACCTGCAATCTTCAATTTGAACACAATTGTCAGATAGAAGATCACGGTGCTATGCATGCCCGAAGGCCCAATTCGTTTCGTTGCTCTGCTGCGGCCAAGAACGGCAGAATCAGGCGGCGTGAGATGAGCGCTCAAAGGACTGTGTGCGCCACTGGCGTTCTGACAGATGTGTGACCGAATACGTCTCTAAGGGCGGGTCGCCACTCGTTTTAAGTTCCACAGTTGTACAAGCAAACAGAGGCGCTGAGTGAATTAATCTTGATTCCGGCCTATAGAATTGAAAATAGCTTTTGCATTGATATGCGGCGTTGTCAATGCGATGCAGAAGTAGCAAATCGTGCTTATCTGATATCTCTCGGAGTAGGCACGACAAGAGTGCGCAGTTGATGATAGATACTGCCAAGGCATCCACGGTCACATCACAACATGGCCGCCTGATTAGAACAAATAAATGAAATCGAGGGGATCCGTGCTTGTCGTGGTACCTGGGGATTGTATTGTAGATCGCCCATTTGTGCTCGGCTTCTTGATCGTCTGATCATGTCGCAAGAGCCGATACCCTAATTTCCGAAAAAGCCAGGCGCCTAATAAAGGGGATCCTCAAGTATCCCACTGGCAGACGATGAACACGACTACAAAGCCCCACCCGATGCCACCAAATATGAGCATTGCAAACGATATGAATCAGAGAAGTGTTGATCGTCTTGTTATATCGCAAGAATCGTGCGCTAGTTTCCGAGCGCCAGGTAAACCTAAAAAATGGGGATCCTCCCATGCCCATATCGACCAGGCGGTCAACAAAGCCCCGCCCGACGCCAGATATGAACAATGAATAAGGTGGCAAATCACCACTAGATGGGGGCATTGCAACCGATGTGGATCTGGGAATATTATGAGAGAATGCAACGACGAAAAATAGCACCTATGAGCCTGACATCAATTTGTGAACTACAATGATCAAACAAATTCACAAACCCCCTCATTAACAACGAGTGGGGTACACTTTTAATACCTCCACTCTGAACGTTGACTGTGTTATTCGAGCCACGAATAAAACCCAATCAAAATCCGCACCACACGGTGCAAAGTAGCAGTTTTTGGTAAACCTAGCGCAGTTGTTGTGGTTCTGTTCGGCCAGGACCGAGACTGTCGACGGTCCGATGTCGAATAGAGTAGTTAGGGACGTGGCAATTGTCGCGACTGCCAAGTGAGCTTTCCCGGATACACGCCGGGAACACCGAGGAAGCTGCAAGCATGACGGTCGACTGAATTAGCGCGTGGTCCGAACATGTGAAAAACACCCACATAATTGAAACCACTCAATATTCAAATACTCAACTCATTGCACAAACATCCTTCTGTAGCGGGAGGTTCCGGGTCCACCCTCGGAGAGAGCTGAGGAGTCAGAGAGTTAATGAGTACCAGGGGTCGGAGTGTTCAGAGTCGTGTGCTCCGAGCCCCATCGTGTTGTCATTCTTCATCAGAGTGTCTGGCCAGTGTATCAGGAATTCCGAGGTTTCATCGACCCAGACCTTCGTAAACCAGCCATATGCACTGCTATATCGGGCCGGAAAGGATAGGCTACACGGAACGGATCCGATGGAGCTCAGAAGCCGTTTTCAGTCCGCATTAGGGGCTCACCTCGTTGGCGCAAAATGCAACAGAATTTCACTTTCACTGACCAATAGTGAATGATCACAGATTGCAGGATGGGAAAGGGAAAAGGATGTGAGTTATCGCAAGTGACAACATTATGAAGTTCTTGGATCCACGCCAGGAACAACGCGAAGGCTGAGATCCACTACGAGCACCACCGTTTGACTGAATTAATACATAGTCTGAACGGATAACAACAACCAGGCCTTCTTAGGCTAGCCGTGTATGCTGCTTGCGGGCCGAAACAGAATGGACGCACTGACCGGATCCAAGGGATTCAGAAGCCTCGTTGGTGGCAAAAGTTGAATAATTTCGCATTCACTGACCAATGTGAGCGAACATCGTCACAGCGGGCAGTGAAACGAACTGGATAGTCACCTAAGTCACTCTGTTCGCGAGTGACTGCATTATGAAGTTCCTATAACAGCGAGAACGCTAAGATCACTGCAAGCCCCGCGGCCGACTGAATTCAAAAATCAACCCATATTTCAAACGGTTTAAAACAACCCACAGTACGCAACTCGCCGCAAGGAATTGGTTTAATCAACCCGGGCCTGGTGGGTTAGCCATGTGCAATGCTGGCAACGGCGAACAGAAAAAGATAGGACACACACCTCGGATCTGACGGGGCTCAGAAGCATCGTTCTGAACATTAATAGGGGCAACCATCGAAGTAAATTTCACTTTCACTAAGCGATGCGAGCGAAGCCTTGGTGATTGTCACATGGGTGAGACCGAACAGTCGCATAATTGTCTCTGGAAAGAATCGTCGGCAGTGACCGCATTATGAATTTCCTGGATCCGCGCCAGGCTAACGCTCACTGCAAGCAATACGGTCGACTGAATACACAAAATTAACGTATTCCGAACGGATGAAAAACACCCACGTGAGTTGCGAAACATATCTAATTAGCACGCAACTTGTCGCCAAACAAAATCGGAAGTCCACGGTTCAATCGACCCAGGCCCTTGTAGGCCCGCCATGTGCACTGCTGGCGAACCGAAAAAGATAGGGCTCACAACGTGGATCCGAGGGCCCTCAGAAGCATTGTTCTCATAAACGGACTGGTGCGCATTAGTCACTCACCTCGTTGGCGCAAAAAGTCGAAGAATTTCACTTTCACTGACAGATGTGAGCAAGCGCAGATCGTGGCATGGGAAAGTAAACTGACTGAATAGACTATCGCATGAGGTTCGCTGGAACATCAATGGGTATCCAAGGTACTTGTTCCGCACGGTGTTCTTACCGAGGACGTACGTAGAATGGGGTTCGGTAGCGTCAGCAATATTTTCTAAATGTCAGAAATGAGCAAACCGCGCCCTACAAGAACAGTAAAATTACCTTAAATCGCATCGAGGATTCTTCCATCTCTTCGCTTACGAACGGTGCTAAGGGGGGAGGATCAGATGTGATGTGATATTCCTGGTTATTTGAATCAAGCTAGATCAGACAATGTGAATGATTACACGAGGGTGTGCCTGCGCTAGCATATAGAATTATATTCTGGGGCTGTTTAATCAGCCATTTTTCATTTGGAAGTGCATCAAGGAGGGGTGTCGTAAAACGCATTCCATGAGCACGAGTCTGTTATCAGGGTAAACTTTAAAATTAGAGGAGAACGTGGTCACATTTAACCGAAATGCGCACACCAGAATTGTAACCGAATTATTATCCTGTGATCGATGAGTTTTAGTAGGACGCTAAGGCGAGAGATGAACAAATATGACTTGGCTCCATAACACCCTTCACATCCATAAAGATCTGCTTCGTAGATTGCTCACGGAACCAAAAGGAGCGAACGCTTGCTGCATCCCCGGGTCAATCAGTTAGCCGACAATGTCCTCGCCGGTAGCTGCGTTCCTGCCGAGGTCAAGAACGGGTTCGATATCGTTGGCGAGCGCCAAGCCTCGGTTACGAGGAAGTTCGAAGACTGTTTCAGCGTGGCCACACGCAGAGGCTGGGGATGATCACCAGTTGTGCCTGTGCCTGTGATATAGAAGTGGCGCTTTTGGTATCACAAGTCGCTGCGATGACCTGGGCATGTTCGTCTTCGGAAAGTTATGTCCAGCATGGAAAATGGCAACCTCAAATATGAATCTGTACAATTGGTCGCAAAGCTTAGGTGGTACAAAACGCGTACACGATCAGACAAATGAGACACAGATGGAGGCAGCACCATTGCTGCTTCAGTGAGTTCCTGCAGAAAGGACTCTTGATGAGAGGCGAGGAGTTGCTAAAGCGAACCTGGTACTGTTGAAATTGGGGTCAAGGACAATACGAACGTGCAAAAGCACCTACAAAGACGCAAAGTAGAGGTTCCCCGGTCAACAAAATGTAGAAGAAGACCAGATAACTCGTTTGTCTGAACTGTGCAGTTGCTCCGACTGTGACTGAGTCTAGGCTGGGGCTAGACCTTGTAGCTCTACTTGTAAGTTCTAACCCCTCAAACCTTCCATATTCAACAATAAGTGGGGGTCACTTTCCTTCTGACACGTTTGACCAAGGACTGAGGACACTACCTGGACCAAAATCAGAGACCGTAGACGCGTGCACGCAAGGGTTTTCAACATTATAACCCTTCCAGTTCATCACGATGGTGAGCACCAAGCATTCCGGACGAGACAGAAACAGGATCTAACGAAGCGCAGGTTGTTCTAGCAGCATCAATATGCACTAAAGGCGGGAAGGGTAAGTTTACCTACCAATCCTCCAAATTGATTCCCTGACATGCACTTCCAGCGGTGCTTTCGCGCCAATTCCACCCAATGACGCGCACCCATATCGAATCCCTACTCGCATCCTTCCCAAAGCTTATTCCGACAAACTCCCAACACACTTCCGTAGAAACAGCCCAAGTCCGCTACGTCTACCAGCCCTTAGAAGACCTTTACATCCTCCTCATCACTAATAAAGCTTCCAACATCCTTCAAGATATCGATACCCTCCACCTCTTCGCACGCGTCGTGTCTGATATGTGTCGCACTGCAGACGAACGTGAAATTCAGAAACAGAGCTTTGAGCTGCTTGGTGCTTTTGATGAGATCGTGAGTATGGGTTACCGGGAACAAGTAAATCTTATACAGGTGAGGAGCATATTGGAGATGGAGAGTCATGAGGAGAAGATTCAAGATATCATCGCAAGGGTCAGTGTACATCAGTCAGACTACATGGCCCCCACTCATTTATGACAGAACAAAGAAGCTGAAGCCAAAGAAGAGCTCAAGCGCCGTGCGCGCCAACTCGAACTCCAACGTCGTGAGCAGCAGAAGCGTGCTGCAGTATCTGGCAGTGGAGGCAGCTCATATCTTGGTGGTGGCATATCTGGATACTCTGCTGTTCCTCAGCGTTTCGATGCTCCAGAGGTGCCTGCAGCACGTACTGCATCACCTGCACCTGCGTCCAGCGCCCGCACCCCTCCATTCAAGGGCAGTGGTATGAAGCTCGGCAGCAAGAAGACTAGGCAAGCAGAGCTCATAGATGCTCTCGGCAGCGAACTAGTCTCCGAGGAGCTCTCAGCCCCACCCACGCCTCCTATCCCCGAACCATCCCCAGCGCCAACTAACACAAGGGGTAGCCTTCCCTCCATCACAGCAGAAAGGTGAGTTCTCGCCCTCCCCAATTTCAATCCCCGCCAATCCATGTCTAGCGTGCATATCGTAATCAAGGAACACATCTCCGTCTCCCTCATGCGCGAAGGGGGTGTTCAATCGATGGAGGTCAAGGGCGACATGAATTTACAAGTCTCTGACCCCGCTTTAGCGCACATCAAGCTCGCAATCCCGTCCCCTATCACCGACTTTGGCTCAGACCTCCAATTCAAGCAACACCCAAACGTCGCCAAGTTCGCTCCCGGCCAGAAACGCATCGTCGCGCTCAAGGACCCCTCCCGTGCTTTCCCCGTTGGACAAGCACTCGCCGTACTTAAGTGGAGGTATGCAGGACACGATGAGTCCTTGGTACCCTTGTCTAGTAAGCTCTCTATCATATCTTCTCATTAGTGTGCTTAACTCACTCACTACTCAAGTCAACTGCTGGCCCTCCCCCTCAAATGACGGCACCTGCGAGGTCAACATCGAATACGAGCTCGAAAACGAAAACGTCACTCTGCATGACGTCGTCATCTCCATCCCCCTCCCGTAAGTTCCCCTCCTCCCTACTCACTTTTCACCCACTCACCAACACACCTCTAGCACGGGCTCCTACCCCAGCATCACCACCACGCAATGCGACTACACCATCAACCCCGCCACTCACTCGCTTGACTGGTCCATCCCACTCGTCTCCACCATAGCGCGCAGCGGCACGCTCGAATTCACTGTCGGCGGTGACGACGCGAGCATGTTCTTCCCTGTTCGCGTGTCATTCGTGGGTCGGGGAAGTATCGCTGGCATTGGGGTAGATGCTGTTTCGAGAGTAGATGGTGGTGAGGATCCGGCGTTCTCTGTGGATGCTGTCGTCACTACGGAGAATTATCTTGTTATTTGAGTGCTCTTTTGTGTTGTACAGGAAAATACATCATAATATGACTTGGATTCGCGAAGCAGGCTTTTGCTGTATCAGATATTATACGTGTCTACAGGTCTAGATGAGCATGTTATGAGCTGTAATACATCGGACATGATATATTTGAGATTAGTGAAAGGCTCGAGCTGAGCGCAAGAATGATCACTAGTATTGGCTGCATCGCTCGGTCACCCGTCCTAAGCCTATCACCCTTCTGTCCTCTCCACTGTAAACTCAGCGATTACTCGTTCGATACCAGTGTTGATAGAGTAACGATTACAGTAACGAGACACCCAGAGTACACGGTCGAAATCAGTTTACCAGCAGACATGCGACCGACTGGTTCCATTTTGTCCGGTAGTATTGATTTTGATCTGCCCTTTTGAGGGTGGCTGTCGTGAATCGGGATTAGGTGAAGGAGGAGGGGAAACATGATCTTCATCGCGTATCACATCATCCGGGCCAGGAGCACCCACTGCAGCGTTTTCGCTGTCAATGGATGCATGAGACCTGGAATATATCGAGAAAAATGAGATGTGCATACCTGTTTACCCTGGGCAAGAGAAACGTCGACGATACTAATAGCAGGCGATGCGTAATCTGCCTGAGTAGGCCACCAGGTTGATAATTGGTTTAAGCGAGATTTGAAGCTTGTGGAAGCAATGGCAGGTGATTGGATGGTTGGTGGTGCTGGTGTCAGTTGAGGCCAAAAAAAATTAGTCGAATATGTGATTGTGGTAGTCCCTACTCACATTCCCGAAGGGATTTATATGTGAATGAGGTAATGGCGCTGTAGCAAGGAACTGCAAGGGAACCGTCGAGTCAGCTGCAAAGTAAACAGGTAGAAGAAACATACGTCCAGGGGGTTATTAATACGAGGCTCATCAACGTAAACAGGACGGACTGCATCCGTACGAGAAGAGAAAGGAAGAAATGTGCGTAGAAAGCGCAGGAAAGCGAGTGGGCGCCTTGGGTTGGAAGCACTGGAGAGAAGGACACAATCAAATGAGAGTGCTAGACCACTGATCAATTACTGACTACATCGTTCTGGCCAACACGATTGATGATAGCTAAAGCTATATAGCCAGCAATTGTCAAGGTCCCCTCTCTATCATACAAACGGTTCAGCGCAACATCAATAGCTCCCATCACATAAGATGTAATAGAATCATATAGCGTGAGCTCAAACCGCACCTCAAGGTCATCGGGAAGCAGAGAAATCGAGGTGAGATTGGAAGTGAATTTTCTCTATCTGGGCGTCACAACACGTAAGGCGCAAGCCGTGCAATAACAGACGCACGTCCTAAGATCGATTGACGAAGCCACGGATAACTGTTAGTGTGGGGCAAATAGAGATGAGTCAGAATATGGTAGTGAAACAACGGTCGCGCACCTATGAAACTTTTGTCCGCTGAGAATCGAGCAAATGAGGCTAATCATATCAAATGAAAAGCAATGACATAATATTGGCTCGTCGAAAGAGAGAGGAACACCAGTCCCGAATCAAGTCCAATCAGGTAGTTGAAGCTGTGATTAGGTGAGTTGGAAGATAACTTTCATACAGTACTCATAACCTTACCGTGAGTTACTGGCTCACGAACTCGTCGTTCCCCAGTCATAATATCTAAGCTCCCAGCGGGTTGCACTGGCTCAGTCATTGGATCGGGCTGGTGAGCTGGAATATCCTTAACGTGATCCTAAGCAGAGACGAAAAAAAAAAACATGTCCCAAGACCAATGTGGTGCCATATAGGCGCAAGATGACATGGCTCAACGAGGGTATCGTGAATGAAATTGTCCTTCAACACTTGCAAGAAAAGACAATATCATTATCGGATCCCCCGCCCTTGGATATGGTATAATATGGGCGGCGAACTTGATCTTGATGTTTGTTGTGCCACGCGATGAACATCAATGTCTAAATATTAATCTTCTGATAAGACAAATGGACTGAGGATATGCAGGGCGCTTGTAACTCACTGAAGTAACTTCAGGAAAGTGGTTGAAGAGAAGGCCGGTACTCATAAGAAATACGTCGATTTCGAACAAAACTTTGGGTCCTGATCTCGTGACTGACTTTGGACCTGACTTTTGAGGTACGAAAGCTTCATGCCGGTCTGGATCAACGCGCTCTGGGCACGGTTTTGAACATTTACTCGGACCATAAAAAGCCAGACGCGGAGAAGAAAGACCTCAAAGTGTGCAGCTGAAAGCTGGTCTCGGGATGGCAACGAGTCTAGCCCAAATACATGCTGGAGCGGACTCAAACTTGCGCCGGGGAGATGGGGGAATGAGGTGAAGAAGAAATGAAGATCTTTGCGACAAGTGCAAGCCTATCTATAGCGCACGAGCCAGGATCTTTGCAAGTGTGAGATCTGTCAAATTCACGTCCTGAACATCATATATCAAACCTTGTGTCCAGCGTGCTGGGCGTGGTAGGGACGAGAATTGACACGACAAGTGCTCCACGCAGTCTGATCTGAAAAAAAAAACATCATTAGACTGCCATTGGAAGGAGGCATACCACAAGAGCTCTACAAACACGGTGTGCGTGCATGACAGGCACTAGTACTAGTACTGTGAATGTGGTGAGACATACATTTCAGCACTAGTGCCAGGGTCTGTACACAGACGCCGTTATAAACAGGGTTGAAACAGGGTTGGTTTAGAGTTGGTTTCGGATCTTGAGTGACAGCTATGATGTGACACATCACATAAGCGGTTGTGACACGACAGCACTCTCGTGCTGCTGTCTCCACACGTAGCAGAATCTATCCTTTTTGCCATTTCTACTGGTTGTTCTAGATTTCCAGCACAATTGCCCTACGAGTCACGAAGTCCGTTCCTCAAGACGCGACACTAACGAGAAATTTGAATCATACTTGTCGGATCTCCAGCTGTTGGCGTCATTCAAGTTGCTAACCCGAGTCTGGTGTATGTACACTTCAATAGTGTGCGAGCGAATTATCGCAGGCCAGCAATAAGATACATGTTTCATACGATGAGTGATGCCCAATCCTTTGCACGCCTTCATCAGTCATTTTACAGTTACTTGACCTATCCATATTTTATCGGTGCTGCGGTTTGTCTTGGTATGGCTGTCGGGAGTAAATGCTAGGGTTTACCTTCCTGAACTAGAGGAGGATCTTCCTCGAGCCAAATGACGGAGGATATCGATGATCGATGATCTTTGCCAGCACTTGACAGTGGTACTCCAACACTACGTGCCGTCGAGGTGACGTGGCACTGATGGAATAGAATGTCAAATTTGAAGTATACATGGTGGCCAGCTCTCACACTGAGGGCTTGAAAAGCCAGTCATAACTTGAGGATGTACTTACAATGAGTTCTCTTGCGCTCGTCCTATCAGCCATGTTGCAATTGCCAGATATACCCATTTCTGACAATGCGCGGCTCGTTGTCGGTGCTTTGATTTGTCTTGGTATTATAGGAATAATGGTTCAGGCTTACCTTCCTCAATCAAAGAACGGCCTTGCTCTTCCACCTTCCCCTTCCACTTGGAGGCTTCAGGGACACTTCCTGCCGCATCGCAAGTAAGTTTTCATTTAATTCATTGTCTTTCAATATTTCAATGCTGATCGTGTCTTACCCCTGATCAGGTCATTTGTTACTATAGCGGGATGGATTGACGAGTACGGTCCTCTGATCACCGTTCGGTCAGGACTTAAGAAAAGTGTGATTATTGGCCGTTACAAAGTCAGTCAGTCCATGTCGAGTAATCATATCCAAACTCATAATTCTGTTGTAGGCCGCCATGGATATCATGGAGCATCAGGGCGCAGCGCTAGCCGACCGCCCTCGCAAGATTGCTGCTGGAGAGATATTTAGCGGCGGACTGGGCCTCACCCTCACACCCTTTGGAGAGAAGTTCCGTCAAAAGCGTAGGTTAGTAGACCGCAACACATCTCCTGAGTTTCTTTTCAACGTGGTGCAGAGCACTCCATACGCACCTCCAGCCTAAAGCAGCTGAGGTTTATCAGCCCCTGCTGATGTCACATGTGAAGAACTTAGTCCTCGACATTCTTAATGATCCATACAATTTCCAAAACCATGCGATCAGGTATGCGCTTTCTGCTATGACCGTACACTGCTTACAGGTGTATTTTGAAGTTATTCTGCGACGACAATTATGAAAATTGCATATGGGAGTACTATACCCACTAATGCGACCGATCCCCTAGTCGGAGAGATGTACCAACTCATGAAGCTGGTTAGTTCAATCCTGCGTCCGGATTCTTACCACCTGGTGGACTCGTTCCCGTGGCTCAAACACCTTCCTTGGTATGGCCGAGAATTGAAACGAGGGTTTCAGAGGAGCAAGCGACTTCACATTGGTCAGATGAACCGAGTAAAAGAGCAACTGGTATGTATCGTCTCGCCATTCTTCTAATAAAATGTTCAAGTCGTTCTGCAGCAAAGCAAGGCGGACATTGGGCCTTCGTTTATGAGATACATGCTAGAAAATAGCGAGCTCCATGGCTTGACAGTGGACGAGACGGCTTTTCTCGGTGGTGCCTTTTTTGGAGCTGGATCCGATACGGTGAGGTGTTTTTGTTGTGTCCAAAGATAAGTATGTGGCTGAGATAAAGGGTCAGACTACTTTGTCAATGTGTATAGTACTCCTGGCAGCCGCAAATTTCCCCGAGGAGCAAGCCAAGGTTCAAGCCGAGCTCGATGTAGTCGTCGGAAGGCACCGCGGTAGCTCAATTTCTCATTGCAGTTCGTGCAATTCATTGATCTCTGCACTTAAGCGCCGACATTTGCCGACCAGCAATCCCTTACTCGCTTACATGCCTTCATCTCTGAGGCTGTGAGATGGAGACCGGTTGCTCCTAATGGTTAGTATGGTCATTGTGATTTGTAAGCACAGCTTCTTCTGATGATCACACTGCAGGATTGGCTCACCGAACAACCAAAGACGTGATATGGGCAAGTGATCTTCGAACAACTTACTTGTGCGACTGATGATCTGGCATCAGGAAAAATACTGTATTCCAGCTGGGACTACGGTATTCGGCAACCATTGGTAAATAGCGAGCATCGACTCTACACACGAGATGTCTAATGGTCACTACCTTATTAGGGCTATCTGTCGGGATCCAGAAGTCTTTCCCGAGCCTGACACGTTCAAGCCTCAACGCTGGATTGACGACAAAGGTCGCCTGAGAGACGATTTAAATAATTTTCTCTACGGGTTTGGTCGGCGGTAAGCACCGTCTTTCAGTCATTCGTTCTTTGAATGACATTCCTTGCAGTATATGCCCTGGTCAACATGTCGCGAACAGGTAACGCTATATGTCTACATACATGGCGAGTCTTCCAGGCTCACTTCGATTGGTGCAGATCAATGTTCATAAGCTCGGTCCTAATTCTCTGGGCCTTCCGGCTCACTCTGGATCCTACACAGCCGTTGGATGATACGGGGTTCATGAATTCGGAGAAAACACACCGGCCGTGCACTATTAAATTCGAGTTGAGGATTCCGGAAGAAGAGCTTAGGCGCATGATGAAGAATTATCCCGAGGAGGTCGTATCAGTGGACGAGATTGATCGCCACTAGATAAAGAACGAAGAACCTGTTCGGAAATCCGAATCATGCCTTTAGGACTAGTATTCAAAATAATTTACATTGTCACTTGTTTTGATTATGGGCTGTGTATTATGGCTGTCGATTATGCTTTGTTGTTATCAAGTTTCACCGCGCGGTTTATTCCAGGCAGATCGGCGAGCACTTGACTTAAGCTTGAGACACCATACTCAAGATATTCAATAAAAAACCCCAGCACACGGTCGGAATGGAAAGAAGAAACCGAAGCGGGGTTTGAGAAGAGCAGGCGACTCCACGTCGGTCAGCTGAACCGAGTAAAAACAAACAAATGATATGCATCGTCTTACTTCACATACAGCATCTAATAACTTGTTCCGCGACAAAGTAACGTGGACATCGGCCCTTCCGCAGCACATTGTAACGTGTAACGATTAATTGTTATACAGTAGATCCGAGTCACTTCTAAGCTAGTAGCACTGGCACGGGACGGAAAATCGTATCATCAGATTCGCCATCCTGCAACCCACTCATTATTTTTAAACTACGCTTGCCAAATGAGCAGGTCTCCAGCTGTCCGAGACGTCATTGCCCGACCCTCGCACTGGGTGTAATGATTGACTGTGGGGTATGACCGTCGCGGGGGTTGTACTCTCCATTAATGTTGGTACTATTTGCCATGATTTGGGTAGCTTAGTCAGCAGCGCAGAGCATTCATTGTCAGAACTTCGCCTTCTCCGAGCAATGGCTAAGTGTTACCCGTAATAAAGAAGGAACGACTGTCTTCCTTCTGTTAGTATCATCTGACTAGGGGACCAAGTGTTACCAGGTGCGAGCGAATTAAATATTGCTGTTGCAGGCCAGCAGTGACATACAATGAATTGTCTCCAATCCTTCTTCAATTGGACTCCTCCCAACCTGTCACGGTGCATTTCTGATAACGTTTCTTGGCGCCGCAGCTTGTCTTGGTATGGCAGGAGTAATTGCTTGGGTTTACCTTCCTAATCCAGAGAAGGGTCTTCCTCGAGCCAAATGGCGGAGGTGGCGATCCTTTGCCAGCAGATTTGGTGTTCAATAATGTTTTGGTCCCGTGGCTACAAGAGACTAACGGGCCATAGGGACGTGGCAGTAATGGAATAGAATGAAATACGCTGGCTAACTGATTAAAAGCTGGTCCGTCCCTGGCATCAGCATCGTCGGTTTTGCCTCACTAACCCTCGACTTGGAAAGGCACTTACAATGAGTTCTCTCCAATCCTTCTTTGTGCTCCTCCCATCAGCGATGACAAAGCTGGTTGACTTGTCCGCACAGCTCGTTGTCGGTTCTGCGGCTTGTCTTGGTGTAATAGCAATAATTGCTCAGGTTTACCTTCCTCAATCGAAGAACGGCCTTCCTCTCCCACCTTCCCCTTTCAATTTGAGGCCTTGGGGGCACTTCCTGCCGCATCACAAGTACAAGTTTTGCATTTACATGATGCATTCTCTTTGAATGTTCATGGTGTCTTATTGCCGGTTAGGTCATTTCTTACCATAGCGGGATGGATTAATGAGCACGGTCCTCTGATCACTGTTCGGTCAGGACTTGGGAAAGTCGTGATTATCGGCCGTTACAAAGTCAGTCCTTCCACGCGCCGAGTTGTCGATATTCAAGGTCATTATTCTGTTGCAGGCCGCTATGGATATTATGGAGAATCAGGGCGGAACTCTAGCTGACCGTCCTCGTATGATTGCTGCTGGTGAATTATTTGGCGGCGGACTGAGCATTGCCTACACACCCTTTGGGGACAGGTTCCGCCGGATGCGTAGGTGAGCAGTCCACAATACTTCCCCTAAGCTACTTTTCAACGTGATGCAGAGCACTTCATACGCATTTCCAGCCTAAAGCAGCTGGGGCTTATCAGCCTCTGCAGGCGGCAAACGTGAAGAACCTGGTCTTCGACATTCTTGATGATCCATACAACTTTCAGAATCATGTGACAAGGTGTGTGCTTTCTGTCGTGACCGTACACTGCTTACAGAGTTTAAAGTTATGCTGCGACGGTAATCACGAAAGTTACTTATGGGAATACTGCGCCCACGTCTGCGACTGATCCCCGAGTCATTGAGATGCGCCAACTTAGGAAGTTGATTGACGGAGCCCTGCGTCCTGATGCTTTCTACCTTGTGGACTCGATCCCGTGGCTCAAACACTTTCCTTGGTATGGCCGAGAATTGAAACAGGGATTTCAGAGGAGCAAGCGACTTAACATTGGTCAGCTGAACCGAGTAAAAGAGCAAATGGTATGCATCACCTTAATAATCTCCACACAAAATAAGTCTTTCCACAGCAAAACAATGTGGACATTGGCCCTTCGTTCACGAAATATATGTTAGAAAACAGCGATCTCCATGGCTTGACAGAGGACGAGACGGCTTTTCTCGGTGGCTCCTTGTTTAGAGCTGGGTCTAACACGGTGAGGTGTTTTGGTTGTGTCCAAAAAAAAGTTTGTGGCTGAAATCTGGGATCAGACTACTTCGGTGATATGCACGGTGCTCATGGCAGCTGCATGTTTCCCCGAGGAGCAAGCTAAAGTTCAGGCAGAGCTCGATGCGGTCATAGGAAGGCACCGAGGTAGCTCAATTCCCTCCTGCTGTGCTGTAAAATCCATTGATCTCTGCACTCAAGCGCCGACATTCGCCGACCAACAATCCCTTATTCGTCTACATGCCTTCATCTCTGAGGCTGTGAGATGGAGACCGGTTGCTCCTAATGGTTAGTATAGTCATCGTGGTTTTGTACCTATAATTTCTGACAGTCGCTGCAGGATTCCCTCACCGAACAACCAAAGACGTGAATTGGGCAAGTTATCTTTGAATAACTTATTTGTGCGACTGATGACCTGGTATCAGGAAAACTACTGCATACCAGCTGGGACCACGGTATTCGGCAACCATTGGTAAGTATCGGGCTTCGAATCGAAGTATGACAGACCTAACGGCCACTGCCTTAGGGCAATCTGTCGAGATCCAGAAGTATATCCCGAACCTGACGCGTTCAAGCCTCAACGCTGGATTGACGAAGAAGGTCTCCTGAGAGACGATTTAACCAATTTTCTCTACGGGTTTGGTCGACGGTAAGCACTATCGTTTAGCTATTCATTCTTTGAATGACATTCCTTGCAGTGTGTGTCCCGGTCAACATGTTGCGAACAGGTGAAGGAATCTTTCTACGCACATGATCTTTCGAGCTTATGTCGATTGGTACAGAACGGTATTCATAAGCGTGGTCCTGATTCTTTGGGCCTTCCGGCTCACTCTGGATCCTACCAAGCCGTTGGATGACATGGGGTTCATGAACTCGGAGAAAGCACATCGGCCGTTTACGTACCGGCCGTGCACCATTGAGTTCGAGAGGATAATTCCAGAAACAGAGCTCAGGCACATGATGCAAAATGATCCTGAAGTCTTGTGAGTGGGTGGGATCGATCACCACTAACAAGAGAACGAATCACCAATATCTGAACCATGCCTTTAGGACTACGTAGTACTCAGTAACTCATCTTGTAACTTGTTACGACTGTGGATTGTGGATGGCAAAATGAATTCCAAACGAGCTGCCCGAGCGCTGCACCGAGCGATCTAGTCACTGGTTCGTGACGAGGACATGCCCCTAGACCAGTGTGACGTCTGGCTATCGGACCTAGCCAAGTTCGGGCTTACGGATGATGCATAAGATCATTTTGGTTATCCGATATTGCACGAAAGCAAGTGACCGTAATGTATAGATCATTCGTCTGTTTTGTCTTCTTCTGGCGCAGTGCGTACATTGTGCGATACTGGTCTATCTCTGACCGCACAAGCGTAGAAATCTCCATCATTGCCCACCCTAAGTGGTACCCACATGAACCAATGGTACAACTTGTTCATTCTTACGCACAAATCACCGGTGCATATTAGAAGCGATCACGTTTGGTTCTGAGGCAACAGGCTGGAGAATACGTGTAGCCGGAATCATAGGTGTACATGTCGGGGATCCGGGAGGCACTTATACAGTCTCAAAGTCTGAAATAGCCAAAATAAAGTATCTTTTTGGCAACAGGCTGGATGCTACACGTGATGGCGTCAGATTGTCTCAAGAAAGCGGTAATGAACGAGGTGGGAAGACGCACGAAATTGATCATATGCCAATATGCATGAACACTATGCGCTGGTGCAATGACATATCCTTGTCACTGGCCAACGACTGGACCGCTCGGTGCAGCGCTCGGGCAGCTCGCTTGGAATTCATTTTGCCATCCCCGCACAAGTTCTTGTAGAATGCCTCGACTAAGCGCTGCACCGTACTATCATCCACGCTCCATAATGTCCCAACTACACTCTGCACCCCAGCAAATTGCAGGCCAGCCGCCAGGTGTACCACTTCGTCAGGAGTGTGAAAGTTACCGACTGCGGTTTCGCAGGCAGAAAGAAAGCCAAATTCATGCCGAGACAGATCCATTTGTGAGATATCGAGGAGTGAAAGGGGTTGGTCGCGCATGAGAAAGGCCGACTTGAAGGGTTCTGTAAAGTTCTGTGTCCCGTGGCACGCAAAATGAAGCCAAGTATTATCTTGTAATGCGCAGAGTGCTCTCGATTTCGTTGCCTCAACGCTCGTTATCTTGGTGAAGGAAACAGTTGGGGGAGGGGGCAAAAGACTCCGCACCAATTCAAGCTCAGGCTCCACAAAATCCAAAGTGAATGAATGACCGTCTGGGTGATTCTGACCTATGGCAGCAAAAGACACTGACAAGGACCTGTCATGACTTCTGCGAGCCCTGATGAGCGCGGTAAGCGATGGCGTGTATGAAGAGATGTATAGCTGCGAAAGGGATTGTCCGTGTTCCCTGTACTCGCCAGCAGCATGCAACGGCAGGAAATTGAAGAGATACGTCGGGCACCACCATATTCGGGAACCTGGTCGTGTACATCCGCCCAGATGTTCGACCACCGGGCGGACGACGTCGTTCCACAGCGTCCTCAAAGTTTTGACCAGCTCTGGTTGGGCCCTTTTAGGACCAGCATCTTTTTCAATTGCCTGTTGGAAAGTAGACACCAAAGTCAGGAGTTTCTTCCAATTGGTAGGGAGTTGAATGCTAGTCGGAGGTTGCTTGTGTGTGATAATAATGGCATCGCAAGAAGCCTCGCTTGTAACGAGCACGACGATAGGCCCATCACGAGCTGCATCTTGGAGATCGGAGAACAAGGGGGGAAGTAGGAAGCGAGAGAAGCCCTCGATATTCCGAATATCTTCTACAACTCTATTCCAGTCCTCCACTAGACGTCGGTACCGGCTTTCTTCTGCTTCTACATCGACTCTTGGGGTCCCTTCTTGATGATTCGTAGGAGGTGTATCAAGGAGGGAGCTAAGGTCTCTGAATTTCTTCATCAGCGCCCCGGCATGATCGCCGCGTTCCTGGAGGTTGTCAAGAGGCATGCGGAGTCGTGTCATCTGGGTCCAAATGACAGTCCTGCCTTGTTCCAATAACTCGACAGCGCGACACACATCACCGCTACGAAGAGCACATGATGCAGCATTCACGGCAAGCGTACTTGGAAAATCCTTCATGACATCGTGACGAGACGATACTGAAGCTGTGACAGACATGTAAGCGTCCAGAAGCTGCATGGAAGTCGCATAAGCCTCCAGTTGAGTATCATGTGAATATTGATCGGCATCGCGAACCCAGCGTAGACTTGCTCGCAGGCGAGGTTGCAATCCTCCGGAGACAAGATTTGCTGCTGCCTTGCAGTGATGCATGGCAGCATTCAGACTATCAGTATCTTCGCCAGTGCGGTCAAGTCCGGATTGATGAAACAACAGATAGACAGTAGCTAGTAATTGATGGGCCTGTAATCGACGAGGATCATGTTGCGTCAACAGAGTCAATGCACAGCGAAGATTCTCTCGTGACTCGTGGAGGTCTTCTACATTGCGTCGGTGCTGGAAGCGGGCAGAGAGCGTAGATGCAAGGTTATTTAATAACGAGGACCGATCTGCGTGACCGACTGGATGTAAAGCCAGCGCGTCCCTGTGAAGCATGATAGCCTCATCCAAGTCTTGGCCGTTGCCTTGGTGCTCGAAGCGGGTAGAGAGCACATTCGCAAGGTTATTTAATGACTTGAACGTAATTGCGCTACCGACTGGATGTAAAGCCAGTGCGTTCCTGTGAAGCATGATAGCCTCATCCAAGTCTTGGACATTGCCTCGGTGCTGGAAGCGGGTGGAGAGCGTAGATGCAAGGCTATTTAATGACTTGGACCGTTCTGGATGACCGACTGGACGTAAAGCCAGCGCGTCCCTGTGAAGCATGATAGCCTCATCCAAGTATTGGGCATTGTCTCGGTGCTGGACGCAGGTGGAGAGCACAATCGCAAGGTTATGTAACGACTTGGACCGATCTGGGTGACCAACTGGAAGTATGGTCAGTGCATCCCTGTGATGCATGATAGCCTCATCCAAGTCTTGGTCATTGCCCCGGTGCCGGAAGCGGGTGGAGAGCACATTCCCAAGGTTATCCAATGACATGGACCGATCCGGGTGACCGACTGGATGTAAAGCCAGTGCATCCCTGTGAAGCACGATAGCGTCATCCAAGTCTTGGTCATTGCCTCGGAGCTCGAAGCGGGCGAAGAGCATAGTTGCAAGATTATTTAATGACTTGGACCGATATGGGTAACCAACTGGACGCAAAGCCAGCGCATCCTTGTGAAGTATAATAGCATCATCCAAGTCTTGGTCATTGCCTCGGTGCTCGAAGCGGGTGAAGAGCACATTCGCAAGGCTATTTAACGACGCGTCCCGAGCTGCGTGACCGTCCGGAAATACAACCAGCGCTTCCCTGAGAAGCGTCGTGGCCTGGTCGAGGTCTTGGCTATTGCCTCGACGCCCGAAGCGAGTGTGCAGCAATACACCCAGATTGCATAGGAATTGCCCTCGGAAATCATGCACAGCGTCGTAACATCGCAGTGCATCGTAATGAAGGGAAATCACTTCATCTAATTCATGGGGATCATTTCCCTGCAAACACAGCTCTGCTAGGTATACAAGTTGATCTTGCCATGACGGAAGCATGGATGCAGCGGGCTGCATCTGCCCAAGATCGTGTTCATCATTGCCTTCAGCTCGATGCAGAGAAAGTGTGTCGATTGCAAGCAAAGCTGCTCTGTAAATGTGGCTGTTGGAGTGGCAAATATCGAGGACCTCGCTGAGTAATTCTTCCGCCGCATCAGCATCCGTTCCAAGTCCCTGTTTCTTGAACCGGGATAGCAGAGCAATGGCAAGATGGAGCTGAGTGATCGGTCGGTCAGGATGACCAGTTGGGCGCAAGTCCAACGCATCTTGAAAAAGAGAGATGGGGACGTCGAGGTTGAGGTATGTTCCATTGACTTGGCAACTAAGAAACTTCGCCACAGCTAGATTGAACAGTGCTGCGGGGCGGCATGGATGATTCATGGGGCAGAGATCAGAGGCCCGTTCAAAGCGCGTTATGGATTGGTCTAGATCCCCAGTGTTGTGTGTCCTTCGGTATCGTGCGAGAAGACCATGTCCGGCGTCCGTCCTCAGTACTAACTCATGCATGTCATCGGACATAAGCTACGCATCACAAGCACTCAGCATCAGAACATTGGACTACATTGATCACTCACGGTAGTAAAGGGGCGAATAACTGCGGCGTCGTTTTCATCAGAACGTCGTTGCTCCACTGTCATAAGCAGCGAAGTGCACGAGGATACGACTTCCTCCTGCTTGGGCTGAAAGATTATAGCTGTGATACTCGTCAACATCTGTCAGACGTGATACAGACGTGACTGACCACGTGACTTTTCGCTGCGATCGAGTAATTCTCCTACGGAGATATTGAATGTGCGGAGGACTTCTCCTTGACCGAGCATGGGATCCAGTTCAAATGAAGCGTACACGCTGACCCTAACTAGAGAGGATGGCTCGCATGGCCTAGAGTCCTTCTCAATGCCTGCAGGAAAGACGGGATCAAGGACAACTTACAGAGGTATCCGCTCGTTCCACTTGACGACACCCTGGTCTACGTGCACAGGTTTGTTGGTTGTCTGGTATTCGATACCATCATCGGTCTTTACTACCACATGGAAGCCGGCGGGGATCCGTTGGAGACCAAGAGTCAGATCAGTTGCATGAATGGCTTGTGGAAGTCCTCAAGATTTGCGGAACTGTGTTTGATACCACATACCAGTAACGACGACTTGTTGCACTCCGCGGAGGTGTCTCTCTCCCGGGTCCTGGGGGTCTTCTGGGTGGCTTGCTTCCTCACCCAGGGCTGGGAGGGTATTATCGAGTGGGTACACAGAGTTTATTGCGAAACGAAAAGCAGAGTAATCAGGAAATAAAGTGTCTTCAGAATGGTTTTGGGAAATCATTGGTATGTTCAAATTGCTGAATGAAGATAGATAGCACATACTATTCATGGCGATCACGTGCACGCGGTTGGTCTCGGGGTCCTGGGTGTGTTCTGGATGGGGAGGGCGATCATCGAGAGGATGAGTTTGCATAATATGCATATGGCTGAGGGATAGATACAAACTAACGCTTGAGAGTAAGACGCGTACTGGTATGGAAAGCCTAACGTCCGTGTTCTCAAATCAGTGTCACGCATCCATTAAATTTAATAGGGCTGCTCAATTCTTGGCAGCCCAGCCCTGCCCAGCCGAGTTCGCCTGTCGCTTAGATTCGCAGCCACTTACATGTGTTACGAAACGACTCAGAACTCGTGAGCCGAGTCCAGGCAACTATGTTCATCTACAAGTAATCCTAGGGAGATGTGCAGGATAGGGGTACCTTCGGATGAACGTTTGAGATGAAAAACAATCTGACAAGTTACTTGGACTCTTGAGTGGTACATACCAGTACCTATACCGTGACGCATCATGACTGTATACAATAGAGTCCTACAAGTCCGAGACAAGAATTACTGATTTACTGTACGTGTGCAGGCGAGTAGCAAAAAAAATCCCAGAACGAAACGAAACGAAACAACGGGGAACGTCATACTCAAAAAAATTAGGAGGCAAGGTATCAGGTATCAAGTATCAAGTTGTCCAACGAACACCAACCAGCATCACTTCGTCACCGATCGCACCCCCTTACCAGACCTTGCCCACCCATCTCTCTCCTTCTCCCTATCCTTGTCTGTCCCAGGCGGAGACGCGCTTCCATACTTCGAAACCCTACGCACCAAACCCATCTCATCCGTCTCCAACCCCCCACGCTCACGCTCCCTCACCCTCGGCGATCCTGTTCCACCAGGTGACTTCAAATATCCCCCACCCTCCACCGTCAAATGCCCCATAAACACCACCGGCAACGACATACCCGTACCCAACCCCGCAGATTTCGGCTTCCTCCGAGCATCAGCATCAGGCACAGGCGTAGCCGTCGCAGGCTCTAACATCTTCTGCAACGCAAGCAAACACAAAAATGCATCGTTCCCCGCGTTATGTAACGCACATGGAGGATCGATCCCTAGGGAGTGTAAGAGCCCGCCTAAGGAGAGCGTGGAGCCTTGGGCGCGGAGTTTGCCTGTTTTGGGGTCGTGCATCGTTCCTCGTTCGCCGGTGTTGAAGAGTGCGCGTTCGAAGGAGGCGGTGTCGATTATGAGGACGTTGTGTGGGATTTCTTGGGGGTTCGTTAGTGGGAATGCGGTGGGGTGAAGGTGAGGTGGGGACGTACTAATTTTAGTCTCTTCGAGGCGTTGGATGTCAGAACTGACGCCGTGTCCTACGAGGACGAGGCTGTTGGCAGTAGTTTCCGTGTCTGGGCTTACTAGGCTGCTGTAGAGGACGTCAAGAGCCAGAAACACAAGCGCTGTGCTATCCTACCTGATCACAGACTGTACGACCTGCGGTAACTTTGTTCTTGGTATTATTTGGCTTTCGCCCCACTACGAGGTGCTCTGTAAGGAGGGAAGAAAACGCCAACAGAATGACGTACAGCATACTACTCCATGTGTCAGTTTAGCATGGGAGGTGGTCTAAACAGGCATACCTGCCAGGGGTACGTAGGACAATGTTTGTTGACGATCTTGTCCACGTAATCACCGATGATATAATGGCCCTTCCTGCGTATAAGCACATCAGCCAAGCTGTGACGCCCGCAAATATACAACCCACCGATAATTCGACTCGGGCACAGGAGGCCATGCACCAACCCTGCAAACCAAATCTGTCAATCACCCCCACAGAACAGAACAGTCACACATACGCATCAAGATGCCCGCACCGAACAGCCGCATACCCCCATTCCAAAAACGTCGCTGGATTCCTCTCGCTCCACTCAAAATCGATCGCTAAAAACGTCTTATCGCGCTTCGCCCATAATTCCCGGATAGCATTTGGCTCTCCAGCGCGTATCCGAGTTTTAAACGCTGCGAGCGCTACTGCTGGTAGCGTCGTGTACAGTTTCTTGTATGTCGCCCAGTCTGCGACGTTCCGAAGATGTCGTTGGGCCGTCTCAAAGTGCGTGACTTTGAGCATATTATCGGGTGTTGGGAGAGTCTCGCCGAAACTGGGCCGGTTCTTCGGTTCGTAGGTCAGCGAGTGAGAGGGGGGAAAGGACGCACCGAGTCTTGATCATTTTGATAAACGCGCCGACGGTCGTCAGTCGGGTTACGATGTGCGCGCGGCCGGTCCATGAGTCGGTGATAGTAATAACAGGCCATGAAAATCCCAGAAACTGCTCAAACGTCTCGAAGAATTGTCCCCATGTCCGATCGTACCTGTGCGGCTTGATAAACGCGTCCTGGACACGCAGTGAAGGGACAGACACACCATGGGATATTGTGCAACTGAAAGTAACCTATGTAGGCAGAATACACCTATGGCATGATAAACCAACTGTTTGGCAAAAGAACTGGAATACGCACAGACTGAAGATCGTATTCCCAACCTTCTGGATTGACGAGACGAAAATCTGCCATAGATATGAGACGACGTTGGCTCGGTCAGTGTACGAATAGGTCGGTAGCGTTACGGGTAAAGATTCTGCACGGCAACAAAAAGGAGAAACCAAGCCGGACACACTGCGGAACAAAACTCGGTTTACATGAATGCTGAATGTCGCTCAAGTCGTGTTTACGGCATATGTAATACTTCCATTTGTACTGGTATGAAAAGCGTTTTTGGGGCATGGAGGGGTTCTAACGGCACATGCCGAAATAGCCTGCGTTTATTTGTAGTTTGTATTACTTAAGTATCGCATACTTACATAGGATAGACTCAAAAAATGGGGAGAGGACATGTCGTTTCATTCATATACACAAAGCAGTGATGTTACAAGGAAGCAAGAGCAGGTAAGTAGAACCTACAAGACTGGAAGAAGACGAGTTAGCAACGGAATAGGAAGAAACGAAGACGAAGGGTCAGAGACTTGAATGGGATCCCGAAGGATCAACGTCCAGCGTGCAAGCACGTCGCGTCGAAAAGGTTTTCTATCCTAGTAAACACGTCGGACATGTAAAAACTCACCCAAACGTCCACGTAACGCGCCAGCGAATCCTGCAGAAGGAGTTAGCATCGTGCAACAATGCAGAGTGAAAAGATCAGAAAATAGTTCGCGTTATTCTCATAACCTGCATGCAGGCATCGAAGTGAGCTGAGTTTACGAAGTTGTTTCATCGTAGAAAGGACCAACATTAAACACATAACGAGCACTTACCATGGTCACATTGTACATGGAAGACAAGAAGACTTCGGAAACACCCGAAGTAATATCACGCTTGAACCTACCCTAAACTCAGCCACCCACTGAAACTATACAGGTCATCTTCAATTTCCCCACGGTCTGGTACGCTACACGGTGAGCTCATCCGGAGGACGCACCGCAAGACACACAACCTCGCCATCTGAAGATGCAGATCTTCGTCAAGACCCTCACAGGGAAGACTATCACCCTCGAGGTGGAGTCTTCTGACACCATCGACAATGTCAAGGCCAAAATTCAGGATAAGGAGGGGTACGCTCTATAATACACTTGGTACTACGGAAATATTAATATTGTGAACAGTATCCCCCCCGACCAACAGCGTCTCATCTTCGCTGGAAAGCAACTTGAAGATGGCCGCACGCTCAGTGACTACAACATCCAGAAGGAGTCTACTCTTCACCTTGTCCTTCGGTGCGTCGCGCCCATCTAGTCTCATTTCATACAAACCTCATATATCCATAGTCTCCGTGGCGGAATCATCGAGCCATCACTAAAGGTCCTCGCATCCAAATACAACTGCGACAAACAGATCTGCCGAAAATGCTACGCACGTCTGCCCCCTCGCGCAACTAACTGCCGCAAGCGCGGATGTGGACACTCGTCACAACTCCGCCCGTGCGTCTCTCATTTCTTCCTTTCCCTAATGTAAAACTGATTTTACAACCCCCAAATAGCAAGAAGAAGTTGAAGTAGTCGACTCGCTTTGGGCGTGCTGTGGGGACTATTATGGGACATCCATGTGTATTCTCTCTTTTGCTCGCATATGCAACACATGATCATTCCATGTCGTTTTGTGGAGCTTCTGTGTGATTTCTCCGCATTTTCTGCGTGTCGTTGATAATCATTACTACAGTTCTTTGTCGTAAGAACAACCTAGCATTATTATGACAGGTCCCCATTTCCCATCAGATACACGGCAGCAGGCACGAACCCCGAGGGCGCAAGCCTCTTCCCTGTTGGCGATTCAGAGGCTCTCAACGAATCCATTACCACAAACGGCAATTCGATGGCGCCCGTTGCAGCAGCCTCCATAATATCCGCTGCCAACGCCACCATCATATCCATGGAACACTGGCCAAGTTCAGCGTGCCAGATCATTCAAAAACTATGCCAAAACACCGTTAAACCACTTGCGAATGACAAGGTGGTATATACGAGCGTTTAAGTCAATGTTAATGACTCATACCACACACAATTTCAACCACACGAACTCAGACTCGGTAAACCATGCATTCGTAATGTCCCATCTGTCTGCTTGTCCATGAATAAACCGGAAATATGTCCAAGTCCAACTGCAAAATATGGGTAACGTAGTGTTCTCAATGACCAAAAACTAAAGCCAGGGTATGTTAAACTTGTGGTAACCCAAAGCCGAAATTGAAATTATATGAAACCCTCGGGGGCATGCTGAGAAGGATTTTGGGGGTAAGAGGGGGCGGGATTAGAGCATGATAGCGGCACCGGCTACTGCTGAGAGTAGGACGACGGCAGCGGGGCCCATGCCGTTCTTCAGGGACGCAGCGCCACTGCTGTTGATGTTCGAAGGTGTAGCGGATGCGGACGAGCTGGTCGTTGCTGTGGTGGGAGCAGCGGAGGATGCAGGAGCCACAGTCGATGCCGTGCCTGGGGTGCCTGTGCTCCTGGAAGGGGTTTCAGACTATTATCAGAATGATAGGTAAGCGTGAACTCACGAAGTCATGGACGTGCTGGACATCGACGACACTGAAGCAGTCGTCTGTGCGCCAACAGCAAAGTCACCACTGGTTGCGTACACGGTGTTGATGTTGGTGATGCTAATGGCCTGGAGGGTATAACCATCACTACGCACCGCGAGTCAGCCAGTCTTTTCATTATTCAGCGGATATAAATGCAGCGTGCTTACGCAACAGGGACTTGGGGCAGTGTAATAGTGAGAATGCCCGCCGAGGTCTGGACGTTGTTTGCGATGGCGAACGTGTTGTGGAAGATGGTGTTCACCATGTAAATGCTGAAGGTGCCGGGATCGGCCGTGGTCGCCTCCCAAGTGGCATTCATTACTCCACCGGTCGTAACACCCGTCGGGGTGTTGATCGTCAGTGCAGACACGAGAGGGAGAGCGAGGGCGGCAAGGGCACTAGTGGGGTGGTTGACAACGCGTCGGAAACCCGCTCATCGACCACGACAATGAACAAGGGACTTACGCGATTTTGGCAAACATGTTGGAGTCGTAAACGGAGTATGAGAAATAAACTAGACAAGGACGTAGAGGACGACGAGGAGCGGGGGGAAGAGAACTTGGGAGAGTTGAAGGAAAGGTCGAAGCAAACGTAAAGGCTTTTAAGCCAGAACCAGGCCATAAGACGTCTTCCCACGCGGCTTGCCAGTCTTCTTCAAAAGCGTGCGATGCCGACGATTCACAAACACGCTTGATTCACTTCCTTTCTCATCCTTGCCTCATCATTCCCGCGTTTTTTATTCCGTAGGTATGCCTAACTATGGATCCTAGTCAATAATAGTAGACATTATACACTGGAAATCTTCAACCCCCCCTAGCAGCGATGCTCACGGAATTCGTGAAATTAGGAGTTTAGCCAAATGGCGGCGTACAATTTCCCGATTCCCATTCAGGTTGCAAGCCTGCAACCACAACAGCCTTTCGCTTGCGTTCGAGAATAGATCGCGGTCATGTATTCCCATTCCGCCCACTAATAGATCTACGTGTGAAACATTGTGAACACCGATGTCAAAAAAATATGCGGCATCACCTCGTCGAGGGATGACAGAACGGGCAGGACTCACCTCGTCAAACGGTCGCGTATCGCCAAAGCAGCTCTCCCAGACCTCATTCACCGCACGCTCCGCGGCTGCCTCGTCCGGACACATAGGATTCGCGCGGACAGAAAGTATGGCACGCCGTCTCACGCAGGCCTGTACTAAGTTAGTAAACATTCAGACTGATCAAGAGATGGATATAGGACTGCACAGCGTGAGACAAAAATATTGATATACCTGATGCTGCTTCGAAAATGACACGAATCCCCTTCCCAGCTCGCGCATGTACCTGCAGTCACCACTTAAACTATTGGCACGGATCTTCGAGAAATGGGCGCCGTGGAATACGTCAATAAAAAGGAGCGGCGTAGTATGGCACACTGCTCACTCACTTCGCTGCATGCGTGATGTCTCAAGTTTTTCCAGTCAACATTGAATTTGCAGTGATCATACATGTGTACCAGCTCGTGTGTGAGGGTATCCTCCATGTGCTTCTTGTCTCCGAAGTGGCCCTGACAAAGGACAATCGCACCGGCAGGGTGGAAGCCTCCGGAACGTGTGAGATCGCATGGGGCGCACACAATGTTCGAGGGCGGTACCGGGCACCCGGACAACTTAAGATGCTTTAACATGAAAACAACAGAAGGATCTATGAAAGCAACGAGTGCGTGGATAATTAAACGTTTTGGAATGAGCACGGATCAGAACACGCAGAAACAACGAGACAGACTGTAATTCAGGAGCTCGGTCTTCCATTGCTCGCAACGGCGATGCTGCACTTCCACCCGGTCACGGTCTCGTTCGTCTGCGGAAAGTCCGATACCTGATACTTGGGCAGCTTTGCGCAGCCATCTTTGGAATGATCGTGACTCCGATGGATTAACAGGCGGTTCAGAGGAGGCTGGATTCATGAGTGTAAATGCTGGTGCAAAAGCGCGTGTTTGTATGTTATTCATGATGAGTTCCCACGGACTCCGAGAGCGCTCGCGTCGTACATACTTACTCGCAACGCAGTTTGAAGAATTGGGACAGGAGGTCAGCGTTATAGCGAAATCCAAGTACAAAGCATCGATAGAGTATTCGTAGGTATAGTACTATGGTCCAATAAATTATCCTCCGAGATCCCCACTAGAAAGACTGCAATACAATCAATTAGATGCGCACTTGAACAATTCTCGCACAGCTGGCAGACTATGGAGCCCAGTCAAATATTTCGTCGCCAGAGCTTGAAACAACAGCTCATGATGCTCATCATGGTATGGGGTTTGCACATGTGCCATCTCGTGTGCCATTATATAGTACCTGCGGGATATCAGTGAATGTTAATGGACAGGATTTTGCGAGTGCTTGCCAGTCGATGTAAGCCTGTCCAGCAGGTCCACCTTTGTCTAGGTAGTAGGCTTGAGCTTTGGAAATGGAAGATTAAATCATGAAGGTCACGTACGTTTTTGCATATAGTGTTCCAGACCCAAAAATATCTGGTCATTGCGGTTGAAACCCATCAGATTTGCGTCCTCGCCGTGAAAGAATACGTGGCATCGTGTCTGGTTGACTGAAAAAACTTGTGCGAGGTCGCTAACGATCTTCCCAAAGGCTTCGCGTTCCTTTGAGGGAACGTCCAAGAGCGTCCCCTCTGAAACAAGCACATCAGTCTAACAGCTGGAAACGTGAGTCATTCAACTCACTTCGTTTCCAGACCTTGACCTGCCCGACATGTTGGCCCTCTTCGTCGATTTAATTATAGACTGCTTTATTCCAAGCTGAACAACGTACCACATTCTTCCAAATCCGTTTCCGCAACCTTCTTTTCGTCACAGTATCCGACATTTTTCTGCTTTTTCCCTCCGCCGACCTGCTCCCGATTGCTGATGTGCTTGTCGTCCTTGCCGCCCTCTTCCTGCATGATATTCTTCACCTTCTCGATGGAGTCCTCTGCACATCAATGTTCAGTGCCTATCTTAACACGGAAAACCATCTTAGCGCACCTATCTCGTCGAGCTTGAGCTCGCCCAACTTGGGGTCTTTGCGAAGCCAATTTAATAACTTTGTGAATTTTCTGAATACCACCGGCTTATGATTGGATGGTTCGTCTGGCGGCAATTCAGTTGGGGGCGGAGCTTGAGTGGGTGCGGGTGGTGCCCCATTGGGAGCATTTTCTCCTGCTTTCATTGAGCATCCCTGACATGACAGACAATGACATTGATGATAAACCTACCATGTTCAGCCTTCTCAAGGTTATCATGATACTCCGAGAGAATTCTATCAACTAAACATGCAATCAGTGCCGTTTCCCAGATGACAACGACAACCTCACCATCGTAACCACGGCGTTTGAGGACTTCAATGTCTGTGTCCAAGATAGTCATAAGGGACAGGACATCATTCTTTTTATATGTAGAGAACAGCAGACGACACAATGCTGCCGCGATGCTAAAACGGATGAACACGCATCTCGAGCGATACAGAGTACCACGTACTCATAACTGTCAGCCTTCGGCTCCTTGATCCACAGCACATTCACGCCATCCTTGGTTTGGGTCTCGGCGGAGAGTTCGGTAGGGTGCGCTTTCTGTCCCTGAGGTCCAGTAGTCGCATGTGTAAATTCTAATCTCTTCGTGACGTCAAGTTTTCGACAAGCCCGGACGAAAAATTGACACTCGTCATGCCACCGTAGCAGGCGCATTTTATCTCTAAAGCGATGTTCGTCGAACTCGTGGAGGAAAATAGGTATCTTGTCAATAATAGATTTTCGAAGGGTCTGGGCAGTGTGTGCGTTCAGCAACTCCTTCTCTGGCTCGACAGTGTACTTGATGCAAGAGCTCAACGACTTGACATGCATTTCCGAGTAAAACTCTGCTCACGATATGTCACATTGTACCAGAGAGAATGCAATCACTTACTTTCTAACAGCTCCTCCTGGGGAGCGATGAAAATGGAATCTCCAAAGGTGCGACGACTTTCCATGTCGTCGGCGACCAATACTTCTTCAGCCCTGCAAAGCTCAAACTCGTCTGCCTCGTACACGTCGCGGCTAGCATTGCTCTTCCCTCGTCGATATCCCAAGAAAATTGGGGCATTGCGCATTTCTTCGTGGATCTTTCGAGGAAGGGACTTGTGACCGACCGCAATCAGGCGCAGCTCAGTCAAGTATCTATAGCAAGTCAGTATTATGGGTCAAGAATCCGACACCGACATGCACCTCTCATGGTCCCCAGCCAGTTTAAGGAACGTTTTTGGACATTTCAGGAGAGCTTTGAGGACATCGACACATTCAGGGCGTTCTTTGACACCGCAAGCTTTCAAGAAAGCGTTGGCACTGCGGTCAAAGTCGACAAACTTGAATAACCGCTGGTAGAAGTGGTCTCCGGTGTATGATTCCGACTTCAGGAAGCACTCACGAGGCGACACTGCCTCATAAGAGATGTTACTGGGTTGTGGCTGCTCGGAAGATGTCTCTACAGGGACGATCTTGAGGTCTGCGATCCTTTCAAATTCCCCTGCTGAGAAAACTGCACATTTTATCAGCACAATGAAACCACTGGCGTCATGAGAGTACTTGCCTCCTTTCTCAGCGAGAAAGCTGAACCACTTCTTTGCAGTTTCTGGGTCTTTCGGCGGAGTCGATTCAAGAACCTGAAGTAGCTTTTCAGAGGTAGGGCGGTCTCGAATCTTTAGCTTTGCAATATGCTTCTTGTTGAACTGATCGGTCAAATGACCAAAGCCAAATACTTTCCAGTTTGGATCCGAGAATACCTTTTTCAACCGTGGCATAAGCTACGCACATCCAGTGTATGAAATCGTAAACAGACCTCGCCATGGGGGATTTGACACTGTTTCCCGTCTCTGACACCGGGGATGAAGGGGTCAGAGAACTTTGAGGGATCGAATTGTTTTTCAAGAATTGTTTCATAATACGGTCCGCACAAAAACGTGAACGCAGCACGTCTAGCGGTTTGATCGGTATGGTAAGACGCGATAGGGATGAGTTGTTCTATTGTAGGGTATTCATGTAAACCTTTTCTAATGAGGAATAGTGCTTCGTGGTATTTTGGTCAGTGGGGCATCGTACACCGAACCAGTTCACGACACACCTTCCTGGGTGTTTGAATCCCAGTAGTCGCAATTGATTGTAGGCAATTTGAGCGCCTTGTTGATCTCTGTGGATGCGAAGAGCTCGTTGATATGATGTCTTTCACCGCTATTACAAGGGAAGAGTTTCATCTCCATGACGCGAGTCACATGTTCGTTAGCAGATGTAATAAGATATCTCGCCAATTCTACGGCATTCCATTTTTCACCGCTCATTGCCCTGTCAGGTATCTTAGCAAACATGGTGAGGTCATATTCCTAGAGACTGACTTTGAGATGAATGTTTCGATGTCGCACCGTTTCTGCACCCCCAGAAATTGCAACACCTGCTCCGAGCGGTAATCCAATAGAAGGTCTTGTTTAACGACGGGAAGGTCGCGAAAAACGTCAGCATCAGGGAAATACGCATCCCTGGGCCGCATCATGTTATGTACGTGCGAGATAGTTGTGGGTATGCAAGCAATATCCTCCAAAATCTCCCGGACTTCGAAACGCCCATCTTCATCCAGTGAAGTGTGCCAAAGGGTACTGAGGACGGTGATGACGTGTTGCGCGAAACTGGGCGTTAGCGTGATATTATGTGCTGTATCTGGCGGATTGTCTATGAGGTGTCGAAGCCAGTGTATGACTGACATCTCTTTCCACCCGAAAGCGTCCGTAATCGTATAGGGATTTAGGCTTGAGATAAGCGCTGGGGGTATTGTGTCGTCTGGCAAAGGGTCATCGACACGGCGAACATTCAGCATTCGTGCATCAATAAATTTGCTAATGGAGCTGAGTCGGACTTCCTTCCCCCCGGATTGTGTTCTGCCCGCTTTGAGCAGTTCGTTCCGGAATTTGTTCTGCTGTTCTTCCACAGAACCCTGGTTTCCAAATGAGGTGCTCCACCAACGCAAGCAGGCAGCCATCTCCGCCTCACTCAGACATCGCGAATTCAGTTCTTTCACGACGTCTTTGAATGTGTAAGTCCCGACCCAGAGATGCTCAGGAGGAGTCATGAGTGCTAAGATGGGACGCTGGTCCACTGGAAGCACAGGGGTACGCATGAAGGGAGCGAAGTGAGGATGGTGTATACGGATGTCCTTCGTGTGCCGAATCCCTTGATCAGAAATGAACGGGAATTTATCTGTAGTCGAGCAAGCAAAGAATGCATCCTTGATTATTCGGGACACCTTCGGATCGGGCGTGGAGGGATGGAAGATAAAGGACTTGATCGCATACAGTGCCAGTGCCAGTCGCTCCGGATCTGCCTTCTGCGACGTTGACCATGCATCCCTTACTTTGTTCATCTCGAAAACATAAGCCATCCTCGCCAGAAAACCCGCAACGTAAAGGAGCTCCTCGTTCCATTCTTCACGGCATGGCGTCAATGGACAAACTATAGTCTAGCGTCAATTCACCACTTACTGGAAACAGCGCCATTGCTACAAGGTGAATCATCAGAACTGTCCTCACACAGGGTTGTACGATACTTACGCAAGATCAATCGAGCCTCGTTCTACGGTTGGAATAAAACGGCCAGACATGTGGCAAGCCATGCCAGTCGTTTGAGCCGTACTTTGCCCCTGTCATGCACATGAGATAACTCGAGATAGCCCAACAATACGAGGTACAGACGATGAAGATTCGAGCGGCGTGTTCTCTATCAGAGCTGAAGGTAAGAAGAATAGATGCTCTGAAGGGACACCTTGACATACGCTTCCAATCGCGGACAAAGTCCTTGAGGCCCGCGGAAGACGCTTCCGAACCCTGAATCTTCTTCTTGCGTCTGCCTATCGTGCTCGTCCTTACTGAACTGTGGATGTTGGATATAAGACTAAGTCGAAATTTACGAGGTATCTACTTACGAAAACCATTTCAAATGGAAAATCTTTGGGAGGCTTTTTCTTCGTTGCGGATTCCAAACCCTTCTCCAAAGATTTCGCTGAAACGGTAACATTTGCAGAGTAAATGGAAAATTTTGCCGAGAATTGGGCCCCAGATTTGAGACTCGGGGCTTTAGAAGCAGCTGCCGCCATTTTTGGAGCTTTTCCATTGAGTTTCGGGGTTTTCTCCGTCGAGAAGAAACCCTTGGATTTCGACGGATTTCGTTCGCCTTCTTCTGGTTCTACTCGTGTGATGAGTGTCTTTGGACCTCCAACGAGTGCATCTTCAAAGAATGTGACGTTGACCTCCTGGGCTGCCAAGACCATCAGACCTTTGTGGAATCGCAAAGGCGCAAGAGATACTGACGGATTACTTCAACAGTTTCGACGAACATGTTTCCACCCCGGCTTTTTCTGAGCATATCCTCGGGAATGGCAATTGACTGACTGGCGTTGTTCCGAGTTTTTGTCAAGCAAGACAGTATAGTGCGATCCAGCCAGACCTCAACACTTTGAATATGAGCCAGGAACGTTACGGATGTTACTAGAAATCGCGTGAGTTCAAAGATCCGCGGGATGGTCGACTCCTGCTTCAGCTCAACCTCAATTGCAGTCCAAATGTCGCTGTCACGATTGTGTTTTTCTTTCTTCACAAAGAGCTACATGAACGTCAGAAGCGCTGGATTGAAACGTGAGTCTGAGTAACAACGTGCCTGGTCTCCTTCATAATAAATGGATACCATCTCTCCTGCGATATCCAATGAGTGACATGCAGGCCTCGTTGAAGGATCACGTACCATTCGATTTGACGACGGGCTTGTCAGTGACACTGAACACACTAAAAAAACCTGCACCAAGCCATTGCCCTTAGGACTCAGAATGATAGAGGAATCCATGAATCATACCGACTCCAAATGCGCCAATCTTTCGTTCGTCTGGATTGCCTTCGGCTAGATTGAAATATAAGCACCGAGCAGGCTGATCAAAATCCTCACATACCAATTTTCGTCAAACGCTTCCAGTCAGTCTTTTGAAATGGGGCGCCGTCGTTCTTCACAATCCATTTGAAGACCTTGTAAGATGAGAATGTGAGTGCTCCGTACCCAGGACCTCGCTTCATCGCATACCTTAGCTGAATTGGGGTCAGGTTTCGCCCCATTACTCTCATTTCCAGCTAAACTCTGAAATTCAATAGAGAAGTTCTTGGCTCCAGCATCGTCCGCATTCTGCAACAGTTCTCGGAAAACTTCATTGCAATCAATCGCACTTTCTGACCTGACGTAGTTCTCAACGTACCTGTGAACTCTTCTGGGTAACGGGCGAGGACTTTATCAACAAGGTCCCGTTGGTTGACTTCTACTTTCGTGACCTTCAAACCGAAAGGTGAGTCCCGAAGAGTCCAGTTCTTGGGCGCTAATAAAGCTAGCTCACCTCAGGCTCACACATCCCAGGACAGCTTCGAGAGGTTCGTCAAAATGCGATAGTAAGTGTGGAGGGTACTGAGACTCTAAAACAGCAGGTTAAATAACGTTGTATGGACTGGAACAACAGCTGGCCTCACATTCAACACGCGTAGCTATGCCACACAAAGACCCACAACTTAATATGACGGAAGGGCGCTAAGTTATTCATGTATTATTAAATTGCTGTGCATTTCAGCCATGTTCGCCCACAGGCAGTGCGGTAGGATGTGGGATGCAAATCATGCAATGTCACGGTATTAGTCGGCGACTCGGAGCGCAACTTGAAGCTCACCAAATTCTGAATTGTTAAGAGTTGAGCTCAGAGGTCTTGTATGTTAGTAATTATGTACGCAGTGAGCGCGTCAAGCCTTAGTCAGGGCCTGGGACCCCAGCGGTACGCGAGCACAAGGGGAACTGCATTGTATCGCCATATGCTGAAATCAAGCATACTGGGTCACCTTCTGATGGGCCCTGGGCGCTCGGCCACTGTCTAGCCTGAGATCTAGTGCACTGCAGGCTGCAGCATTGCACTACTCAGCTTCTTTGAATTCTATTCGAAATCGAAGCACGGTGAGAGAAGATTTGAACGTGATCAAACACCGCTAGATCGTGTACTGTACATGCACATGTCACAGAGACTGTATATAACGTCTAACCGCCAACACTGCCTGGCAATCCAGAAGGAAGTACTGTGAAATCTCAATTCACGAAAACTCGCGAGTCGGACACCGCGCGCGCGTGTGGCTGCCACTGTGGCATTGAAATTCCATGCAGCATCGCAATGGCGGTGTACCCCAAAGATAGAGTTGTTGAACGGGAACAATCATTGCTGCCGATGGGTAATGACGTCTGGATCCTCTAACGAAGACTTCAATTTATTCATGAAGGCGGGCCAGTGATGAGATCTCAGAGCGAGTCACGTCCATAATCCATCATCGTACTATGCCAGTGCATAGATCCCAGATCAGGTCATGGCTGAATAAATCGACTACAAAGTGCTTCCTCCTCTTTGTGTGGCCGGGGCCTGACAGCATACAGAGAAAAGACTAGGGGACCACCTGTAAAGAAAAAGGGAAGGTCAGCCCACTTTCTGGCAAGGCTGAAAGTTGGCGTTGGCGACAAAAGTTGCTCAGTGACAACAGAGCGTTACGGTTGGTCACGGAATGTCACGCGCACAATTCCGAGAGTCCCGACTCCTGCCAGTGCCAAACTCCTGCAGCCTCAGGCTCGCTGGCACCAATTTTGATTCACTACAGACTAGACGCATGCTCTATAGGAAGTAGACACTAGCGCGGGACCTGAGAGAATCAGTTAAGCTCAGTCATCGCGCTCGTATCGCAAACGTCTGATATATATTCACCTGAGAGAATCAGTTAAGCTGACGTAGCGTAAGTATCGAGCAGTGAATATATGTAAAGTTAGTAGCTTACCTCAGTCGTCGCGCTCGTATCGCAAACGTCTGAGGTCTCTATACTACGTGAGGCTCGTACTAAATAACGAAGATGTGATCTTGTATGGATGGAAATGGGAAGTACGAGGGTCAAAGTTTCGAGTCGTCGAGAGACAAGGGAACAAAAGGTTCAGTAGGTATAATGGCCGCTTGGACATGAGACTAAACAATAGGAATGATACGGGAACAAAGGAATGATGGAAACATGCCTGCTATTGTGCATCGGGGCTCAGCGCTTGCTTGCCCGATTCCAACATGCTCGCAAGCGCCGATGGGCAGACAACACAGCTGGTGCGACTTTGGAACCTCGGAGATGGTCAGCCTATCCAACGTACACCTTGCACCATACTGTAGAGATACGACACTAGGTTCGTCACAGGTCACAGCCATCAACGAATCGAACCTATTTGGTGTGACTGTCACACCAATTTTTTGGGGGCCGAAGCTAATTTGTGACATGTGGTAAAAACATACAGAAAAACATATAAAAAACATACAAAAATCATATAAAAACAACAATGTCCAGCTAGATTCTACCTGTTACTTCTCAACTTTATAATAAGATATGAATCAGACAAGAAGCCTTGACAAAATCACAATTTCCGAAGCTATTTTTTATGTGGTCACAGGTGACAGGGTAATTCGAAGCTGTGACACTAAGCGTGACTTTGTCACGTGCTGCACGTGACGAAGCTAGTGTCGTATCTCTACACACTGCGGAAACGAGTTTTTGTGCAGAGCCAAATCTGAGTGAGATAGTAGTAGTAATCAGATCCAAAACGTACCTAGCTCATAATCCGACATAAATCAGACATGCGGCAGAATTTGAGAAATAATAAGTGTAAACAGGCCGTTTCAGGGCCTTTTCGAACAGTTTTCAGAGGACCTTTCCAGATCTTCATTTGCCCGTGAAATGTATGCTGTCCCAACACAAATCAGCCTGTGGACATATGGTTTTCAACATCTGAATTTGCTCTGCATACTCGAAGGTGCGTTTCTCTAAATTTTCGCTAAGTCCATCATTCACTCAAAAATGTCGGACGAACACTTCGCTATCAAATTAGAGTTGCCCGCACAGCTCGACGCATTCAGTTTCAGCTTCACTACGACGAAACCAGGTCCTGTAGTAAGTGCATAGTATGACCATGCCCTCTTTGCCAGTTGATAATTTTTATCTTCTAGAAAATTGAAATCTCCATTGACAAGCAATTACCGATACCCCACATACGTAGCTTCGGCTGGACTAGTACTACGGGTACTACTGCTCGGCGTGAAGTGGTTGACGAGAGCGAGACGGAACCGGAGTCACCTGCAACTGTCAAGTGCCAGAAGGAAGTGGTTGACGAGAGTGAGACGGAACCGGAGTCACCTGCGACAATCAAGAGCCAGAAGGTTATCGAGTATCGACCACCCAAGCACAAGCTTACCCCAGTTCAGCCTACATCCCAAGTTGATTGGACTAGTACTCTGGGTCTGAGTCCGATGTCGAACGAATTAGAAACACCCCAGAGCTTTACTCGATGGTATCATGATGCTGTGAGTCTTTTTTTCAAGTCGAAGTACGTGTTACTCAAATATTAATGTGAACCTAGAAACAAAGTAGCCTTCAAGCTCGTATAGATGAAGCTGGCGTAGAGACTCCTCCTTTCAAGCGACAACGCCGGTCTCCTAGCTAGTACTTAGTACTCATTTTGTAGCAGCTCACGTGATAGACTCTCAAGCAAATCCCGACTAGTTATCTTGTATCTGCGCAGTCATCACCATGTCCCGTCAGCAGCGCTGCAACTGCACGAGCAACAACTGCCAGGGTGCGCTCCTGGCAGCACACGTAGCTCGGAGTCACGAACGAGCAGATTTACTTCAACGGACTCTGGCCTCGCAATCTACCTTCAAGCGTATCGGTGCACGCATCGTGTCATCTCACCCAGATCAAAGAATCGTTTCGTGTGGCTTTGCAGTCCCATTACGCGAAAACTCGCCTACTCAGTCCTTGCATTACGAGCCTCACTTCTCAGAGTCGGCAGTACTCGACTACGGTAATCTTACAGAGCAAGATTTAGATACAACAAACGACTTTCCTAGCATGGGCCCCAACTTTCGGACCCCCGAGGCTCTTCTTACTGCAGTTGACCATTTTGAGGCTTATAATGCTGCTACAGCAGGCGGGTCTCGTCCATTGTCTCCCAACGAAGCCTATCACCTTGCTCCTGACACAGAGCAACAAGACTTGCAACGTCTACTTCGTGACGCTCTAGAAAAAGAGATGGGCGACTCAGATGAACCGGCTGCAGAGTTTCTGGGAGATGAAGATCAACAAGACGCTAACCAATTTGAAGATATATTTGGACCAGCGCAGGAAGGAGAAGACGACCCTGACCCCTTCTTTATTCCAGACGGTCTCGAAGAAGAAGAAGCAACAGATCTCAAACGTCTCCCTCCTCACCTCCTCTCCGTATATGCTGTCGTTGCGTGGCTGCACCTGCAGTTCCACCTCCCACGAGCAGCGTGCAACACATTATTGTCGATATTCGCCTGCATTCTGCTTTTCATTTCGCCTGGTATTGACCTCCCCTTTGTCACTTTGCAGTCTAGCAACCGTGTTCTCGGTGTCGACAGCCCAATCTACACCCTCGCTGTTTGTCCTTCCTGCCGTGATGTCTTTCCACCTGCTTGCTCTCCCCATTCACAAGATACATGTCCGACATGCCACTTGGATCTATTTCTACCTGACGAAACTGCCCGTGGAAACCAGCGGGCCAACAAGACACCAATAGTCAGATATCCGTATCTCCCTCTATCAGATCAGCTCAAGTCTTTACTCAAAATTCCCGGGCTCGAAAGTCTTCTTGACGACTGGCGCTCAAAACCTCGCGCTCCAAATCAATATCACGATATATTTGATGGCGCCATGTGCAGGACAAAACTCAAAGCACCTGATGGTAGTATTTTCTTCTCAAACCTTCCTCACGAGAAATCAGGTCCAAACGGAGAACTACGTATTGGCGTGAATCTTGGAGTCGATTGGTGCGTATACAGGCTGTTTCTTTTACTTTCTGTGCTAACTTTTGATTATTCAGGTTCTCGTACATACGGAGTAATATAGCGCCGTCGCATTCATCGTGTCCGACCTCGTTCTCAATCTGCAACCTTCCCCCGGAATATAGGTAAGTTTTTATTCCCTCAATCTTTCGCAGTCGCACATCTTATCATCTATAGATATCGCACTTCAAATCTGATGTGCACAAGTATCTTACCGGGCCCCAAGGAACAGAACCCGGATCAGATACAAAGGTTCCTCCGCCCTATAGTCTCGGATCTCCTTCGTTTGTGGCAAGATGGTATCAAGATCCCTACGGAATCATGTCCTGAAGGTTGTATCGTTCGCATCATTCTGGTTGCCGTCGTATGTGATAAACCGGCGGCGCACAAGATAGGCGGATTCGCATCGCATTCGCACACCAACTTCTGTACCACCTGTTGGATCAACATCGCCAACAAAGACAAGCATTCTGCGTTCGCGAAAGGGGGTAATTTGCTCATTCAACATTTATTTACGCTACTAAATCATATCTACAGCTTTCAGAGCGAGAACGGATGAGGAGCATCGTCGCCTTGGAGAACAGTATCGTCGACTTACGACCGCTAACGCTCGCAAGAACTTCGTCAAGGATTTCGCAACCCGATACACGCAGCTCTCAAGACTTCCATATTTCAACATCGTCGAACAAGTTATCATAGACCCTATGCATAACTTGTTCCTAGGTATGTTTATTTATCACGCATTATACTATACTAACTAGTTTCAAAAAAAACTAGGCCTCGTCAAGACCCATTTTTACAACATATGGGTTCAAAGCAAGATTCTCCGGCCTAATCACGAACTCGAAACGTTCCACAACATGTTGGCTGATGTACGTACTCCTATTTTATTATCAAAGTGTTTTAAATTAAAACATATCTCTATACTAACATATACTAACATATCTCGTAGTTCGTTGTCCCTAGATCGTGCGGAAAACTTCCCACCGACATCGGTATGCCGTCAGGAGGCTCCCTCACCGCGGACCAATGGTTGCTATTGGCCACCGTGTACGGTCCTATAGTTGTAAGTCTTTCCCTTATCTACAGACTTGAACTAATATGCGCACCACAGATCCCGCAATTATGGTCAAAGTGTCTCCCCTCTGATCTCGATGATCACATCCTACAGCAGCGCGCCGCCGTGATCGAGAGGGCAGAGGCGGACAAAGAAGCCAACGCCGCTCAAAAGGCCCACGACAAGCAGAGCCTAGCAGAGGCGAAGAAAAAAGGTAAAGATGCTTACGAAGCGGAGAAGACGCGGATCGCGAATGACAAGGTCAACGCTGCCGAGGCCAAAAAACAGGAGAAGTTGAGAATCGCCTCCCTCAAACAGGCCGCAAAGCAGGCGGAGAAGATACGTCAAGCCACGGAGAAGAAATTGAAGGCTGCAGAGCGCAGGGTAAAGTTTAATTTTACCATCATTAAGCTTACTGACTCACATATACCAAAGGCTGGCAAGCGCAAGGCTGTTGCCCAGACAGTCGAAGATCTTTTGGAGGGCCAAGTCCGCCCCCCACCTCCTCCTCCCGATGTACCGGGCCCTTCGGACAGGTTTGATGATGTTGACGACGCTACTGACACAAAGTTCAGTCTGCATCCGGACGACCCAGGGAACTTCTTAAAACTCTGCACGGCCCTCCGGATAATCGTCAAACACCACATCAGCGACGAAGACTTAGATAGAGTGGACCTCCTCATTCGGGACTATGGGAACGAGCTCATTCGTGTACGTGGCTTTTAACTTTCATTTGATTAACTCTGACCTATGGCTAGTTGTACGGATCGGCCGTCATAAAACCCAACCACCACTATGCGACTCATATTGCTGACTGTGCGCGGAATTTCGGCCCACTGCACGACTTCTGGACCTTTCTGTTCGAGCGACTCAATAAGGTTTTGAAGTCCTTCAAAACCAACAACCACAGCAACGGGGAACTCGAGACAACGTTCTTCCGCGAATTCCAACGGACATGCCAGATAGGCCGCTTGGTAAGTTTCTTATTTTCGATGTTAATTTTTTACTATCTACTTTCCAGACGTTCTCTCTACGCCGATACCCAGACGAGACGCTCCCATACGAAGTGGCCAAGATCATGCTTAAGGCATCAAACGACGAACGAGGGACCGTTGCCGGACTAGCGGCATTCACTAAAGAGCTTGATGATGGTCTCATAGATGGTGAGTTTATGAATTTCAATTGCGTGTCTTAAAACTAACATTCTTTTACACTAGCTGCACAAACTTACACTTTCAGCCCACGACATCAGAAGAAAGACATGTCATCGGAAACCTATCGACTCCTGGCACAAACTCTCTGCTTTTGGTTTCCCTTCACTCCGGTTCACTGTCGCATGGACCTCCCATTAGTCGCTCACAGCCTTCCTCTTGAAAGACAGGCTATATTCTTCGAGTACGTGATTCTTGGCGGCAAGCGCTACTATGCTTCTCGCACTGTCGGCTCTAATCGTTCCTCATTCATTCACGCTATCATTCCATCTGCGCTACACCCTCCTCGACACGCTTATGGCGAGGTCTTAGAATTGTTCCAGTTTGAACAAAATTTCCGTGGACCAGGACACGATACCATGCTGTGGTTTGCGCGAACTCGCTGGTTTAAACCGTGGCGCTGCGAATCAACCAATCCATGGGATGATTTGTGAGTGATTTTATATTGTCTTAACACATTCAGTAACGGCACAGCAGCTCTACCGTCGACGTTCGTTTGTGGGAGCTGGGAGAATACCAAAACCACGACACTCAGCTCCCAGAGCTTATAAATCCCGACTGGATCGTTGGACAACTCGCAATGACAACTGTGTCTATAGGCGAAAATAAGATAAAGGCTTGGGCCTCTATCAATCTTTCAAAGGTATGTACTTTGCATTTTGATCTGAATTTATACTAACAAATGTGCAGTAACCTATCAACGCGCAAGCGCTCAACTCCATACATTCTCGATGCCCTTGTTGACGAGGGCCGTCGCCTCCGCGACAACTTCCTCAAGCAATATTCCAACCTCCGCAATTCTTCTACCAATACGGAGGACCAGGACCTCACTTCCCCTTACATGTCTGCGTCTCGTAGGGCAACGCAAGCTTCGCACGCCGGTTTACACATTCTGCAAGACAACTAACGTGTCATAGGCACAAGAGATCCAAAAATCAGTACAATCCTTTGCACGAAGTCAGCTACAAGAAGAACACAGCGCTCTCTATTCAACATCAGACTCGGAGCCCGCATCATCTGCCATCTTTTGCCACCCATCAAGCTCCTTCAGGTATGTCCAGTCTTGCTTATAGACATCTTTTTCGCTCACCGTTCCATAGAATCCGCTTAACCACTCGCCGCCATCTAATAATACCATGTCCGGGTGAGTCTTCAGCCATTTCGCTGAAACCATCGACCTGAATGGTACCGTCGGGTTAGATTTCTTGTGGGAGATAGGTGGGTCCTCGTTCATCTTGCTCGGTGCGAGATCAAATACTGATTTCGACGATTTCTTCTTCTGAGTGACTTTGCGGCGCTTTGAGGGTGGCCGGCCATTAACGTCATCTCCTTCCTCAGACTCGTTTTTGCTTTTGAATGTGAGCCATCGCAAAAACGCTACGTACTTTTGATGCAGGTGAGTATTTGTTTAATTTTCTTATATCAACGAGACGCTTACATCAACGCTTCTCCAATCAGAACCCTCCACCATGAAAGCACTATCACCGACGCCCGCGTCCTTCCGCCGTTGTATGGTGTCGTCAGACAAGTCTCCGTCCGACGCATACGACAAGACATCCGATGCGAAGTCGGTATCAATCATAGCCATTGCACCTTGGCTAGCCTGAGACTCGAATGCTTTGGCCGCTTTACGTCGAACTTTTGTGACCTTGTAAGTTATATTAGTCGATTGAAGATGTGACAAACGCTGATTAGACTTACGGTTTGACGACGCGCACGATGCTTACTATTCGTTTTGCGTCGTATGGCCTTCTCAGCCTTTTCGTCGTCGTTAAACTCAAGATATTGCTTATGTACGTTGCGAAAGTACGATTTCACACAGTCGCTGATGGTACCGATTGCATAGGCCCCGTCGGGGATTTGGCCTGCTCCCGCACGTTCCCGAAGAGCCTTCTCGTTATTCCACAGTCTCATCGCTATCTCCTGGATGAACGCTGTCATGCATGGTATACGCTTCATACCATGACATACATAAAAGGAGTATACAAAGGAGATGAATAGGAGAGTGTACAAGAATATACTTCTCACTATCATAAGCTAAGTTTCGTATTGTTTAGTTGTATTTATAGGTTTCTATTTGTTTCTGCCTCTTTCCATTTGTTTAAGCTTATTCAGCCACTCAGATATGTTTGTAAGCATGTCATGTGACTGGTAAAAATCTGATTTGTAAGGATTCAGCTTGACTCATCATGTTTTGTCATTTGATTCGTCATGCTTTGTAATTCTTCCCCATGCTTTGTAATATTTTATTCATGTACTTTAGTAAGCAGCTGATTCAGCACACCAAAAGGCTTGGTTTGTAAGCATATTCTTACCAATCCAGTGATGAGTCATGCTTAGTAAGGAGGGTTTCCAAAATGTATTTAAGGACACCAATCTTACCAAATAAATAAGTTTTTCCCTTTCCATTCTTGTTCCCAACCGTGAGGAACGTAAGAATCTGAAGTGTGGAGTTTTCCCGCTTTCTGTCTCCAACGTGTGAGATCCAGAAGAAAGTGAAGGTCTACGAGTTACCTTTGAAAACCACCGTATTCTGTCAATCAAGTTGTATACTATCTTACGGGGATCGCCTATACAACCATCTATTTGTTTTATTTGAGTATTACATATTCTAGTCAGCAATCTTGCTTTTACAGGAAGTGAGACACGTAACAGGAGAACACGACAAAGTTGAAACAGACTTTCATAGGTTGAAACACGACCTACTAGGGTGAAACATACCTAACAGATTTATATTCACAGCAGAACACCAGGGTTATTCTGTTCAGATACAGAAATCAAGCAAAGGAGAGGTAACTTGTTTACTCTTTGACCACCCACGAACAACACGTTATCAACCGAGAAGTAGAAAATCCGTTGACCGTGAACTTGAGGAGCTGGCAACTTTTGTCTTATGAAAGTGTAGTTGTGTTGTCACTGCATTTTTACACGCTTCTATATAAGACCCTCAAGTAACAAGACATCACTGGAGCCCAACCGCGAGGGTGGCTTTTCTTTGTTTTGATTAACCCTACATCGTATTCAGTGCACACTGCACAATCCCCCATCATATTCTGAATTTTTCCACCCAGTATTGTGGAAACCACGCCAACTGTACCAGGTACAGTACCATTGTATCAGTCAACCAAAGCCACACACATCATGTCGTATGCAACCCCATTATCAGTATTAATGATGCCCATTCCAGGAACCAAGGCAGCACCTGCCAAGTTCAAGGGGCATTATTCAGAAGTCAAGGACTTTCTGAGACACTACGAGAAACTGTGTGATTATCACTGTGTATCCTCTGATCAAGAGAAATGTGAAACTATTACTCAGTATATGTCCAGACGCGTCACCGAATTTGTTGAAGGACTAGCAAGCTTCAGATCTTCGAATTGGAAAGAGCTCAAAGCTGACATTTTGAAGTATTATGATGCAGACCTAGACACCAAGAGATATAGGAGAAAAGATTTATTGTCCTACGTACGGACAACACGAGAGAAGAAAATTTTGAACCTTACTGCTTGGAAGAAGTATGTAAGAGGTTTCATTCGTATAGCCGGATGGCTAGAACAAGCCAAGAAATTAACAGCCAAAGAATATGCAAGTTATTTTTGGAAAGGAATCTACAAGAGCCTACGTATTAACATCGAGACACGTATCATGGCCGGAGAACCTGATAGGGACTTGTCAGAAGCTTTTCCAGTCAATAAAGTAACTTCCACGGCAGAGAAAATTTTGCACCGTGATAGATTTGATGCAGATCTACTGGTTTCAGAAGCAGATAGCGACTCAGATGAGGATTCATCAGCTGATGAACCATCTGAAAGTACCGAGGATTCAGATTCAGATGAGTCTGACAGAGAGTTTTTTCGAAAGAAAGAGGTTAAGAAAGGCAGACTCAAAGAGAATGTGAAGAGTAAGCCTAAGAAAGAGAAGGGTACATCTAAAGGTACCAACACATCAGAGAGAACATCCATCGAACCTAGGAATGAAATGGAGACACTCATTAAGAAGATGGGCTCAATTTCCCTAGAAGACCCAGAATACGCGTTGTTATTCTATCGAGCCACTCGAATTGATCCTTCAGTTAAGGATATATTAGCAGCACCCATCAGAAACGAGAAATCAACTGTGTATTCATCAGAGAAACATGCTCATACACAGACACGAACTACTACAGCACTGAGAAATGAGACACAAATTAGCAAAGGACCACCCCCTGGTACCAGATTCCACCAAGCGCCTAACACCCCCTATCAAGACAGGATTTGTTATGGTTGCGGAGAGAGAGGCCATGGAATTACCTATTGTCCTCAGCTTTCAAAACTAGTAGAGGAAGGAAAACTCACCCGTACAAGGACAGGTCAGATTGGAAAACCAGATGGGAGGATGGTCAAGCGAATGCCAGAAGAGACGATACTTGAAGCCTTGAAGCGTGAAAGAGAAGTGCCTGCCGCACACTTCATCAAGGTCAAGGCAAATGAGCACCTACACGATATTGAGTCAGTTACGCCACTAAAGAAGAGTAAAAGTGCGTACCTCAAAGAATATGTCAGCTGTGAAAGTGAATCGGCCTCAGATACGAGTGATGCCAGAGACAGCACAACAACACAAGACACCGGGACAGATGAAGAGAACCTTGTATATCCTGTTGAAAGGACAACAAGGAGTTCACGCAAAACAAGACTAGAGAGGGACAAGGTCATCCCATCTCCAGAGTCTAAGGTACCTAAGAAAGGTAGTGAGAAAAGACGTCAGAAAGAAAACATACCAGAAAAGATTGTAGCGCCCAAAATGATGGCAGAAAGCACGCCTAGGGCACAATCTAAATCTGAGAAGTCAGCAAGAGATATGAGAAAACAGGGAAATGACCCTGGATGGGACAGCGATGACATCATACAGGATGATGTGCCTACAGTCAGAAAAGACTTAGTGGTGCAGCGCAATTCAACCACTCACCAAAATGATTTAAACACCAACCAGAAGAAACTAACACGTCAACGTGTTTCGGATATCGCGAAAAAAGTTAAGCCAGAGGAAATTCTAGATAGCGTGCTGAGGACACCTATAAGATTGGAAGTAGGTGAGCTTCTAGGAAGTTCCCGAGAACTATCTGGAATGTTATCAAATGCAATTAGACCAAAATCTATTGATTCAAAAATAGAAGCCCACTCTGTATGGACAAAAACACGGGGCTTACTAATCAAGATTGCCATGCAGTGTGATGGGCAATCAATCAATGCTATTATCGACACAGGAAGCCAACTAAATATAGTGAGTAAATATATTTGGAAGACTATTATTAATCGACCGATCGACATTGCCAAATCGGTGACATTAAATGACGCAAATGGCGGGGAAGGTCGATTACGTGGTCTAGTTCAAAATGTTCCACTCAATTGTGGAGGAGTTTTCACACACGCGAACTTATTTGTAGGAGATCACGTCCCATTTCATTTATTATTAGGCCGACCATGGCAGAGAAATAATTATGTATCTATCGATGAAAGATTTGATGGTACATGGTTGCTATTTAAAGATCCGCTCAATTTGGAAGTCAGGTACGAGCTATTTTGTACACCTGATGGGAAAGATCCAATTTGGGATTTCGAACCACCAACACTCAGAAACTCCACTGGAACAAGTTTATTTTTAGCCGGAAATAAAGAATTACCCTTTTTGGTTGAGAATTCTGAAAATTCTTCGAGTCATTCAAAAGCCGAAGCCGAAATTCTCAGAACGTCCAAATTTCAAAAAACAGTTACACCCAAGCAAATTCTGAGTAAGAAATTAGTCAATGAAGTAACGACTTACTCAGACATATGTGAAATGGAATATGTTCCAAAATCTATAAAAAAGCCACCAGATTTCATTTTACAGGCACTCGTTCCGAGCCTCGTGCCTATTTACAACAACACGAGAAAAAACCAACCAACTGTTCACCAATTCCCTTATTTGTTACTACTTCCGAACATGCCCACACCACTCACAGACACACGCACCGATGTTTTGGATTTTTTCTCACACTCCGGAAATTTCCGATTCTCAACTTCTATCGAGAACGACACATTAACATTTTCATTTGTGCCAATGTTCACTTTATCCAACACTTCGTCACCAAGCTACTCTGCCTATTCCCCTCATTCTTCATATTCTCCTCTCCAGCAGGAAAGTCTTGCTGGACAGGACACCATCACTGTGCCAGGACCATCTCTTGTTTCTGTTGCCAACTCTGGCGCTGTTTTTGAGCGTGGGAACGAAACGCGTCCTGACGACAACGCCGACAACGACAACGACGAGCGCGGGAATTTTAGCGCAGGTACCTTGGGTGAGCGTTCTTCAACGTTTCACTCATTTAATAATTTATTAAATGATGTTTTGATCAAAGATGGACACATTGGTCCCTCAGCACTCTTTGACAGTCCACACTCCACTGTTTTCGAGTCCCAGGAAGAGGTAAAGCCCTCTTCACTGCCGGATTCGTCCCCACTCGCTACAAACACTAACTTTGAAAACTCGACAACTACTTCTTTGCCTCCGCGTGCCACAGATCACTCAAACTCCACGCCGGCACATGTTTTACTCACTCGTCCTATACTCGACGACGTCACTCCACCTCCATATACTACTCCCATTACCCCTGTAAATACTATTTCTAGTGACGACGACGTACCTGCACTTATCGATTCGAAACCCACGTTTTCCAATAAACCTTTGTTTTCTCCTTCTCTCGCAGCACCTGCTGCTTTGCTCGAAGGAATCTCGCCACTCCACGCACATCAATATCTCGAAACCGAAATCGCTCGTTTGAGTGATTATCATTCGTTTTACTTCCCGCACGTCACCAATGCTGTCGCCTCGTTCAATTTTTGCCAAGACCAACTCATTGCTAATGACTGGGATGTTGAGTTATTCCATGACGACTCATACCCAGGACATCCCATCATTCCGAACGA